ATTAAAATTGGCTTAGTATTTTGACTCACGTCCTAAGGCAAAGGAGGCCCCGGGCCACCAGACGCCTTAATAAAAAAAGTAAGTAAGCATTTTAACAGACTGAGAATCAATAACATAAGACGTTACAGACTAAACAAAACATTCGAGAAAAAAATGGCCTGACTCCGAACTAATGTATGGTAACATAAATAAATAATCCCCAATAATACTATTGGGAACAATAACGACAACACATTCAATATAACAAACTAGTTTTGATAAGCACTGCGAGTAACAAGTTGTATTACGAAGAAACCATTGCGAATTAATAACAAGGCTACGAAAAACATGCAACATCCGAAAACGATTTGTTACAAAAAATAGTTCATCGCATAATTTAAAAGAGGTATGCTCGTAACAACAGAACAGTTATTACTAGATTGAAAAGCCTTTCACAAGAATCATTTATAACCTTAAAATCTGTCACAATAGAGCACACGAACTAAAAACTAGGTGAACGAAAATAAGTTCTCTGGAAAATTTAAGTACTTAAGTAAAGGTTTTTTATATTTTACTGTTTTATTTTTATACTTCTTTTTAGATGATGGAAGGTGAAATATTTATATCACAATGTGCTGACTTTTTAGCTTCAGAGAACCGGACATTACGGCTTTTCATCTGAGATCGGTGGATCGTGACCCGGATAAAATTGCACTGTCCAAATTTTCTGGTCTGGGTTACCATATAACCAGTTATAATTCAAGTGTTTAAAACATTCGCAAGCGTTACATAACTAACCATGCCATGTGTTACCAATCGGTCAATTGAGTAAGCGAACTCCATTTTTACGCGTCGCTCGTTCAGCGCAGACGCAATACTTAATCATGTTTGGCGAAAGTCATATTACAGACTATACCATTTCTTTATATTCGCACCTACTATTAAAATGTAATTTTTAACTTAACTATCTACCAAGTAAGCAGTGCAAGATGTCTGTTGATATAATGAAAACTTTTACTTACAATCAAAATACCGAACCTTCTGAATAAACTTCCTCACCCCTATCTCCAATGTTGGGCATAAAGTTGACATCATATTTTTGTGTGTTCACTGATCTTTGTTACAGGCAAGATATTGGCTCTTTTGGGAATCGAACCCAGGTTTCCTGATTAACGTATTGCTTGGCAACACAATATTCACTGAGATACGGAATTTGTATATGTAAATATGCTTATGTAGTGTTCGCGTGAATGTACTCTTTGTAAATAACGTTTTAAACCAAATTTACTTTGCCACTCTTTGGCTAATATTTCCTCCCCCTTCTATGGCCCACGTCGGGGGATCCTTTTCTTACATTGGCGCCAAGTCGGCGAATTGTAACTTAGTGGATGATGTCATGCGAAAAGTTCGTGCGCACGGTTTCGTTATAGATCAGAATTCGGAATTAACTACTTGTTATGGTTTAGATAACAGGTATTTAACTTATATCAATGATTACATATGGCAAAATTTTATTCTTTAAAACAAGAAACATTATGGTTAAATTTAAGGTAAAATACCCCAAATTCTTTAAATTTAAGCTTTGGCCATCCAAGATTACACTTGCCCGTTTCTTCTGGGAATTGTAGTTTGTTTTCCGTTTTCGTTATTCCTACCACCATCATTGTGTGTCCAACATTTTTGATGCCGATGTTTAATATATTTGAGAGAAATTTTAAATTGATTTTGGAAAGATATCCTGGTAAATAAAAAAAAAGATATAATACGTATACATGTATATACAACTTATGTTCTCAGGGATTACTTCACAGTTAATAAAGCCTCATACCAAACAAACATATATAAATATAGCTGTGACTAAACGATGACGCTTAGAAGCAATTTGTCAAACACTTTATGTTGGTACTGTATCGTACTCTTTAATTGCGTGAACTCCTGATAACTATTTCAGATAACCTAATGTATTGTTTTGTTTGAAATAATAATGATTCTTTAATCTAAAAAAAGACGATAGAACTGCGTCGTTTTCAGCCGTAGAGTAGAAATAAACAAGTAATATTGATAACAGTTAGACGAGAAAAGGTAATGTAAAAGTTAATGTAAAAGTTAATAATAATAAGAACTTAACTATGGTCCATAAATATAATATCAGCTGGACAAAGACAGACAAAGACACAATAGTTGGATACAATAATTTGAAACCAGTTGCAAATATGTATTATGAATGCGCTGGTCGTACTTAATTGGGTCAAGGAAAACATTTCAAGTCTCAAGGAAAACATCTTGATACGTGATTCAGTTCAAGGTGTTAGGATTTTCCCTACATCATATATGCAAGTCATTTGGTGAGACGCAGGCTGGTTCAGGGGTAAATTGGTTATATAGACTTTTAAAATACGAGGACATTTAAAATCAAGAAACAAAACAAAAAATATATGTTTTTTATAAATGTCCTGGCAAAATTTAAACCCAGAACCACTCGCGACGATGCTGCACGCGATATTAGGCAATGGACAGAAAAGTTCACCTGAATTCTAAAGCATACAATAAAATGTAGAGCATAGAGATAAAAGGAATACCTAATTCTGTTTAAATACTGATAAGTATGCTACTTTAACCAACATTTAGTTGTGGACTTATGTTCATTCAAAACAATTATGGAAAACAGGTAACATATTACTGTCTGTAAGGCCATACTCTGTCATTAATTATAGCACTATTCCACGAAACGCACCTGTTGCCAGAGGGAGAAGGGAAAACGGTCACGCATATGAATAATCGAATTTTTATGACACACAAACATTGAGGGAAACGGAAAACAAATGAAGTTATAACAACCAGACTATTTATTTGGAAAAAACGAGACATTCGAATTTTAAAACATAAGGACAGTTAAATAGTTTGTCTGTTGTCTAGTTACGCGAGTACCTAGTACATACTTAAATAAAACTCCTAAACGATTTAAAACGCGATACATAAGTTAGACGGATGCATCCGAAACATCGGGCCGTAGTTAAAGTAACTTTTCGAATAAGTTAACTAATATATATATTGCGTTTTAAACCGTTAAAGTGTTTTATTATTAAACATTTAATAAGGACATTTGTATGATATTTGATGAACGAATATTCGTGTGTCATTGTTCAACAGAATCTTGGCTGTTTGAGTCAGAAGCCCTTTCAAGGAAAACGTTTAAATCAAAATACCTATAGGTTCTCAATTTAGTCGTAATTGGTTACTCGATTAATAAATAGCTTAAATAAACATTATTTAATCACTTATTTCATTACTTTATTGATATCATTAAGATGGTTAATGTAGATAGATAAAATTAACTTTAAATTATTTTTCACATACGTAGTTTAATTTTTAGATTAACTAGAATACACACTAGTTTAAAATCATCGTTAGTAATATAACACAGCCTATTTCAAGGTTTAGATCTGAGTCTATATGCCTAAAAAGCACTAACTTAAATAAATCCAAGCTAAGCAACGATTTTATCGCTTTTACATACGCAATTGCTTCCAACTACTAAACTATTACTAAGAAATATAATAAATCGAGGTAAAGTTTAAAATATGTATAATTTTAAATACCTAAATAGCGTATTTTGATAGTTGAATCTTGATAATCTTGCGCAGATAACACGTTCTTCTAAAGATCACGTATTTTCGACGAAATCGCATAAAATCACGTTTGATAAGCTAATGAGAGCGTTAAGGAAGGTTTTTTATGATAAACAAGCTAGGGGTTCACTCGATGGAAAGTCAAATACCACGGCCATACCTACGTACCTAACATCTAAACAAGATGCGTTACCGACATAGGTATTCTAACTTTGGAGATCCTAAGACTGCAACCTAAACGCGCCTCAAATTAATGAGTCATATATATGCGTGAATCCCATATTTTATTTTTACATGCGTATGACCCAAGCATTTCAAACAATTAAACGCGTCAAGGAAATGTGACGCGGTCGCCAATGCAGCCATGACATCATCTCCATCTCGAATAATTGAATCACACATTATTTGCGATAAGAACAATTGGAAAAGTTACCCTATCCAGGAGTTATAGAATTACTAATACAAAGATCAAGTAGTTTTTATAATAGAGGAGGACAAACAAGAACAGGGATCACTTGATGGAAGGCTAAATACCCCAGCCATATTCCTAACGTCTACCAAGCTGTGGACCTGGAAAATCTCCAAAGCCCAAATACATATTTGGGCTTTGGAGATTTTAAAATCAACAGACTGAAACCAAAAAGCGATTAAGCTTCACCCCTTTTTAATTGTGGACAATGGTTCTCGACCCGAACGAGTATTCTTAATGTAATAATTAAAGTTTAACTAATTTACAAGTAAGTACAGCGTAGCGTAATCAATTTCGCTAATACTTCAACAAAATTCGATTAAAACTGGTTAAATAACTTGGTTAAATAAAACTACCTTAAGGTTTAATTTACCATCTTCTTTAGCAATGATTACGATCCGACTCAATGAAGACAAGTAAATGATTTTAACAAGTACAAGAAAAACTAATATTTTGTTCTGTGGATCGGCCTTACGTATAACTCCTTCTTAGGTACGCATAACAGAGCCTAATCTATGGTTAGATCGTAGAATATCACGCCTACTTAATAACCGTTACATTCAAAATTGCACAAGAACTATTAACAATAATAATGCAACGTCTTTAAGCATACTTAGCAATAATTTTCAAATAAGTACCTATAACTAATATATATCGCGTTTTAAACCGTTAAAGTGTTTTATTTAAATGTGTACTACCTACTCGTGTAAACAACAGACAGTATTAAAATTCGTTTTGTTTGAATTTTGTAAAGTATAGAATAAACAAAAAGGGATAGATTTACTACTGAGTACTTATTTTGTACTATATAAAAACGCATTCCTCTAGCCAATGGGCCACGTACCCATGGGTTTCACTGTTGGCTGACCACGACCATTGAAATAAAAATAAAACCGGTTCTCCCGCCCTTTGCCCAAACTCACCGCGACAACCAGGTTGAAGAAAAACAGCACATATTTCACAAAACTTGTTCCACACCCCATTTTGAACGCACTTCTATCACAGAACTACACAAGTTAAGGTCACACACAATTCTGTTTAAGAAAGCAGGAGTAATCCAATGCTAACTGCTCGAAGTACAAAAGGCAACTAAATGTCAAATGAAAATAAACCTACCAGTCGAGTGTTACCAGTGTACAGTACTTTAAATTGACAAAGCATTTCGCCGCGGTTAATATTACTTTTCAAATTATTGCTGCCTTAAGCCAACCGTTTTTTAAGTTTTAGCTGATTTTTTCACAACAAATTAAAATTGCCGAATTATCAGGATTTAGATGAAGTATAATTGAGATATTCGAGTTACTTTTTAGATGTATTATCTAGGATGATAAAGTTTGAGAAGTGATCGAAATATTTTTAAATACTAAAATTATATTATTAAAATTTAATAATTTATCATAAGTCTACATACAGACACTTTAATAAAAAGTAACACTTTACTAAACATAAGACACTCACGAAATAAATATTTGTCTTGCAGAAATTTTAGCATGAAACAGCAAAAAATTAAATATGGCTACACCGAGAATGTGAGAGATCGCGATGGCGACGGCGTCCTCCCTGCGACCCCGCGTGCTTACTCATGAATCGTGACCCCTCATTCAATCTATTATCTCACTTGCACTTACGGTTAAAGGGCAGCCTTATTTTATCATCTGTCTTATTTTATCATCTCATCTCCGTCTAGGACTATACAAAGGAATTTTTATCCAAAATGCAAAAGCTACAATAAATAAACAACTATTAATACCGGTTATTAGTATTAATTATGGATTTATTTTTAATAGTATTTACAAAGGCTAGTATCTACTTAGTTTACCATAGAATAGACCGAAAAACAATAAAAAGTATTTTTAAGCCCTTATAGATATCGTGTTAAATGCTCTTTTGTAATAAAATTAATTATTGTTAGTAGCTAAGGGCGCGCCGCGAGGTACATATTTCGGTTCGTGAAACGTCGTGTTTTTACTTGTATATATATTTAAGTGCCTACATTCCTTTGGTTAGTGGTAACTATGACTGTGCTCTCTATAATGTTACAAGGTTATCGTTAGCGACTTCTTAACGAAGCGTACACAAGTGTAATATTATGTAATCTGGTAGCACTAAAACGTTTAGTAAAAAAAAATATGATACTTCGCCAAACCTCCTCCTACTTTTTATAAATTTAACTACCTATTAGGTACCTACGACGTCGGCCGCTCCATTGTTCTTGCAAGTGAATCTTTAGAGATAGAAATATACTGTAGCAGACATTTTCAGACAGTTTAAAGTGGAATCATTCTTTCAATCACATTTTTTTTGGGTACCTTGTACCAGTCCCGCGGCGTACGCAACGGGTAAAATTGAAAATGTTTCCTCGTTTTTCCATATTTCATGCTGTTTCTCCGTTTCTATTGGTCGCAGCGTGATGTTTTATAGCCTTAAGCTTTCATCGATAAACATTGTAACCAACACAAACAGAACTCATTTCGATTCGAACCAGTAGTTTCTGAGATTCACGAGTTCAAACAAATTCTTCAGCTTCATAATATTAGTATAAATATTCTTAGCTACCTACACGAACAAATGATTAGATTTGATTAATCTTCGTTGAAACTTAAAATATTAGTTGATATATCTAACTAATTAAATAAAACTAAATATCAAACCTTCATTTACCTTATATGTACCTAGTTAGACTTTCAAAACACTCTTATTTCACTTTCTACCTAGTAAAAACTTGGATTGATAATCGATACCATAAAACCGACTCGATTTCACCTAGAAAGTTTAATGTAAGTATTACCTGAGGACATACGGACACTTTGAGTACATATATTGAATAATAATGCCTGGATATCATCATACACTACTAAATTATACTATTTTAGCATCTATGTATTGTATGAAAACAATTCAGCGATTGGGAACTCACTGAAAAACAGCGCTGTGTGTGTGTATCCTTCGTACAGCATTCAGCTGAGTTTAAATCCCACTTTTGTGGCAATCAAATAATTCGATAATTACACCATTATTACCCTTTAAATAACTATCTATAGATAAATAAAAACGTATATTTATGAAATGTTTTCCCAAAACTTGACCACCATTCTAGATACGGTACAAAATCCCGCTTACCCTAGGTGGCATATGGGGAAGACATATTATGTCGATCTGTTAGTGATCGTTTAGTTTGACTTCTAGTCTACCGAGTGGCCTCGTTCTATCTGAGATTCGAACCCAGACCCTCTTGCGTTGTAAGTACATGTTTTGATCAGATATAATATTTTTAATTATATCTATGGCTCAATCCATAGATATAATTAAAAATATTATATCTGAGTCAAAAAAACTTCGTATTTAGTACCAACCTAAAGCTTACATCTTGATCCTGAAAAATTAAATTTGAGAAGAACTGATATTTTTATGCAAAAAGAAAACAAAGTTTCCGTTGATATATGATCTTCTTTATTATTCCTAAATAAAAACATCAAAATGTTGTAACACAGCACACAACCACGATACAGTTTATCACTAATTTCTACTAATTAAAAAACTATAAAAACGTATTCGATAAGTCTTCAAAACTTCCACAGTACATCGCTTATAACAAATGCTTCAAATGTAAAAAGTATCAATAGATTGAAAAATTTCGACAATGACGTCTTGGACACAGTAGCCCAATTGGTTACAACAACAGCACGGAAAGCTTTGGATGCCGGTTCGACTCCTGCCCGTGTCGTAAAATGTTTTCAAAATAAAATCGATTTTTATTCGTTTCAAATGTTATGTACTGTCAGAACATTATATAAATCCTTATTTTAACTGTCAAGGGCGTAATCAGAAATATACTCAGGGTTAACTACTTCCATTTATTTCGTAATTACTCCTTAGTTAATTAGCCAATTGAAGGAAAAATAAACTACGTTATTTCCAAAAACATTTAAAATGTAGAACGTAACCTATTTGTTATAGGTACTACATTTACACACACACACCTACTGAAGTTTCAGTAATACATAAATAAACGGACGAAACCTTATTGTCAACAACAGTCGTTATAAAAAATTTAACCGTTTGAAACGCCAAATATATTTATAATTTTAAACCCTCACAAGTGTTTTATTGTATGTGTACTACTGTAAACTTACTGTTAAGACAATGGTGGTCAAAATTCCTATCAGTCAAAGGAGATAAGCCTCATTTTAGTGAAATGAACGAAACGACAGACTTTTTTGTTTTTTTTTTGTTACTGATGGTGTGAATGCCTAAAGTAAGCCCACGTCGGGCAATAGAGATGTGGGAAGTGTGGTAAATCGTGCTACAACCTCCTCGGAGACCAGAACCAGTTAACACACTCCACCATCCCGCTACGGTGCTTCCAAGGGAGCCTTGGGAACACGTTTGTATAACTCCAAAATTCCCAATAGAAAAGAAAGAGCCTAGATCACAAAATTGTCACTACTTTGCGTTGCTATTACAAAAACATTAATAGCAATGCAAGCTAAATTAAGTACCTAATTTGTTCAATTATGCAAAACTTCATACACAACGATTCCCTTAATATTTTGGCAAAGTTTGAGCTGGTGCGGTAGGAGATGCTAAGAGCGAATCATCTGCTGCTGCAAATGTGGACTCCCTTGCGATCGTAGAGTTTCGTATTGACGCACGTCTTTTCTCCCGGATGGCGTGGGCCAGGAAAAATGTACAGAAGATACCGGTGCTCTAGAAAAAAAGCAAATTAAAATGTTTATATTTCGAATTTTAAATTAAATTAAAAAATTTAATACCGTTGGACCTAGTTATGACGTCATTAGGTTACAAAGCTCAAAAAGGTTATATGAAAATATTTAAAAATAAAGTCATCCCTTTTAAAAATAAGTGTAGTATATTTGTTTTCCAACATGAAAACAATACAAGTTATTTTAAATAAAACACTTTAACAGCTTAAATCGCGGTATATTTGGAAATACACGAAGACTCTTCGTGACCATGGGGGCTGCAAAGCATCCGCAACGTCGGGCCTTAGTTAGAACAATTCCCAAATAAGTTTAAACTGCAGACAGTATTTAATTTATACTAGCAAACCTTAAATATATACTAAGCCAATATAGGCCGACCGCGCATCTTGCCGATAAAGTCAAGTAAACTCGATGATATAGTTGATGAGGATGCAACTCAAAGAGCGTCAAACCTAACCTTGTTTTTTAATGAATCACGAAATCAGTGAACGGAAAATCCGCCATCATAATAATCACGTCACCAGAGCTACTACGAATCGCTCATTTCAATGACTTAGTGCAAATTGTGTCACAATATTAATTGTCTAAGATATTCCACTTATTTTGTTACCTGGTACAACGGTTATGTTTTAACAGATGTGTATTAAATATGTAAAACCTGTGTGTAAAATAAATAAATAAATGTCCAACATGTACTCAAATGTGGTCGTGGGTTTGAAACCCGGCAATAATAATATTAAGTTGCGGCCGGATAAGGTGCAGAAGTCTGAACTAACTACTGTCTGTAGTTTACGCAAGTACACATTTAAATAAAACACTGTAACGGTTTGACGCGCGATATATATTAGTTAAAGTTATTTCAAAATATTTAAACAACGGCACGACGTTTCGAATGCTTTGAAATTCAAATAAGTTTATATAATATATTGCGTTTTATATCGTTAAAGTGTTATATATAAATCTGATCAACTAATTACAAATTTGATATTACACATGGGATAAATTCGTCCGAGTCACGAACCACCATGCACTACTGCAGAAGCCTTGGAGTGTGCAGTTAGGTTTCAGACTGTGGATTTACGAATGCCCAAAGCCAATGGTGCATAGTGCATGTTGTTTAGATGCACAATGGCTGGGGTATTCAATTTTCTGTCAAGTGCCGTCTGTCCTTTGGCCAAAAATGTGATTGGTATTTCTGGTGTATTTCGATTTCGACTTACATGGTGTGCCACAAGAGGCATGTAGCCGCAAAATATGATACTAGAGTACTTCAGTGGCCGAAGCGAAGTCAATAATAAGACAATAATGAAGTTAAGTAAGATGTAGCAACGACGGCGTAGGTCAATCCATGTCAATCTTTTAACTCTCAACTAACGAGCTTCGTAATCGTTTTAAACTTCTCCATGGCTCCAGATGATATGAATTTATAACCTATCAGTGACTTCGTCCGCGTGGAAAAGTTATTTAGGTATATTTTCATTATTATAAAGTTAAGCTGTTACCCACGAAGTCGGTTGCAGCCCATCGTTATTGCAAGTCAATCTTAAAAAATTGGCTTATAGTGACGCTGACATTTTTTAGATCTTTTAAAGAGGATTCATTCCTTTCTGCATATTTTTTTGATAAATTGAACCGTTTACGCAGCGGACGCATCGAAAACCTGCAGAGATGAATAATTTTCCCCGTTTTTTTTTTTAAATTTCCCATTTTCTCTTCACTCCTATTAGTCATAGCGATAAATGCTCTAACGGGCACAAAAAGAATTTTTCAATTTGAACCCGTAATTCCTGACATTAGCGCATTCAAACAAACAAACTCTTCAGCTTTATATATTAGTATGCATAGATAATAAGACGCAAGTCTATAAAGGGGGGGGGGGGGGGGGGGGGGGGGGGGGGAAAGTCTATAAAGATTAATTAGAACTGCAAGGAAGTGTTTCTTCGTACTTGGCATTACGTTAAGTAGATTGTAAACCGGCATGGTCTGACGCTTCTAAGAGGCCATTGTTCCAATGAGAGCTGATGAGTCACTTTGCTGTATGCTATAAAGTTACTATCTATATTACTATTATAAAGTTGAAAGGTTCGTAAGTTGAAACGCGCTAATAGCTGTAACTACTGGTTCGAATAGAAAAAATATTTTGGGTTAGTTAGATAATATATCGAAGAAGGCTTTAGGCTATTATAAAACACCACACTGTGACTATGCTGCGAAGAAACAGTGAAAAAAATGGGGAAGATTGATCTGTGGGGGTTTAATAATTTAACGTAGCTTTGTAATGGCACGATGGACTTAAAAATGAACTACAGCCTAGTCAACTGTACGATTTAGCTTTATTCTCAGCAGCTTACAAAGAGACCAACAAGGAAATTTAACTATTGAGATTTGAGAGAATCAAGTGGCCTTTAACTAGATCTTCCGGGCGAATAATACAAATGGAAGTTTTTAGCTAATTACACAAAAAATAAATGTTTAAAACAATAGAAAAACCCAAGCAATGAAAACAATAATTTGATTGTTATCTCTGTTTCGATTTACTGTTACTCTGTTGATTGTTATTCTAATTACCACAATATTGTTTAAGCCAGAATATTGTCGGGCTTGTTGGGATAATGTTAGTAATGTATGGGTAATAATCGACGGGTCGTGGTGGATGTTTATAATCAATTTATCTGAGAAATGTTAGACTTCGTCTAGATATCTGAATATTAAGTGGTAGGAATATCGAAGTTCCGTCCAAGTCACGAATCCCGGTCCACAGATAAAGCCCTTCAGTTTTATTACGCTCTGGTTTCAGTTTGTGGATTTCTCAATATCGTCTGTACCCCTCTATCATAAAAAAAAACAAGTTCATGTGTATCTTGGTAACCAATTAGTTAATACATATTCTTATGTATTACTTTTTTCATCTTTGAAGAATTTAAAATGTCAATTCAATTGTCAATGTCAAAATTAAAATGTGAAATTATTATTTTTTGACATTATGAAAGTTCGTATCATATTTTAACTGCTCATAACATATATCTAGCGATCCTAATATGACCTCGTTTCCCCTGCGGAGGAGAACTCTTCAATTTAACCATATCACTGATATCTATTCGCCCGCTCTTCTCCCATACGTGCGAGGGAGATACAACGTGTAATCACGGAGGTTAATTTGCTCCCACGCAGGTGGCTCGCTAGCAAATACCTAATGATCATTGAGGCACATCCTCATATCATGTGATTATTGTTTTAATATAGCGGGGCACTTTTATGCCTTACACCAGATACATACATACTCCAAAGCTTCAGTACCAAATTTAGTGTTCACTATTTAAATTTTATATTAACATTGTAAAATGATGTTTTCCCTTGTTTTTAGTAACAAGAAACGCAATAGATATAAGTAAACTGTATGACTGTAATATATAAGAAGCAATAGTATGAAGTATTTCGACGACATTTGATTATTATAAAAACGACTCTCTGAGTAATTTTTAATAGAGAAATATACTGTACATTTTTAAGACAAATATTTTAAAATGTTTTCCCACATTTTATATTGTTTCTTAGCGCTTATTGGCCACAGCCCGATGTTTCCACGACAAATCCTTCAAGCGATACAAAAATATTTTTTCAATTCGAACCAGTAAGTAGTTCCTTAGAATATTGCGCACAAATAAACTAACTCTTCGGCTTCATAAAATTAAAATAAATAAAGCATAGGTAGGATGACATAGAAGAAGATCAGAGAGTAAATATTGGTTACTTCATGTCATCCTTTAGGTGTTTAATTGTAATTGATGTTAATTAGAAAAGTGTGGAGTTAAAAGACTCTAGTAAGATACAAAAAATATTGGTATTTATTAGTCGCAATTTCAAACTAATTGTATAAAGGATGATTCCTCTGTAATGATTTAAAAAATGCCGAGGCAGTATTGTCTATCTTTGTAAAATTAACTTGTAAGAAAGGATGAAGCCCTTCTGGGCAGCTTAAATGATTTTAAAAATATGATGAGGGCACGCGCACTATATCTACGTCTATCAATTGTAAACAGCTTAACTTACATAGGACTACTTAAAGGTAATGGCCCATTTAACAACTTGTGATTTGTGAGCTTATTTTAACTTTTAATTAGGAATTACCCCACTTCTGTCTTAAAATTTCTAACACGCATTTAACATCCAGGTCTTCAAGACCGTATTCAAACGTTCAAATGAAAACAATGTAGCCGCTAGACCTTGAATTACGTAAGAGAATAATCACAAGATGGCTCAAAGGCGTAGCTGAATAAGGAGCAGTGAGGTCATTATGTACTATTAGATCTGTCATTCTTTGCCCTAACAGCTTGCGTCAGCACAATTTGAGGAAGTCTCGACACATTGATGATTGAATGTCGGTGTTGGACATTTTCGTTCCTCTTCTCTGTTTAATAATACTATCTTGACATTTGTTTTGAAATCTTAGGTATACGTATATGGGATAAAACAAATCTTAAATATACAGTACTATCAGTCGTTTAGTCATATAACGAAAATATTAAATATGTAATTTACTATAACTATGTATGTATTAAGTACCTATATAAATATACTAGATGAGCCAACGACTTCGTTCGCGTATAATAGTTATTTTGGATATGCAAATTCGTTTTTACCAACGACGTCGGTCGCATTCCTTCCCGTCGTTCTTGCAAGATAATCTTGAGAGATAGACATATACCGCCATAGACTTTTATAGATCATTTCAAGAGGAATCATTTTTCAATATTTTTTGCAGCGTACGCCCCAGAGGAAACCCATAATGCGAATGAATAATTTTCCCAATTTTCTTCACATATCTCGCTGTATCTTCGCTTGTATTAGTCACAGGGCGATCTTTATAGCCTATAGCCTTCCTCGATAAATATTCAAACAAACAAACTCTTCAGCTTTATATATTAGTATAGATGTAAGTACCTATATTTTTATAAAGATAATTATTGTCTTAAATTTGATTTAATATTTTGTTTAAAGTGCCCGAATCGTGGTCGTGCTGAAATATAATAAAAACGTTCTGGTTTGAAACCGTTAAAAGTGTTTCATTTTATGATGGACGAGTTATTAAAAGATAAAAGGAGACTAAGTAACTGCTGACTTTTGTTTCTGACGTTTTACTATAAAAAATATATTCTTATTTAGCTAGCATTCGTAAGAAGTAAATTATACATATCATTAAAACATTAAACACATAATTGAAACTCGATAACCCGATATACGATGAATACTTCGTAGAGTTGTAAAAGTCAAGAACGTGTAAACATCAATAAATTTCTTAAAAAAAATAAATCTTGCATAAATCAAGTGATAATTATCTCAACTATTCACACAATACACATAGGTACATTGTCTTATCTTTGTATAACACTGTGTTATTAATGAGAACATAAAGTTATAAAATACGTACTTTGGTCTTTGATGACAAGTCTTTTCTAAATTAAAATAAATAATTTGAAAAATGTTATACTGGTAACAGTACAAATATTTTAAAGAAATCGTAATACCTATTATTGGACAGTCTTCACAAAGGATATAGTCTTACCGTACTTTTCATAGAAATGTAATGATAATGAGAAAAATTTACAGAATAGAAAAATTATGTATTAACTTCGTGAAAAAACTATAAAACTGCAATCTAAATTAAATAGCTTTTTCTCTTTACATATGACACTGAAGAGTTTTTTACATTCTTTGTTTGTTTAAACGCGCTAATCTCAGGGACTACTGGTTCGAATTGAAAAAATTGTTTTGTCTTTATTAGAGCGTTTATTTAGGAAGGCTTTACGCTCTATAACATCACGATGCAACAAATAGGAGCGAAAGTATAGTGGAAAATGTGGAAGAAACGGGGAAAATTATTCACCTTTAAACTATTCAAGATAATTTAAATAAAACACTTTAACGGTTTAAAACGTGATATATTAGTTAAACTTATTTGGAAATGATTTTTAACTTGGGCCCGACGTATAGGATGCTTTGCAGCAGCCGTGGTCATGGGGGGACGGTCTCCCCGTGACCACGACTACCATTTCCAAATAACTTTAACTAATATATCGCGTTTTAAACCGTTAAAGTGTTTTATTTTAATGTGTACTACTCGCGTAAACTATAGACAGTATTTTATTAAAGATAACCAAAAACTATGTGTCAAAGAATGATTCCTCTTTAAATGATCTAAGAAAATGCCTGCGACAGTATATGTACTATCTTTTAAGAACTAAGGGAAGAGCCCGACATCGTGGGTAACAACTAAAATTTTTAAAGATGAGGAAAGGTTAGCAAAAAACAAATTTTACGCCCAAATTAACTATTCTACGCAAACGAATTCGCCGGCACAGCTATTCATAAATATGGCCCAGGTCAGTTTTGCATGTACTCTACATTTCTACAGAGGTGCGTGTGTACTAAAACTAATTTATAAACAATGGTTACAATGAAAACATTGTTACAAATAATGGTTCTTTATGTCACCATGTTTAGTAAAGAACTTCTATGACTACTTTGTAGTTGGTTACAATCAGAAGGGCACAAAGACGTTAAGTTTGAAACAGTGCTATTGTATTTTATTTAACAACACTTGATTCTTTAAAGTTATTAGAAAACGTATACATTTTTAACGTCAATGAGCTGATCGATCTTTAAGTAATTTGTTTCGGTTTAATGTAATGATCGATGATGATGACATACGATGATGAAGTTTGTTGCTTATTTTTTTTATGATAGAGAAAGACAAACAGCCATAGTGTTTACTTGATAGAGGTGAAATACCACTGCCACAACAACATGCAGTGTGTCGACATTATTTTATTTTGGTTTCGGATATTCGGAAATCCAGAGACTAAACGCGATTAAACTTCACGGCTTTTTATCGGATGATGGTTCGGGACTCGGTTGGAATTTTGATATTCCTACGGCCCATTTAATATCTGGATTTCCAGACGTTGTCCAATGTGTATCAAAAACAATATAATTTTTCAAAACAGTTGGACCCTAACGATGCTACATGAGACCAACGGGCCCGTCTAAATAATATCCTACGTTATATGAAGCAGCCGTCGAACAATAGGTTTATTTTTTTCAATGAATACATGTTTTTTTTTCGATTTATTATACAAATACGCCATAATACGGCTGGTTACTATTTACCCGTAATTATTATCCATTATTATGAGTATCATCGCATGTTTGAAATTGCAATGACGTGAGTGTGGCTTTTAATTGTTTTATACGCGACTAATCGATTACTTGTACGGGTGTTCAAGGTGAATAACCATTATTTGTGGCTTTTACCCGACGGAAGCGAAAATATGGAGGATAATGATATTGTCAGTCCATTCTAGCCGTCAAATCTCAAGTAACAATAGCGCGAGCAACAGACTATATAAATTATCTTTTGACATGTGAATTTCCACAGGTATAAAATTAAGTTGTTATTTTTGTTTATCGGAATGATGCCCTTCCTTGACAGCACATAATTAAAGTTTTTGATCCGATTCTAGCATTAAAGAAAATACCGTCTACAGTTTACGCGAGTAGTACACATTTAAATAAAACACTTTAACAGGGTTTAAACACGCGATCCCAATATTAGTTAAACTTATCTGAAAATGCGGGGGCCTGCGTGGGAAAAGGGGGAAGGGGGGGGGGGGGGGGGGAAAATGGGGGGGGGGGAAAGGGCCCCGGGGCAAAAAAGAAAAAGGGGAAAAAATTTTTTTGGGGTGGGGGGGGGGGGTTTTGGGAAAAACAAAAAGAAAAAAAAAAGTGCAAGTGTTGAGATGTTATATTTTTCGTCTAACTTACGGCCCGAATTCGTTATCGGATTCAGATTAAAGTTATGCTAGACAGCCAGTGTGTCAAACTACAGAAGAGAGACTAACGAATGTACTATGTCGCGTAAACTATAGACAGTATTTCCTGAAATAAAAAAAAACCTGGCCGAAACGAAAGAGTAGGCAAGTTTTTTTTGAAAAATTAAAGGCGAAAACCGTGACTGAACGAAGTCAGAATTTTATCTACATACGTAAAGCTCGTTTAAAAAGTTAATATATAGGTTTTCAATTCATTATCGGCATACATGAGCAAAGCAAGCAATGTTCCCAAGCATTGGTGGAACTATAAAATTGTAGGGATTTAAACTCTTCTCTTGATACTTTATACAAGAGAAGAGTTTGGAAGAACTGGATGCCTACTGACCTGAATTGTTGACGCTATGAGAGCTAACATAGCCACCAACAATAACTGCTGTTTCGTATATTCATGGAGAAGGTTTCCACAACCACGCTGGTACAGCGTCGTACAGTCTGACGTGTAAGGCTTATGGATGGAGTCTAGGGGACCCTGCCCACAGCAGGAGAACGGAACGTGGCCAGTAGAACTGTAGTCTCCTGGGCCACTTACACCGCAGCATTCAAACTGAAAAGATATTGTGACATATTTTGATTATATCAATTAAATAAAACGGAGATCACAAAATTCAAACTATCCTAAATTCGTTTAGTAGTACGATTTTGATCGCGTTTCGACCCGTTTAAAATAGTATTGTTTTTTAAGTGTACTGCGGAATATCATGACGTTCGTCCAACTCTAGCCTCTAGAGATGGACGAACGATGAACTTAAGTGTTTAGACAATTAACTATCTTAAATACCGTCTATAGTCTACGCGAGTAGTACACATTTAAATAAAACACTCTAACGGTTTAAAACGCGATATATTAGTTCAACTTATTTGGAAATGATTTTTAACTTCGGCCCGACGTTTCGGATGCTTTGCAAAGCAGCCGGAGACTGGTCTCCGTTCCAAACGTTAGTGTTTTATTCAAATTAACTATTTTCTCGTAGATAATATATACTATTTGTTTTGGGCTTCCTAAACACCTACAAAAAATAATTGGGAAACAACAGAACAACAAAAACAGTGTCATTACAGCAACAGAATTTCATATTATCAGCTCCAGAGAAGGTTTTTTGACATGATCAATGTTTAATGACAATATGACTATAGGACAAAATATAAGTAGACATAACTGACCAGCGTACTAATTGTGCTTTAATTAGAACACTCATTTTCAATTGAATAATAACCCCCAAGTTTCAACTCCCAAGAGTAGATATTCATCTAATCATTATTAGCAACATGATAAAAAATGTCCTCTAATTCAATACTAGCAAAGTAAAAGAATTTTATTTGTTATTTGTTTATTTGAAAGATAAATCGACCGACAGTTTAGCTTTCATTTGATTGAACATTTGACTAGAAAAATGTATTAAGTTACCTTTACGTGTAGCCTATCCCATCGTATAGCGTCAGGATTAGTATCTTTCGTGCTGGTATCCAAAAAGTAAGCGGTCATCGTAGTCTTGATGTCAATCTCGATGTTATCCCACACTACCATTGCCCAAACGAAGCAGACAAACTCTATGACGACCACGACTAATATTAATATCCCAGCCTGGAATACCAAAAAGGTATACATTAAAAATAGTAATTGGTATATAATAATTTAGTTACTTATCGCAGAATAAAGCAATATACTGCATATGATAATTATAATGCAATTCCGCGAATTTTCAAATTAGACTAATTACTTGCCATGATATCCTACATGTTTATTTGTAATATATCTAGAATCAGATCTTAATATGATCTAACATTACCATTATAACGTGAATTTGGTGCATAGACTTTGCTGTCCTCCATCCAATCCACGCAATAGAGCAGGTAATAATTGCCATCATCAGAAGTAGTATCGCTGGATACTCCACATTCACACCGATAAAATGACGGTAGATAAATAAACGGTATAAAAGAAAACCGCTCGCGCCGAAAAGTACCACTGCTGACATCTGTGGATAAGTTTGAAAATTATGTATTAAGCGAAAGCATGCTTGACAGCTGTCAAATTCGAATATGACAGTACAACGAAAATAAAAAGTGCATCTACTTGACGCAGTTCAAAGAAACTAGCGCCATTGTGTGAGAAGATTGTGGTAATCAGGTCAATTGAATTCAGCCGGATTATCATGCACTATTTGTAAACGATGAACTACGATAGTTACTGTAATTCTACAAGCGTAAAAAATATTTTTATAAATTAAAATAGCCTTCATCTCGCATAAATGTATAAAAAAATCACTTTCCGCGCTTTATCGATGAGTGATTCGCGTTGTTATGACAACGGAGCTGAATAATAACGGGATTAAGTAAACAAAAGAACTAAATCACGGCATAAAATACTCACTGCGAATAAAACATTGAATGTCAGCACTAGATATTTCCAACAATTTGAGGATAGAGCCATTGTTGAACGCAGTTACATGTCCGAGATGTTATAACTTGTTTGAAACTCGAAACAAAAGCACGATCGTTCCACCTCAAGGAGTACTCAATGTTTGTATGTTGCTTCGCCCGCGTAGCTCACAACTGACCGAGCGATGTACAAAATTAAACACCGCGGTTGCAATAAAATAGCAGACAAAAATTTAATTCATCGAGAAATATAAACATTTTCGTGGAAAGAGAGTGCTGCGTTTGTTTCTTATCGTCTTATCACATTCACGTCGATAAACAAGTACGCCGTTTTCGTAATCTAACCTAGTTTTAACGACGGCTAAAGATTTAATTTTCTTACTCCGGTTGTAGTATAAATAGCTAGCGACATTTTCTATTTTTAACGCTCTTGAGCTTTCGAGTTACATGTTGTCTACCTCTGCAAATATTTATTATGTAGGTATAGACCCTATAAAAATAATACAATACTGTATTTTCCTTTTATACACATAGTTAATTTATTATTCATTTCTTATTTATCAAACATCAGTGCCACATCGTTATAGAATTACAATTCCAACATGATAGTGAGTTATAATATTTAACAATATTTTTATTTCAAATAGTAAATATAAATTATGAATGTAAATTCTTTCCCTTCCCTTTCAACTATGCTACGTATAGAATTACCGATTTTGTAGGTCATAGGAAGTAAAAACTTTAATCGGTTCCTCTATTACAGATGTTACATCATTGTTTCCACTCAGAAAATAAACGATAATCGGACATTTATTTTATAAACGGTAATTAGATTCATTTAATATATATTTAAGAAACACAACAATAGGTACTCGAAAAAAAATCGCCAAGTAATTTTAAGTTTACGTGAGATTTATTTAAAATAGAAAAACGGCAAAGCTCACTGCATTCATTGTATGTAGGTAAGTATCCTAAGTCCATAATTGCTTATTTACAATATCCATCATTTTAATTGGTATTTGCCACATTTTTTAAACTTCATAAAGTTAAACATGGCCTTTTCTATTCGATTACGTATAGGTGCCTACGTTAAAGATTATGTTGTACGTATATAATATCCTTGGTGTACACATGGGAATACACTGCATACTGCATAATATTTACTTGTACCTGATATGAAGACAAATAATCTCAAACAGTATCTGAAACAAAGCTTCTTTCTCATAATATCGGTATTTTTTAGAGGAATTTAATAATTAAGATGCGCCTAAGTCGATTCACATTCTGAAAACGAATTTCAGCTTGAATATCAGAGTTCCAAAATACCCATTTTCATATGTATCACAGCTGCTAAACAAGCCAGTTGGGTTAAAGAGAAATCATAACATCGTCGTAAGTAAATGTGGTCACACGCGGAAAAGTAAAATGAAAAAAAAAGCAACAAACTTAATAGTATGTCGCGCCGTCACTAAAGCGTACCTGTTTAAATACACGTAATATTAAATATATACATTATATATCCATCTAAAGGGTAGTCGAGTAATAAAATAGAAGCGTGTGTTTTTAGGGCATTTTAATTTACGTTATAAATACTTGATTGGTTAGTAGTAACGAGAGTATTATGGTATAACTGAAAGTTATCGAACTGTATCAATTTATGAAACCAAAATCAACCAAACTTTGCCGTTTAGAATTAATAATATTCACACAAACATAAATCCTTGACAAGCATCTCTGGCAAACCTTCTAAGCGCACTATTTTCATCGCTTTCTTCACGTCATCTTTAATATCTGGGCTGACTGGCCCAGCTTGCTTTGCTGTACGGAGCATGGTTCTAGCTTTATCTAAATTTCTCTCCTTCATTGCTAGAAGAGCTAAAACAGCCCACCCATCAGCTAACAAGGGTTCTGTATTAACTGCAGCTGCGACCCATCGCTCAGCTAGGCTCTCCTTTCCAATATTCATATAAATACGGCCAATAGCTAACGCTGAATATGCTGAGGGAGCCAATTTGTGCGCACGTGCCGCCCGCTGTAATGCCGCTTCAGGATCAGTCTTAATTCCACCTAAAGCTGCACGCAACAGCAACGAAGGTGGTATTTCAGCACCAGCGCGGTCTGCTTCAGCCAAACTATCCTCACAGTCACCATCCCAACCTCGAGCGTACATCAAACATGTTGCACGCATTTGTGACATCATAGACGATGGTCCAAACTTTTTTATCCCGTTTTCCGTCACTTCCAAAGCGTTATCGACTTTCCTTTTCAGCAAGAAAGCAGCAGCTTGAACGTAATAACTATCTTCTTTTATCACCGTCTTCAAGTTTAAACGAGATCCACGTACAGCGCACCCTTTCTGGGCGCATTGTAATAGCATTTCGCTAAACCGGTAACACCGTAAACACAGAAAGAAAGCTGATGCTATAAGCAGTGGGTTACTTATATCGATCACGTTCGGTAGCCAAAGAGCTTCTTCTTCACCGCTTGTTTCAACCCATCTTTGGAGAAACTTTTTCCACTCTCGCGGCAATTCATAGGCTTTACGCATTTTTTTAGCAGCGATAAAAGCTGCGTAACCATTTTTATTGTAATGATAAAACGCGTGCAATGCTGCCCAGCTGATAGCATTTGTGACACCGTCACTAACATCACCCTTAGCTGCTATGCGTAGTGCTGCATGTGCTTCTTCAGTGTGGTCACCTTTTTTTGACATAATTCATAGCGCCAAGAGTCCATAGCAAAAATCTGTTTCTGGGTTGAAAGCTGAGCGCTTTCATGAGATAATCGTGAGCATCGGTTTCATTGTCATTTTCAAGACAACGTAAAGCCTTACACAGCAGTGGTCTCGGGTGCTTCTGCAAGGCCTTTAGATTTTTTTCTACGTGTTCATTAGCGATTCTTGTGTCACACGCTATGCGACTCCTTGCGGCCGCGACTCGAGATGTAGGCCGAGGGAGGGGTGGTTGTGGAGCAAAAGATGAAGTTACAGCACGTCGACAAGCAACATGTTGAGCAGTTATAGTATCCTGCAAATAAATGTTCGAACAATCGCCTGGTGAAAATTGTTTAAGCATCGACCTCGTGCGATACAATAAACGGTTAGCTGCTGTTCGTTTTATGCTTTGGTTCATTTGTATTGTGCCTTTACAAGACAATCCACATAATTCTTTGTGCACCGCTAGTGCGCCACCTTCCTTTCTAATTTTTTTAACATCTATGGTAGGATCTTCAACTGCAGGCTCGGCTCGCAACTCATCGACAGGCCCTGTAGGCCCTTCAGGCACGGGAAAGCCTAATGTTTCGTAAAGTGTGGCAATTTTTCGTTTAGGAACCAAACATTCACTTAAATCAAATCTTACAACAATATACGCGGTGTGGCCAAAGTCATCGGTCACCATGTCAGATTCCCTAACACTAATTTTAGCACTAGTCGGTGGCAACTCCAGTAGTGGTCCCACATGTTCTGGTAAGTCATTTTCGCTGAAGTATGCTAAGTTAGCACACGTAGTAACACCGTACTGACCAGGTTCAAGCAAAACACCGACATCCACAAACGTCATGTATCGACCCCTTACGTCAATCTTGCCTTGCTTTGGAACACCAGCTATTTCTATTAAAAAAGAGCCATTTTCTAATCGTTCTCGTAAGGCGATTGGATCAACAAGAACTCGTTTCATGGAATTCCAATAGACACAAGTACACGCTTCACCATTCTTAGGATCGCAATCCTCAGGTATGTACTTGTCTTCTTTTGGAACATTAAAATGCGTATTAGCGGCGTAAGCAGCATTACTGATAGATGACCATACAACTTTTTTAGCTGAAGATGAACTTAACGACATCCCAAAGTTTACAGCTGGAGGATTGTGTACGTCATTTAATCCTATCGCACTTAAGTAAACAGTACCTTCTCTAGCCACAGGGAGGCAGTGAGCAGAAATCATCGTCATTATCAAAGGCACTCTATTATTTTCTATTATACCATTGGTTTCGGCGTGTACGGTAACCGAGCACGTTGTTATTTCTCCAGTACTTATAACATATAAGAGAGTTTTGACCATTATTTTTTCTTCCCCTAACACTAAGGGAAATAAATCAACATTTCCACCAATACGATTATCGATATGCATCAAAGGATCAGGGTCTTTCACACCTTTTCCACCAACAGCACGTAAAAGGAAGGTCAACGGGCAAGATGCTAACAAACTTTGGTCGTTGGGTTTCTTGAGATCTAGTGGGAGGGCTTGTATAAAATGAACGACTTCATTAATCCACTTTACTTCTAATATTATTTGACCATCAAACACAACCAGAAACAACCAGTCTCCGGGTCCAGGTGTTTCGCCTTGTAATGTTAATGAAACGCTTGTTTCTCGTGGAGTAAGGTAAATACTGTCAAATTCACCGTAGACACTCGATTTATCAGTAATTGATTTTTGACTTTTAGGTGGCATTATTATAAACACGGTGTTTAAACTCAAGTGTTTATTACTGTATTAAGAAAATATTTTAGGGTTAATACCTATTAAATTAACAGCAAGACTAGACTTATGTGAAAGACTGTCTCTAAAGGGTATGTTTGCTTCAATGACACAAATATTATTTTTTTACCAATAAGTTTTAACTAGCGCTTGGACATGATTACCATTTTTAAAATGTATTTGAGTAATGTATAACTTACTATTTTTCAAACAGTTTTTAGGGGAATAAAAAGTTTGTATTGACAAAATGGGAAAGGTGGCAAAATACCAAAATATAATTTCTATGTTAAGTATACACTAAAACTAATGTTTTTTGTGTTTAGTGGAGTTTATGTAATTGCTATGCAAATTAACCATAATATCTATACTCTTTAGACAGTATAGGTATTTGCTATACTCTGTGGCTACAGATTTATTCAATAGACATAAAGAATAGAATAGTATGAATCGTGTAGCTATTTGACATTCGAGAGTTGTTCCAGAGAGTATTTTTGTTTTGATAAAGTGTTGAGTTTTTTTAATAATAATTACAAAATTTGTTAAAAATTAAAAGATAAGTAATTAAGATGAAACAAAATGTATACATTATTACATGGTTTTTATAAATACGTTGTCCAGAAGGACGAATATTGTGTTTTGATTTTAGGTCTTGATAATGCAGGGAAAACGGTATTCTTTTTATTAACACAATACGATTATGTTGTTTATTTTGTCTGTAATAAGTTTGTATGTAGTCAATCATTTATAACTAATCATCTTAATTTAAGACATATTTGGAGGCCGCTAAAACGAAATTTACTAAAAAGTATAAAGGTATGAATCCCAGTAGAATTACTACAACAGTTGGTCTTAATATAGGAAAAATAGATGTTGAAGGAATAAGACTTAATTTTTGGGACCTCGGTGGACAACAGGAATTGCAGTCTTTGTGGGATAAAGTAAGATCTCTCTTTAATACAAACAATAGAAATTACCCCATATAATTTATAATAAGTGTTTCTTATAATTTACAGTACTATGCTGAATGTCATGCTGTCATATATATAGTTGATTCTTCTGATAGAGAACGAGTATCTGAATCTAAAGAAACCTTTGGTAAGATAATCCCCATTAAAAATGTTAATATGTATATGTTTGTTGTAGGTATATTATATATGACTTATAATATAGATTTGTATTCATTGTGATCAATAAAATATTATTTACAGATCGAATGATAGCATCAGAACATTTATCTGGGGTTCCATTACTTGTGCTAGCAAATAAACAAGATATTCCAGACTGTATGGGAGTACATACAGTTAAACCTATTTTCAACCAGAATGCCCATCTCATTGGTGCCAGAGATATCATGCTTATGGCAACATCTGCTTTAACTGGGTATGTATATATATATATATTTTATAGTCTTACAAAAGTATTATCAGAAAAGGCCTATGGTCATTGTCTGCCTACATTAAGATACCAGCACCAGATATTTTTAATGTCTATTGAGGTGATAAAATAAGTATTGTATTAATACTAAATATTACAGATCAACTATTACAGATTTCTAACGTTTTTCATTTTATAACAAATCAGCATGTTTAGAGTTCTTTTCATCATTTATCTACCCGATACCCAAATGGAACTAAAGTCCCTAAGTATTGTTTGTAGTTAATCCTAGTATTATGTATTTTAATACAAAACACTTAAAACGTGAATGCGTAGTATATGCATGTTTTTAACTACCAAAATTGTAATACTGAGTAGTACAAATTTAAAAAAAGATTTAAATATATCGCATATATATATTTGTTAAAATAATCTCCCAAATAAATAAATAAATGTTAAGTGTTATAATTAAATGCCAAAAGTTTTTTTTAGTTTTTTTATAAAGTCCATCTGTCAGATTGCCATGTGGTGGTATCTTATGCACATTCTAAAGTAAAATTCTCGTAAGACAACTGATTTCTCCGGGCACTGTTACTGCAAGTACTTAAAATAAATTCAAATTTGTAACAGGTTGATCATGAAATATTGCAGTTTTATAATAATAATAAAAAAGTATAATTCCAGTAAAACATTGGTCGCCCATTTGTTTTTTTATATTTTAGGACATCTCTTTACCATTTGAAATTATAAATGCTTAAAATAATTGTGATAAATAAATATATATATGATAAATAGTTTAACAATAATCTTTGAGGCACAAGTCTCTTAGGATTGTGAGGGCCATCCTTCATGAATTATTTATATTGCAAGTTATTTTAATTACTGTTGTCTTAAGAGTGTAAATTTAAACAGATTTATTACTGTAGAAATATGAGATGGTAGGGATGGTAGATGGTATTTGACAAATAACACTGACCTTGTCTTGTTATATGGAATGGATTATTTATATTAATTTCATTGTACAACACAACCAAAGAGCTTAAGAGCATTCATAAATAATGTATTTTACGCGAGTAGTACACATTTAAATAAAACACTTTAACGATTTAAAACGCGAATAATTGTAACTACGGCTCAATGTTGCAGATGCTTTGCATAATCTGTGGTCACGGGGAGTATTCTTTCTGCTCTATATTACTGTTGCTGTGTCAGTATTGACTGTAGCTTACGCGAGTAGTTCACATAAAAAAGAAAAATAGTTTCAACGGTTTAACGCAAATTGTATTAGCTAACTTTTATCATTTTTGCAGCAGCTGTAGTTATTGGTGGATTGAAGATGTGTCCCTAATGTCAAACGGCTACGCTGCCGCCAATTTCGGGCCTTAGATGAAATTAAAAATAAGTTAACTAATATTTTTCGCGTTTTAGCCGCTATAAGTGTTTTATTTAAATAGGATAGTTATTCTTTCAGTAAAAACAATTCGTCATTAGAAACGATATTTTTTTACCCATATCTTTTTTCGTATTAGCCAATACGGGTAATTATTTCAACAATTAAGTACATTTGAAATATAAGTTTTCCTAGTATATTGTTTGTTTTTTATATAAGGCAAATACTTAGGTTACTAAACATCGCATTTAAATTAACTATATTTTAAATAGAAACTATGCTTCTAACTCGAAAAGAGTTTGTATGATCGAGAAAGACCTAAGAACCAAAACGGTGGAAAAGAACGAATTTGTTTTAGCACTAGATTATTTTTTACTTTCTAAGAGTAGTACTACTCATCGTCAAATGTTTTCGATACGACCCTATACTACAACCGTATAAATCAGATTTTATTATCTAACATTAAAACATCCCATATATTTTAATGGCCCTCTTTAAAAAAAGGAAAAAAAAAAAAAAAAAAAAATTTTTTTTTTTTTTAAATTCAAAATTAAAAAAAAAAAAAAAAAAACGGGGGAGGGGGGAAAAAAAAAAAAATTTTTGGAAAAAGGCCGGAGGAAAAAAGGGGAAAAAAGAAAAACGTAAAAACGTAAAAAATAGGTAGATTTAGGTTCTGAACTTAAAATCACATACCTACCACTTTCTATCTAAGGCGCGGTCGGAATCTTTTTTACCACCCATTTAACATCTTTCTAAACTTTCTCGGGCCCAGGTGAAGTTCAAAAAAATATTACAAGATGGAAATCCAACCCACGACCCGTTATCCCAGATTATCAGCTATACTTCAAAACCATTAGACCAACGAGTCAATTTGGCCGACGCTTTCGACTGCTCATGTCTCGTAAAATGCTCAAATATTTAATTAGCTATGGTTTTGCGAATTACGAGTGTCGCTTATCTATTTAGGTGTTAAAATAACCTTCACATTAATTTGCATGAAGGCTTTACACCTTCATTAGACTGTCACTCATTTGCAGTACCATTATTCAATCTCGTTTCGACTATAAAACACTCGCACAGTCAGATGACGTACTTGTCTTATATATTTCCATACATATGAGTTCACTGAGTTATTATTTTTCCAGTGATGGAGTGGACGAAGGTATTAGGTGGCTCGTCGACTGTATAAAGAGGAACAACGTCGATCGCCCACCGCGAAACCACGAAGACAACCTCTAGTGATTCGGTTGCGATATGTACCATATTATAATCGCCCGCAATGAATAATAATTAACTTTCCTATTAAGATAATGATGTGACGCGCTCCATTGTTTTGTACATACAGTATTGACATTCTAAAATAAAACATTAAGCATATTGTGTCTATTGCTATCCCTTTTTAGTGATAAATGTAACTTTTGATAACAGATACGTAATTACTGGATATTTGAGGAGTACCTGCACCTGATAAAACACCTCTGATAACAGTTTGCTCTGCACTGTCGCGTATTAGTGAGTACTCTTGTGAAATGTTTGTGTGAAATAGTGTAATAATTCGACGATATGGCGTATCCCATGTATGAAGTGGATTGGAGTGTACTACCACCAGATCAGAATAGAAGGTAGGTGGTAGATAGGCCTATGACAAAAGTTAAAAGGGTATTCACGATATTAAAATTCTAACTATAGCGTGGAAGTCGTAATTTTTTAACAATAGACGTAAATAATAAAGTAAATTTTGCCAAATAACTATTAAAGGTTTACGGTTTTATAAGAAACATTCAAGGAATAAGTTTTACGCCACCTATTTCCACGTAGGTGCGCTTCATCCAAAATATGTACGCAGTCATTCATTACTTTAGTCGGTATTTAGATCACAACTTCTATGTTGCCATTTTCTTTATTAGATTAGGAAAATTATCAGGTATTATCCTTTTTAAAATTTTACCAAATATATAGCTATTGTAATTTCTAATATACGTAGTAAATAGTCTGAATTTATTGCTTCCGCTTCATTTATTTGCTTATGCACAGATAATAAAAGCTAATAATAATTTGCTACACAACGTCATCTATTGAATGAACGAGTGAGAAAGAGTCATGTCATGACGTATCGGCCATGTTGAATTTCTTGCAACGCAGGAAATGTCAGCTGGCGGTTGCCGTGATAATTCATTGGAAAATCTGTGATAAAAGATTTACTCGAAGAGTTAATGTGAAACATTAAAAAAAGGCAAATACGTAAAAACAAAATAATGTTATACTAACATAAATTGAAAATATGAAATTGTTTTCTCAAAAGTGGCATGCGATTTCACTTGCATTTTTATGGTTTGTGACGAGATAAAATGCTAAAAACTCCTGTTGAGCAGTCGTAATTATTCTTTATTTTCATGTTATTATTGTTATAGTGTTGTGAAGTTTTAATATAATTCGCGAGTGTGTCATAACTTTGTCTGAAATCTCTGTATTGTGCACCTGTCGTTTGGAGGCTTTTTAAGTTGAGTGAACCAAAAGGCTATTAAAAGGAGGTTTTACCAAATAGTAAAGAACAATCCTTGCTACATTTAAAATGAACGGCTCAGAATCCGGGTAAATATTTATTTTAAATAGCTAATATTGACTTCTGTCTTGTGGTCAAGGCTTTAGAATTACTACATACAGTAACAAAAAATAACAAACTACATTAAGTTCTTGTTGCAATTGTACAGCTTATGTACATATAGCATAAACACTTATAAACATATTTTTTATTATCTACATGTTTGTTACTTGCAGACAGACTCATTTAAAGAATATGATTCTTTTATTGTGCTCAATTTTATAAATGGCAATTTATATTAACACTACTAATTTGACCCCAATCCTTATTGTAGAGGGGAGAGTAATAGATATATATTGTGGTAAACTACTTGTTAATGTCACGAAAACAAAGTAATATAATATTAACCTTGTAATATTATCCCGTTTAGTAAGTTGTGGTTAAATATCTGTCTAATTTAAAAATATAAAGACCATACATACATTATAATAATGTTTATTAAATATGTGATTTTAGAATAGCAAATATATATCATTTTTATATAGTTCAAGCTAGAGACTATAATTCTACGACTTAATTTCCCTGATTTAAGTGCCAGAGGTCTTAGTACAATCTAAAGGGAATTAAACATAATAAAGTTTTTTAGTCTGGCAAGCTACAGAAACCTGATGTCAATAATCGAAGAGACCCAGAAAAGAGATTCCAGGATTTTAGTATAACTCTGGATAATATTATTATATGTCTAAAGATTCATTAGCTACAGGTATTTTTTTTACGCAGGTTCAACCCGGCATTTAACATTGCCACTATTAAGCAAGTTGTAAATGAAGCAATTGAACGAGGTGAGTACATCTTGATATCTACTTTTAGACCGTTATCTATTAATATTTAAGTGAGGTAAATATTGATGTATTATATCTTTAAGAATTTTGCAATCTGTAGTTAGAACTTTCTTTTACAACAATTACTGTTAACCTAACACACTGTAGACATATTATATAGATATGGTAAATCTTTACTTTGGTGACAGCTTTTCTCTGCTTATGTGGTTCTTTTTGACTAACAATTCTCTCTTTAGTTAACACTAAGCTATTATTAATTGCCGTGATGGAGTTCAATGGCCACTCTATGCTGGAATTTAATTTGTTCACAAGAACACATGCACAGTATCAATAAAGTGTTTAACACTCACTTTAGGCCATAAGTTGTCTATAAAATATTGGTCTGTGTATAATTTGCAATAGAACATTGTTATTTATTCTATATCCAGTTGAGGACTCTATGGTTACTGAGCATCATATTGCATTATTATACTGTACATTCCGCAATTATTATACTGTACATTCCGCATGTTGCTGCCGATTGAATTTCAACACTCACGCTTACAATTTCTTTTAACAAATGCACTGATGAACGCTTTTTGTGTGTGTGTCGTGTAACAGTCGCGCCGGTTTCAGTGCGGATGCAGACTCCCACTCGCCTTAGGGATCTCATCCGTCAAATTCGCGCGGCAAGAACCGCCGCAGAAGAGAGGAGCGTCGTGAACAAGGAATGCGCTTATATACGCTCCACGTTCAGAGAAGAGGACAGCGTATGGAGGTACGATTAACATTTCTATGACTTTGTATATAATATACTAGCTGTGCCAACGACTTCGTCCGTGAGAATCGTTATATTCGGTATCCAAATTAGTTTCTGCAAACCCCGTCATCTTTATAAAAATTATGCTGTTAGCCACGACGTCGTGCGTCTTTCCGTCGTTTGGTTAATCTTAAAAGATAGACATATAGCGACGCGGATTTATTTTTAGATTCTTTAAAGAGGAATTATTCCTCGTTACATAGTTTTTGGTTGTCTGAACCGTTTTCGTAGCGTACGCATCAGAAACCCACAGACATGAAAAATTTCCCCCGATTTGTTCCCATTTCTCCCTGTATCTTCGCTTCTATTAGTCAGAGCGCGATAATTTATAGCCTATAGGCTATAGCCTTCCTCGATAAATGCTCTAATTAATACAAAGATAAATAAAAAAATCAATTGGAATTGTATGATAACATAATATATATAATGTCATTAAAAATATATATTAGATCGAAAAATTGAACCGAATCAACCGTGTCCTACACGTCATCGTCGATTTTTTCTAGCTTGGTAGCTCAATTGGTTAGAGAAACAACAAGGGACGCTGTGTCGTTGTCATACCAATTTCTGGTTTGACCTCCGGGATAATGTTAACTGCATAACTTATTTTTTTATTAGTTATTGTAAGATATGCTCTGTTCTTCGATGACATCAAAAAAAATCATATATTTAACAAATTACGACGATCCGTAACTTCTCTAATTTTGTATTTTGATTCGATCACACGAGGGGTAGTCTTCACGACCAACAACGCACCGTGGTGTCCACGATATATTTCAATTTATTTTTAATGCAAATTTCAGTGATAATAGTTAAATTATTGGAAATAAATATGGTCTTATATGGAAATATCTTTTTAAAGATTAGTCGACCACAGTGTATTATAGATTGTTCTCTTTCAGCAGATGTCGCAACATAGCAAAGTTACTGTATATTCATATGCTGGGCTATCCAGCGCACTTCGGTCAGCTGGAATGCTTGAAGCTCATTGCCAGTCCACGGTTTACGGACAAGAGGGTGGGCTATTTGGGTGCGATGCTTCTTTTGGACGAACGACAGGATGTACACCTTCTTATTACTAACTGTTTGAAGAAGTAAGTAAAATTTATTTTTACACTTTACAGAATAACTCAAACACGCAGAAAGTTTTTTAAATCACGCAATAATTTTTTAATACAACATAATAATATCAAACATAGATTCTTTAATACAACATAATAATATCAAACATAGTTTATTGTAAGAGATGTCTACAGGAGACCTATGTATGAACGTTTTTAACAACCCAAAAGGATTTTTGTTTACTTAGAAAAAAATTGCGTTTTCCTAAGAGATATAGCCTAGACCGACGACCCCGATTTATACCTACGTGATAAATATCGCTCGGTTGCTAATCACAGATACTCTAGACAAACATGACGTAAAAGATACACGCGTAATCATTCTTATAATACGCGGTCAATCTTTATGGATACTGAGGACATGATTGTTAGATGTTAGAATTAACAAAATTAACAGGAAAATTAAAAACCTATTATATATATTTACAGTTTATAGTTTACACGAGTAATACACATTTAATTAAAACCGTTGCTACGGTTTAAAACGCGAAACATATAATCGTGCTGCTGCTGCAAAGCAATCTGAAATGTCTGGATGTGGTTTAAAATGAATTAAATACTATTTTTAAAGCAATAAACATAATAGACTTTTTAAACACGAACATGTATTACAATATAACCGAAGTAAATAAAAACAATAATTACTTATTATTATCTTTCAATACATATAATTATTAAATCTTATACTCTTCTGTTGTAAGGACATATTTGTATATTTAATATCCAATTATATTCAAGTCTCAGTTTTATTAAAATCCGTACGTCCCCTCTCGCAGGTATCAGACTTATTTGAAATTCAATGATCTTTGAAAAATAATTCCCGTAACCGTAGATTTAATTTATATTCATAGCGGCTGCCCGGCTTGACTTAGTTCTCGTTTAACTTTTCTCTTAGGGTTTGAGTTGGTATTGAATTTAGTAGTTGCTTTGAAAACTCATAATTGGTAGACGCAAGACAGGAAATAAGATTACCGTGTCACTAACGAATTAACCCTACATAAATTTGTGTAAAATTTAATTATGGTAAGTTTTTTGACGAGGTCTTATGGTAGCAAGGTTTGGGTAAACAACGGGCCATCGGTTCGATCTCCATCGGATCCAACATATTTATAATCATTTTGAGCAAGTTGGACTTCGTCTGGAAATGTGGATATTGAATAACTGGTAAGAATATCGAAATCTTGTCACGGATCATGAACCAGGAGATGAAAAAGCCGTTTAATGGCGTTTCGCTGTTTCTGGAATATCCAAAGCCTAACCAAGTCTACAGTACATCTTGCTAAATGGTTATACAGCCGGGATACTTCCCTTTCCATCAAGTGAGCATGGGGATGAGCTTATCTGTTCTCCTCTACCATAAAAAAGTTGTTATAACTTCGACGCTCTGACTACCTCTACGCTCTGTCTTATATGATGATTATAGTCGTAATATTGCGTTTTCCCGGAGATAGAATCCGGGACCACGCATACCACTGTGCTGGAAGTTAAAGCAACATAATCATTGGCGTTGCTATTAATTTATATATTTTGTTGTTTCTCTCTTCTCATTTTCATATTGAATTCATTTCTTTGGTTAAGTCAGATTTCGTAGGTAAGAGTCAAAAAGCTTTATTAATATAAATTGATTGATTGAGGTTCAATCTTTGAAGTTCGTATTAGATTTTTGTGGCTTACCGTATATATAGTTATAACACGAGAAGGCTTCTAACTGCTAGCTTAGCTCAAATTACATTCTATTCTATTGTATTACAATTAACTAGTACAAATTGAAGCGTATTGAATATCGATAAAAAGAAAAAATCTATTGATGTTTAAGAAGATACTAGTAAGTGTCACTTTTGCACGTTTACCTGCATATCGTATTATAATCATAGATAACGATGGAAGTGAAACAGTTAAACATTACTTACCGCATACGCATAAATTAGTCTATTTATATCTACTGCAGTAGCTGCAAAATGTAAAGAGTAGTTGAATTGCAGAAAATTTGTATTTGTTTAGCTGTTTATTACATTAGAATAATAGATTAAGATTACGGTGCAAAATTGATTTATAATTTTTGGTTGTGTATACGAGTATAGAGAATAGAGTGTGTTACATACTTGTGCAAAGTTATTTTGTACAGTGATTAAGTTAAAAATTTAATCACGACTCGACTGTCTAGGCGACATTCAGCGTTCTAAATTTCAAAAATGAAAATGTCCCGTGCGAGCTCTGTGTCGTTTTCTATTTAGTTTTATTTTTCAACCTGTAGACGAATGAGAGTCAACTTTTTATGGATAGGGCAAGTCCAGTTTAAGTTTATTATAATTTAATTAAACCAAATTGTCTATGGGTACTTCATGTTATTGTAACTGCTTTCTCCAAAGAAGTTCTAAAATCTCGGCAAAAAATTTGGGTAATGTTACTGACACTCAGAATATATCGTGTTTCAACCCGTTTCAAAAAGTATTAGGTTTCGTACAAATGTAAATATCTCGATAAAAACAAGAATATTTATTTCATAGTTTCACAAATCAATGAAATGAAAATCATCAAAGACATGGTAGTAGTTTTTTATGAGACTTGTTCATGAAGGATAAAAATAAAAATTGCGCGAGGTAAGAGTTAAAGGACAAAGAGAGATAATAAACTTGGCGCATTTTAACACTAAACTATATATTCGCTATTTTGAAGCTAAAAGGATTTTGACGCTATCAAAGAACCTTAAATGATATTGATTGCGGTCAAAGACCCCGTACTTCTGCAGTGACCTAATCGGCGACACGCAAGGCCTAACGTTACACCCTCGCACTGGGGGAACTTCGAAAATTCAACTTGACAAGTAGTCCTGGACCTTAGTAATACTGAAGAGACTGTTCTTGCGAGTGAATCTTAAAAGATAGACACATATTGTTAAATCATTTAAAATGGAATCATTCTTTCTTACATATTTTGTGTTTTGTTGTTGTGAAAATAACATCTCTCTTGCTGTTCCGGTTCTTAAGACACAACCTAATAAGAAAAGATAGCAAAGTTATTGTGGTATTTGGATACGGAACCCAAAAAATCTCACAACCATTACGTTAAATAAGGAAATGGCGTTAAAAAGTTACACTTAGGTTACGATGCCTCAATATTATCTATGTATCTCTCAACAAACCGTCTTACCATTCCATTTTTCCACAGTGACCTGAACAGCAACACTCAATTCGTCGTGGGTCTAGCGCTGTGCACACTCGGGGCTATCGCATCTCCAGAAATGGCTAGAGACCTCGCATCCGAAGTGGAACGCCTCATCAAATCACCGAACGCCTACATCAAGAAAAAGGCGGCGTTATGCGCCTTCAGGATTATAAGGAGAGTGCCAGATTTGATGGAGATGTTCTTGCCTGCGACTAGGAGTCTACTAACCGAAAAGAATCATGGTAATGAATTGTTGCCTAAAGCTCTTCAGTCCGCTATAAATTAATGTTATATATTTAAGTTAAATCTGGAAAAAGCGTCACGCCCAAAGTTTGTCCAGTGAATTGTGAATGTTTCGGTCTGTCGCTCGAAATTATTTACAGGCAATTTGATGAGCCATGTCTGTGCCGTCTCTGACTTTTAACAATCTTTTTCTACGGCATAAGGTCGTAGGATCGCTGCTTCTATATAGCTACCATTATTTTCCGTCCTTTGAATTTGAACAACGAATCAGAATCTGTTCAAAACAATGTAAGCTTCGGTAGAAAGATATTTATTATTTTTTATATAAAACCAATGAGTTTCTATATTAGGTATTCCATTTAATATTATGCTAAAGTTATTACGCGATACCTGTTTAAGAGATCTCAGGCAATTATCACTTACGGGAAAAGGAATTTGAACCTTATTCTAAAATAACTTCGGTATATATTTGACCAGCGTCCAGTAGGCGTAGACCACGTGAGGCGCCATTATTCGATAATCATCAATTCAATTGATCACTAACGATGGACCCTGAGATTGAATTATGTTGTCCATTGATAGAATTAGGTAAGACAATGTATAAAGAGAGTTACAAAAACTTATCGAATGCGCATTGGCATAATGAATATTTAGGATACATTAAGGGTTCAAATCATGAGAAAACAAATATATTGAAATAGAGGACAAGAGTGTGATATGTAGGTATGTTTATAAAATCGACCACAGACATAGACATAAAATATGTCCGTCCTATGTTCCACAGTTTTATGTCTCAACCGATAGACGACGTTTTAGGGGGGGGGGGGAAAGAGTTTTTTTTTTTCTATTAGACACACCGATAGAAAGCCGGGTGATTAGTCCAGATTATCTGCTAAGCTTTTCACCCATTTGACTATTCCCCCTTCGCGAGGTACATAGATTTATCCAACGCTCCCCTGTTGCCGCCTTCAAACAGTTTCTAACTTTACTATAGTAGTATAAGTCATAGAAGTCTTGAGGTAATATGTATCGGCGAAAAGGACACTTAAATGTGTCTGTTCTATGTCCATGTATACAAAACAAGATTTTCGTGAAAGCGTCGTTTATATAACGCTATCTGTGTTGGCTAATAAATCATTTCTGTTAGAACATTTAGAACGATGCCTGCAAACAATTCATATGAGTTTCTCAATTAATGCTAAATCATTCAATTAGCAGGGAACTATTTAGCCTTTCACAACAATACCTTTTTTATTATCTATCTAAAATAGTGGTTAGGCAAAAGGTAGTAATTAAAAAAGGTATATCAGACAAAGCCATGTGAAATGTTTAACATACATAGATATAGACGGTATTTAAAAAAACCTTTCATCGACATCAAGTTTGCTTGTCGTTTCAACTTATAATAAAATGAATTAATGTTTAAACTTTCGTTTTCGGAACATAAATTCACGTGATTTTTATTTCTCTATTATTGCGGCAATAAGAGATTTTGCGGGCAATGTTGTTGTTCATATGTAATGTTCCCCTTAAAATAATAATTCAATTAAATGTTGTTTCAGGTGTACTTATAACTGGTGTAACCCTCATCACAGAAATGTGTGAAAACAGTCCGGACACGCTGAATCACTTTAAAAAGGTAAATATTTATTTTTACAATAGTCTGTGGCGAGTGATCTGAGTATAAATGTTATCTGTGGAAGAGAATTCAAATTAAATGCTTCTCAAGTTTAGATCAAACAATAGAAATACAAATGATTTATAAACATAAACACTTAAATTGAGTCTGTGTCAAAAAATATTAATTAACAGACTTCTAAGAGAATTGTCTATGGGCTTTGTCAATGCAAATTACTTGAATATACCAGACTGCTTAAATTATAAACTCATTTTAACTTCTAAACAATCAATACGGAGTGTAGAAGGAAAATTGGAATTACAAGGATCCTTTTCCGCCCAGAGCGAGTGTTCTGTAAACACGAATACAGTAGTTAAAACAACTTTCCTTTCCTTATACGTGTTGCTTCATTCTGTTTATTATCTTTGTATATTTGTTCGAATTAAATAACATTTTGATACGTTGAACCAACATGAATTTGGTGAAAAGGTCGGCGTAATAAAATACCTTTAATTTTATAACAGTGTCCGCCTGAGTCACACGCAGGTGTAAAAACTTATCAGATTACAATATTCTACATACATACATATCTGTAGGGTTGCCAGATTGAAGAAATTTTCTGCCACCATCTTTTTAATAATTTAATTAATTATATTTTAAATACGGCAATTACGACTTTGTAACAGGTTATTTAAGAGGAGGTAAAGGCAAAAAAAGTAATATCCCATATCGTCTGTGTCACTATATTTAAAAAATTAATGTGTTACGAACCGAGGACATTTTGCTGCCGTTAAAACACACACCCTTAATTTCATTATAAAACCCTTGTAGAAGAAACATGAAATTGACTATTGTATGACATGTGTATTCGGTTACATCCCCTTAGTTTATAGCCACAGTTTTACACAAAGCCAGTAGGGCACGACACAGAAAATCATAAAATGCGACCTCGTTCCCTGTAAACAAACGATATCAATCTAATCTAACACTGATTTCACTTGCGGACGCGCGACGCATTGTGAAATCGCTTATCGGTTATAACGAATGGCGCAGATTGTTCTAATCCATATTTTTCAACGAGACTGTAAATATAATTGTCATTTTGTACAGTCGTCAAAAAGGCCGCTGTCTTACTAATAACTTTTATGTATAAGAAATTAATTTGTTTTGAACGCGATTATATTAAAAAGTGTTTTTTTTTTTTTATAATTATTTATAGTCCAAAGCAATAGGTCGACAGCATATCTTGCTTAGATGTTATGTGGTTGGGGTATTTCACCCTCTCTGTAAATATACTTTTTAACTAATTACTAGTGCTACGAATAAATAATATATTAAGGACAATTCCAGTACTAATGTATGTCTATGTTGTCCCTTAGGAGAGCGGGCAGCGCGAGGTAATCTATGTGATGATCCTTGCACACACGATTAGTTTCTTGATCTCAGATTTTATTTCAAAAAACACGGATTTATTTGGTCTAAGATATATACGCCTTACAACACTTTTTACCTTTAAAAACGCTAAGCACTTAACCGAGTTAAACAAGACACTTTGAACGGTTAAAAACGCAGACATATTTTACTTTATTTATCTCAATATGTTCTTGTGGTATATCGTTAAAAGTGTTTTCTCGAAAAATTCGAAATCTCAGGTCGTTGAAAATTAACTAATATATATCACCTTTCGAACCTTAAAAGTTCTATTATCGTGTATGGTACACTAAACTGCAGAAGATAAAAAATCCTTGAATGTACCAGGTCATTGGAAATTAAGCAATATATGTCGCGTTTTTAACCGTAAGTTTTATTTGAATGGTGCACTAAGTTGCATAAAATACTAACAATACCCTTGAATGTACTAGGTTGTTAAACCTTTAGCAATATATGTCAAGTTTTTAACCGTTAAAAGTGTTTTATTGTGATAAATTGCAAACAATACTTCAATAATACAGTTTAAAATTATCTTTGGATGAACGAGATCAACGAACTAAGCGTGGCGAAACTAAGCATGTTGTTGTGTTGGTCATATGTATTTGAATATGTATGTATGTTTGTATAAAGCTTCACCGTCCGACATACAAAGGATATCGTTTACAAAGCTGCTTTGTTGCCTTAATTGCGTAGATTGTTTCTATTAGCAGATATAATGTTTGATGTAATGTAAGCATAAGTCGCGTTTCGGTTTCAGTCTGTTGATTAGCGAATGCCCAAAGTTGGAGTTTGGTGAATAGGTCGACAGCATATCGTAATTACGTTTTAGGACTGGATATGTGATCTTGCACGTGAACCCATCGCTTGTCTACCCTATTTATACTAAATACTAAAAACGAATTTTCTATGGTATTTTTGACGCTTGTTGAGTGGTTGTGTATTAGAAAGAGATGTATTATTAGATATTATTACGTCAGTTCTACGCACTTATGTGCCAATTTTCTTGGAATCTTTTACTAAGACAGTAGATAAAAATAATTATCACGTAGCTATAAATTGCTGAATAAAGTTTCATAAAGTCACAATATTAAATTAAATTTTATATCACAATATTATATACATTATATTTTCGTATACCAACACAAAAAACTTCGTGTTGAATTTGTACACTACTGAATCACATCAAGTTGTACGTATTGTTTATGGGCGTATTTAGACATATTTTTTGACGTCCAAGCCCTTATTTCTAAATTCTAAGTATTTAGATAACGCATTTGCCTGTGACTGTAAATAGTTAATATTTATATCCATAGAGCTTTACTAATAAACGTGTTGTAAGAACAGGCCCCGAGCGCCAATTTTAATTTACGAAAGCCGAAAACCCAAGTAGTTTTTTTCAAAATGGCCGCGAAAGCCTTTATCGCCATAAACGGTATTCGACCACAGAGAAGACTGAGTACACTGACGCGCTGTTTTGTTAGTAGAATACCAAAGACCTCCTCCAACATTTTGAATACCTGACTCCAGATCGTTGCACATGTTTATTAGTAAGGCAGTTTGCTTTCTGTCGTTGTGGGCAAATATCTAATTTAAAGAAGACATATTTACAGACATTTTTTATTGTCAGATTGTACCGAATCTGGTGCGTATCCTGAAGAACCTTATCCTCGCGGGTTATTCGCCGGAGCATGACGTCAGTGGGGTGTCTGATCCATTCCTCCAGGTAAGATAGATATATCATATTTATATAGTTAAAATTTCAAACTTTCGTTCCCTTTATATCTGAACTATGTTAATAAATAAATACGATGACGAGTAAAACATGGTAGCTTTGTTCGTTTGAGCAGCAGTAAGAATTGCTGAGAATGCCAGTTGAGGTTCCACCAGGGTCATCGAATTTTTTTCTAGTGTTCTATCGAGAAAAAGCATAAGTTTTGAGTAATATGAACTTGGGTGAGATTTCTATGTGCTGTCCCTGTATTTAAACCTCCTGGACCTACAATGCTCCTTTTAACCATTCAGTCAGTAAAATAGTTTTAAAAATTATGTTAATGAAACTTCTTTTTCTTATTCAAGGTTAAAATTCTCCGCCTCCTCCGAATACTGGGCAAGAACGACGCAGAAGCGTCCGAAGCAATGAACGACATCTTAGCCCAAGTGGCGACGAACACGGAGACGAGCAAAAATGTCGGCAACACAATATTGTACGAAACTGTACTCTCTATCATGGATATTAAGTCCGAGAGTAGCTTGCGCGTGCTTGCTATCAATATCCTGGGACGTTTCCTGTTGAATAACGACAAGAACATCAGATACGTGGCTCTCAACACGCTCTTGAGAACGGTGCATGTGGATACGTCAGCTGTGCAGCGCCACAGGACTACGATATTGGAGTGTCTGAAGGTAATTATGTAAAAAAATATGCTAAAGGTAAATTATAGGAATAAAAGCTCGGCCTCTGGTTTAATCACTGTTAGTCTTTAGTCTTAGGTAGGTCAGGTGGGAGGGAAGTGAGAACGAGACAACGCTACATAGTTAATGCAGACAGACTAAATTTTTCGTGATTGGCAAAAATTTTCGATCACTTTTGTAATATATCATCGTTTCTTGCATTGCATATTCTTCTTATCCAATAGTATTAGAAGTGTGAAGTGAAATTGAGACTTGGCTTGGCTTAAAGGTCTCGTTATCACGCCATAAAATATTATTTAAAAAAAAAATACTTCTTACCCTTTAAACACGTTCAACAACCTTCAAACTGTTAATTCAATATTAAGCTACCAAAATGGATATCTCTACAACTGATTGAAAAATGTAGCTTGCTTGAAGATTTTAGATTATTTTGTTAATCAAATTCACCAATTAAAAAGTCTAATTTCAATATGACCTAACTATTCTTAGTCGTGCTAACTATAAGAGTGAACAAATTATATTCATAAAAACAATTGTTTTCAGGACCCAGACGTATCAATAAGACGTCGGGCCATGGAACTCTCCTTCGCTCTGATCAACAGCCAAAACATCCGCGCTATGATGAAGGAACTCCTGCTCTTCCTGGAGCGATCTGACGCGGAGTTTAAGGCCCATTGCTCCAGTGCTATGGTGCTAGCTGCTGAAAGATATGCGCCGTCCAACAAATGGCACTTGGACACTTTGTTCCAGGTCTTACTTAAGGTCGGTATGAGACCATAGTAAAAAATATCATAGTTACCCTATATTCCACACAAACTAAAATAGATTTTATAATTTCTATGATATAATAAAGATAGACAGAATCGTAAACCAAAAATTCGATTTGAGTTTGGAAAATTTTACGACAAGGCCTAGGTCTTGAACCAGGTTCCGGGCTGTTGCTCTAAGTTATGAGCTGCCGTGTTTTTTAATCTAAAATTGATTTTTAATTTATATATCGCCATCATCAATATGTGAAAAATATTAGTTTTCAAACAGAAGCTTCCTTAAAAATGTTGAATACCAGAGACTTGTGATATTTATCTGTGGTGACATCATTGTCATCGTAAACCAAACGATTATCGTTAACCTTCTGAACAAATAATTATTAACGTAACTTCCTCTCTGTCAAGATTGTACGACCCCGTAAGGCGACCTATTTCTCAAATACCAAAAAGATTTCTATATTATTTCTTATGCTAGAGGACGACAGACAAGCATAGCGTTTACTTGATAGTAGGTAAAATACCCCAGCCATATACCATCGATCAAGATGCGCTGTCGTCCTATTTTGGCTTTGGATATTTCATAATCCACAGACTGAAACCGAAACGCGATTAAAATTTTCATCTATGCACGTGGCTTCGTGACTTGGACGGAATTGACATATTCCTACCATCCATTTAATATCCAGAATGCCAGATGAAGTCGAAGGTGATTCCAATTGTACATCTATTAGAAAATTCTAATAGATGTACAATCTATTACTAGGAAACTATAATACATCAATCGCTTTTATCTTTCCAGGCTGGTAACTACCTCCGCGACGACACAGTGTCGAACACGATACAAATAATATCATCAGCGCCCGGGGAGAGACAGGCGTACGCGTCGCAGCGTCTGTGGATATCATTGGAGAGATCGGCTGTTTGCGGTGATTCAACTGAGAAGCAACCGCTCATACAGGTGAGACAATCTTATGAGAATATGAATCTTGGAAGAGGAAGAAGGAAATAAATAAAATTGTTGCATATAAATAATATTAAAATCAAGATAAAAATGTTGTTGCTATATGTCCTACGGACTAGCACATTTTGGGAAGCAGGGGGTTTAAAACACAAAATATACTAGGTAACTTAGTTTAAGCAAAGAATCCGAAACGACGGGTTGAAAATAAATTTCGCGTTTTAAATTGGTGAAATTCCTTTTTTTTTACTGTATGTGTCTTTATTAACACTCATATCAAGGGCTTTAAATGTAGGTAATATTTTTTGTATTGTATTATTTTTGTTGAAATCTAGGTAAATGCTTTTCCACAGTAGAGTACGAGGCAAACACAATTCTGTGTCCGTTTTACTGATCGCTTTTACTAACAAGCAAATAGTTAATCTAACTGCTAAGCTCATCTGCGGCCGAAACAATTTATTTTTTCCCAGGATTCGAATGTGTTATTCAGTGTAGAACAAATGCTTTTAAAATAAATATTAGTTATTTTTAGTAAAAGTTATTTATTTTAAAATAATATAAGTTATACATGTTAATTTTACTTCTTACAGGTGGCAGCGTGGACGATAGGCGAGTATGGAGACATGCTGGTGTCCGAGGCCAGCAACGCCATATCCATGGTGGATGACGACGGAGTTGGTAAGTAGCGTGCCTGGGGACCCTTAAGCTTGTTCTGATTGCTGTTAGTTAAAAACTTGAAGTTTTCACATGTGCACATGTGGCATTATATAAATTAAAAATCGAGCTTGAACCAATTGAGCTACCGCAGATTACCTGGCGCAGCGGCTCAATTAGTCAGAGCAACAGCACGGAACGCTGTGGATGTCGGTTCAAATCCTGCCTGCGTCTTAAATTTTTTAAAATCTAAAATCGACTTTTAATTTATACTTATTAGCGATAAGAAATAAAAACTAATTAAGGTGAGTTTATGCATAGCTTTATATTTTATTTATGTCCAGATGAATTCGTCCGTCCGTCCGAGGAGTACGTGATAGACATCTACCAGAAGCTGCTCTGGTCCACTCAGTTGTCCATCACGACCAAGGAGTTCTTGCTGCTCTCGCTGGCCAAGCTTTCTACGCGTTTCACCACTCAACCTAGCCAAGAGTTAGTAAAATTTGTTTATTTTTGCTATATTATTCTGCTATTTTTATCTTCAATTAAAACTTTTAACTCTTTAAAACGCGAAATATATTAGATTTTCAAACGATGGTACGATGTTTTTGACGTTTTGCAGCCGCTGAAATTAATGTTTTATTTGAGGTGTTCTGTCTATAGTTTACGCGAGTAGCAAGTATGCTTTGCAGCAGCCGTGGTCACGGGGAGACTCCCCGTGACCACGGCTGCTGCAAAGCATCCGAAACGTCGGGCCGAAGTTAAAAATCATTTTCAATTAAGTTTAACTAATATATCGCGTTTTAAACCGTTAAAGTGTTTTATTTAAATGAGGTGTTCTACTCGGGCAAACCATACAATGCTACCTTAGTATACTTTTTAGACTCTAAGTGTACATCATGAAAAAAAAAAATAGTTTAATGGTTAAATATATAATTTTCAGCAAAATAAGAGTAATAATTGACACATTCGGATCCCACATCCACATTGAGCTGCAGCAGAGGGGCGTCGAGTTATCTCAGCTTTTCAGGTAATGGACATTTAAAAATAGCAGTTTTTTATTATAAGGAAGGAGGGGGGTCCACTTGTGGAAGGTGAGTACCCCAGCCATATAACATCTGAGCAAGATGCGCTGTCGACCTTTATTAGTTTTGGATATTCGGAAATCCACAGACTGAAACCGAAACGCGATTAAACTTCACGGCTTTCCTAACATGGTGGTTCGTAACGCGGACGGAATTTCCGATATTCCTACCACCCATTTATTACGCAGATTTCCAGAATTCAATATATATGTTACCTATACATATTAATAATTAAAATTTATTTGATTATTTTTATTTATTTATATGGAACATAAACCTATTCAGTTTTTTCCGCCCATCCGAACGTCGATACAGAACAAATTATAGGCTATGCTATGCTTATAAACTGTGTTATTAAACATAAAAAGTAGACAATTTTTAAATAGGCATTTAACTATACATACCTAGTAGTAGTCGTCCGACCGTGCATCGGCAGGAACCTGTTTAGGCGTTCGTACTGATTAACGTTAGGGCGTCTATACAAGATGCGACAATTTTATGAATTTTATTAGCTGTACACTGCTACCATTAGCGAGCGAGACAAGAATGCAGTGAATTATCTCTTTTTATAATAATTGTGTCAACACTTTGTCTATCCCTTTTACAGACAATACGCCAATCTCCGGCCGGCACTCCTCGAGCGAATGCCACCCATGGAGCCGGTCACTACAGTGGAGAGAGAAGACAGCGACACAGAAACCGAACCCGCTACCATTGTTCAACAGAACTCGCTGCCTGAGCAGGTAATACTGTGTTCCATAATATTTACTGATGAGTTATTCTGTGTCCTCTAGGTGGCACAAATATAATTGATTGATTTATCAGCCTTAACATTTTGATAAACGGTATTGGGGAAAATTATTTTATACTTCGTTGAATGTTCTAACCAGGATTAGAACTTATATGTTCAATGCAATGCTATGAAACAATAATGTAAAAATTTTGTCTCCCCGTGACCACGGCTGCTACAACATCCAAAACGTTGGGCGTTACAATATATTTCACGTTTTAAACTGTTAAAATGTTTTATTTGAATGTGTACTACTCGCGTAAACTACAGACAGTGTCTAATACTATTTATTTTAAACAGGATGCTCTACTCGACCTTATAATTGGTTCTGAGCCCTTGTCAAACGGAGACGTGGAACATGCTGCACCGGCGGTTGCCAACAATAACACCACTACAAATGTAAGTGTATAGATTTATATTAAGAACTTTAACGGATTAAAACGCGATAAATAATTGCAGTGCAATGCGACCCATGTGATTTTTAATTGTGTTTAAATGTATTGTTAGAAATACCGTTTTTTTACAACAGTGAACTTAGAGTTAAAAGTTGTTAAAAGACGGTCAAGTGCGAGTCGATGTTTACGCGAAGGCTTCCGTAGTAATTTATTTTGCTCTTCTATATTCAAATACATCATTCTAAAATTTCCAAAAAGAGTTAGTAATGTTATATTTTCTTCTCTTTCAGGATATATTAGATCTTCTCAGCGGTCTAGACCTCAGCACACCAAGCGCTCAGCCGCCACCGCTGAGTGCGCCCATGAGCAGTGTCTTCACTACACCCATGAGCGTCGCCAATAACAATGTTTCGCCGGCGTTGTTGGATGGTCTCTTCACATCAGCCGCTCCTATGCCTCAGATGCAGGCACCAGGTACGATTTGTCTCTTTTGTTATGCTGTGCTGTAACTCCTTCCGGGTGGTTGGTGACCTGACAGTTACTTCTTGTCGAGAATCCGACGTTTATAAATCAAAGCCTAAAAAAAAAAAAAAAAGGGGGGGGGAAAAATTTTTATTAAAAAACCCCGGGGGGGGGCCCCTTTCCTAAAAGGAGTTTTTTTGGTTTTGGGGGGGGGGATCCGGGAGGAAGAGAAACTAGATTAAAATTAAATTCTCCCCCACACTGACCCGAATCCTATCTCATTAATGGATAATAATTGTATATATAAATAAATAATAATATTTGATCGTCTGCGCCCTTGCTAACCGAAATATATTTTTTTCCTAGGATTCGAACTGAAAACCTCTCGTGCTTAACGCAGTTCTAGAAAACACGTTATACCTTTTAGGGAGAAATTGGGTTTCCTGTATTCACCTATGCCACAGCACAAAATGTATCTTTTCAATAAGTATTTTTTTATGTAAAATTTATTACAGAAACTGTAGTGACAGCCTTGGAACGCAACGGCTTACGCGTGGAGCTGCACGTGCAGCGTGGAGGCGAAACAGCAACGATCACAATGAAGGCTCACTCTTCAGCAAACAGTGCCATGAGCGAGTTCCTCTTCCAAGCAGCTGTTCCTAGGGTGTGTATATATCTATTTTGCCTTATAGGCCAGATAGAATACTTAATACAAGCGTCTTTTCGTACGGTGAAAACAAATTATAAGTTGTCAATGACTGTCTGTCATATGACAATGACAGTTTGTTAACCGTCAATGTCACAAGTGTTACTAGACATTTTGTGTTTTAAACCATTAAGTGTCTTATTTAAATGTCGCGTATATGCTACTGATAATACCATGACCACTGTACAACATCCAAAGTTGGGCCGTAGTTACAATATATTTCTTTCTTTGTGTTTTTTTGAATTATTCGTAAACTACAGACAGTATCTAATACTATTTATTTTGAACAGGATGCTCTACTCGACCTTATATGTTCAGATTATTTTATATAATTTAAAAGTAAAAAATACTTTACAGACTTTCCGATTGGACATGATGTCTCCCTCGGGCAGCGTTCTGACTCCCCAAGGAGAAATCACGCAGCTACTGAAGATCACTAACCCTTCAAAGGTATGTTATTCCCTATTGGTATCCACTGTTGTTTTTTGGAAAAGGTAAATGGATATTTAATTAAAATAATCAAAAGTGCCGCATAAAAACATTTAAGTACTCTGTGTATGTCCGTTCATATCTTTTTAAAGCCTTCATTACATTGGACTATTGTAGCATTTTAGTACATACAGGATTAATTAATGAAATTATTTTATTGTTTCAACACAGACACCTCTGCGTCTCCGAATAAGAATATCGTACACAATAGATGGCAACCCCGTGCTTGAGCAGGCGGAAGTCAACAACTTCCCTCCGGACCTTTTCAACTGACGAGCGCCTCACGCCCTAACCGCTCCACCGCCGCGATGCCTATAGCTCCACGGATGCCATCGGCTGTGGCCTCCTATAACATATTACGTCGCGTTAAGCGTTACGCCGCATCGTGATACTTACGAGTAGAACGTATTGTTCCGTATGCGCATAACATGTTCTTAAAAACCAGTAGATGATAATACAATGATTCGAAATAACTAGAGACATGGTTTTAAGCGCGTACATGCCGCTTCCGGGTATGTTAGTGTGTAAAGGTGACAACACCACCTCTATAATGATACGCGGCCTAACACGTGACGTAACAAACAAAAAAGAAACCAAACAAAGACGTACGCTCTTTATAGGAGACTTCAGCTATAGTGGGGTGTCCAATATTGAGCTGCTGAATAAAATTGATTATCACAGTTCGAGTTTGAAAATTCAGTATAACGCGAAAGTGATATCGGACACCCCAGGTACACCCCGTTGACCTGGATGGCTGCGGAAGGTCACTGAGCAGCTTATCAGCGAATGACTGTATCGGATAGTCTTGTAGGTCCCTCACTGTTAGAGATTCTTTAACATTCCACTTTAGATAAGATGTCGCAATTTAAGTGCATGTACAATGGAACTGGTATAAAAACATGTGTTTTTTACTAAGTACTGTAAAGCCTTAAAAAATTTTTTCAACAATACCTGAAATACTAAATTGTTCAATATTTTTAACATCGGCAGTTATTAGTTACTCTGTTGTACATATATTTAATATTACGATTGACAAAAAGACTTATTCCTTCGTGTGACTAGTGTCTAGGGCCCAACGTATGAACGTGGGGGGAGTCTTTCAAAATTGTGTTTCTCAGTAGAACTTAAAACAGCCACAATCACAGATTATGATTTTACAATGATTATTTTTATGATCTATTGTCAGTATTATTCAATCTCGAAGTCCATTTTTATACAACCCAAGGTGAATCAATTTTTTATTTGAAAAATGTTACTGACAATTGACAGAGCCAACTAGGAAAGCTGGTGGCTATGACAGACCTAGACAATAGATTTTTAGTTATCCTTTAATGAAAAAAATATATTAAATTTGTTTGCAAGTTATTAATAATTTGCTATTCATTTTACTGTTAATCATTTAGTGCAACATGCAATATTGTAGGCTAAAGTATGCTAGCGGTATCTGTTGAGAATCAGGCTGAACCATGTTTACTGTACATAGCGGGATATATTTGTATTATAAAATATTGTATAGTAAGAAGACTATGGAGATGTACTTAATATCATATTTTTATTACTTTAGTGTCTTATATCCTAACCTATAGTCATTTATCATGATTAATTTATTAATATTGCACGTTTTAAATTTTAGCGTTATTTTATGCTTGACAATAGTGTATAATAGTAATTTAGAATTGACTATGTTGAAATAATGTATGTTATATATTGCAATATATTGTATTTTTCTTGCTGTCAATTCTATAAATAAGTATATTGTTCCTCTTTTATTCAGTGAATGTAAATATGGTGTATTTCGAAACTTAGGAGCTTTTAAATCAGTTTAATTTCTGCTGAATTTAAACGTTAAGGCAATTTTTTATGAGCAACCACATTATATATAAATTAAATTACCACATGTTTTTATTTGAAGAGCTTTGCAAAAATACATATATCGCAATTTGGTGCTTTATTTTATCTAAGTATCTAATAGAAGGCCCTCCACGACGTGAGAAGATTTAACGCTATGTGAGAGATGTACATAATGATTTTATGTAAATTGGTTAATAAATATGTGAGAATGTTTATATAATCAACAATCTTGTTTTCATTATCGATTCCTGTAGAATAAGGGTTTATCTATTAATTCTATAAAATAAAATACACACTTCATAAGTAATGCAATTTATCACAAAACAGGTTAAGGATTACATATCTAAAAAGCATCCATTGCAATAATTGCTTTGGACTAAAGATTTATTCTATCATAGGTGTGGCAGGAGCTGGTCTTCCGCTGACACTATTGAACAGCCTGTCCTTGATCATTTGCGCCATCAAACCGTGGATCACTTCGATGGTTGTTTTACAAGCATCTTTAGTGGCTTTGCCTAACTTATCTTCTGTTCTCTTTTCGTGTGGATCGGCCCCTCCTACAATGAAGCCCCCACGACCTATATGACAAATAAATAAACGAAATAAATTCACAGACAGCCACCCTTTGAATAGATGATATAATACTTTAATATTTTTCACATGTTATTGATGATACATGATGGCTCTATATAAACTAAAGAATGATTTTAGATTGAAAAAAAATGTACGACCCACAGCATTCAGTGCTATTGCTCTAACCAATTGAGCTACTGTGTCCTCCACACATGATCAAATATTTTTAATCTATTGATACTTGTACCTCTCACGCATTGTAATTTGTATGTATATTATTATGTGTATTATGGTAATCTAAGAGTGATTTTTAATTGAAATAGTACTTGCCAAGGAAAAAAGGGCAGATAAAAATCTGTCTTTAACTATTTATCTTACTATGTAGAAGTTTAAATCAGGGCCCCTTTCTCAAAACCCAGTGATTATTTTTTTACTGTTGAGATAATGTATAAGAAAATTGTAATACAATAGTCATTATAATAAAACATTCATCTATTTACCTAAGCTGACTTCACTCTGTTCCAACTTATCTGATAAATCAAATATTTGTCCAGTTGTATAATCCGAGTTGGTAATTAGACTGGAGCTGCTCAAAGTATTCACCCAATACTTATTCCACAAGGAATCTAGTAATCTTCGGTCCAAGGAAGATTTGAAGTATGACACCTCAAGTGAGTAATATTGTTTGCAATGAACTCCAAAGTCTTCTATTTTATTAAGAGGTATGGTTTGATATTCAGATGGCTCTTCATTTGCAGGCTTGTAACCCTGAAAATTGAGAATAATAATTCGTTAATATTTGCCACATTTATTAAATCAAAACTAGTTGTTTTTTATTTCCTTACCTTGGGGTAAGTCCTAAATGCACCAAGGCACACTTTACCAGCAGATATGGTTCTTACTGGATCAATTACAATGGCCACAAAAGGCTCTTGGAAGTTCTGATTCAGAGTCTGAGTAGAGACATCAATACCAGATAACCAGCAACCATAACCGGGATGGCTGTGATACCAGCCAATAGCATTTTCATGTCTACCAACCTAGAATGTTATGTTAATAGTAGTCAGTAAAATATAATTTCACCCAAAAAACATCAGTTCTGAAACTTAATGGCTTCCTGAAAACTTGATTTTATCATTCAGTCAACTTTTACCAATTTCATTGTTATTAGGTGTAATTTGGTGAAAGCTTTTTATGTTATACCTGCTTAGCAGCTTCTATATAAGCAGTCATATATTCATAGGCTTGAGCTTGGGCATTCACTCTAGTCTCGGTCCCTTCTACAGGCAGCGCAAATGAATCCATCACTATCATTGTGTTAGCATCTACTTTACCTATAAACAATAATTTATCATAGACATTTTATATTGCTTAAGTATAGAGGGTAGTTTTTTTTACAAATTTTTAACTCATGTTATAATTTTCGTGGTCATCTTACCTAAGAGCAATCCCATAACTTCTAATGTACCACCAGCTCGAGCGTGCATAACCATTTTCAACAGAGCTAATGCTGATATTTTAATATCTTTAAAGAAATGGGGGCTGAAAGCAGAAGTCCATCGTGTTATACATTTTGAATAAGAAAGTACGTATTGAAGTTTAGCCGAACAACTTACTCCTTCTCCCATGGTTTTGCTGCAAGTATATCCTGTTGTTGTTTTTTATCATAGCGGTATATTTCATCAACACTGGATACAGTTTCCATATTGTTCGCCATAACCCATGTTTTTTGAGCTATAGCGGATTGGGAATCCGCACTTGTAGATGCCATTTTGAGTTAAACAAAGACAAGTCTGAGCCAAGTTATATTTATTAATATTTACGATATCGGATATGTTTGGCGTGTATGTATTTTCTTAATGTTTAGATGACAATTATGATTTTAACTTTAGACAATTGACATTGAATGTAATCTTACAGCTAATGTCAGCTTTTAGTGAGTGTCTATTGAACGATTAACGAAATATGCACTATTGAACGACATTTCGGCTATCTAATCCGAACTTAATTTCGAAATTTCCGCCCACCAACAAACCGACCAATTGGAATAAGGCACGTACTCGTTTTCGAGAACTATGCAATTCATTAGTTTTTGACGTAAACTCAAGTATGTACGACGCGTACTGTAATCTTGAAAGGGTGATGAAATATCGCAGAACTTTATTTAATTGACGATTGTGCATCTATCGGAATACGCAATAGTATGCTACTGTCGGAACTTTGAATGTTGTGATTAATAAGTGGTGCTTGGTACGAGCGAGTGAATTTATCGACACCGTTATCAAAATGAGTGCACCGATCATAATCACCGTGCCTAACTACCTGGCCGTGGAAGATGGCGACCCGGAGGTGGCGGCCGATGTGGCACCGGCCACTCCCTCCAGGAAGCGAAGACTTGACCACCTCACGTGGGAGGAGAAGATGCAGAGGAAGTGAGTATTTTGATTGCGTGTCGTATCTATTGAAACTACCGGAGGTCATGGTACACTGGTTGTTAAATTCAGATGCTTCTTTGCGTGTTATTGACCTCTTATTTTATGTGTAAAATGTTTTTAATGGTATAGAATACACCCTGTTGTTGCTTTCACTGAAGCCACTCTTTTGTAAACATTGACTTATTGTACATACGGATGCTTTTCGGCAATTACGAGAATGGAAATTTCTCGAAAATAAGTTAAGCATTTAATTTGTTTTGTAGGAAATTGAAAAATCGCGTAGCTGCCCAAACATCTCGAGACAGAAAAAAGGCTAAAATGGACGAAATGGACAGCAAAATCAACCACTTCATGGCTGTAAATGAGAGGCTTGTTAAAGAGGTATTAGTTTTGCTTATAAGTACATAAATAATTTTATCAAAGAACAGTCTAGCAATGTTGAATTGTATGGGAGAGAGACTTAAATCTTTATAGATTGGTTGAGCTCAAAGTGTAAAATTTATCTGTTCAACAGGTCGAGGAGTTGAAGGCAATGAACGAGCGTCTGTTAAGTGAGAATGTATCGCTTCGTAGCGAGGCGGCGGCGCGGACCGTCACGGGGGCCCCAGGACCAGCAGAGTCACCTCAGCAGAAGGAGGGGCCCCCGTCGGCGATCCGCGCGGCACGCCTGTTGCTGGCGATGTGTCTCCTCTCGCAGACATCCTCGCCCATCTTGAATCAGAAGAGTACCTCGACACCCTCAATCAACTTGCCGACTCACTCCTCAAAGAAATTGATGCAAGTGCTGCAGGAGAGGCTCAAAATGTAAGCAATATGTTGTTTGCTGTGGCATTAAATTTTGGAGGTTTAAAGGTCATGAAAACATCTTACCTGGCTAGTGGTGTGTTAAATGGTTGTGGTCCACTCATGCCTCTTTCAGGGTACCACCACCTTGGACCCAAAGAATTCTAAAGTACAATTTACCACTCCCCATATTACAACTGCCCATGTTACATAAACATTATGCATTCACATTATTAGTAAATAAGTAAGTACTTTAAAATATATGTCGCCTAATCAGGAACGTAACCACCAGGAATTTAACTTTTTCTATTATTTTTTATATTATATATTATTTATTAATGAATCAAAAAGCCTTATATTGTTGAAAAATTGTTATTTTGTTTTTCTATTACCATTTCGAAAATTGCAAAAGTTGCATAGAATATCCGTATAAAAGGTATAGTGATGCAATAAGTCTTAATATTGCATCATAACTAGCATTAATCACAATTGGTTTTCCTCGTTTAGGTATGGTTGAGAGTATATGAGATTATACATACTATATGGTGTTGTAACTATTTACACAAGTGTCCGTATTGGTAACAACCAGGTTTCTTTAAAAATATTGTTATGTAAATGTTAAAGCATGACCTTCCACTAGTCGTACTTAGTGAAAACTATGTAATAATATTTATTTAAATAGAATAGATGTTCTTTGAATAACCTAGTTGTATTTGTTACAGGAATCAAACAGGGAAGATAGAAAATGTACTGAAGGATCTCAAATGGTGGGGACCCCAGCAAAGCACCTGGAATCCAGTAAAGGTGCACTCGTAGAGTCCGAGATCAATATGAAACATGATGTTGACAGAATATTGGAGCACTCATATGCACATCCCTATCCTAAAACAGAAGAAAAGGAAGAGAATGGAGATAAGGGTGACATATTTTACGCAAGTTATGAAGCTAACGACTGTGTCACTATTGAAGTGCCCTCAGAGGAAGTGGTTGAGGAAACTATAAACTTAGATATGGACTTTACTACATTGACACAAAGCTGCCCTGACCTTACCTTGGAATCTGACATGAAGTTGTTATCACCAATGTGTCTTTCTCCGAAATCCATAGAAGAAAACTTAGGGCTGTCTCCGTCACACACCAATGTTAGTTCAGATTTAGGATATGAATCCCTAGCGTCACCATTCAGTGAACCAGACTTGGATTTGCCGGATCTATCAGATTTTTGGTGCGACTCATTCTCAGAATTGTTTCCTGCGTTGGCGTAGGGAGCAATTCTGATCATCTTACCAAAGACTGATTAGGTTAGGTTGTTCAAGCTGATGTGTGTGGGGAGATAAAAGTTAGTTCAAACGTTAAGTATGTCAAATTAAGTTGTAATAGATTTATATTTATTGTTAAGTTATTTACTTAAGTTTATATAGGGATGTAATATAAGTGCTGTAAATATATAGTTCTGTCGTCATTATCTGCTTTTTATTCGACCTTCACTTAATGAGTAAGAAGTAAATATACCTACAAAACAGTAAAATTGAAAAACTAAATTACAATGACGCCATTTTGTTTAATCGAAAAAGGAGTTTTTTCTTAACTAAATTGTAAAGATAGTGAATCTACGAAAGTATTAGACAAGACAACCGAACTAGTGCTAAAATTCAATCAATTTTATCAAACAACAACAAATATTGAAAAGGTAGTTTGTGTCTCCCCATGACCACGGCTGCTGCAAAGCATCTAAAACGTGGAGCCGAAAGTTTCAAAAATAATTTTCAAATTAGTTTAACTAATATACATCACGTTTAAAACCGGTCAAGTCGTTTTATTTAAATGTGTACGTCCTACTCGCGTAAACTATAAACAGTATTTAATGGTAGTTATAGTTATGAATAATTGAGAAACGAAGTATTTGCTTGATAACGAATAATTAATGGTTTTATCGATCGAACCAGAACATTCTAGCCGCTTTACTGTTACAATCAAGGCTAAATGTGTTGTTATGTAGGTAGGTATTTACATGACTTTACTCAGCTCGTTGGTTTTATATTAGCTATGACTAGATAATCAACAGGTAGCTCGTTCGATTCCCGTCGGGTCTAACGTGTTTGTGGTTATTTTGTATATTTTAAAAGACGTTGACTCACGTCTAGAATTCTGGATTTTATACCCGAAAATCCGTCTGGGTCGCGAACCGCCGTCAACAGATGGAAAAGCCGTTGGGGTATTTAATGTTCAATCAGGCGAACTCTATCAAAAAAAGTAAATAATACACCTCAAATACCCGGTTTGCGTTTTAGAAGCTTGCATACAAAGATTGTCATTTGCTAAAAACATATTTTTGAATTGCGGTGAAAAATTTAATGGCCGCAGACGTGGTAGCTCAATGCTGTAAACAGCAGAACTACACTGTTGATCGTGGGTTCCAATACTTGTTAGCACTTTTTATTCAGTTGTATTTCGATATCTAAAATAATGTACAACATAACATTTCTTTGTTAGATGTTTATATTCTCAGCTGTTTGTTAAATAAAACATATGGTGAAGAAAAGTATATATAAATAATATTAGGTCTAGACATTTCTCAAAAATAATTGTGTCTATGAAATGCAATTCAGAATTAAACGACAAAACGTTATCAAATAAATAATTTTTAGTTATTTATTCAAAGGCCATTTGTTACATACGATTACATATCGGAATATCAACGTTATCTTGAAAGGAAATCCCAATTACATATATATTACTGTAAATAATAAATAAAACACTTTGCATCGGTTTAAAATGCAAATCATAAATATGATTTAATTGAATTCGATCTTTTGATACTTTTAATTTGAACCAATCTAAATAACATTTTAATGGTTTAAACGCGAAGTGTATTAGTAAAACTTATTTGCAAATTATTCATAGCTCAGTACCACGTTTCGTTAGATGTGTAGCTAGCACGTTCTAAACCGTTAATTTTTTACTTTGTAATAAGGGCTCGTTATTAGAAATAATAAAACACATTGTTACGAAAACATTAAATATATTTGTTAAAATATTACAGATTCAATAAAATCGTGTCACATAAAACATTTGTTACGTGGACCTAATAATGACATTGTCTAAATGAACTACAAAAAAAGTCGATCGTTCTTTTATTTTGTGGAAAATGAACATACATACAGGTGCATTTCACTTAGAACTGTAAATAAAAAAAAGATTTTTTTAATAATATTTTGGCACTAATATATCGCAACTAGCTTTAAGCGAATGATGTAAAAAAAAAAATATGTACAATACTGTGAGAATAACTGCTATTAATTGGAAGATCAAACTATGAATATTAAGTATTATTAAAATACCCAACACGCTAGTTTTAGAGACAGACAACCTTATCGAGTAGATTTCTTGACTGCTTAATATTAAATCTGGAAAGTTCCTTATACTTATCGAGATGAAGTTGGAAAAGGGATCGTTGTTATATTACAAAAAGCGTTATTATAAAAATGCATCTATATAACTCCTACCCTAATAAAATGTTCCAAAAAATTAAAATTGTTACAAAGAATAGTTACAACGGTATAGGTAGCGGCATGGACGTTTAGCGCTGAAGTGTGTAGATGGGGCTAGTTGCACATCTGTACAATCGCGCACGTAATTGATTGGAAAGCGTGACTGTACTCGAGAAGCAAGCGGAGAGTCGTATTGGTCCGAGAAAGACAACACGACTGGGGAACCAATCAACGCTAGCGCACATGTCGTTCACTCGCCACACGCCCGCCCTTCGATACCATGTTTTTTACTTCTGCGCAGGATTCGTTCAACGCGAAAGATCCGTGCCGCTACCTATTATTGGCTAAAATTAAGTTTTGAATGAGTGATCTAAATCGTTCGTTCGTGTTTTGTTTTTTATCTAAACAAGAGACCGAATTTAAGTTTTATCTAATTTTAGAACCATTTTAGTACGAACACTGTTATCTCATCACAATATTATTCTCTCTATTCCTATAGACTTTTAAATACATTTTGAACTTACTAACGTCCTTTAACTAGAATTAGAACAACAACATTAATATTAATCGATACCACAGACATACCTATCCCTTACTTTACATATGGCAGTTTATCTTTTGAAGACATAATAAATAATTTGTGTTTTTTTTGAGAACTTGTATGACGTACTCTATATTTGAACATCCGAAGTTTTATTGCCTCCTTGCTACAATAACGTTTTATTTTAAATTGACAAGTTATAAGTCCTTTTTGCTTTCAAAATTAATACTGAGAGCTTATTTCATTATCAAAAAAAGCTTTCTGACAAAGTAAGACTTCTCTATAGTTGAATTTATCGATAAACTATTGAAATGCAGTATTGGAGCAAAGAGGGGGTTATTTTAGAAGAACAATTGAGAAATGTCCGACAAAACGATTCAATTGAATTCTCTCCATTATCAGATATATTAGTTCTTCATATACATATATATATTTCCCGACAACTAGTCTGATTGGTAATTGTAATCAACGCCATCTATCCAAAAAGTTTGTCAAAGCAGGCGTGGCAATATGGTTTGTCGTTCTGCTCTTTGAAAGTGCCCTTATTGAGTTGCCGGAGGCAGAAGGCACACACAAAGTGTTCGGGGTGGAATTTCCTGAACATCGCCGTGATGCATCGACCGGCTATCGGCTTGTGGCAACCCGCGCAGAGGGAACCGCGCTTGCCATGGTAGTGTGTCTCGCAGTAGGGTTGCCCTTCGTGCTCGAAGAAGGATCCACCGTGGAATGGTTCACGGCATTCCTGAAACATGTTATTCACGTTTGAAAACTTGATATTTTTCACATTGGGAATTGCACACGATGGCACTATATAAATTAAAAATCGATTAGAAATTGAAAAAAAAAACGTTTTTTTTTCAATTTCCGAGTCGTTATTCGGTCGCTCAATTGGTAAGCCGTGGATGACGGTTCAAGTCCTGCCCGAATCGTAACTTTTTTCAATTTATATATTTTTACGCTTTATTAGGAATTAAATAACGGCGAATCACAAACGCTTCAGCGTAAAAAATCGTAGCACATAATATGCATGTATGATACTGTTGTGTGTCTTGGCTTAATAAAATACATAGGTACAACTTAGTAATCGAGTAACACGAGAAAAGAAATAATAAATTACTAGCAAGTAATACCAACCCGATAATTTTCGTTTCCAATTAATTGCAACGTAGTGTATTCGAAAATAGGTGTGTTACAAAAATGAAAATATTTACAACTAGTTTCTTTTCAAACGCGTACATTTGGATCAAATCCAAACCACTTAATTAGCGTGTCATATACACTGCACCCGAGTTTCCATTTAAAAAAAATCCAATATTGAATTCGCGAGAGGTTTATTTTAAAGATGTAATGTCTCTTTAACCTTGGCATAATAAAACGTCGCGCTTAGCAACGGCGTCGAAATGCACCGCGAAAATAGAATTAATTCAATGGCCTATAAACGCTTTCATTTACACCAGCCGCGCCGGCTGTGACGTCACAGGGATATAAATAGCGCTGCGTACGAATCGGGAAACCCTACACTCCTAGCACTTGACCCCATTCAAGTTTTCATTATTTGACAATAACAATAGCTTGATAAGTTCATTACCGCGTCGTCACATGCGTGTACGCACGCGACCTTGACACTGGACGGAAGCGCGACGCGCTCGTCATGTATGTTTCAAATTTGATTATAATCTTTGTTTATTTGTTTTTTTTTTACTCTCTTTATTGTATAAATCTTAGATAACAGTAATAATATAAAAATAAATTACATTAATGTATTATTCCCTATTGCGTATTCTATGCTAGTGTTTGTGTGAGTAGTACGTTCCTGACATGATCATATTGTGTAAGTTCGGCGCATAGCTGAAAAGTAAAGTTCGAGAGGGGCATTCGTTTTGGGACATTGTTTTGCATCATATACTACTCTTCTTCGTCGACTCCGACGCATTTGGGGCAAACCGGTTTTCCTTCCATAGCATAAAATGTCTTACCCTTTACCGCCATTTGACAATCCTGCGCAAGAAGTTAGATTTAAAGCCCATAAAAGAAGTAAACATTCATAACAATGTATACTTAACCTGGCGTAGACGCTGTACCAGACCTTTCTAAGCATGACCTACACACCTTGCACACGAAGCAATCCGGATGCCATTGGGTGTTGAGAGCGGAGATATAGTTCTCCATGATGGGTTTGTTGCAACCGCCGCACTTTGGCGCAAACATGTCGAAATAGTCAGCGCGGCAGTAAGGCTTGCCGTCTCTCTCGTGGAAGCCCTCTTCGCCGAACTGTTGGCCACATTGCGCGCAGAAGAAGTGCTCCGTGTGCCATGTCTTCTCTAGGGCCGTTACACATTTCTGAAATGTAAATTGAATTAGAAACCCAACTATAGATGTGATATAGATGCTAAAGAAGAAGCCACTGACATCCAAAATAGGTCCATTGCAGTATGCGCATCGAGGTGAGAAAAGGTTGTGATAGTCAGGCTCGCAGTAGGGCCTTCCGTCGCGTTCGAAGAAGTTTCGCGTCCCCAACTCCTGGTTACAGTGTGCGCAAGTGAAGTGCTCTGGATGCCAGGTTCGGCCCAACGCCGTTATAACCTGTGGACACATCGAATTATTAAAATTCTCAAAAGCGTCCAGCTTCACATCTTCGTGGTAGTGGTCAGCACCTGTCCAACGATGGGTTTCTCGCAGGCATTACAGCATCCCTTCTGGGGCGTCTGGACTCCTTGGCGACTCATGTCTGCTCGTAGGGAACCGAGCATGTGCTCGAGCGACGCTGACTCCGGTTGACGCGGATTGCTTCGGTATTGTTCCTGCCACGCGCGCTTCTCCCGGTATACGTGAGCTCCACCCTCAACTCCTTGGGGAGGACTGGCACCGCTCACCTGAAAATGACCATGGTATTTACTAAATGCTGTACATCTAAAAGTTCTGTATATGTTGAGCAGTTTAGAGCAGAAGTGGCAATTAATTTGGAACGTACACAAGTAACGTACGACGGTCGTGAGCGACTAGAGCGAATGCGGTCCGAGTCAAATGTTTGACTATGTACTAATATTATAAGCTCCCGGCCCCACTACGCCTGTGATGTAACCGCCAGTACTATCTTTAGATGTGAGCTTTTCGGAAGGAGTAAGCGAGACGAGAACACCGCTGGAGTAACTCTACGCTGGAAATAGCCATAGACCAAGAAAGGCGGCTAGTACATTATAAACGGAAAATCTGTAGTGCAGTGTGCCGAGGAGGCCTTGACTGAGATTATACACTTAAAAAGCGGCTTTTAACGAGTTGAAACGTTGATCATTTAGTTAGTAAAACAATTGTTCCACGTGTAACATTTGCTGCTAAAAAGCACCCTAACAGTAGGGTCGTACGAAAACTTGATGAACAGCAATATATTATTAAAAATGTAGTTTCAAATCGTTTTAAACAGTTTTATTTGACGTGTTGTTAACCTGCGTAAACCACAGATAATAATCATATACTTACATATAAGATATCTTTATAGTTATATCTGATAATCTTAAATGTCAGTTTAGAAATTACTGTCAAAGTACTAAATAATTTCTGTTCACATTTTAACAAAGATAAACAAAAAAATTTGATACAACCAATTTGGTACAGTAGTAAAGTCGATGAAACGAAACACTAGAGAATTTGACCAAAAAGCCATTTAGACGTAAAAGAATAACAAACAGTCATACAGTGAATCTTGGTTAAGTGGGACCTGGATAAATGAGAATCCTCTATTATTGAGATTTGCAATGAGGTCCCGGTTCTTCTACATTCATTTACTAGTGTAATGGAAACTTTTTGAACCTGGTCAAATGATGGTTCTAAGACTTTTTCAACATTTACCTCTACAATTGAGGCTCTGTAGCTCAATAACCGGTATATGTAAGACAAATTTATCAGGTTCTAACACGTTATGGCATTTTTACAAACAAAGGCGGCGACATCTGCTTAAGTGGAAATCTGGATTATTGGAAACCCACAACAATTGGTAAATATGTCTTGGTAACTTGAGACCCCAAATCTCAAGTTACCAAGACATTTAACCAGGTTTCACTGCACATCTTTTGGAATTTATAACAAGCTAGGCTTACTTTGAAGTCGGAGAGCGATGCCATTAGATCGTCCAGCTCCTTCGTGGCGCTGGATGCGTGTTGGTGTCGGTGCGCGGTTTGAACTTGGGGTGACTGCTGAGCTGGTTCCACCACCGTCTCTTGGACTGTGACCGTCACCTGCTTGGTGCCCGGACGAGGGAGACTGCCCGAGGTCGGTGGTGGGACGGGGGATGTTGAGCTGCGACTGTTTAATAAAAAAAAATCAACATAGATACAATGCCTAATAAGGGGAATTATAAATGTTTGAAAAACTGATGACACATGCGGAATTGGAACCCAATAATATTGTTTTGTGCCTCTATTCAAACAAAAACAATAATGAATAAGTCATCAATTCTAAATAGTATAATAGTTTAATTTTAGTCTTGTGCTGGATTATAATGCCTAAATATAATAAAGACTAATAATCTTTATATTAATATTAAATCCAAAGAACATAATATAGCCTTATTATCATCATTACAATGTTATATGTCAAATAACTATCATTATATTGAAGCTAATGTAATCGTAAAGGAAGGAGTTTGTTTGTTTGTTTGAACGCGCTTATCTCAAGAACTACGGGTTCAAGTTAAATTTAGGTTGGTTAGAGCATTTATCGAGGAAGGCTATAGGCTATAGAACATCGACCTGTGACTAATACAGTCGAACATACGGCGAAATATGTGAAAAACTTTGGGAAAATTATTCATCATTATGGGTTTCCGAGTTTAAGATACCCCAAAAGAATGTATGAAAGGAAGACTTCTCATTAAATGATCTAAATAAGTCCACGACGCTATATGTCAATTTTTTTTAAATTATCTTGCAAGAAGGACGGGAGGGGACGCGCCCGACGTCGTGGGTCGTGAAGCAACGAATTTTAATGCCCAAAATATTTTCACAGACGAAGTTGCTGACTCAGCTAGTTAAAGATATTTTGACGTACGCTTAAGGAAGTTATACCAACTTAATGTTTATAATTAAAACCAATTACTAAAGATAAATAAAGTCGACATCAAAACCTCGGCAATTATAAATACGGACCATTAAACATTTAATTGTTCATCAGTTTGCACAGATTTGGCATTTCGTCCCATGAATTGTTTGAATATAGACAATCTGCGGGTTATAAATCTGTGTCTGTGAACAGCGGAACTAAAGAGCTCCAGTAAATAATGGTTCCGTGGATATTTATTCACAGGTGCGCTAAGTGCGTATTAGTTGGACAATATACTCTCGTGCCAACAATGATAATTATGAATTACTACTATTATATTTGTTTCTGAGACTAGTGAAAGCCCGTTGCTTCGTTTTAAAACTTTTATATTACTATTAAACTTAACGGACTCGTCGGTAGCGATGGCTAATAATCCACCATGTTTCTAATTAGTTTTCTGACACACTTTGTTTGGAAATCTAGGTATTAAATGGGCGATACGGTGGTACGGTGTCACGAATCGCAGCCCACGTATAAAAAACCTGTAAAGATTATCGCGTTTCGTACTGTCTATAGTATACGAATAGTACTTCGGTACGATTCGGCTTTGCAGCAGCCGTGGTCACGGGGAGACACGTCGGGCCGAAGTTAAAAATCAATTTCAAATACGTTTACCTATTATATCGCGTTTTAAACCGTCAAAGTCTTTTATTTAAATATCGCGTTTCGGCTTCAGTTTGTGGACTTCCGAATATCCAAAGACAAAATATCTCATAATATCTCTACGACATATGAACATTTCTAGGCCTGGTGGGTTCCACCAGACTAATGGAAAATCGCGATATAAAAACCGGTCATGACGTATAAGAGTATATTTCTGTCCCGACTACGTTACATTTTCACACGACCCGCGACCGAACATCGGCGCCGACTTATAATGTCAGCTATCAACACATCGTTGAGCTGGACAATAACATTTTTATTTACTCGACTTAGACTTAAGAAAAACAATTGTTTAGATTTAAATAAAACACGTTTAACTGTTTAACGTGAAAATAAAAAAAAAAAAAAACCAAAAGAAAAAAAAAAGGGCGCAAGAAAAAAAAATTTGCTTCCAAATTCTGTTCCTCTTATATCACATCGGGTCGTAGTTAAAATACATTTAAAATGAGCTACTTAATAAAACTTGCGTGTCGAACCGTTAAAAGTGTTTTATTTAAATGACTATATTATTATAATAACTCGCGTAAACTAGAGACAATACTTAATTGTGTGATTTTGATTTTCTTTGATTGATTAAAAACAATTATTTACTTTAATTACTTATATGCTTTCTTTAAGTTTTTTTTCTTTTTGTATCATTTTTATATCGCCTACCTATAGACCGCAATGCACGAAAAATATAACAGACGGAAAAATGTAACCGTATTTACGAACAATTCTTACAAATATATTTTTTTATTTATGGTACATTTTTTATTTTTAATTAACTTTAGACATCCTAAGCGGAAATTCTTTTGAACATTATGATCACTATCAACATATAAGTAAATATCTGTATGAATGGCTGAAGAGTGGTAAGACTAACCCATTATGAAGATCAGTGCTGAGTTGGTCGAGAAGTGAATCCACTGTAGGCCGCGCGGAAGCCGGGCTGGTGGCACCATTGGTTCTTGAGTAGCTGTCTGCAAGAGTACATTGGTTACAACGCAATATTCATGTTTAGTTAAGCGTCAGTCTAAAATAATTGGTCGCTAAATATTGTTATAAGATTAAAAATTCAGGATTTTAATATCAAATTTAATACCTGCAAAAGTTTTATTTATGTCAATTGGCAAGTTTGTTTTTTTACACGAATTATGATTTCATAAAATCATTTTGTATGCTTAAGTATTAGAAACTTATAATAATTAAAGTCACATGGTTCATTTAAGAGTTTTTCCTTTCAGTCCGTGGATTTTCGAATATCGAAAGACAAAATAGATCGCCGGGGCATCTTGTTTAGATGTTAGCTGGCTGGGGTACTTCGCTTTCGATCAAGTGAACCGCCACGTTTGTCTGCTATCCTATATCATTAAAATTATATGCAGACAATATTTATGTTACGTTGAAATGTTAACTTAATACGTTATGAGGAAATTCTATAAAATAGCATACAAGAACCCAATTTTCTTATCACTTTCCGTAAAGATAACCTAATTACATCATTAATGCTGTTTAAATTTCGTAACATTACACAGTTGGTCCGTTTTATACATGGCTGACTGAAACGTACTTACTAGACGTAATATTTAAAACCTGAAGAATTTGTTTGAACGCGCTAGCCTCAGTAAAATGAGTATTAACATTTTAGCAAAGTGGTATAGAATTGAAAAGTTTAATATTTTTCACATGTTATTGCACATGAAGGCACTATATAATTTAAAAATCGAAAAAATGTTCTAGGTATTCTATACCTAGAACATTTAGTCACCTTTGAAATTGCAACAATTTTTTACCATTTCGTATAGGTACGCACTGGTTAAAAGCATATATTTATGAAGCAATAAGTATTGTATGTCTGATTATTGAAAGAAAATACTCTTATGTATGTATATAAAGAGTACCATATGCGTAAACAGACATTTTGGCAGTTGTTTCATGATTTTTAGCTTTGGACAATTCAGAAGTGATCGAAATAAAGTTTTTAAAATATTTAAATACAACACTTGCTGCAGTATTAGAAACGTCGTTTTACTAGCTTTTAAGTTATATTTATATTAAAGCGAAATCGAACTTGTGCTGTACGCTACAATAGAGATAATAAATAATACTTAACACCTGTCCGCCGTTTCCACACGTTAGATAAACAAGACTCTAGGCAGAGACAAATGGCTGAGTATTTCGTAAAGTTAATAACACTGATCTATTTCAGTTGCTGGAAGCACCAGCCTTGCCAAACACAACATGTGCTGGTTATTATAACATTGGGAATATTATTTTAGTTATTCATTACTATTCGATTTTTCTAAGCCATAGATCGTAGATCGTCGTGGCAAAATTTGCTTCTTTATTTAAACGATATGTTATTTTAAAAGGATCATTATGGCATTATGACCACAAAAAAGCACGTTGATAAAAAAATGTTAAATATTCAATGTAATGAAAAATTACAATGGCGTCCAGTTCTGTTTAATAAAGAGGATACACAATGTCTACTTCACGGACGTTGAAAGACTACAAGATGTGCTGTCGAACTATTTTAGCTTTAAACACAGTAAAATTTTTTAGAATGTTGAACTTCTCTAATGAATAAACCTAATAAATATGAACATTATTAATTTTAACGACATTAATACAGGGCCTCCTAAGAATATATACGGGCCCATAACACGCCTCTGCAGCCTAATGGTTAAATAAGTTACCGTTCGCATCCCAGGGACCTAAAACCGACAATTATTTTTTAGGTTACATAAGGTATGACGTGTGGACTTTTTCATTATGTTCTCCTGAGCACGATGAAGCTTCAAACTACCGACTACACGAACTTATACTACAAGACCAACACTTGTACAGGATATCATTTACAAACTTTCAACATCTTTCACATGTTATTGCACAGGATGGCACTATGTAAATTAAAAATCGACTCGGGCAGGACTTGAACCAAAAGCACAATCGGTTAAACCAACAGCACGAAACGCTGTGGATGCCGGTTCAAGTCCTGCCCGAAGCGTTTCGTCATTTATAATCGAAAGAAAAAATATTTACCCGATCGATCAGTGTAGCTGTTCTTCTCCGAATAATTTCCATATCTCGCATTACTCAGGTCGTCGAGAAGAGTGTCCAGTTCTGAGAGGTTTCCCCGGCCCGTGGTCCTGCCGTAGCCGGCCGAGTTGCCGTAACTTGGCGTGTGACTGGTGTAGCTTTGTTGAGCGTTTGTGTACTTGATTGGCGATGTTTTCTCGTGTACCGCTGTTGTGTTCTGGTAGGTAGGCTGTTGACAAAAAAACAATTATGATGCGGGGGATAGACAAGCATCGGGTTTAACACCCCAGCCCATAGCATCTAAAAAAATCTGTCGACCTATTTAAATAAAACACTCTAACGGTTTAAACGTCCCCGAGATTTTTTCTTCGTCCCCACGTTTGGCTTTGCAGCAAACGTGGCACAACGGGGACGAAACGTCGGGCTGAAGTTAAAAAATTATTTTCAAATAAGTTTAACTCTTATATCACGTTTTAAACCGTTAAAGTGTTTTATTAATCTACTCGCGTAAACTATAGACAGTATTTAATCTGTCGACCAATTTTGGCTTTGGATGTTGGGAAATCCACATACTGAATCCGAAATGAAACCCGACACGGGATATTTAGTAAGGGGTAAAGGTAAAAGAAGAGGCCCACTTCTATATAGTAGGTATGTAGTATTACGCTCCGTAGTGTTAAAGAGTCAATTTAAGATTTAAAGTTATACATTGTTAATTTATATTACAGTTGGATTTTTAAGTGGTTAGTAACATAACATTATACTTTTTACATTATTTAATTTAAGAACACATTATATTTAAAAAAAAGCTCGCCAAAGAATAGGCAAATTTCAATCCTTCTTCATTAATAATCAATCTCAAACAAAAGCTAGACATGTAATATGTACATATTTCTCTAAAAATACAATTTCTTCTGGATTTGCGAGCTTCTTTTTTATATGCAATGTAATTGATAAACGGAAAAAGATTTACTTAAACTTCGTAAAATATTTATAGTATGTAAGTCTTCGAAATAAACGTACCGATCGTCAGCTGTTTTAAAACGACATCTAGTTTTCATTCAGTTATTCTCTTGGACGTTGTCCAAATCGTAAATACACTGCGACATAGAGCTAGTAGAAATCCAGAGTGTTCATTCACAAAATAACTAGATGGCGTTTAAAATTCAAACCAAATTAGTATAATAGAACTAGTTTTATAAAGAGGTTCCTTATGCAAAAAATGACCCAAAATTTAAAAGTGCGTGTTACACAAAATTTTAACTCCCTGTAATGTTTATAATAGATGAAAATCGATAAGACATAGTAAAGTTATTTTGAAGTGATAATGTCTAATGGTGCAGTTTTTTATACTTTTAACCGCTTCGTTACGTCACGCGTTACTACGTCTGTGTCTTTATCAAATCCTGTTGAGTGTCACAAGGATACCACTTTTTGTATTTTATCTTAGTTTCAACACATCTTTGAAACCCAAACATTGTTGCTTCAAGTACATAGCTTTTGGAGTTTGGCAGATATTACTAAGTAGAAAACTAGTACAGTCGTAGTCTGTCCTATGCTCCTTATGGGAGATACAGTCATTCATTTCTATGTTCTGACATCTAACATCGATCATGAGTCAAGTACAGAAATCGCAGAAATATAGGAAGTATCACAAAAGGTCACGATTTATGGAAAATACGAGATCAAGCGAATAAAACTTGACTTACTTTCCAAATCTTAAAACCAAAGCCGTTGCCAGCTACCGAGTATCTGTGTCAAAGCCGACTTGAATTTCTACAAAACGGTCACGAAATCCTTTGATAGCTTTTGGGAATATAACTGTAGTTGCATGTTTATTTAACAAAACATAGTTTTACGTGTATTGTAAAATTCTGCTTAGCTTTAAAAATTCAGTGTTGTATTGTCTGTAGTTTACGCGAGTAGTACACGTTGAAATAAAACACTTAACGGTTTAAAACGCGAAATCTATTATTTAACTTACTTTTACTTCGCTTGCTTTGCCGTTATGTTTTATTTAAAAAATACAACGCAAACGGGAATCGAACCCAAACCTACAAAGTTTATAATATGCTCTTACAAACTAGTCACATACGACTCTAACGCAACATAATTTCAACCTTAACACACAAGGTCAATGACTTTGGCTTTGCAGTGTAAGAAATCGCCATAGTCGTAGGTTTGAGTCCCGCCTGTATCACCCATTTTTTCAATAACTATATTTTGAACACAAACACAATTTAGACAACAGCTGTATTACACATATGAAAAAATAACTGAATCTTGGAGGTGTTACACGTGTCCCTACTTTGTGTAAGAGATGTTGACATTATAAGCTTATCACGTACGTAGCTAACAAAGACTCGGTTACCAAATAAACGCATGAATTGACTGCTGTTTTATTAGGAAGATAGTGTATCGTATATTGCTCTAGCCAAACAGGAAAAATCACGTGCAACAGTTAATAGAAATATTTGAAAGAAGGCCGTTTAGAAATACATCTTAGCCAATGTGTGCATATCAGTCTCCCACTAATCATAGGAAATTAGAAATTTAAGTCTCCTATTAGCGATGTATGGCTCATAATCAACTAGGTTCATTCTGTTCTAACCAGTTTTAATTTTCTGAAACAGGTTGGACTTCGTCTGATAATCTGGATATTAAATGGATGGTAGAAAAACCAAAATTTAATTTAGGGAGCAAAATTAACTTGCGATAAGGCAAGAGTGCGGATCTGTATGGGGAGAAAAATTTTGACATATACATAATAGAATCCTGGATAACATGTAAAACTAAGTAAACTAAATTATTGGAAAATAATTTTAACAACGACGCTGTGGACCGCAAAGTTTGCAGCAGACGTGGTCATGGCTTGTTAAGCCAGTAATGTTTTATTCAATTAGGTATTACTCTAATAAACTACAGAGGTTTATTTCTTTTTTATAATGAAGAACTTACCGAAGCCGGTTTAGCGTAATCAGATCCTATATTCCTCGAGCCATTGATGGAACCGTAACCCGTCGACGTCGGAGAACTCAAGCTGCCGCCTGGAGAACTGAGGCGCCCGGGAGAGCTGCCTCTGCCAATAGGCGACACCGTTCTTCCCGGAGAACTGGTCCTTGCACTGGGGGATGTGGTCCTCCCACCGGGGCTACTGACGCGACCCGGGTTGATGGAGTTCTGCAGATCAGCCAACAGGGCATCTGGAAAACCAGAAAATAAAATAAATAATCACGTAGGTAACTCTATGTACACTTATGATACGTCACAAAACTAAAGAATCTAACTTCACATTTACTACCAGTTCTCAAATCAAGGGCGTAAAACGAACAAGAAGATCTGGCTAAAACCTCGCCGCCTCACCTTTTATCGCCAAGTTTTAATTTTACAGTGATTAGATAGTGCACTAAATATTTCAGAAAATAGGTACGAAAAGAAACAAATAAAAAGCATATAAATTACATGTATTATCCTAATACAGTTTTGAATCGTATTGTTAGTAAGTTAGATGCATATGTAAGGCAGTATGGACTCTTATGCGAACCTATATTATACCTATAATACTATATTACCTATAGTTGATCTTAATTATACACCTCTAATATAAACTATAACCTTATTTACTTATTTTTAAGAAGACTAATATACTGTTACAGTGAACCTGTAAATGACTGAAAAAAATATTTATTTGAAAAAAAAAATATTTTGAAAAAGAAATTATCGTTATTGTAGACTTTGGAATTCGTATTAAATAAGAAGGAAATTGATTACTGTAGTGAACTCAACCATGACAGTAGGACACTACGAGCTTTTAGCGAAAAACTTTTGAAAAACACTTGTATAGAGCGTTTGGTGGTAGTCGCCGGCTAAACATTTTGAAAAGTAAGATTATATGTACAGAGAAATGCTGAGTATGAACATGTTTACCTATCTAAATTATAATATTTTGAAGGACCGCCAAATGTATAAATAATAGTGAGATTCTATTGCTTCAAATACTTTTACGCACTGTGAGTAGGACTACATCCGAGAACTACACCAGAGAAATGGTAATACCCATAAAAAATCTCTACTAGCCGCCATCACCACATAATCGAGATCGAGACACAGTCGCCAATTTTACCAGCACCAAAAACTGCTTTAATCTTTTGCATCTGCGTATTTTTTTAAGCTACAATTAACGATAATTGTGCATATCTGTGCGTTGTAATTGAATAGTAGAACAATCCGCTTAGTCACACGGGCACTCAGACCCATTTCCAAAAAGACATCGTCGACAAAACAAATGCAAGTCAGCGCTCTCGTTCCTCAAGGTTAAAAATGCCAGTACTGCAATAGATATTAACACGCACTTAATTTGTTCATAATAAAACACCCATTAATTAATGTCGGCCGTTAACGTGGACTGTTTTAATGTTAAGTGATGCCATGGCCATTTCGGTTTAATAAAATTTAAATTCCGTCGAAATATATGGCGCTAGGCTAGGCGCCAAACCTTATGCACCTGACTCCACGACTGGTGGAAAGTATCCAAAACTTGACATTGTATTTACACTTAACTTATATTTGCAGTTTAAACCATTAAAAGTGTTTTATTTATTAGGTAATATCATTAATATAGGCGTGCGTAACTATAGATAGTTTATGGTATACCTACCTAAAAGTCCTTGATTGAAGGTGAACTGATCAGATCCTATAGCATACAATTAAAATGCTTCGGGGACCCATTAGTGATTTGGACTTTTCAGAACACTATGCGCAAATGAGAAGCTTAACAATTCAATTGTTAATGATGACGGAAAATGATATGCTCCGTTACGTTTACTGTCCAAATTTTAATGTAGACAGAAGTTAAGATCATAACCTCCGAAAGACAATAAAAAATTACTAGTTTCCATATCACTAGACGTCATGAGTCATTATAGTCATAGATGAATAAGTTCATCTTACTTTCGTAAAAGGAAAAACCAGAATTACTTAACACATAACATATTTCTACTAATTCTATCTAATTAATCTTAATAATTAACTGTTAGAAATGTCTAATTACGTGTTAAATCAAATAAAACCGTCATCGTGGTTATGTAGCTGTGAATTTTGAACGAAGCTCATTTCTTTTATGAATCACTGTATAAGGTAATCCATGAGGTTTTACTCATTTGTTTAGAATTTGTTCCGACGGGCTCATCAGTAATGGTAGCAATGTATAGTAATAAACGGGTGGTGGGTTGATCCCCACCGGGTGGTAGAAACATCAAAATTCCGCCCCCAGATGAAGAAATCTGTGGACTTCCGAACATCAAAAGCCAAAACAGGTTGACAACGCATCTTGGATAGATGTCATTGGGTTCTTCACCTTCCATCAAGTGAGCCCGGTGCCTGACCGTCCTCCTCTATAATAAAAAATCGTTCATAAACAAATCACGAATCCCGCCAGACGGGTCCACCTTTGCCAAAACTCCCCCACCGGCCTTGAGGTCATATTAAAAAACTAGTTTTAAGGTTCAATGTCCTTTAAAGTCTTACCCGATTTTATTTTAAAACACATAAGATTTTTTACTACTCACATCAAAGCTATAAACCTCTTATCGGCCAACCTTCAATGCTTTCATTGTTGGGACTTGAGGGTCCTTTTATGTGACACGAATAGAACTAACTAATTACTCACTAACAGTCGATCCCTTGTTTTTAATCGTAAATACTTTTACAAGAAAGAGTTACCCAATCCTTCGCAAGCCTCAAACACTTCAGCGTAGTCGGTTTTCGGCTCTAAATTTGTATGCGTCTTCAATATTTTCCCGTAAACATCGTCGTTCACTGAATAGTGTGCTTTTGACATAATTACACTTGAAACACTCTAACTTGTAAACAATTGGTCGCAATTATTACGCGCGAGCAAGATGCGCGGGCGACGCTCTTATGGACAAATGTAGTACTGATTCAGATTAACCTTCCAGCGCTGACCGCAAAAATCGTATAACACATTGTTCACATAAACATTGGAATTCCGTGGCGATGCGAACGCGGACGCTATTTAGGATTTTCGATCTGATTTTTTTTATTATTCTTAGCCAGTCCTAATGGGCATAGACTTTTAATTAAAAAAAAAATGCATGCAAATGTTAAATAATAATGTTTCATAAAAACATGTGTAGAACTACACAGTTTAAAAGGCGAAATGTATTAGTTGAACTTATTAGCTATGGCGACGTTTCCCCCCCGAGACCACGGGGGAAACGTTGCGTTTCATTTAAACATAGAAACGGTTATCCTGTGTCAAGGGCGGCCTTCTCACAACAGAGCGATCTCTTCCAAGCACTTAACAAGGTTGTATAAAAAAATTGTTGTTTAACTCTTAAAGCATGGATCGAAATGAAAGCGCTTTTATCGCTTGAATCTGCAGGATATTGAATGGTCGCTGACGCTGCCTTAATAATGAGGCGTCATAGGATGACGCCTGCGTTTCGGAATTTGTCTTGTGCTAACCAAAGCTTTTTATTATTTGCGATGCATGTCTCACGTTTTTTTTTTTAGAAAGACACACACGCACGGAGATCACTCGCTGAAAGGCGAAATATCCCAGCCATATAACATCTATACCAGATTTGCTATCGACCTATCGTCATTATTAAAAATGTTAATATAACAATTGTTATGAGTCGTATCATTCACATCATGACAGAAAGAGTGTTTGCTAGACAGGATTTCTTGTATTTCATGAAGTAAATAATATTTATTTTACATGGCAATAGCGATAGCAAAATAATAAACATACCATACACGACGCCTGTCAATATTTTCAAGCAAAAACACAGAACAAAGATATTGTATTACTATTTGCGTAGTGAATATATGCAATGCATCTGAAATACTTTATCCCCCATTAAAGAGCAAAGAGCATTGATAATGTATATTGGTTCTTATAAACCACTACTGCTAGACGGGATCCAACATCCTGGATTCAGCGCCAGAGCGATTACTTTTGAGTAAGAACGACTTGGTTTTATTGGTTATGGGGACCTACTACCTACCACCACCACGAGGCCACCACTTACAGCGGGTCAAGTCTCACTCGTGTCGGATATTAGTATATGTTTACTGAATTATCACTTTAGTAAATAAATAAATTTCTCTCTTAAAACATCGTATTCCTGAATAATGCAGTGCGGTAGTGCAAAACACTTAGGCACAGATACCGAACCGCAAGGTTATCTGCAAATTGACACTGCCTTCATCAGACAATGTTTAAATAAGTTACATCGCAATGATTCTAATTATAGATAATGAAATATCATTATTTACATAGAGACAAATCTTCTTAGTTTTTTATCATAATTCATCTTAATCTTCTAATAGTTGAGTTATGATAAAAAAACACGATTCTATTAAATACTCTTTATAGTTTACGCGAGTAGTACACATTAAAAAAAAACATTTTAACTTAACTTTGCTCTCCGTGACCACGGCTGCTGCAAAGCATCCGAAACATCGAGCCGTAGTTAAAAATCATTTTCAAATAAATGTAATGAATAGATCGCGTTTTAAACCGTTAGAGGGTTTTATTTAAACACGATTCTATTGCTCAAGTTTGTTTACAACTCCCAAAACGCTCTAACCCGATCACAAATATAGCGCAAGGTCGTACAATAAAAGCTTCTGAATCATTCGCGCGTCACTCGAAAACTCACCTAGATATGTACTGAAATCGGTGAAGTACTTCTTCCAATCCGTTGGGTTCAGTTCCGGGGGGTGAGACGGTCCCCGTTCCGCGCTATACTTTCGTTCTAGCACGGGGGAGAAAGAGACCGTCTTCGGCGAAGCGGAGCGCGTGCGCACGGAAGCCATCCCTCACAGCCTCACACAGGTATATAAGAGGCAGTGGAACGAATTGGCAGACAGTCGTTTTGCGACTGCGGCTGGTGAATGACTGGTTATTTCTGTCTCAGATTCTATGGGTTATCGGAGGCGAGAGCGACGCCGGATGATAGTGCGGTCACACTGAGCTAGCGACAGTTACGCGCTGCGCTATTCCCGGCAGGTGGACGCTTTTCGACGTTCTGTTTCATAACTTCGTCCACGCATCATTAACCTGTCTACGTTAATTTCAATCAATGGGAAACAGGTCACCTAAATAGGTTACCAGTTCTTATATTGGCTCAGTCAAAATTAACTCGCAGTCTAGCTAAGCTAATGGTGTGTTTTCGAAGCGCACGCAACGGAAACTCACAAAGACGAAAAATTATAGTAGTTTTTGAGATCAGCGCCTTTAAACAAACAAACTCTTTTCTTTAGCTTTATAAGATTAGTATAGATTATTTAAAATACAAGACATCGTTTCCAAATTCCTAACTGATATTAACAATTGGAGAACTACGGTTCCCACAAGAATGGCGAATGCTGAGCGAACCAGTACTTCGACCAAACTATTATGTAAATGTTTACTTAAATGTTATGTAAAGTTACTTTAATCGATCATTATTGAAAAAAGGCAGTATTAAAATAATGGTTCGCTTTTATGGCTGAGACGTAGGCGGCGCCCATCAAGCCAGTGGGAGGAAACAGCTGAAGGCCACCGTTGGCAACGTATCATAACCATGTTTGTGGTTATATAATACTTCGTCAAGAAAATGGGATATAAGCGATCTAGGAACCTCTATTTTAAAATCAATGAGAGTACTTTTCAAGGGCACAAACTAGGTTTAAACCAAACGCGAACCACCTGAACATATTGCTTGTAGCCAGATGTTTCGTTGCATTTGTTGATAAGTGCAAAGTATCATCCTAAATATTTGTTTCTCGCTTTTAAATTTGGTAGCTTACAAATTATCTACTAATGCAGAATATCTAGTACATACATAAACATCTCCACAATTTAAGATAACACAAAAATCTCTAAATTTACATTTACTACCAGTTCTCAAATTAAGGGCGTAGAACGAGCGAGAATAACTCACAAGTCGCTGCGACTCTTTTTATCAAGAATTTGTGTATACGACATCGGAATTCCACACATGGAAGACATGTTTGTGCATAGTATGCAGAAAAAAGTCACTTTACTATGAACCTATAACCTCTTTGCATCACGTAATTACATAGTTGCGCACTTGGACACATTGATGAAAACCTTCGCCTAAGAACCTATACTAATGTATAATCTGAAGAGTTTGTTTGTTTGAAGGCTAATCTCAGGAACTTATAGCAGCAAAGAAATAGCGGGAAATGGGACAAAAACGGCGGCAATTATTACGTACGCTGCGAAAACGGGTTAAGACACCTAACAAATACGTAGGAAAGAATGATTCCTCCTTAAATGATCTAAAAAAATGTCCGCGACATTATAATATATTGTCTGTCTTTTAAAATTCAATTGCAAGGATGACGGGATGCGAGCGATGGGACTCGCCCGATGTCGTGGGTAACATCTTAAATTCATAAAGAGAATTGTTTTCTGCAAAAACAAATTTAAATACCAAAAATAACTATTCTACGCGGACGAAGTCGCTGACACAGCTAGTATAAGAACCTTGGTCCTACACCCGGCAGTATTAATGATAAGAATATAAAAGGAAGTTCTTTGTTAATTAGAAGTAAATAATTATAACACTACGCTATGAATAATGCATTAGCTGTCAATATAATGTGTATTATGTTCCATATTAAAACTTCACGCTATGAAAAACGTCGGACAGAATTATAAACGATTCCATTATAACTGTGTACTTTAATTTAAACTTCTGCGAGTGGAAAAAGTGGAAGTACAAAATTATGCCGACCTCTTTTTCTAACAAGCGTACGTGAAAGCAAATGCAGACACTGATATTTACGCTACGTCCTAATTTTGTTTACAAACGCGTTTATAGTGGCGTCCCGCGGCGCGAAAATAGTAATACATCGCGGTATATAAATGTTGAGTATCTCTATTTTTGACATGCACAAGTGTCCCATAAATTAATTTTATCACCACGATAGATTCTTAGAGGTCTAAACGGAATATTCTAAAGCATTGATTAAAACATCAATCGTTGCCCAAAAAACCGAATTAATATGTCTGTAGCTTCATGATGGGAGAATAAATATTGTACTACTTAATTGGTGTCTGCAAAAGCATTAAAACAGCCTTAATTGGACGAAAATTATTAACCCTTATAGATTATATTTACAGGACTCATAGGCCACAGGTGGCAGTATAATATCCTAAATCTTGTGTAATATAATATAATAATCTCGTATATAGAACTTAAAATAACTGCTCGGAAATTATAAAAATGAGTAATGTTAAATCAAAGTAAATGTTAAGTTCCGCTGTCCACCTGGACTTAGTCCTTTATCCATAAATTTCAAATATCGCGCAACGACAATTCCGTCACCCAGCTCAGTATAAACGAACACAAATTGACCAATTCGTTCCACATCTGTCTCATCGAGCGTTACCAATCGGCGGGCACTTGGCTCCTAACCACTCACTGTGTCCATAAACAAAAAGAACCGAACCGAACAATCCGGATACGACATTCCCGACACGACCTATAAAGTCACTAGCATTATGGAATTTTAAGAACCACACGCGCGAAGATACCTTCCGGGTGGATGTCGCAGCAGCAACTGAGCTCACCATTCTATGGGTCGCAGCGATCTCCGATGCTGTACGGCAGTTAATGGATATGTGGGCGACAATCGTATCGGCAACTAGTACCTCCCGGGAAGGTCACGGACTAGCGGATCTCGGTGCTTCCAAGAAAGCCGGGAATGGTAATACGGGACGCGATCGTCGCTTGCATTGATACCGTTTCCTATTTCAATGGAATGACATTGCCCCGCCTCCTTCGCGAAAGAGGCCAAGCAGAAGGCCTCAATTGACAGAGTCCCATAAAGCTCAAAAATTTATTTATCTTGTTGACACTTTGACGGTTTACAACTTATTTTTTACTACAGCCCGACGTTTTGAATGCTTTGCAGCAGGCTTTGTAACCTGTTAAAAAGTTTTTATTTAAATGTGTACTACGCACGTAAATTACAAAGCGTATGTATCGTTTATCTTTAATTTTTAACTATGTCCTAAAAGAAAACCTATTATACTACATAGAATAATTATTAAGTTGATACATTTTTTATAGAAATTATTTCTTACCTACTTGCAGTAATTTCAAATTACCTAAAACAGAAATTACTAGACTATTGTCTTACCTAACGCACTTGTTGAAAAAACACGTAAATTTGAGCCTCATTAATGAAATTAGACCAACCAAAACGTAAAACAAAGATAGAGAATGACAAAGTGTCGCCTCGTAGCCATCACGGTCATTGCCGCTCCCTGCTCGGCAGAGCGTTAAGACAAATCTTAATACGTACCTAGTAAGGACATTCATGAAACAATAGACAAACAAATTCTAAGTATTAAAAAAATAAATATAAGTTTTGTATCTGTAGTTTGCTCACCATTTGTTTAATGACACATGGGATCAGAGACTATTATTTTTAATTTTTTACGCGCTCATTTTTCAATTCCGCCTTATTGAATTTACAATATAATATCCTCAGTGTGTGTACCCGCGTATGTTAACATTTAGCGCTCTACAAGTAGCATACATGTTTTTGACAAAGGAAGACAGACACACATGAGGTACGTTTGATGGATGGAAACTAGTCATTACATATAAACAGTGCGCTGTCGACTTATTTCGGTTGTAGATATTTTTTTTTATACTTAGCATAAGTATTTCATTCAACTATGTCTATGAGTTAAAAACTGGGTTTGAGTTTAAAAAAGACTAACTTAATAAATCCTAACCTTGAATATATGGAATTCTAGTCGAGTTTACACGTTCAGTCTTCTCTTAGTACACGGTTAAGCTAATTTATACTAATTTACCTTGGCTATGATTAGCTTCCAATTCGCGTATTAGTGATTCAGACATTTCTTCAAATATGCTCGCTATACTTAGTTTCGGAGTAATTTCCTCCTATAAAGAACCTATTTACTTGAAGCACATGAAACTATACATTAAAGCCCCGAAGATGGTGTATAAATTTAACGAGATTAAAATACTAGTAAAACAAATCTACCGTTTTAAAAAAAATATACAACAATCATTTTAATTAATCTATATATAAACTTCGGAAAATAATATGTATCTTCTATTTATAAAGAACAGATGAATATACATAATATATTATAAAAAATAATCATTTAATTAAATTTCCATGTGTTGTTCAATAAAAATATAAGCGCCATCTAGCCCCACATAGATGAAGATTTACAAAAACCAGCGCAATGGACAGTTCAAAATACACGTAAAACTGTACAGATGGCGTTGAAAAGCATATTAATATATGTTTAATTAATTTTTAGTTTAAGTGGTATTATCGTATCGTTTTATAAATTAAAAAAAAATAACATATTCTAACTACCAAGAACTTCATACGGTTTATTTTTACGGTATATTAGTTAACTTTAGTTTGTGGTCCCCCATTGACCACGGTTGCTGTAAACCGTCCAAAACGTCGGCTCGTAGTTATAATAAATTAAAAATAAATATATTTCGCAATCTAAATTGTAAAAAGTGTCTTAGTAAAATATATACTGCTCGCGTGAACCACATACAATACAGGACACAAACATCTGAGTATATTTCGTGTCATATAAAATGTGTTGAAAAACTACAGAGTGGGCATTTTACAAAACTAATAATACCAGAGACAAAAATAAAGGGATGAGGTATTGCTTGGCAAAGAAGAGTGGCCTAACGAGGTCGTTCACCGATTAGTAAAGAAATATATTTTCAGGAGTTAGTGCGGATCTATGAGATAAAATATGATGTAATGTGTTCATGGTTTTGTTTTTGTCGTGAAATTATATTTTAAATTACTGAAATCAAACGCAAGATTAAAAACTACGATAACTATGTAATTTTAATCAAGTATTACTGTTTACACACGCTTAGTGCATTTAAAAAAATATTATTATATTTTTAATTTTAGCGTGAGCAGTTTGAAGTGGACGAGACAAATGTCAAGTTTAAAGGACGACAGGTGGAAGAGTATCCTCATGGACGGCCCCAATAGGAAAACGGGTCAGAGGGAGGCCAAATAACGATGGGTCGATGACATAGAGGCGACTGCTGGCCCATAATGGGCGAAACTGCACAAAACCGGGAATCATGGGCTACTTTGGAGGAGGCCTACATCCGAGAGGATCTTTATTGACCTAATATTTTTATTATCATATGAAACAATATCGTAGATATACAATCCCAACTCGTAGAAAACTAGAAATTAATAGATGTATAGTTGTTTTTTGGGAAATAAAATATTTATATTTTTAAAAAGTTTCTTTTTGCAAAAGTTTGTTTACATTTAATGCCCCGTTTTAAGTATCAATTGTTTGTAAAAATTAAAATAAATAAACGAAACAAACGAAAGATAAAGCACGAATCTTGAAGTTATATGGTACAATAATAGATTGCTTCCTACAAGTCAAATGGACATTATATATTATTTTGAATTTATTGCCGCGTCCAGCGTCAATAGCTTTACGAAGATCAAAGACTACCTGAAGGTAATGTGTAGGTAAAATAAAGAGATTTATAAGACTAAAATTATTAGTGTAGAGAATATTGACAACACATACTCGCCAAGTGCAAGTAAGATTCGTGCATATTAAAAACAACAGGGTCCCGTTTTTACCCTTGCATAATATGGAACCCTAAAAAGGTTGAATAGAAGAAAACTAAATGAAAACCAGTTAATACAATCTAGACCAATCAACAGTCTTGACCTGTAATTCGGACCTAAGACATCTATAACTAGCATTCGTAATTCAATTACGAACGAAATTAATTGGCTTCGTATTTCTTAATCGACTCTAAGACTTGTGAGTTATGTCGACTTGGTTTCTACTATTTTAGGACACTTACAAAAAATTCAAAACAAGTCGATTGTGAGCCCGGTCGAGCCACCTTTGAAAATGGTGGTAACATTGGAAACAAACAATCTGACAAAAATCCCTATCAACCTGACGTGTGGAAATTTTTTTTCAATATCGAACAACGGGTTATGTTAAGTTTAGACACCTAAACGTTTGAAATAAGTGTATTGTTTATAATTACAATTCAAGGAGCCACAGGCAATTACGTAAATTAAACAGTAATGTAATTATTTTATGTATTCAATTAATTAGAATAAAATAACATTAGGGCAGAAGTATACAGCTGTATTAATATTATGGTCCATTCAGGGGTGAGGGTTACATTCGAGTCTCAAATTGAAGAAGCCAAAGCTGTGTTGAAATTAATAAAATTTCAGCAAAAGGTAGTTTTATCGTATTTAAGGTTATATATTTCGCACTTTACCATTAAAATGTGTTTTCTTTATTTATTACGAGGGAAAAGTAAGCAAGTGTTAAAAACCCATTTGATTGGTTCTCTTCTTCGCTTTTTAGGTATTTCAGGTATAGTCTCGTAAATTTTACTACTTGTTATATATTATTCATAGTAGTCACAGGTGTTGATTTAAAGCTTAAAAGTGAAATTTTAACAAACCCGTTACCCTTGCATCGAAGGCGACATAAACGAGCGCACAGGAATACCATATAGGGTTCAGACCTTCAGCGTTTTCGCTGCAGCCCGTGATTGAGAAGTCACAACGTATGCTCTTAACCATTGTTGTAATTCACTTGAATAATAATGCATACAAACATATTATACGCAGAGAAAGTATTTTTTTGGAAACGTAATAAATGAAAAAAAAAACTTTAATATTTTTCACATGTTATTGCACATTATGGCACTATATAAATTGAAAAAAATTACGACTCAGTAGCTCAATTGGTGAGAACAGCACGGAACGCTGTGGATGTCGGTTCAAGTCCTGCCCGAGTCGTAATTTTTTTCAATACATTATCGATTTTTAATTTATATAAGTCATATTTATTAGATTTATTTTACTGAATTATATGTATATATTATGTCGATTTTTTATTATAACGTCATCAGTCCAGACTATATGTCACATCGCATGGTATAAAACAAAGTTGCTTTTTCTGTAACTATGTACGCTTAAATCTTTAAAACTATGCAAATGATTTTGACGCGGTTTTTTTAAATTCAACGTTCACAGTTTTTCTGTAGTATATTTCATTTCATTATCATCATCGCACCCGAGTGAAGCCGGACGGGTCGCTAGTATAATTATAATAGTCCCTTCATGTCAATTCAAGCTTGGCCTTCAAAAGACTCAAACAACCACAGAGCATGTTCTCATTATGCTATACACAATATGTAGTGATTAATGTACAAACAAAACTCAGCCAAACATGCCATCATAATACAACAATTACGCACATTATATCAGCAGCGACCTCGCAAAGGTCAGCTCGTAACGCAATCGAGTCAAGTTTATTCTCGTCGCTATTCCATAAAAACTGGTCTCCCTTTCCGAAATAACAAATTCTTCAATTTACACATCTACTTTGTTCTTATATATGAGAAATGAGTACTATTTTATATTGCCTTATTGGAAATCCGAATATAATGATTCACTTTCAAAGAGCAAACGATTCCTCGTAAAACTTACTCACACAGAACCACAGATTATAAATAAACGGCCTTAATTAAATCGAATTTAATTGTTGTAAATCTGGTGGTTCCACAGACCGACAAAGTATTCAAAATTGAATTTTGTATATGTACGAACACGAATATCCCTTCGAATATACGATCGTAAATAAACTCGTAAAAGAAAAATAAAAATTCTCCCCACCCACGGAACCTTCCCGGAATAGTCGTCGTAAAAAGAACGAAGAAATCGCGGATGCGAACGGCGTTAATGAAGCAAATTAGCGTGGCCCAAAACAATCGCCATTATTCCATCAGCCATCCACTCAATCTAGCCACTGTGTGCTTTTTATTATCACTATCAATTAAAAATGCATACATAGGAAACAAAATAGGAGAATGAACAGTGAAATATGTCTGGGATTTCACGATATTATGACAAAATTTACACAACAAGCACAAACTCATCTTTTGAAAGCAAATATCTCAATTTAAATGAAAAAGTTTGCACCGCACTAACATAGCTGTATTATCAATGATACATAATACGAACGAGAATCTACATACCACAAGGAAGCACCAATTAATATGGATGTGGTGCATCGGAGCACCTTTTAAAAATAAATACACCGGATGGATATACGGAACCACTAGTGAATACGGTCATTAGTATGAAAAACACACACAGATGCTATGAATAAAGATAATATGATACTAGCGAGTTAGTAAATTAAGGTACTCGATAGTTAATTAAACTAGCCAACTCAAACACGAAGTGACCACAACACATCGTTTGTACAGTAAAAGCGTCTTAGCCAAATTACTAGTAACAATTGGAAAATGGCTACTGCCCTCAGCCCAGTATACCTTAAAAAGACGATAAATGATATTAAAACTATCCCTAAACAGATCTGTGTATAAATGCAATGCGAATTATTATATCGTTCTAAAACTGAGGGCGGTTCAAGTTCATGATCCCCCTTAGCACCTTAGTATTTTACTATCGTATTGTGTCGTTTTGAATTTTGTTTCTTTAGTTCTACTAAAATAATAATATACCACTTATGTCAAAATGTTACTAAACAAAATAACACTCATTAGAATACACTTTAACTGTTTAAAACGCGATATATATTTGTTAAACTTATTTGAAAATTATTTTATATTGTCTCCCCGTGTCCACGACTGCTGCATAGCATCCGAAACGTCGGGCCGCAGTTAAAGTGCGTACTACTCGCGTAAACTACAGACAGTATTTAACACGCATTCGATTTAATAAATGGATCGATGGCTTGACTAATAAATTATAAGACCAATGTTGAATAGTGGACCATTTCAAAAGATCCCAAGCTAAATCTAATAAATTGTTTCTAGTTACTTAATAAATTAATAAACAATATACTCACAGCCCGGCGATATTCCGTGCTCCTTCATCGCGCAGCGGAACGGGTAATAAGTGCCTGGCAAAACCTTGCCATACATTGTCCTATCCATCTTCGGCCAATCGAGAGACGGCTTCCAATATTATACCACCCACTAGTACGACACTACAGTTAACGCACCATAACCACAACCTACACCAATTTCGAATACCTAAGTACTATCTACTTCACGTAAACATCGATCAGCTGATACAACTGAAGGTTCCTACATTATTTTTCGTACAGAGCTAAATCACCGAAATAAATACGATAAATCGATGTCTCTATCGTTGATAGTTGATAAGCAAGGTGATAAGTGATAACGCAATGTCGGGACGAGGTCGCGTAGCTCGCGCGAGTAGCTATCGTCAACGCGTCCCAGTCACAACTAAAACATCACACAACATCGTATTCCGTGGAGCGAGTTACCGGCGCGAGGGCACAGTACACCACTTCAATCATGCCGTCTGGATCTGGTGTATAGCCACTTGTGTTCAGCAAAAGAAGCATAAAGGTCTTTCTAGACAACGCTACACACACGATTTTCGCTGATATGTTATGTATTTTAGCTTAGTCTACATAAGGCCTAATTTTATTTAACTTGCTTGACGCATAATACACGTTACTTAAACAACGTAAATATTACGTCATTTGTTTTTATTTAAAAATGAATTTACATAATCAGTACGTTTAATTAAGTTAATTCCAAAGCAGTAAATCAAACTCAATTAACCTTTACAGACCCCCTTATTTCAACCATAGATCATAACATCAAAGAGAATTGACTTTTCACCTAATGAGCATCGTAAAACGGTGTAATGTGATGAAGTGAGAGTGACGAGCGGAAATCTTGTGACTCGTGCGCAGCGCTGTGCCGGATGTAATAGGATTCGGTGAAAACCGAAACTGGGAAAAGTGCACTGTGCTAAAACAAACGTCATTTTACGTGACTTGAATAAGAATGAACGAGTCTCTAGGAGACATTCTCCACTTAACCACAAGCTAAAGCCTCCCACTTTTTTTAGCTTTCGTTTACTGTATACATAATCGCAATTAGTGGATTTGTGTGATGTTTATGACAGATGAGCTCATTTGGTCGTGACATACCCAAGGCATATAACATCTAAACAAGAAGGGCTATACATATGACCTGAATATGCGAAATTAAAAACTTAAACTAAACTTTTTCTACATGGAATTTTAATTCTACTAAGCCGACACGCAGATTATGCATACATTGCTACTATTGGATATATTAGCGTTTAAAAATATTTAAAAGTATAGAATATACCATATATTATACAGTTAAATCTCTTAGATGTGACAAGAATAGCTTTTACGGAATGTGTGATTAAATACACTCATGTCAAACGAATGTTGAAAACTTTGAAGTTTTAACTAAATCCCAATGCTAACAGATGTCACGCAAAATAATTAAAATGTTTCTGCCAAAGTATATTTCAAAAACGCAAGATTTCGTTGTTGATAAATCTCTCTTACTAAACCAGCGTTCAAAATATAAGGAAATTGGTTCTTATTGCATATCTAAAATTTGAGGAAGTACACCCATATACAGTTACAATTAACGTCAAGCTATCAGTTATATTACACAACTAAACATTGTTCCCGTTGACGAGCGTTCTAATAAGGAAGTCAATATTTACTCCAGCGTCGGGCACGGCGGCGCTAAAGCACACTTACGTATCATAGCTAAATTCCAATTTTCTAAATAGAACCGGCTAAGTGCGTGTCGGGGCTGCGCGCAATGGCTTTTTAAACTTTTAATTATTAATTTTGTTGTTTACACGTATATAACTGAGAAAAACATTTCTTTTATGAGATCCTTTCAATATCGATTTTAGAATTATTATGGCTTAAATTGAGTGCCTTGACTTAGTGTATATAAAAAATTAGTAATTTTCATATACATATTTTACAATGCAATAAAACAACTTTATCGTATCTCGTTCCTGAATTCTTTTCGTTTCATTTTCAAACATTCGGCGGTTTTAAACACGAAATATAGCAACTTATTTTTAGATACTGTCTATAGTTTACGCGAGGAGTACATATTTAAATAAAACACTTTAACGGTTTAAAACGCAATATATTAGTTAAACTCATTTGAAAATGATTTTTAACTTCGGCCCGACGTTTCGGATGCTTTGCAGCAGCCGTGGTCACGGGGAGACTGTCTCCCCGTGACCACGGCTGCTTATGATCCCACGGATGCTTTAAACTTATTTTTAAGCTACTTTAACTAATATATTTTTCATATAAATCGTTAAGTGATTTATTATTACTAGCTTTATTTAAAAAAATCATGACAGATGGTTTAACGGAACGTCCTAACCGCGAAGTATGGCCGTTTAAGAAGCGCTGTTAAACGTATATTCTAACTAACAAGGTTGCACATTTGGCCTAGATAATTCTATATGGCTATTTGTATTAGTGAACTATGTAATATTGTATATACACGTTGTATATGATAATTTCTGCAAGTGATATCATACAAACACGTCGCATAAACGATATGCGTTCTTAAGCCTCTATTCAGTATTGTTCATTCTTGATTCTATAGCCTTATACTTTATTATTTATAAAGTTGTTTCTTGTAAGAATAAATTAATTAAAGTTTTCACTGCTTAGTGTTTTAAGGATTTTTGTTGGGTTAGTATGTGATATCTTTGTTGGTTAATATTTTTTGGATGTTTCTCTCATTCTTGTCGACATACTCTTATTGTTATTGTTTTTTCTTTTCTATATAAAAATATTGCCTGGAAGTAATTCCATTATATCAAGTAATTCGTTGAACTGACGTTTGCTATGTTGAGGTTAGATTGGTCTAAAATTCGTTAAAAAGAGATAAAAAAATTCCGATATCCGATCGGGATTTTTTTTGTCTCAGCACTTTTTAGCAACACTTTAACACACATTCCTCTACGTCTTTAAACTCGCATTTTATTTGTTAATTCAAACCACTTTCTTCTGAAAACTTATCTTGTAAATGCCGATCTTATTAGCTATGTCTAATTTTTTCGTCATGGGATTTTGGTCAACATAATTAATAATGTTTCGCTTTTCTGCAACCGATAAGGAACACCTTTTACGTTTCTGAGCCATTTTACTTACATTTTACTCATTAACTTAGCGTTTTGGGCTGGCAAAATTCGTTAATTAGAGGTAAGAATACTTTTTCTTGATAGTTGAAAATTCGTTACAAAGAGGTTGTACGCAAAGAATGCTCGCAATGTAAAGGTATATTTTATATTGACTCTTATGGACAATTCAAGGGGATTACGAAGAATTTGTTAAATCGAGGAAGTCGTTATATTGAGGTACGTTATATTAAGGTTGCATTGTATTTGTATTTTATTTGTTTGTTAAATGTTTAGCTAACCATTATACCTACAAACACTAAATTACTTCTTTCCGCCTCTATCTAAGTCACCCCAAAAATAACAAAACACTATTATTTCCTCGAAGCACTATATTACCAGTGTTCTGGTCTCGAGTTACGCGTAAAACTGCCGCGAAGCACGCGATCCATTGAAAATTACCCCCGACTTCCCATGACGTAGACATTACAAGCTGGACATCTATTAACTGTTAGCTGTTTCAAGGATGAAGGTCTGGGCCTTCACACTAGTGGAAGTCATTAATCATGATAATAGCCATGTGCCCTATTTGCAAATTGTTTTTTTAGCTGTAAGCTACAAGTACATATAAAGAAGCCGACCAAATCCGCCGCAAGCGAAAGCTGTACAAAATGTGAAAATCCGACTGTCAAGATCTTGGAATAAAGCAAAGTAATATATTATGCCACTAGGATAGAATCCTTGGTCGATGGCACCCTAAAACAAATATGAGTTTAAGACATTCTAAGAAACTCTGTAGCCTTTGTTTTTATATTTTGATTAAACATAGAAAAATCCTCTCACATCACAGATAACCCTCTGTAGAATCACGACAAGCAGACAGACAAACAAAAAAAATTTTGACGAATGTAATTTTTTTAATTTTGAAGAGAATAAAGTATATTTTATTTTATTTATTTATTTAAAAAACAAACAATATATTTTTCTTGTTTAAAAATGTAAAATAAATTTCTGTTTATCTATATTATATTAGTTTTTGCAACATACATACATTACAAGGTAATTAACATGCTTTCTTATATTTTTCTATTAAATGAGTTTGGTATTATATCAAGACATTTTTTTCTATTGGGGAATCCTATAAAATGCTGGGTTATGAGACCACATTATGGTGAGTATTTCACTGTTCTCACTATGAGAACGATATATTAGGTTATCCAATTTTTACCAACGCAAAGCTTAATAGCATTACCTCTTTATTCTATGTTAAACTTATCTTGATTGGTTGCCTGCTATTATAGACAATATTTCTGGCATTAATCAAATATATTAATTATTTTCAATAGGGAATATTAGGGCAATATTGCCCTAAATCCATAGTGGAAAATAATTGCCACATAGAGATAACATATATTTCACACATTTCTTTGCATACTCGTCCTGACTGATTTTAATAATACTTTTAACGAAATGGGAATGAAACTTATACCTCAAAACTTGGGGATTTTTAGAACTATGTGTGTTTTATATGTTTTTTTATGAAAAAGAACATTCATTCAGTCCCCTGGCTTCTAAAAATGCAGTAATGCAAATACTTTACACCTTTAAGCTATTGGAACTTTAGATTCTACATATATTTGGCCATTATTGTTGTATAAAAATATATTTTTTTATCTTACATATATTAAGTCCTTATAAGTAAGTGATGCAAAAATGTATCTTAGGATGTAACCTTTATTTCCCAAAAAAACACATGATAACTAATAATAAACTTAAACCAACTATAATACCTAGTTTATATATATTTAACTGTACTGCAGCAAGTACAAATGTAATGTCCATGAAATGTTGTCATAAGAGTTAAAGGTATGTATTAGTTAAATCTTTTGTGATAAAAGAGTTTAAATTAATCCAATTTTGGATCCCACATATAGTATGGGTGTTGATTGTTATATTTCTTCAGGGGTTTTGGCAAGTGAAGTTATTATGCATAAAGTTTAAGTATATCGATATAATAACAAGATATTTAAGCAAACACTCAAGTTCAAAAGTCAGTTACGCGTTCATATTATGTTCTAAGCATATCAACAAAACTGGTTTTGCTTACCTAGGTCATCCATGATTAGCGCTGCTATTATACAATATCTTTCAACTTGGTAAACGTCCTCAAAATTCTATATAACAAAATATACACGTTTACTTTACGACGATAAGAACAGCAGCTTGTTTTTATTTACAGTTGCACATGCCGCTGTCCACATATAATATCGCACAAATGTATGAAATATTAACTAACAAATTATTTAGATAATCACTTCACTCACTGTAATTCACGAAAATAGTAGGCTGTAATTAAAGTCTTAAAATTACTAATAAAGTTAGGATCCAAATTATAATATGACATTATCAAGCACTGTCAAAAAACGTTTCGTCAAATATTTAAAGTACTCGGTCAACAATCTGACATTTGACAATCTGTCCCTTTTTCTTTCACTATGATAGCCCATATTTATATATACTATGCTATATGTGTTTATTCTGTACTGTTTATAGTCTGTATTCATCTGCAGTCTCTGTAGAATCCGAAATATAAATACGATAGAGTTGAAGAAAAATATATATTAGTATTAATACGAAAACTAATTACTTGCTTAGTGACTGATTAATATTAAATTTACAACACTGTTAATATAAATACATTCTTTATACTATTAAAAAGGTCTACTAATCATCAGCCATGGGTAAAAGGCAGCATCAGAAAGATAAAATGTGTGTAATCCAAATTTTTTTAACAAATTTAATAAAGACCTTAGTTTCGTGCGTCTATACAATAATTAAAATATAAATGTAAATGTTTTATAGGTATCTTACATACACCGAATGGACTACTTTATATGGCGGAAAGAGATCTGGCACAGCCGCTGAAGAGGATACATCATTCAAGAGGTTGCCCTATGACCATTGTTGTTTATGTTTGCAACCTTTTGATCAACCATTCTGTGATGCTGATGGCAATATATTTGAACTTCAAGCAATAATTGAATTTGCAAAGAAGTTCAAAGTAAATCCAGTTACAGGAAAAGTATGTATGAATGTTACTGGCTGACTGGTAAACTCTTGCAGCAATTTAAGAGATTTGCCTCATTGTCTGTGTACTCTCATTTAAAGTAATACCTTATGTTTCAGAAAATAGACATTAAAGCATTACTGAAACTTAACTTTTTCAAAAATGCTAAAGGTGAATATCACTGCCCCGTGTTATTTAAATCATTTACAAAAACGTCTTATATTGCTGCAATACGAACTAGTGGCAATGTTTATTGTTATGAAGCTATTGAGCAGCTTAACATCAAAGGCAAAAATTGGAAAGATCTCATTGATGATACTCCATTTGTCAGAAGTGATATAATTATTATACAGGATCCAAATAATCTTGAAAAATTTAATATTTCAAAGTTCCACCATGTAAAAAATAATTTGAGAGTGGAAACAGAGGGTAAGTGTTAATATAAATTAATTCTATTAATAAATACAGCATTGTAAGAATAATGTTTTAACGTGGACTGATCACCCGTCCTACCACAGGTGTCCCCGAAAGAAAATAATAATAAGAATAATGTTCATTGTTTTAGAGGAAATTGCTATGAAAAAAGATCCTCATGCCAGATTAAAAACAGTGTCTGCGGAAACTAAAGATATCCTCCAGGAATTAGAAAAAGAATATAAGGCACCTGAGGCAAAGGAAACAAAAAAAGAAGTACAGTAATGATTATTGTTTTAACTGTTATTAGTGAAGAAATGGGTATTATATATTAAATGAATTGGTATCATATTAATACATAATTATTCAATCCTTATTGCAGATGGCAGACAAATTTAATGCCGCTCATTACTCTACAGGCATGGTTGCAGCTAGTTTTACCTCTACTGCGATGGCACCAGAAACCATTCATGAAGCAGCAATTATTTGTGAAGATGAAGTAAAATATGAGAGAGTTAAGAAAAAGGGTAATTTATTGAATAAACAGACTTATGGATTTGACAGTTCAAAAAGATCGTAATCTTTTAAAAATCTTAACTTTTTGTTCAGGATATGTTAGATTAGTCACTAACGTAGGACAACTCAACTTGGAATTGTATTGTGATGTAATTCCTAAAGCTTGTGACAATTTTATTAAACTTTGCCTCAAGGGATACTATAATGGGACAAAATTTCATAGATCCATAAGAAATTTCATGGTAAGAAAATCACAATTATTTTATTTTACAAGTTTGTCATTATTGTAATATGCATATGTATCTTTTAAAAAGTTTCAATTGATATGTTACCTAACAATGTGTGGGTAAATAATCTATTGAAGTTATGGTTTTCTTTGGTTAAACATTTAAACAATACTAATAGAAGATGGTGTGGGTGGTAAGAAAAGTCATGTTGCACAAAGCCTCTAATATAATGTTAGAGATAGAGACTTCAATGTTTGTATTATTTCAGATTCAAGGTGGAGATCCTACTGGTACTGGATTGGGGGGAGAGTCAATTTGGAAAAAGCCATTTGAAGATGAAATAAAGCCAAATTTGCATCACTCAGGCCGAGGAGTTTTATCAATGGCAAATTCTGGACCTAATTCAAATGGATCACAATTGTTAGTTAAAAGGCTATTATAACCTTCTTTATTTAAAACGTTATATTGATTACTAACTGTGCCAGCGACTTCGTTCGCGAGAATTGTTATTTTGGGCATCCAAATTAGGTTTTGCAAACCCCCATCATCTCTATAAACTTAAGCTGTTAGCCACTACGTCGATCGCGACCCTTCCCGTCTTTCTTGCAAGCTAATCTTAAAAGATAGACATATAACGTCGCGGACTTTTTTTTAGATAATTTAAAGAGGAATAATTCTTTAATAGACATTTTTTAGTTATCTTGAACCGTTTTCGTGGAGGCAAAAAAAAAAAAAAAAAGAGAAGAAAATTTTACCCCGTTTTGTTCTCTTTCTTTCTGCTTAGTAGCGTCGTTGTTTTTGACCAACACAAAAGAATTTTTCAATTCGAACCCGTAATTCCTGAGATTAGCGCGTTTAAACAAACTCTTCAGCTTTATATATTAGTATAGATATACAAGGAATTAAAAAGTCGTGATTATTAAGTAATTATAAAAATTTTAGCTTTATTACATTCCGGTCATGCAAACAACTCGATGGTAAGCATACAATATTTGGGAAACTAGTTGGTGGTATTGATACACTTACAGCTATGGAACAAATCGAAGTAGACAATAAAGACAGGCCCATACATGACATCGTTATTGAAGTTGCCCAAGTTTTTGTTGATCCGTTTGCAGATGCAGAGGAACAGGTAAAGCTTTTTTTCTTAAATTTAACTCTATTTCTATTTTTTTTTTATGTTTGGATAATGTTGTTTTTTTTAGCTTGCAGCTGAAAGAGTACAAGAACTAAAACGCCAAGCTGAAGCAGAGAGTCAAGGTGTAAAACCAAAAAAGGCAGCCACCAAGCAACCATTAAAAGTATTCAGGCAGGGTGTTGGTAAATATCTCAATCTGACCGAGGTGCCTGAGTCTAACAAGAACACCAAGGCACAAGTGCCTTCCAAAAAAGTAAAGAAAGAGAGTAAAAATGGCTTTGGTAGCTTTGACTCTTGGTAATGACATGGAAGAAGTAATACATGAAATAAGAATACACTGTACATTGATGAGATGATTTTAATAAATACTTTAGTTGTTAATATTTACTGATTATTATTCTACCTGTATATATACTAACAAGTATTTTTTTGAAATAAGATTTTAATTAACTACTAGATATTTAAAACACTAGACATCTTGGTGGCATAAATTAAAATCAATACTTAATTTATATAGGTTACACTCATAATAATAGTCAATGCTATAATTACAAACATAAATAATTGTTTTAATACTAGATTTCATGTCTATAGAATAATCATTGCTTATCTGTACAATATTAAGCATATATATTTATTACGACCTAAAAGTAGAAGTAAATTATTCAAATATAATATTTACCTATAAACTTTGATATATATTTATATACTATCCACTACTGCTACCAATATTTTGGATTCTAAGAATCATAACATTTCATTTTATAGGCAAAACATTAAGCAACCATTAATAGATTTAAATTAGCTAATAATACAACTTGTAATCAGAATAATAGAAAATAAATAATTTAGTTATAATTTTGACGTCTGCGAGCGGTTCTTTGTTTATCAAATCTCATTTCCATTTCTTCTAGCACTTTAGGAGTATAACGTACAACAAGTTTCACAGATCCTACAGCTTGCTTTAATAACTCTACAGCCTTTTCATGATTCTCTCCCTCGACTGATACACCATTAACTGACAACAATTGATCTCCTCTCTTTAGTCCACCGTGGCGATCAGCGACCCCGCCAGGAATGATTCGCGAAATGTATATTGGTGAGTTTTGTTCTTTGCCACCCATAACATTGAAACCAAGACCCTCTTCTGTTTTTGGAAGCTCGACAACCCTGGGATGAGCGTGTCCCTCTGCTGCTGCGAAAGCGGCCACCGTCGCTTTTGCTGTCGCCGACGCACGAATATCAGCTGATCCCTGTATGTCTACAGTCTCATACACATGTTCATAAACTTCTCTTACAGCATTAAGGAAGTCACTTTGTAGGACTTTCTGTAGAGCTGCAAGTTTCGTCGCAGGTACTTCGCCACTTTGTTGTAATTTTTCAAGTAATTCTATTGCCCTCTTGATGTCCCGTGCTAAAGTTAATTGTTCCCCAGTGGTAGTCATACTGTGATATAGATATTTTTTTTTACAAATCACCTCGGAAACTTTCGGTTGGTGATTATAACCAACTGTAATTACTATATGCACAGAAGTAAAGAGAGTATTTTTGAAGTAGCCCGTAATACTATCACTTTTTACTTTAAATTTAATCGATTATTTCACTTGTATACAACTAGTGAAATAATCATAGATGTAGCATAGATTATATGACAATAAATGCTATACACATAAAATGTTGCATGCTGTAATAAACAAAAGTGGTGTATTGAAAGTATAAGCAACATTGTTGGTGTAAAAGTTGAACGTTAGTTAGAAATTATTATAGATGTTAGTCCGAGAAACATCATCTTATATATAAAATAACTAATAATTTAGGTATAATATAAATTGGCATTATTTATTCTATCGTCTATATTCTATTAATCTATGAAAGATTTTGCCACAGTATTGAATTGGCAACCATAAAGAAAGAATAACGACAACAGAGTACGAACCAATGACCATCTATGGAGATCATACCATTGACAATCGCCACCGGTTTTTTATAAACATGTTGGAAAGTCGTGTGTGAATTTGTAAAAACAAAATGCATTAGTGGTTTGGTTTCCTAAAAGATCTAAATCTTATTTTATATCAACTACATGTAATTTTTGTGATGCACATTTAGTTAAACTTTGATAAAGTTTATTGCTAACATTAATAGATTTCATCTTCAAGTGTCTATAGTGTTTGTGAATGTATATTGTTAAACTATAAATGGACGAAATGTGGTAGAAGTGTAATGAAGCTTTGATTATACTTCTAATAACGAAATTATAGTTATAATTGTTTTAAGGTATAAACATTCTCTTAGTAAATATTATAGTAAAACCATAATATCAACATAAGTTGCTGGGGAAATAAAAGCCTGCTTTCCGCTTTACAGTACGGAACGACTAACACGGAGTTTCATTTTCTAATGCCCTAAGAGGCCCCTTACATTCTGGATTAGTATTCTTTTATCGCGTGTCAGGATATATTTCTTTCAATCGATCACCGGTGAGAAAAAAATTATAAAAATATACCATAACGCCAGCCCACAAGATGGCCGACTGTTATTCGTAAGGTATAACTTCCACTTTTTCGATTTCATTCTGCCCGTCTCCCATTAACACAAACCATTTTGTGTACCATTATTCATAGTATCATTAAACCAAATTATGTTTTTTTGCTATTGTTCAGTCCCTTCTCATAGCCATATATAAAGTCTTTGTTCCTAAGTGTGATTATTTGTCTTATTTTAGATGTTGAAGTTTATCATAAAGAGATTTAATAGATAGCATGTAAGAATTCTTTTTAGTTGGCATTCTTGTTCATCTAGTCGTTTACATGGCTCACTTGCTTCAATGTAGCTTGTATTAATAAAAATCATTTCTTTGAAACTGTGTTTGTTAATTATTTACAAAATTGCTTGAACTCTGTTGCTTTGCATTTGTTACTATCAATCCATCATAGTGAATCACGTGTCATGCTTAGCTTATTAACATGTTGGCTTAATGGTTTAGACTAGTGTTGCTTTTAGATAATGTCTGGTGCCTCTGGTTCATCAGGAAGTGGTACCGGTCGTGGTCGAGGAAGCACAGTCTCAGATAAACCAGATTCAAAAGAAAACAAACCAAACCCAAAGATGTCAAAGGCCCTGGGAACGTCGGCAAAACGGATTCAAAAAGAGCTTGCTGAAATAACATTAGATCCCCCTCCGAATTGTAGTGCAGGGCCTAAGGGTGATAATTTGTATGAGTGGGTTTCTACGATCTTGGGCCCCCCTGGATCAGTGTATGAGGGTGGAGTGTTCTTCCTCGATATTCATTTCTCACCTGAGTATCCCTTTAAACCTCCAAAGGTAATTCGAAATATAATTGTATGTCATTACAATAAACATGAATTAGTAAATTCAGATATTAAATACTTTTTAACATGTGGCTTTGAAACATGCAGTTAAGGAAGTAACTATGTGGTTAGTCTTATCTTTGGAGACTCTATATTTACTCTGCAGCAGCAGTGTTCATGGGTGATCTTATCACAAAGCATCTAAAACCTCTGAAATAAAAATGAGTTAAACAGTCAGTCACGGCTTATGTGTAGAACAAAGAAAAAATTTTGTAATTCTAATGTTCTGAACCCAAAGCACTAATTCTGCTGCATAATAGCATAATAATATGTTCACAGTAATAATTTATATAAATTGAATTTAGTTCAGTTTACATTATATAGTTCTTGTCAATTTGTAATTGGTGATAATATTTTTGAAGGTTACCTTCAGAACGAGAATTTACCACTGCAACATAAATAGTCAAGGTGTGATATGCCTGGATATCCTAAAGGACAACTGGTCACCGGCGCTCACTATATCTAAAGTACTGCTCTCCATCTGCTCATTGCTTACCGACTGTAATCCAGGTAAGTCAACTTTAAAACATTTGCTTGGTGATCAGGCTAACTAGCTCTTAGTTCTAATTGTTAGTCATGTAAGTGATGTCAAGCATCTGAAAATGGATGTTTGGCATATTGAGTACTGCCTTATTAAGACATTAAAGATTTCATTTTCAAATTCCTATTTCCTACTAGTTAACATTAGTAAACAACATCTTTATTATTTTTTTTAATATACAGGACAGAAATGCACGCAATTTCGATATTCCTACCACCAATTTAACATTCAGATTTTAAGACGATGTTTCAAAAAAAATTATAAATTGAAAAAGTATAAACATGTTGGACCCAGTGGGGATCGAACCCACGACCCGTTTTGGGTTTATGCTCATCAACATTGCTACCATTAGACCATTGAGCCCAAAAAAAAAGAATTAAATTATTTTGTAATCTGGTCCTGTCTATAAGTATTGTTCTCACAGATTTAATGAAATAGTTTTTGTATTATTTCTCAGCGGATCCTCTGGTAGGCAGCATTGCAACTCAATATCTACAGAATAGAGAAGAGCACGATCGCATTGCGCGCCTCTGGACTAAGCGTTACGCGACATGATTTATTTGCCCTCGTCATAATTACCCTCCCCAATTACCCTTTAACTGAACAAGTCATACTCAATCATTTCACGCCATCTACATTGTGAACATATTTAAATGGGTCTCGACATATTTATTAGAACATGCATGAACTCTTATAAGTTGTAGGCAACATTCCTACTCGATATCATGAGGAGTCAAAGCCCATTAGAATTATTCAATTCTGATCAACTGATGTTAGCCAGTTTTGTATCTGTGGACCGTCCATAAAATTTGTATTGGCGATTTGTTTCTCCCTTCCCGATCCCTTTCATGGCTGATCGTATTAAGCGATTTAACATCTAGTAATCTACATTACAAATAATATTTTATTTACATTAAATATTGTAAAGTTGCTGTACTATGCACTATTAATGAAATGTGTCACAATAAGTTTTTTCACACCATGTCCAATAATTCATTCACAACCCCAACATGTAATGTAACTTATGGATGGCCCCCAACTGTCTATGATTGTTTTGGACATTTTGTTGTATTTGTGGCCTTAGTTTTGTTGACGTTCCTGTCATTGTACAGTTCATGTGATAATTATTTTTGTATGAGAATGTTGTTATAAAGATATGTCGAGACAGATTATTGTAAGGTGTATTTAGTTGCAATTGATGTGAATAACAAACATTTGGGATAAGTCCATTTGTCTAATATTAAGTGGTTTTTAAGAACTGTTTTTTTTATGTGTATTTAAATTAAATTCGCCGCAACACAGCTATGATCTCAATGTCATTTACAAGCAACTACTTAATTTACTTTTGGTATTTCGTAAGTCGGCATTCTGATTCTATGATAAGACATCAAAATTCACAAAATTATACTGGGGATGGGCACTAACATCGTCTTGTGCCCATCCTCTTATGAACTATATTTTATGATAACAGCAAACTCACGGGATAACATCATTAACACCTGTGGTACATTATGCTGATAGTTTAAATAAGACTTAGTATTCTGATCTGTGAGAATGTTTATTTAAATATGACTAACCTTGAAGTATTTCTCATAATGTAAGCAGTACATGACGAGTGAATCGATTTCACAATTATCCTTATCTAATGACAAAGACAACATTTTGTGTCCGTTGTATACTCAATAAAACCTTATGACTAATGTAATGGATTAATGTTTAAACTCTCATTACACACCTTTACCAGTACCTATGCTGTTTGATGCTTCAGGGTTTTCATTTATGTGATTAGTATTAAGTTATGTATGTGATTCTAAATGGTATAATATAGATTATAGTGTCATTGTCCGGAACTAAACAAACTACATTAGAAATTAATGCAGTCAGCATGTTGGTCCATTGGTTTCTAATAGAATCTATTTCATGACACTAAACTCTTTTTTATAAATGATCCGGAAGTATTCGTTATATAATGTATTTGGATTTGACATGTATCATTTATGACAATATTTTATATTATTTTGGCATGTATTCTAGTCCGAAACTAGAAAATCTTTGTAAATTTTATAGATTTCATGGATGGGTCTATACGTCTATAGAACCTGATTTTATACAATAACGAAAATACTGATTTTGTTGGTAAAGAGTGAATAAGCATTAATGTTTTCTGGCTTAAAATAAATCACAGCGTCAGTCATTTAGAAGTTAAAAGTCTAGCCAAAACGAACATATCACTCTTGTTTTATATCATCAGCATTTTCTGTTCAGTGCCAAAAACCGCAGGCCCTCAACCACCACCATTACGAAATGAATATTCCGTTTAGTATGTAAACAGTTCTAGGATAAGTAATTTTATTGTTTAGGTAATGTATGTCTTAACCCTAGTTTTAAATTATCGTATCCTAGCTGTATGTTATGCCAACGAAGTGTATGTCGCGATGTGAATGTGCGGTGATATCGATTTTAATTTTGGTGATCATCGAAGGTTGAAACTGGTGCTGTGAGGTCTAACTGGCGACATACGACGCGGACTGGACTGTTTTAATGTGATTTTAGTTTACCTGTGACGTAAGTGTTGCTTGCAAGACAACAACAGCTGTAACCGACGCGACTGATGTTCCTTGAAACTCGATGTTCATAACTCTTATAATCATCTTTTGTTAAAATTTATATCATGGTATAAAATAGGAAAATAAAATGTGTGTAATTAGAACACTTAACTGCTGTTTTATTGGAAATATCTCGATGCTGGGTAGAAATGTAATGCAGTCGTAATTAAGTCACATAGTTTTAACGAAAATATTTCTTTCTAGTTACGAATAAAGAAATAGTACAACGGTTTTAATTATGTAAGTGGAGTCAGGTAAGTTGAAATGTGTAAAGCCAACAGTTTACGCGGACTAGAATGACTAGAATTTATTATTTTTTATATGTTATTGCACATGAAGGTTCTATATAATTAAAAAATTGAAAAAAAAAACAGCGTTTCGTGCTGTTGCTCTGAGCAACATTCAAGTCTTGCCCGAGTCGAATTTTTTTTCGATTTTTAAATGATAAGTTTCATTTAAAAATCGAAAATAAATTGAACTTAAATTAACTCTTTCAAAGATTAAGTTTAATGTTTCATTTAATTAATCTTTGAAAGAGTTAATTTATAATAGATTACAGACAAGCATGGAGTTCATCACTTGATGGTAGGTTAAAAACCGTATAGTTGCAATAGTCGATATACATTTTACTTGGTTTATAAAATAAAACACTTATATCGTTATTAGAATTTATTACAAACATGGATACGAATTTTTGTGAACATCAACACTAAACTAAGTATATCAATGTTACTCTTGCATGCAATATTTTGCACAAAATGTATTAAGTGCTTCAGATCAATAAAGGTTATTTTATTTATATCTATGTCTAAAAAGGGTTTACGTTTGTACTGACAAATGTATGAGACCTTTGAAAAGATAGAAACTTTGTTATCAAAGAAAAGAAATATTAAAATCTTAATAATAGTTATAGACATTTAGGTGTTATAGACTGTAAAGATTCTAAACAAAGCGATGTAAACTTTAAACTCCACCGCGTATAAGGGATAGAAAAATTTGGTACTCGACAATTTCTATTCACAAAATCAGTCTTTACTCACTGAGCACTCTACGATGGACCGGTATCCCATAATTGCGTTGTGCATTTCACACCAGAAACGACCTTTACGAAGATAATAAACATAAAAAAATAAATCATTAATCTTAAATAATAGTTGAGAAATTTTATATTCGACATTTTGAGATCTTTTAAGGAAAAAGATTCTATTCAAAATACACCTACTTTCGTTTATGGGAATGGTACACTTATCACAAGACAGGTAAGCTAATATATAAATAATCTAATTAATAATTATATGTGGACATCTATAGGTGAATCGTAGTTTTGGTTTTACACCGTTTCGTATTGGCTGCGTATGGAACGAGCGAGGCTGCACGCGAAGATCACGCCGAGTAACTGAAAGAAAAAAAAACATATATAAAAAGATACATTACATTTCACCTGCTTGGGTATGTTTACCAAGAACTAAGACAGGCAAAGCAGGAGAAAAATGTTAAATTTCAATGTCATTTAATTTTAAAATCCTCCTATGAAGGTGCGCGATCTCCTCCAGAACGGCTGAAAGAAATTTTGTATACCCTCGTTTGACCAGCGATTTTTTTTCCTTTTTACTCATACACAATATACGTCAACACACTCACAATGCAACTTTTTCTACCAAAATATTACCTAGAAATAATTTATGTGACAATAAAACGGTTTATTTTAATTCAGGTACGCCAATTTAAATCGCTTCTTTCTTAGTTACTCATGACGTCACATACGGATTACTGATGACAAGGTTTTCCTAAGAAAATTTTACTTAAATTAACTCAATGACGTGCAATGTTATATAACAGGTAACGCCGTAATAGTATGTACACATTGTGTGGGCAAAATTAGTGATGTACCTTTTCTTCTTGCTTTACAATGTTTCGAATTGTTAAAATGGACATGCCGTATGCATGCAGGCATGGAGTCCCCTTGATGAAAGGTGAATATCACAGCCATATATAATTTTTTCAACGTATTTTAGCTTTCTAGATTTTCCGGGCGAAATCCAACGTGTTTTAAAGAAATTATAAATTGATTCGAAACATCTTAGCCCTCGGTGGGGATCACACCTACGACCCATAATTTGCGATATACAGCTACCATTACACCACCGATCTCGAGACATCTGTTTAAATGAACTTTCATTTGAACTGTAATTTCTTATGTAAAGTTAGTTACACTATCGTAAGTAGTCAATGCGTTAAACTTACTTGTATAAAAGCGATGCCAAGCCCAACTCCACCAAGAACCAAAGCCACGTCCTTCAAGTGTACGAGAATATGGTTAAGACATCCTTGAGTGTGGAAGTTAGGGTTGCTCGGTGTGCAAGCGACCGGTTTGTTGTCTAGTATCTCTTGGGCAGCGCAACAAGTGTCCGGAATTGGTAGGCCATTCAACTGCCAGTCGTCAGGGCTGTTGATACCGCAGCAGGTAAACTGAAATGTACGTATTTAATATAATAAATAGATATATTATAGTGACGGCGAGTTTATTGCCAGTTCTTCTCGTTCATTCTACGCCCTTGACTTGAGAACTGGTGGTAAGTGTAAAGATAGATTCTTTAGTTTTGTGACGTTCATAAGTGTTCACCTACATGAATTTTTGACTTTGACTTAACTATTCAATAAAAACGCATATCGATAAAAACAATGAAATATTTGTGAAGAAAAATGACAGATTAGTTCCAGTTAGTATTAACAATACAGCAAAGTAGTATATCAACAGAATTATGTAGTTGTTAAATTGAACATAATGATAAAAAGCAAATTCCATTTTTGGCTATAGTATATAACGGATGAAATAAAACAAAAATGATCTCATCATTTAAAGACAAATAAACTAGCATATCATTGTCTTTCGGGCTGTTCGGCCGATGTGAGCGAGAAGAGGTTCTCGACGTTTCGCCATCACTTGTGGACGGCATCATCAGGAGATGTTAACTCCTTGATTGCTCGAAGAATTATGAGTTCTCATACAGGGCCGAACAGCCCGAAATATGCTTAACGATGGCCGTGAAAGCCTTACACAATTTACAAATAAACTACGTCCATCGGAAAGAGAATTAGGAATATATTAACCTTTTTTGGCGAAATTTAGTATGCGTATTTATAAAAAGGCCTAAAAATATACCTAGGGTAATTATTTAACAACAGTCAAATATAAGAGCATTCGTAATCGAAACTAATAAGATTTCTTTGTACGATTAATTCTATGCCATCTCTTTCCAAAGATGACCCCTTTAGCTCAGAGGCCCTGGTGCATTGCACCATTGTATATATGCATTCCCAACAAGATTATATATAATATCGGATGAATAATGTTTATTTAAAATAACACTGATATGACGAAACACGTTACGATGTTTACACGTTACACTCATCCACACATATAATTATTAAACAATATTGCGGCGTGGTTCTGTATGAAAAGAGGAAGTGACCAAGGTCTAAAGTCATTATTTGTATGAACAATAGTATATTGTCCAAAATATATGTACATATATGTTATTAAAAAGCTGAAGAGTTTGTTTAAACGCGCTTTTTGTGTTAGAGCATTTATTGAGGAAGTCTTTAGGCTATAAGACACGAATCTACACCACTAGGCTCGCAACAGAGGAAAATGTGGAAAACAATTTTTCTCGTTTTTTCCGTTGCATGCGTTGCGAATGCGGGGCAAAAAACTTTGAATGATCTGAAAATGTCTTTAAGAATAACTTGCAAGACGGGACGTAAACGACGGCGTGGGTACCAGCTAGTATTAATATACAGGAATTATATTCGTGATTAAATTTTACGAGTTTACGTCACGTAATGTTACCCTTGCTGTTGAAACACGTCATTATTGGGGAGTCATAAGTACCATCACATGTTAAGGGTGTGCCCCTCCCCCTCCAAGAGGGGTTGACGAATTGTTACGAGGGCTTGAAAGAAGTCTATTATATTATTTTTAATCACTTTAGTTGCAATAATACAGATCTCGAAAGTATATAAAATACTAATATTATAAAGCTGAAGAGTTTGTTTGTTTAAACCCCGTCTTGCGTCTTCTGCCAATTCCCCTATTAATAGTTCAATATAGTTCGTTCGTTCGATCATACAGTACAATATAGTTGTTTTTACAATAACATAGATATAGAATAGACGTATTTCACAACAGCCTGTACAGATTTCGTGTCCTAGTGCGACAGGCATTAGGTTAGTCTTACTTCATGTTGTGTCTCTCTAGTTTGTTTATTTCACATTTTTGTTTGTTATTTTAGTTCTGAGTAATACTTCTTTTGACGTATATGTAAAAATAAATTTTCTGTTTTATTTATAAGTATGTAAAGAGCATGTATGTTGTATGGAAATCAAATAAATAAACACGCTAACCTCAGAATCTACTGGTACGTGTTGAAAGTTCAAGAAACAAAAAATAAATTATACAATAGTAATTTCTCTTAATGAGAATTAAAACATATAATGTTATGCCTTTTAAGATCGACTCGCAAGAACCGTTTTATAAATCAAATTTGGTCGAAATTAATGCATTATTACCTATTATTTGTTATAGTGGTGTCAACAAAATAATATTAATTTTGCAAACAACAAACAAACGTTTGTCGGATCAGCTAGTTGTAAAATATGTGACAACAATTTCGTTTGTGATATACTTGACGTACAGTTTGAAAGTCCAGTGTAAAAAAAGTCGATCTGGTCGAAAAAGTTTACTTACATCAGTTTGGATGATGTCGAAATTCTTCTTTATGTCTGCGTTGGTCGGATATTGTTTCAGTGACTCATTGAGAGACCGCACAATGGAAGTTTCTAGATCTTGGTGTTTGACGTAGCCGGCGATACCCACAGCCAGTTCAGCTATGAAGATCATCAGGAGGAAGATGGAGAACTGAAATTCACACATGGATTATGTAACTTAATTGACAAATAGACAGATTAAGTCTTACTACGCAGATCTCTTATCCAATACTTTTATTTACCAAGCAGAACAAATAAACGCCGATGATCATCTGCAAAACCATGAGTTTTGAAGATGTGTTGTCGGCTTCTTTAATTAAAGTGTCCTTAATTAATTATAGCTGATGTGCTAGGCAAGAAATACACATGGTTCTTTTTAGAATGGCGTATACAGTATATTTATACCTAACCTTTGCTTCGTAATGTTAAATGCCGCGCCCTATAAAAGAGAAATTCCGTCCCCTTCGTGGGGCTTCTACATCCGTTACGGTGATCGATTTTTATTTACTCGCAATCAGGTCTAATGTTTGGAATGTATGGCTAATAATCAATCTCCACCTACACGTTTCTAATCAATTTATATTTTTTCCGAAACCTAGTGAACTTCGTCTGGAAATCTGGATATTAAACGGGTATATCGAAATCCTGTCCGGGTTACGCACTGTTGTCTACAAATAAAAAGATGATACATGGCTGGACTTATTCACCTTCCATCAGTGAACCTTACTCTTGTCTGTACTTTATCATAAAAGAAATCACCGGGATTCGAACCCAAAATAGCCTTTTGCGCAATAGGCAGACGCTATCGACAAGTAATGCAATTAGGATAAACTTGTTAACTCTCTCCATGCGTTTAAAAGGCCTATTAAGAATGAATTAAATGGAGGAAGTATTCGTTAGCGAGACGTCGTGTCAGAGTTCATTGGTAGCAACTCGTTAAATTGTCAAGTATTTAGGTTAGTTTTGTTACGACTAGATTTAGCTAAGCGGTGGATTTCTTAAACTACCCTCTTGTAAAATTTGTTTCGATTCTTTAATATTTTAAAATCTTGGCGAAGTTCCAAAAAAATCTAAGTAATACAATAAAGCTCAAAGGATTGTTTGTTTGAACACGCTAATCTCAGGAACTACTGGTGTGAATTAAAAAAATCTTGTTGTTGCTTAGAGCATTTATCGAGGAAGGCTATAAAACATCGCACTGTGACTAAAAGGGGCGAAGAAATATCGAGAAGTGTGGAGAAAAGTATTCATCATTGTGGGTTTTCGGTGCGAACGCTGCATAAACGATACAAGAAACCCAAAAAATATGTATCGAAGAAGGATTCCTCTTCAATGTTCTAAAAAAAATTAATCCGCGGCGCTATATGTCTATCTTTAAAGATTATCTTGCAAGAATGACGGAACGCGACGGGTCGGTTACAGCTTAGGTTTTTATAGGTGAAGAGGAGCTTTGCAAGAACAATTTTGGATGCCCAATGAAACTATTCTTCGCGGACAAAGTCGCTGACACAGCTTGTAAATTTATATAGTTCGAACATAACAATATTAAAAATATGTTAAACAAAATATTTTTGGTGGTAGTTCGAAATAACTATCAAATATATTTCGCGTTATCAATTATTGCTAATATAAGTTACATATAACAAGACGATTTTAATAATTTGGTCAATTGTCTTAAGAATGTGAGAGAAGAAGGTGATTCACAATAAATATTATGACTAACATTGAGAAACCGAGAGGTCAAATGGCAGTTACAATAACAAATAATAAAAGGTTATTATTAAAATAATTAATTGACCGCTATTTATAAAGTGATAAACTTTGACTGCTGTGTTAATATCTTATAATGCATCCCATGAAGATTGTATATGTACTATAACAAAATCATATTTCACTATGTGGTGATATGGCCAAGTTTTATCTGATGAAACTTTATTGTTTGTTAGGGATTCAAACCTAAGGACACCTTGCCCTTAAGGCAATGTGTTTCTCCACTGAGCCGTGAAGTTGTAATGTAATTTAATCATGTCAAAACGAAACATAAAAAATGGTGACTAATATTGTGAAATTTTCATAACGTTAGTCACAGTATACTTATTTATTATAATAAGAGTTATTTAGTCATATTTTTCCATGTTGCGTTAAGCTTATATAACTGAGGTTTTAAATTTTGAATTAGGATTTTACATTGTGTACAAAATGAATGAAAAAAGCCTTTTAATATAAAAACTCACCGTCACTATCATGCAATGGTTCTCCTTAACAGCACCGCAACATCCAAAGAATGCCACTATGAACACAATCAGACCCACTATGATGAGGATAATGGGTGCTGATGTGTAGAACGTCTCATCCGTCAGGTTAACATATGGGTAAGCATTGATCTCGGCTTTTGCACCAACTATAAGGATTATCAGCCCTGTTATCTGCAAGTAAGGTTAAGAATATTTGTTTAACTTTTACTATTTATTGGCAGAGGGTATTTTTATTAAGACCTTTTTGGCTTCAAATGTAACTTACAATATAATCAATAGGTTTTTTTAAATTTTTAGTAGTAATGTTTAAACAAGTTAGTTGATGATTCTAAAAACAATAGTTTTATATTTTGGAATGGTTTTTTTTTTAAGATTTGCATGCTATCAGATTAACATATCGGGTTTATGAGCCAACTAAGCCCACTAAGGAGGTCAGGTCACATACTGTAACTATTAACTGTGTCACCTAATAATTTACATTGATTTTTATCAATAAAAAGCACTGCACTAATAACAAAGTTGTATCATATTTATTAATTTTTATCTTCCTTTGTTGCGGTTTTGGAAACTCATATGTATCCAAATTTATGACATACATTAGATATAACAATAAATCATTACTAATAGTTTAATAAGTATATTCATTTTTAACTTAAATGCAATACCTTTTAAATAATTTAATTCAAAAACTAGACAATACCAATAATTGTTTAAATATAGTATATAAACATAATTATGTGCACTCAAATGTAACGTAAAATTTCACAAGTCTAAAATTAAAAAAATGGAATGACAAATAACCTGATTAAGGTCACATGCGTAACTGGTTCTAGATCTTTTTACTCTGGCCTTTACGGTTAAAAACAAGAGCGATTTGGTGAAAGGACATTTTATTTAGAATAGATTCGTTGATATAATTAATATTCAAGCACATAAACAAGTATAATGATATCAAAATAGCTGTTATAGACTACAACTGTAGGTAGTAAAGAATAATTGCACAACACTCATCATAATCAGAAGTTACCAATGCTTTTAAGTGGTGCATGGAAACGTCGGCATACGTAATTTCATCCTTCAAGGAAAAATTGCGTTCTAAATTAACTCACCGCGAATAACAGGTTGAAAGAAAACAATAGATATTTGACGCAAGACATTCCCGCTCCTATTGCCATTTTGCGACACTTGATATTCCAAATTCAGCTGCAACAAAGAACACAAAATAATGTCCTTTACATCACGTACTTTATAAGTATGTACATAAAAGCGTTTTGCGTTGTTGACGCAGGTAGGCGGATGGTTTTAAATTACACTGAAAATGGGACTTATTATAGACCAAGTCATTATTATTTTAAACAATATATAGTCACTGTTTGTGGATGGAAACAATTTCTTACCGACAAAAAAATGTTAATTTGTAGAACAACAACAACACGCACACCTAACGTTATACAAAACAACGATTAACTGAGTGAGTTGCCAGCGTTCGAGCCAATTTTTCCCCTCTGCTATGCGTTATAAAATGTCGCCAAGTCTAAACTTTAAACTGCCACTATCGTCGCAAATATTGTTTTTCTTTAATATTCTGTAAACTAATAATATAGATCGATTAATTCAGTAAATCACGAAAAACAACAGGTTTGTCAGACTTAAAATTTATTTTAGATAAAATAACTACCATTTATTAACTGAAAAATACTATTATTTGAACTTTATCGAAAAGGACATAGTTTGAACTATTTTATATAAGCTAAATTTGATTACCTACGATAACATCTATTTTAAACATTAAGTTTTATTTAACAGATTTATGAATGTAAAAAGTTGAATATAAGTAACTTTATTTTAACTACAATATCGGCTAAGATTAGATGAAGTGTCAAGATAAGAAAGATATTGACCCGTTTCGTGATTGATAATAAAATTTCATCTCAGTTTTTCAGTTAGTATCAGTTAGTTTAAACTGTAGCGCTCAAAATGAGAGTTATGAATATCAGTATTGGCAGTACGCCCAAAATATTAAAATCAGTGAGGTATTCTCTAGCCTTCGTTACTTCTGTATTTTTGGTGAGATTTTTTACCTTACTTACTTATGTCTGTACTTGTCATAAGTCATCGTTACAGTTAGTACAATTTTTAAGTGTTTATGTTCAAGTCTGATAAGAAAGATAAGGGTACTTGGATAATAACTGTTTTATAATATTGTAGCGAGTGATTTGTAATAAGTTGATCTACCTACCTGTATAACGCCCAGATCTTCTATTGCTAATATACCAATATGATGTAATGTCCAGTAGGATTCGAACTCACGACTTGTTCATTTGTCGTATCGTTATTCCTTTGCATCATTTTGCTTTGCAGCAGCCGTGGTCACGGTGAGACTGCTGCAAAGCATCCGAAACGTCGGGCCAAAGTTAAAAATCATTTTCAAATAAGTTTAACTAATATATCGCGTTTAAACCGTTAAAGTGTTTTATTTATATTAACATATAATATTTAGTTGTCTATTATATTCAAGTTTATGAGTTTTAAATTAAGTAACACCCCCAGTGTTACCCCCTAAATAGCAAAATATTGTTATTTTATGATTAAAATATATTCTTAATTATTAAGTTGGTAAAATATTGACGTATAGGCAATGCGGGTAACGGATACGAAAAAACCGTTGAACACGGGTTGAAAATATGTTTTAGATTGTAGGTTGTACTTAGGTTTTTAATTTTTATGTGTACAAAAGAAAAATAATACTTGTTTTTTCAGATACAAGGCTTAATTCTACTTATGCTTGGAGTCACATATTTTATAAAGCATAAAATTTACGAAGAATTAACTACGAACGTTTTCATCAGCTTACCTGAATTTTTAATCGCATCCGGAGTGCTTATTTTTGTTATAGCTATTCTGGGATATTATGGCGCGATGTCTGAAAATTTCTACGTTGTCGCTGGTGTAAGTTGTATATTACCATAACAACCACTGGACATGGCTTAAAATAGAAAGTGACCATTTCACACCAAAGTACATATTAAAAATTATCACACGTAAAATTATTTTCTGTGGAATTAAATCAGTCAGCTGTTTCTGCAGCGCCGATTTTCAGCGATGCACCATGAATGTTATAAAATGAGTAAAGTTCACAAGGAAAAGGAAAGGGGAGGAAATACAAGTACAAAAATAAACTTCTATACAAAACAAACTCTATCTTTTATTATATTTTAATTACTTTAAACTATTGGCTGATTAAATACAACAATTTAAGCGGTTTGAAACGCTTATATTATACTAAATTTAGTTTAAGTTAAGTACTTTAGTTTAATTTAGCTCAGACAACCGGACCTTGCGGTTAAATTTAGAAAATAAATCAACGAAAAGACGTTACGTTTTAAGCCGATTAAAGGTTATAATGACATGATGATATTTTTTAGTTTGCAGCTTTTATGGTCATCATATTTATATTTGAAATGACCATAACAATAATGGCATTCGGACTACGAAATGATGCTTCTAACGCAATAAGAGCCCCGATGGTGCAAAGCCTCAACTTATATGGGACTAAAAAGGATATTGCTAGATTGTGGGATGATTTGCAAATGGGGGTAGGTATTAATAAATCTCTATCTTGAATGGGTAACACTGAGTGGAAATTTGTATAAAGCACAATACAAAATTTAAAAGCATAAAGAAAAACGCAATGGTTGTTGTGCCTAGCATAGCGATCGAATCCGAGGAAATAGTAATCAAGGTATATATATACACATGCGCAGGACACAAAGACATGGTCATCTACTTGCCTCTGAAGAATATTGATCAGTTTAACCAGTGTTTCTGTCTTCGGCCTCACACAGCAGAAATTCATTAAAATTAAAAAAATATATATTAGTTCTAATTTAGAATTAGTGTATAAAGTAATTTAAATTATGTATTAATATTTTACACATATTAAAATATTCTCAGTTCGAATGCTGTGGTGTTTCTGGTCGCCACGACTGGGTTTCCAACCGAATTCCGGTCAGCTGTTGCCATATAGATTATGGCACGGTTTCACCATTCGAGTGCACCTTGAGCAACGCCTACCCCACGGGCTGTGCTTCCTCCCTGGGCAGCTGGTTTAGCAGCAACGCGCATATTATCGGCATTTTTGCGGCAGTTTTCACGAGTATTCAGGTTCGATATTTTGACTATTAATGGACAAATAGGAAACAAAACTAAAGTAAATACTGTCTGTAGTTTACGCGAGTAGTACACATTTAAATGAAATATTTTAATGGTTTAAAACAGTGGAGACAGGCCTCCCTGTGTCAACGGCTGCTGCAAAGCATTCGAAACATCGGGCTGTAATTAAAATAATTGTCAAATAAGTTTAACTACTATATATCGCGTTTTAAACCGTTAAAGTGTTATATTTAAGAACTGAAAGTAGATTAGTGAAGTGACAGCTTTTTTATTTAATTCATATGTGACATTCCTGCGACACGAACGTAAAAATTAGTAAGTAACTTTAAAACATTAAATCTTACTCTAACTAACAACAAACGAGGGTCAATCTTTTATAGCCTTGTTTAAAATTAAGAGAAAAAGAAGGTTTATACACTTAGCTTAAGTTTGATATTTTTTTACATGTTATTGCACGTGATGGCACTATGGTAAAATAAAAATAAATTTTAGTTAGAAAAAAAACGATGTTTACTGCATGGGCAGGACTTGAACCGGCATCCACTCATTCATACAGAAGAAGAACACGGAACACGTGGATGCCGTTTCAAGTCCTGGACGTGTCGTAAATTTTTTAAAATCTAAAATCTATTTATATTCACTTAGTTTAAGGTTTTACTTTCACGTAATTGATAGAATAACATCTTTTTACACTGATCATCCATCAAACATTGGGTTTATTCCTTGAACGCTGAAAGCTCTCCTTAATTTAAAATGTTCGACGCTTAAGATTGGAAATCTCTTCAAGTGTCTATTTGTTCTTCCTTCCTTGTCCGAATGTTTATGGAAATCTTCAAAAAAATCGCTTGCATACTTATCGATTACAAAAAGTAATACAAGTCTTAAATTGTATTACTAATAATTATTGTATACCTTCTTAGTATTTACAGTATTTTAATTTCAGGCACTCCTAACAGCGATGTCTGGGTGGTTAGCGTGGCGAACACGGTATGAGGAGATTGAATTAGAGTCTTAATTCATGTCTTTAGTACTTATTAAATGTACTGTAAATTACGATTCATTCAATAAATACATCATTATAAAAACCAGTTGCCAAATGTCAGTGAACATAGTATTTTGTATTATAAATGTTATTTAAATAATGTGACGTTCGAAATTAGTAGGTTTGTTTGTTTAATTAAATGTATACATGTATCATACTTGGTTTGTTTTTTTTATAAACCTATCATTATTAATAACATGTTGATGAACTAATGATTCATATCTATGAGGAATAAAGTGTCACATAGTTGAGATAGTGGGTAGGCGAAGATAAGGAAACATGGTTTATTGCTTATATATTTTTAAATTTGCAGAAGGTATTATGTTATCTTAATGGTGTTACAACGTAATCTCCTTACTAGTGATCACCGACGCCGGGGGCAAGCGTTAACTTATATAACTTGTATGTTAATGAAATGTTTATTACGTCACGAATAGTATAAAAAAAGTATTAAATTTTTATTTCATTCCATTTGGAGGTTCGAAGCAAAGGTTAGTCTATAACCGTGTAGATGAACAACCGTACGTCATTATACACGCCTGGAGTAAGATAAATCAGCTTGTTTTCCTTATCAAAGATTATTGTCGCGATAAAAATACCCGAGAAACGCTACTACGGCACCTAGTCTATTACATGTCACGAGGGCGCCCCGTGCATACGTCAATATGTTGGCAAAGATTTTTACCACCGTCAAATACACTTTGGTGTCAGTGAATTTCCTTTTCCTGGTAAGTACGTGATTATGCGCAAGTAGTGTAAATGGACAGTGAAGCTTAAGTGTTTTTCAGATAACCGGTATTATCGTTTTGGCGGTCGGTAGCTCGGTTCAGTCGGCGTACAATGGATACCACCACTTCTTGTCAGAGAGATTCTTCTCCCTTCCCGCGTTTTGTGTCGCGACGGGAATAATTATATTCCTGATTGCCTTCGCCGGGTTCTATGGAGCCTTCATGGAAAATTATTTTATGATAATGGCGGTAAGTAACCACAGATAAAACCATAACCATAGATAATGTCAAAATCTATGTTATCTATGGGTTATAAAACTTACTTTGAACTGGACAATGGTGTAGTTATTTTGGATGTAGTATCAGTACATGCTTCATGCCCTCGATACAAAATGTCAGGTTATTTAGGGAATTTGTATGGCATCTTGCAGCGGTGAAAACATACGGGTGAATACGACTTAGTATCGTGTTTCGATAACATCGGCCTTAAAGCGATATTATTTACAATTGTACAAAAATATGTTTAACTTTTCGTCTTAAGACTCCTATGCAGGTGTACCTATTTTTTGTATTATCAAATTGATAACCGCTTAACAGACAACGGCACTTACTGTTTTCGATAAAATTATAAACACATATTGCAGATAAATAATCATAATCATCAATATTGATGTATTGTGACACACCTTCCAGGTTAAACTGTTAAATTCTAATAAAGCTCTAGAATACGTAATTTTTACGTAATAAATAAAATAAAAATTTTGAATGCTATTACTAATTAATTTATTTGTTGCAAGAATGCTATGAGGACAGTCTGTTACAAAATATAGGTGTCCTGCCTTGAACCATACAATTATAAATTAATGATAAAATAGAAATAAGTTATAAAATTATAAGAATAGAAATAGGAAATGTTATATTAGAAGTATAGGGCACGGCTACATTAAATGAAACCATATATTCTCATAACAGATATGAAGCTTAATGAAAAAGGGCAAAAAATTAATTTTCATTCAAATGACAATCTTAGTAAAAAATCTGATAAACTTAAGCTCTTAAAATATTATTAAAGTGTCAAACACGTAATTGTTTTAGTAAAATTAGTTATTAATTATTGTGTTTAAAAATTCTTGGACGGTTTAAACGCGAAATACTCTTTGCAGCAGCTGTCACGGGGAGGCTACTAATATATTTCGTGTTTTAAACCGTTCATTTAAAGGCGTGCTTCTTGTGTAAGCTACATATATTAAATTGTAAAAGTTTTACTAACTTTGCTTGTTTCTCCTTCAGTTTGTTGGTGCCATGGTATTGATGTTCATTTTCCAACTGTCCGCCTGCATTGCTGGTTATGTCCTCAAAGGGAGTACCGTTGCCCTGGTGCAGCAGCAACTGTTGAATACAATGGACTTATATGGGCCCAACTTGGAAGTTACTAAGCTGTGGGATGAAGTACAAAATGACGTAAGTAAATGAGTCAAAATTTCAGATTGAAAAAAAATTTACAACACGGGTAGGACTGGAATCAGCATCCACAGCGTTCCGTGCTGTTGCTCTAACCAGTCTTGCACGTCATCGTTTTATTATTTGCAACCTATTGATACATGCACCTCTCGCGCATTTCGGTTCATGTCATGCCCGTGTCGTAAATTTTTTTCAATCTAAAATAAATTCTTACTTTATCTAATACCCTTATGTACAAAACAAGATGCGCCGTCAAACTATTTAGGCTTCGGATATTTTAATCTACAGACGGAAATCGAAACGCGATTAAACTTTACCCCTTCTTTATCTGTGGACCGTGGTTCGTAACTCGGACGGAATTTCGATATTCCTATGAGCCATTGAGGATCTAAATTTCTACAGGAAGCCCAACATATTTCAGAAAAATTATAAATTGATTAAATGACCCGGTGGGGATCGAAACCCACGACCCATTGATTATTAGCCACTTAATAAATTAATATAAATATTTAGTAGTAGGTACTCGGTATGTCTGTAAGAATTGTGTTTTCAAGTATATTATGGAGATCTAATTGAAAATGTCCGATAGTTTGATATTTAAGTATACCATAATATAAATATAATGTTATTAAACTGATGAGGTACAACAAACTAACCATACAAACTAGTTTATTGAAGATACGATAGACACACACAATGACACTTATAATATTTTTATAATAACTTACTAATCCTAAATTATATACTAAATCCGTTAATTTAATGTATTTAAAATAAAACACTCTAACGGTTGATAAAGCGAAATATCTTACTAAATTTTATTTAAATGATTTAAACTACGGCCCGACACGACTCGTCGTCGTAGTAACGACGTCATTTGATTTCGTCAAACAATTGGATTACGCGCTATGAAAACTGAAAATCTCTTTAAATGTATATGAGCCCTTTTGTCTACTATGTGTAATGGGTTTATTACAATTTCCAGTTCACATGCTGTGGTGTATTGAACTCGAGTGATTGGCTACCTCATCTCAACACGCAAGAGACATTCGGAGTTCCTATCAGCTGCTGTGATCACACCTATGGCGCTATCCAGACCTTCACGTGCAATACCACAGTTGCTTACTCAACTGGATGTTCAGAGGCTTTCGGAAACTGGGTTAAGTCACATGCAGGTTCTATCGGGATAGCTGGGATCGTTCTCGTCTTGATGCAGGTGTGTGACGTAGAGAGCTAGAGGCAGAGTGCCTAATAACAAAAATAAATGATTTTCAATGAGAAAAATGAAAATGCGCAATTAATTATGGAAAATGAATTTGTACTATTATTTGGTAGTTGGTTGGTAGTTTAAGCGAGTAGTACCTACACATTTAAATAAAACACTTTGACGGTTTAAAACCACGATGTATTTTTGTTAAACTTGTTTGAAAATTATTTTAAACTACGGCCCGACGTTTTGGATGCTTTGCAGCAGCTGTAGTCACGGCTTTAACTAATATATATCGCGTATTAAACCGTTAGAGTGTTTTAATTGAAGAATTATGTTAACAAGTGTCGGTCGCTATGCTCTTGTAAAATTACAGCTAGGCTACTCTGGCTCTAGCCCTCATGTATCGATGTAAGACATTGCATATAAAATGAACTCGGGGTTGTTTGTACGAATGGTCAAAAGTATTTCCTAGTATTGAGTTAAGCGCAAGATGTCCTGTGTTCGAATCAAATGCAAACAAAATAGTTTCGGTCGGGCAGGGCAAAGAAATATGTCTTTTCCCCTTTTTTTCCCCCCCCCCCCCCCCCTCCCTTTTCCTTTTTTTCCCCTTTTTTTTCTTCCCCCTCCCCTTCGGTTCCCCGGCCCCCCCGTTTTTTTTTCCCGCCCCGGGGGTTTTTTTTTTTTTTTTTCTCGTGGCCCCCCCCCCTTTTGGCGGGTTTCCCCCCCCCCCCCCCCCCGGTTCCCCCCCCCCCCCCGGGCCCCCCCCCCCCCCCCCCCCCCCCGGGGCGCCGCCCCCCCCCCCCCCCCCCCCACCCCCGGGCGCCCCCCCCCCCCCCCCCCCCCCCCCCCCCCCCCCCCCGGCCCGCCCCCCCCCCCCGCCGCGGCGCCGGGGGGGCGCCCGCCGGGGGGGGGGGGGGGGGGGGGGGGGGGGGCCCCCCCGGGGTTTTTGGGCCCCTTTTTTGCCCCCTTTTCCCCCCCCCCCCCCCCCCCCCCCCCCCCCCCCCCCCCTCCCCCCCCCCCCCCCGCCCCCCCCCCCGGGGCGGCCCCCCCGCGGGGGGGGGGCGGGCCCCCCCCCGCGCGGCGCCCGCCCCCCCCCCTGCGCCCCCTGGGCTCGCCCCCGCGGGCCCCGGGGGCGGCCCCGGCGGGCCCGGGGGGGGGGGGGGGGGGGGGGGGGGGGGGGGGGGGGGGGGGGGGGGGGGGGGGGGGGGGGGGGGGCGGGGGGGGGGGCGCGGGGGGCCGGGCGCCCGCCGGCCCCCGCCGGGGCCCGGGGGGGGGCGCGCCGGGGGGGGGGGGGGGGGCGGGGCGGGGGGCGCGGGGGGGGGGGGGGGGGGGGGGGGGGGGGGGGGGGGGGGGGGGGGGGGGGGGGGGGGGGGGGGGGGGGGGGCCCGGGGGCCCCCCCCCGGGGCGGCGCGCCGGCGCGGCGCCCGCCCCCGCCCGCGCCGGCGGGGGGGGGGGGGGGGGGGGGGGGGGGCGGGGGGCCCCCTGGGGGGGGGGGGGGGGGGGGGGGTGGGGGGGGGGGGGGGGCGGGGGGGGGCGGGGGGGGGCGGGGGGGGGGGGGGCCCGCCCCGCCCGCGCCCGCGGCCCGGCCCCCCGCGCCCCGCCCCGCCCCCCCGGGGGCGCCCCGGGCCGGGGCCGGGCGGGGGGGCGCCCGCCCCGGGCCCCCCGGCCGCCCGGCCCCCCCGCCGGGGGGGGGGGGGGGGGGGGCGGGGGGCGCGGGCCCGCGGCCGCCGGGCGCGCCCCCCGGCCCGCCGGCGCGGGGGGGGGGGGGGGGGGGGGGGGGGGGGGGGGCGCCCCCCCCCGCCCGCCCCCCGGGGGGGGGCGGGGGGGGGGGGGCGCGGGGTCGCCGGGGCCCCGCGTCCGGGGTCCCTGGGGTGGGGGGGGGGGGGGGGGGGCGGGGGGGGGGGGGGGGGGGGGGGGGGGGGGGGGGGGGGGGGGGGGGGGGGGGGGGGGGGGGGGGGGGGGGGGGGGGGCCGCCCGCCCGCCCGCGGGCGCCCGGCGTTCGGGGGGTTTTGGGGGGGGGGGGGGGGGGGGGGGGGGGGGCCCCCCCCCCCCCCCCCCCCCCTTGGGGGGGGGGGGGGGGGGGGGGGGGGGGGGGGGGGGGTTGTAAAAAAAAAAAAAAAAAAAAAAAAAAGGGGCAAAGAAATATGTTAAGTGTCACCAGTCGATTTTAAGGCCTAAGTATGGTCCAATAACTCATATAGGGAAAACATTTGAATTTATCTTCATTTCATTTCTACAATGTAGTATATTTTGAGAAATGTATTAAATTAATAGAATTTAAATATGCTTTCAAAAAAGTGTAAAATCATTTCATCATAGACGTTGAGTGAAGCGGCTTTTCCGGTATTTTTATTATAAAGCAATGTGAACGTTAAAGAAGAATGATTAAAACAAAAAAGTTGGTAAAGGGAGTTATCAAAAAAAATGGATTATCCCTAATAACGAAACTAGACAATTTTCCGTGTTTAATTATTATATTAAAATCAATTCAATTCAAGTTTTCTAGCATTACAAAAATATTTTTCCTCTTGCGCACTGATTTATATGTCTTAACAAACCTTGTATCTACTTAACGCGGATAGCAAATTAAGTAAAACCATTTATACTATATTAACGAGCTTAAAGTATTAAATTTTCATTAAGTGTGCCGCCAATCCTTTGGCCATATCCCTTTTCCTACAATATACATACTTTTAGAACTTTCATTGATTGGAATGTTTCACGTGCCACATTTCAATTGACTTATTATTGTTTGTCGTTGTCACACTGACAGTAACTGCTTTCAAGGTCAAATAAGGATTGTTTTTTTTTCAGACTATAGCTGTTGCCGGGGCGTTATGGTTGGCGAACATTACGCGACAAGAACGACAATTTCCTTAAAAACCTAATTATCATTAATTCAATTGTATCTTGAGAAGTGGTTAATTCATTAGAAAATTTGTTTAAATTTTTATAACAGGCAAAATTTTAAAGAACCATTGTTCTGATTAGTGCTAGTGTTCCAATGATAATTCTATAATCACTCATATATATAAGTAATTATTAAATAAAAAATCTTATCTTTTGTAAAAGTTTACCACGGTCCAAATTAAATACTATATTTTCGGCATTGAAGGCATCAAATATTGAATAGTTATTTCTAGAGATGGGCCGAGTACTCCGTTCATACTCGGCCGAATAATTCGGTTATTTAATAACGAGTATACGTTGTATAAAAAACCTATATATTTTGGTAGATATAACTTAAACAGAAATGTTAATCCAAAAGTATTTAAGAAATCTTTGAAAATTACTTAATAGAATCAAAACTATGGTAATGAAAAAGTAATCATGAGTCTTGACCGCCGCGAACCTGTTTATAGTTGTTTACGCACGCGAAATGGCAATTTGATTGAACCAAGTTACTCGGCCGAGTACTCAGTTGTAATAAACCTGAACCGAGGAAACTCGGTACTCGTTACTCGGCGCATCTCTAGTTATTTTGTTACAAAGTCGTCAAAGTACAATATTAATGTAATTAAAAAATGATATACAAAGACATTTTAAAATTGATAAACTCGAGTTCTGTAGCATAGTTGAAATTTATCAATTACTGAAAAACATTTTAATTACAATGTCCTTTTTCCTCCTCCGTGTTGGCAATTAAAAAACCTCTTCTCAAATAATTAAGTTTAGTTTCTAGGTGCTAAAATTTCAACTTATGTTAAAGTATTTATTTGTAATAACTCATATTTATAACTTGCATTTTATTTAACATGTAAATAAAACACTAATTAAGTATCAGATAATATTTTTATTTAACTTAATATGCCACCCCGTATTTAAGTAAATTTGAAATAAAGAAAAGAGAGAACAAAAGATTTGTGTTGTATACCTATGATGTATTGGCAATAGAAGTAATATGAAATCTAGATTGATAAGGAGGACAAAAGAAAGTATTAATATACACAAGTCGATCTTGTGGCATATTCTGTGAATCAGGTTATCTTTGATAAACAATCTGATAATGCAATAAAGATTTATACCGTCTATGTACGTGGCGTAGTATGTCTTTTGCAGCTGTAAAATTTCCTTCAGAAATACAATCAAAGCGTGGGATTGATAATTTGCATGTTTCAGTTCCGATGGATGTTACTAATAACATATCTTATTTCGATCCGCAAAGCAGGCTACTGATTTCGTTTGTGTATCAATTCTAGCAGATACAATATTGAGGATTTAAACTAAGGTGAAAGAAATGTTAACAATATAATAATAACGGAATGCCAACCTGAAATACATATTTAAAAGAGTTCTTATATCGTTATTAGCCCAAGTACCTTTATATAAACAAAAAATATATATATTTTGGATTTAAAAACAAGGCCGGAATTCGCACCTACGACCACAATGTTCTGTTCTGTTCCACTAACACTAGCAATATCTATTAGCTCAGCTGAATTTAATTTAATATTAACTACGAAGTGTCGGATGCTGTACAGCAGCCGTAATCATGAGAGGCCATTTAGGAAACACGAGGCCCAGCTGTGGGAATTATTTGAGGTATAAAAATAATTATATGTGTTTATGTATTATGAGTACCAACTTAAAGTACCTACTGAAATTCTATACTGAAGCCTTTTATTTTATTCTAAAGTGTATCTTTTTCATTTATTTGTTGTTCATGCGTCAGTATTTTTCCTAATTAAGACGCTCATTAAATGTATCATCTCAAAATTAGTTTAATTCGTGGTGTCGCCTGTTAGGCAACGTCGCGCTATCGGCCAATTAAACAAGTCCGTACAGAAGTAAAAACCAATAGCATAGAGTGATTTGCATGACGCCATCGACTCGCATAGGGTTGGCACGACAAACATGACACGTATGAATTAATTAGAAGCCGTGTTATTTGCTACAGATGTATACAGTGTAAATAAGTTAACTAATGCGTTTCCCGTTTGAAACCGTTAAAAGTATTTTACATAAATGTGTAGTAGAGGAATACTGGTAACGTGTACCGATTCCATTTTTTTTATATTAGGCAAAGTATTAATTAAGTTATTATTTTCAAACGTACGTATTTAATAATTATTTTTGTGTAGATGTTTTTAAAATTTTTTTACTTTAACCTACCGCCATAGCTAATATAGCATACTTTATAACGCCGTAAAGTAATTACAAATATTGTTTTTTGAAAAACTTAAGTTTTGGACAGCTACCTATTAATAGCAACGGTTATAGCGGGTATATCCTTAGTTTTTAGTACCTTCGTTACACGATCGTATACCGTTCAGTGTTTTATTTAATGTGATCTACCCGCGTAAATTACGGACAATATACTGTATAAAATATGCATTCTTAATGCTGAGAAAAATAAAAAGGGTCTGGAATATGATCTATATCTTAATTAGTATATAACACGCGAACGTAAGCAACGCACTTGGTTTCTATCCTGGAAAAACAAGTTGTTTCACCCTATGTCTCACGTAAGGGAAACGGGATTTTTTCGACATATTTTTTAGATTAAATTATTTCGTTCAAGGCGCAGCCCTAAATGAAACCCTGAAGAAAAACAAGCCAGTTTTCATGGCATTGAGTACTTTGTCGAGCCGGTGTGCGAACGCGTGATACCTTATCAGTTAAGCCTGAAAACCTTTAACGCTGTGTCGTGTTTCAGTGTTTCAAAATGGCGCAGAATAATCTGGAAGTAGGAATGAAGTGCATAAAATATATGTTGCTCTGTGTTACAGCTATCTTTGTGGTAAGCATGCAATTAGTCTCAATTGGGTCTTGGTAGCGTAATTAACTTATCACTTCTGAATTTATTTTTAAATTTTTAGGTATAAACACGTCATTTGTTGATTGTTATATTGCAATATTCTTTAAACAAATTTACGTATTACATATCGATTGTGTGCACAGTGTTTCCACTCAATGCACCAAACCAATTTGATTTAGCGAAGAATATAAAGCCCCATATGTTAGTTATGTGGGTAGGATATAACGAAAGAGAATTCTAGGAAACACTATTAAACAATGAATACCTCGATGACGTCAGGTTTTTATCGCATTTATGATATTAGATTCGTTACACCGAATTGCTAATGGTGTTATGTTAAGTGCGTTTTACATAAACTGAATGTTTTTTTTTTAATGATGGAAGAGACTGGAGTTCAGTTGAAGTAAGGTGGAATACCCTAGCCATATAACATCTGGGTATACGAGAACTTCACTAAAACCAAAACGAGATTAATAATAATTTATTTTCAGACTATAAATCCATTTCTTAAAATTAATTAATCTAATGTGTGTTAGTTGGGTTAGTAACAATTTAACTTCACGACTTTTTCGTCTTCGCGTTACCCGGACGGAATTTCGATATTCCCACTATCTATTTAATATCCAGATTTCAGAAAAATTAAAATACAATAAATAATTAAACCCACTAGCCGTTGATTATTATTATACATTGTATAATGAACACGACTACCCGACGAGTCAAAAATAATATGTTATTTAACTACGAAATGGATAAACCAAATACATGTGTATACTTCTCTAAGATCTTGGGTTTGTCTTATTATGTATATAAAATACTCTTAAATAAAGAATTTAATAGAAATGCTAGTCAAACCTGAAATGACCGCCGAAGAAGTAAAATAATAAGTGACATTCCGCTTTCCTAACTCACAACACGGGTTTACAAATCGAATTTAAGTAATGGGAAGTAAATTAGACGTTTTCCCGGAGTTTGAATACAGGACCAATCAAACAGGGCTTAATGCAAATCGTTTATTGAGCCAAGGCGGTCAACGGTAGAGTAAATAAACAAAAATGAAACCGATAAAGAAGAAAGAACGAAGGTTCTTAAAATTCTAAACATTTTTTTCTACAGTGTATCAATTAAACTAAAATTGCTAGCAATGGACTCAAATAAAAGAAAAGATAATCTAATGGACGCTGTATAAAAACTTAATGACTTAACTTTAAGAACCACAGATAGATAAAAATAATTATCCTTCTTACGTTTTAGTGCCAAAACCTACTAATAAATTCATTGCAGGTTCAATTAGAGATTCCAATCTTTATAAATCTGAAAGTGACATTTTAAACTGTAAAGATTGATTTATATCTACATATTATCTTTGCTTTAATGGTGATCACCAGAGTAATAAAACAATAAAGAAGTTTAATTATAAGTAATTGAGTATCTTGATGGAATAACAGTCTGAATCTGATTTGTATGAACGATCTTTGTATCTTTTGATATTTCACATAAAAAGGACATTTTAAACTAAATATACATTTTGACGGCAAAAGTAGACTATTGTATTATCTGTTACCGTAGATAATGCACGTTAGCTTATAATTACAGAGAACAAATCTTTTCATTAGATGGCAACAAAGAAATAATAGGCCACGTACGAGAAAATCATGATATAGATGATGCTTGTATGTTATTTCATACTGTGGCTGTATGTGTGTAAAAATCAATAAGAATGAATTAAGACCGCATTAACCACTGTCCTTGTGACTACAGCGAAGGTCGCATCACTTCGTCACGATATTTCACATGCTAACGTCACACTAGAATGGTTGGCGTTTTTCTACACGAATATATTTATTGTACTAACATTTTATTTAAAACTGGAAATTCCCACTCTCCATGATTCATAGTTATAATAAAAATATACAAAATGATTATTTAATGTAAAAATAAAATTATTACTTAAGTTGTCAACTACTCGGAAGGGTATTAAAATTTTCTAGTAGGCAGTTTCTAGACTTTGTCCGCGAGTAGCCAGTAATAGACACCCTCAATCCCTCATATAACATAATATCAAGGTGGGATTTAGAACTACCTTGTGACTAACGTAAATAAGTTTTATTGCACTTTATCTACGATTTTGCGCCTTGTAAATTGTATTTGTATAAAATCATACGGTATAAACTCTAAACACATTACTTGCCAGTTAAATTCTCGTCCAGATGTCTCAGAGGTTAGCTATTACCATAAAAAATTAAAGAAATACGTTTACAAGATGCAATAATAATAAAGAAAATAAAATATCATAATTTTAGTATAAATCTATTATTTTGGCAGCCATTCAATTAAAGTGAACTACTTTTAACATATTGTTTTTACTCAATTATAGGAAAAAGAGCGGAACCAAGACTGTTGTAAGCTTAGTTAAAATTAACAATATATCTCGCCTTCAGAAAGAACCGTTAAAAGCGTTTTAAATAGGGATAACTTGACAATGCGTATGTTAAACATATATTTCTTTATTTCAGCTAACATCAGCCCTAATCATATCAGTGGGTACCACCATCTACGCCATCTACTATGACGTGTCCTTCTTCCTCTACGATCAGATGTTCTCACCAGCCACTTTCATCATCGTTATCGGCGTTATTATGCTCTTCGTTTCTTTGTTCGGCTGCGTCGGCGCACTGAAAGAGAGCACTTGCTTGGTTAACATTGTAAGTATACAGGACATCCCTAGGGCTTTGTATGAGACAACGGCAAAGCCAACAATGACTGTCCGTCCACAAGCGGTCTCTACTGTGAGACTAAACTACTGGGCAGATTTTAAAGAACAAAGTGTCAAACAATTTGTAATAATGAAACTAATTTTTTGTTTCGTTTCAACGATGGTCAGAGACGAGATAGAAGTCCCAGGTTCGGTTCGTACTGATATTTCAGTATAAATAAAATTAGTGTCACTTGAGTCCGTTAGACTCATTTAATAGTAGGAGCATAAGCCGACAATACGTACGGTGAGTTCTTAATCCTTTATCAAGAGAATAGATCTCTTCTCAGGCGTGGGACAGTATTATGATGAAAGGAGACTAATGTTGTAGTTACTAAAATGTATTGATCACATTTTACAGTAAAATACATTTTGCTCCAAAGCACTGTTTCACAACCTGTTTAGTTTATCATTTTTTTATCAGAGAGCTACGAATCAGCGCTGATAAATGTCTTATCTGGCTACAGACTGATTCATATAATGTTATAGCTAGGATTTTTTTGTTAGCAATAAAAAATTTAACACTTATATTATGCGACTTCATATGTTATTATACATAGAGAAATATTTAATTGTAGATAAAATATAATTGTGTCTAATTAATAAATTTAAATTAGGCCATTAAAAATTTTGGTATTTTTGGGGTCTGAAAGCTTCGTGGCAAATTATATTTTACTAGAAGTATAATTAATTTTCTTTCTAGGGGGGGGCCTATGTTCTGTAATTTTTTTTTTATGATAGAGGAGGACAGACTAGCATAGTGTTCACTATGCTATGGGGGATCGAAGCCACGACCCGTTTTTTGCCGTAGGTCTACTATTACCCCAATGGGCCCAGGTTAACTTGTATAAGATACATGGTGTTATTTTAGTTCGCAGTGATCCTCAGTCTTGTGCTGGTATTAGAGATCGCAGCGGCCATTGCAGCATATACTCTGCGTGGTCAGGTTACAAAGATGCTTGACGAGAACTTGAGAGACACATTGCCTTACTACTACACCAACTCAGAAGTTGCCAGCAGCTACGACTTTATACAGAGCAGGGTAAATATTAAACTTCAATAAAATTTAACGTCTATACTAATAAAATAAAACTGAAGAGTTTGTCTGAGAAGGCTTTGGGATATATAACATAACGGAGCGAAGAAAGAGTGAGAAATGTGGAAAAAAACGGAGGAAATAATTCATCTTCTTCTCTGGGGCTTCTGTTGCGTGCGTTCTGAAAACGGTTCAAGAAAATAACATGTATGAAAGAATGACTTCCCTTTAAATGAACAACAATAATCCGTCACAGTATCTTTTAAAATTAACTCGCAAAAACGACGTCGTAGGTAATAAAATGCTGAGGAGGTGGTTCGCAAAAAAAAATGATGCCCAAAGTACAGCTAGTTTTTACATATAATGGTAATTTATATCACTTAAATATAAACACATATAGATATACTAATATCATGAGCAAACGTATAAATACAACAATATATAAAAAATAATTTAATAGAAAAACATTCGAAAAATTCTACCGTAACTAATACATAACATATTAGAGTTATTACTTCTATTTTTATACAGAGTGGTCTGTAGTTGAATTTTCGGTTTTAAGCGTAATGTTAATTTCATATTTTAATCATTCTAGATGTTTTGAATGAGAATGGTACGAGGAAAATTAATTATTGTAACATTAAGCGGTGACGATAATGCGCTCTGTAAAATATTGGCATTTTGTTGTATTAGTGCTGTTAGACCTGCAACCATAATGCTCTTGTTGTTTCGCCATCTGTCAACTGTTAACAACTAAACGTCTAGTACTCATTGAGTGTATATATATCTATATATCTAGATTCTAGTGCTTAGTTTATACTAATGATAATTTTAATAAATCACTGTAACGGTTTTAAACGCGAAGTACATTGCTAAAACTTATTTGAAAATTATTTTTAGTTTAGCCCAACGATTCGGTTGCTTTGCAGCAGTAGATGCTTTGTCGATCCGTAGTTAAAATAATTTTCAAATAAGTTTAATTAAAATATTTGGCGTTTTAAACCGTTAAAGTGTTTTCTTTAAATGTGTACTACTTGCGTAAACTACAGACAATATATCATAATTTAATTTAAAACAAACATTTCAGCTCAACTGCTGCGGTGTAGACTCTTACCTCGATTGGGGAGAAGTACAAAACGCGCAAGGCACCGAAGGCATCTCCGTTGCAAACATCACTGTACCTTTCAGCTGCTGCGCGCAAACCCGCAGACACATCTTGGGGGAGATGGAAGTTGAGGAGTGTGAGAAATTGTACGCGAACGGGTGTCTCCCTCGGATCACCTACTTGGTCTATCAGAGCGCTGGATTGCTGGGCGCTGGAGCTATGACCATTGCATTTATACAGGTAGGCTTTCCTAATCGGCCTTATTAAAAAGATATACTTAAACCAGGTTTAAACCAGAACTGCGGAGTCTTGGTTTAACTTTTAAACCATGGTCTAAACTAATCTGAGTCAGTATCATAGTTAGTCCAGTACAAACGTTAAACTTAGTTTTGTAATAAGAATTTAAAATCAACCAAGTTTTAAGCCAGGTTTGAGTTAGTCCTTGTTTTGTAATAAGACTGATTTAACCATCCGTTAAACTTAAACCTCTTTCGCAGATCATCGGCATCGTCTTCTCTTTCTCCCTGGCCACGTCTATTCGCAAAGCCAAGTCCGAACGCGAGCGTAGACGCTGGGAGATTCAAGAGCGTATGATTAACGCGTACACATCTCTGAGTCCGGACACGGAAAAGAAGCCGGTCGTCTATGTCCCGTTCCATGGACAAACTGTAGCCTAAGACGTATTATCTGTGTATTCTTATTCTTCCGTTAGAAACTTTCTTTTGTCGACTCTTGTCTACTGTCTTGCGTTAAAACTATATTTTGTCAAATATGATTAAGAAAGACATTTGATAAAAGATCATCGACTTTTAGGTCTACTTTACTTTCATTAGAACTGTAAATTGAATTGCTGAAATTACAGATTTAGAAACTAAGTACTTTAGTAGGTAGTCGTGATGTCTATATAATAAAAGTATTGTATATAAGTACCAATATTAATAAAGATAATTGAATTTATAATTTATTGGATTTAATTTGATTTCAAATTTTATGACTTGAAACCTTTTCGCATTCATTAACAGTTGGTTGTTATTTATGAGAGAGAAGGTCAGAGACTTAGTGTAAGATGAAATTCTCCAGCCATATAACGGCTGAGCATGATACGCTGTCAATCTATATACTTGGCTTTGGATATCCTCACACCGAAATGAGAAATTTCACTTTACAGTGGAGGGTGGTTGTAATGAGATTAATTTTTGTAAAAGTCAATTTAAAAAAAATTTTTCAAATTGTTCTAAATTATATCTCTTGAATTTTGAACTATGAAACCGATTATTAAATGTTAATGTAATTTCTATAAGAATATTGTTAAAAATAAAAATAAAAAAAATATATTTTAGTAAATTACTGTCTGTAGTTTACGCTACGAGTACATATTTAAATAAAACACTTTAACGGTTTAAAATGCGAAATATTTCAGTGCAGCTTATTTAAGAGTTATATCGCCCCGTGAATAACTATGGTTGCGAAAAGCATCCGAAACGTGCTGTAGTTAAAATTAATTGTAAATAAGTTTAACTAATTTATTTCGCGTTTTAAACTGTTAAAGAGTTTTATTGGTATGTATTTATGTGATTGAAGGAAAGGTCACATTTAGATATTTCCATACAATGCATAGCCCCGGACTCATTATCCATCTGTTTACAGTAGATTAGTCAATATGATAAGGCACATATTGTGATAAGCAACATCACAGATACATTTTTGTTACTGCAAAAATATTCAAACACTCAATGTAGATATAGGAATAATGGCAGAAATACAAAAAAAAATTAAGTTTATATGTCTGTATGTTCGCGTCAAGATCAACCTGTTTATTTTGGTTATTAGGGGAATTAAAAGTGTTGCTAGTAAACAAATTATAACATATATAGTATAACAAAGATTTAGTAAATCCCAGAAGACTTATCTTACTTAACTACTACCATACGTAACGTTTTTGTTGTTAAAAACTTGTTTAATAAACATGATAAAATATGTTAATTACACAATGTTAATTATATAAAATTCCTCCACAGTCTCTTTTTAACAATGATTTTACTAGTCAAGCCGAGTACAATAAGACCTGGTCGTAGTCTGATTTTATGGCATGCCCTCTGCCGATGAATAAGAAGGATATAGTTTCTGAAATCGAATTTTCTATCAATAACGTAAGGGTTGTCCTCAAAGACACAGTCTTTTAAAGCAAGATTACAAATAATCCTTTTACGTAGGTGTATATCTTATCACAGAGTTTATAACGCGACTTAATCACGATTGCTTCAATTTCTGATAATAACATTCATACCATACATGCAAAATATGTTGAAATATATTCAACAGAAAAATAAAACAAAAAAAATCTCATTACTCCTAAGCGATGGCAGACAAGATGACAAGAAAGAAATATTATTTACATTCTACATTACACTGGTCGATTTTATTCACAGAATAATTATAGGAACTTAAAATTTAAATTAAAAATTTTACGACACGGGCAGGACTTGAAGCGGCATCCGCAACAATCTATGCTGTTGCTTTAACCAATTGAGCTAAAATTGTTTTGTATATAATGCCCTCATGTGAAAATATTAAAGTCTTCAAACATAATAAAGTTTATGTATTAACATTTAATAAGCGCTATGAACACTACGTACCTACCTGAAAAATTTCCATTTTTTGAAACCTTCTATTATTTAACTTAAAAAAACCGACCGACCACAGCTGCTGCAAAGCATCCGAAACCGTAGTTGAATTAAAAACAAGTAATTTAATATATTACGCATTTTACCGTTAAAAGTGTTTTATTTAAATGTATACTAATTACTAATACTGTTATTTTTTTCTACTTACTAGACGTAATATAAAATGTATACATACAAAAGAATAACGGTATGTCTAAATAGATAGAATTGTAGAGACTATTATACGTACGTGAGGATTTTGTCTCATCGCAAACACTTACGCGTATACATACATGTCAATTCATCACGTTATCATGATATCGTAATGTACAGTGTTCAGTACACGGAAAAGAGCGTCGAAGGAAACAGTGCTACGTGAAAATCTGTGAAAATGACGGTTAACGCGCATACCCAAAAGATTAAGTTCAAAACCGAATCGGAGTACACCATGAAATCTATAAGGTTTCTCCTATTAACTATAACGACGATGTTTCTCGTGAGTACAAGGTCCATTTAGTATGTAAACATTTTTGACAATATTTTCAAAAACATGACAGAAACAAATTTTAAAATTATTGAGTAAACATTTGTTTTATAACAAAGGAAGGTGAAAAGCCATTTGCCCTGTAACATTTTACTAAGTTGTGCTTCCACCTATTTTGACTTTAAGGTATATATTTGGAAAACCAATCTGCAACCGAAACGTAAATATTTAAGGGATTTTCCACCTATGGACGGTGTTTCAAGAACGTAATTTCGATATTACATGCAATAAAGTCAATATGTTTTTTATAATCTAGATCAAGGAATCTATAAACATCATGGCGTATGACTTTATAACACAAACAACGAAATTTAAAAAATAAAATAACAAATATGGTAGAATACTATTTGTAAAGAAACAAATAATATTCGAACAGATAAGATTTGAATCTAATTTAATCAAAATAGGTGAAAAAATTATCGTTTTAAAAACGTTTATATATAATATTGCTATATACAAAACATACAATATAACATTTTAACGGTTTTTAAAGGTTCAAATTTTTTCACTCTAATTAAAATCAAATTAATGTTATTGCCATGTTTAAATAATTACCTTTAATGTGCCATTTTTCAGATAATTGCTGGTTTAATGATCGTTTTGGGTATAACAGTGTACACGCATTATCACAATTTCTCGTTCTTTTACGAAGCAGCGAAAAGTGGCAGATTCGTTACTCCCTCCCTGCTATGTGTGCTTTTTGGAATGGGGCTCTTTATCGTTACTCTATTTGGATTCTTCGGCAGTTTGAAACAGAGTACGTGCCTGGTTAACTTGGTAAGGAAATTATCTATCTAGACACGGCATCGGGTCTGCCAAGATTAAGTTAGGTGGTACACAAACACTTTTGGGGCCATTTTTTTGCCGTTCATAACTTGAACACTGTGTCACATACGTATTTTAAATAGTTATTAGCGCCCTAAAATCGTCAAATTTAATGCTGAGAAGTTAGAAAGCTGAAATTTGGCAAACAAGTATGTAATAAGATAAACACTACTTTTGCACTACTAAAGCATGGGTAAATTTCATTATTTGACTTGGCCTACGTTAAATTTTTTAATGTGATTTATACTACGAGTATAAATGTCGCTTTCGTAGTGCAATAATACAATAAATTTCCAACGTGTTAAGTGCAGTAAGAACAGAAATAGATAATGGTATTTTTATATCCCGCTACAAACAAATTTCTTAAAATAACAACTAAAACCGTTGGAAAATAATGAAGGCTATGTGTCGACGTTGTGGCTTGTCATCTGAATAATAATTAACAGAGTGAAAAAGTTCCGAGTTTCATATACAGCATTCAACACAAAAGGTTGTTAATAGCCATAAATGTAACTAGAACCATTATTTAAATATATAACAACTACACGTGTTATTTCAATATATACACCGACTAGAAGCGCCGTGGTTACATATATTTTCAAATCGTATCATTTATTCCACATACAATAACACAAAAATATAATAAAAAAAATGTATGTGGAGTCACCCCTCAGCTTCGACGTAGCTGAAAGTACGCACAACTCCGATTTCCAGTGATGCCCAAAGATACATATTATCATAAATGGTGTACATTAATGCACAATATCTATACATATATATAAATCAGAAGAGTTTGTTTGTTTGAATGCGCTAATCTCGAAAACTACTGGTGGGAATTAAAACATTGGTTTTGTGTTGGATAGAACATTTATCGAGGAAGGCTATAACATCACGCTGCGACTAATAAGAGTGAAGAAATAACGTGAGAAACGGGGAAAAATATTTATCTCTTTGGGTTTCCGCTGGGACAACGGTTTTTAATACCCAAAGAGCATGTATGATGATGATGAAGAATGATTCCTCCTATAGGTCTATCTTTTAAGATAAACTTGCAGGCACTACGGGACGCGACCGACCCTGTGGGCAATAGCTTATATCTATAAAGAAGAAGGTTTGAAACAAATTTTGATACCCAAAATAACTATTTTACACGAACGAAGTCGCTGACACAGCTAGTAGGAAATATAAACCGACATTAAAAACCATTTTTTTTAATGTTATAGTAAGTACTGTGTAAATAAATTGCGTGCCTAAAATTTTACAATTCTTATCTTCCAGTATGCCGTCTTCCTGGTCATAATGGTGATATTAAAGCTGGTGGTAGTTATTCTATCGTTTACACTAAGCACAAACCAGTTATTAGGGTATGTCACAGTACCTGTAGAAAAATACGTAGACGACTCAGAGATTGCCAGTGAATTAGATATTTTACAAACTTCGGTAAGTACCCATTTGCTAACGTAATTTTCGTTTTTCTGTACTTACTTTTGTCACGTAAATAATCAATAGTTCCTTTTTCTCTGTATAGATGGCGTCAATCGGCGCGTGATCACGACTAGCGATTCTGTTTAATAAGTCTGCACTCCAGGGGAATCCCCTTACATTACAATATTTAACGTAGATTACACTTAAACTCCCACATTTTATAGACAGTGTAATTGTTTAAAACCAATGAATCAAAGATCTACATGTTCATAAACTACTATGAGAAATACCAGCTAATTCAAGTATTTATGAATTCCAGCTCAATTGCTGTGGCAGTTCTTCTTACACAGACTACAAAGGCATGAATTTCACTAGCGAACACAATACGCTGGTAATCACCAGTAACAACGCAACAATCGTAGTGCCTGCATCGTGCTGCGCCAAAAATAATGAAAATCTGTGTACTAGGATCAGGCCAAATGGTTGCCAGAGTGCACTCGTCAATATGTTGGTTCAGAATTCCAGTGTGATCGGAGTTCTTGGTGTTTCTGTAACTTTTATCCAGGTATAAAAATTAAATCTTTGTTTGTGCCTAATTAAATTGTGTAGGTATATAAATACTGTCTGTGTCTATGTTTACGCGAGCACAATTAAAATAAAACAGTTTAACGGTTTAAAACGCGAAATTTATTATTTACACTTAAAAAAATATTTTAACTACGACATGAGTGGATTTTAAATAAGTTTAACTAATATATTTTGCATTTTAAACCGTTCAAATGTTATTTAATTGTGTATATAAATAAATAAAATCGTGCAATTAAAAATAAAAATGAATGTTCCGCAGACTAGAACTCCTTTAAATTATGACAAATATTGCCCTGGTAAATGTAACATAAATAAATAAAAATGTTATTGAAATACTGGAAAATATTCTTGCAGATTCTCGGAATAATTTTCGCATTACTATTGGCCAGATGCATTCGCAAAATGAAGAGCGAGAAGGCATTGATGCAGTGGAAAATCAAGGAGCAGATGATTGTCGCTCGAAATACAGAAGAGGATGATAACACTGTTTACATTTCTCGCACTGAATCCAGTCAGGCATAGGAGTATTAGAAGAATATCGATTTGTTTAAACAGAAATATATATATTTTGTTGGCTGAAAATATTATATTCCATACTCAGTTTCTTTGAAATTATTTTTGTTAATAAATTACTCACGCGCATCATTTTTCTTATTATTATGAAAGTAAAAATAATTTGTTACAACTTTAAAATTTTGCAGGATTTTAAAAATAATCTATTTTTTGACATAGTAAAACGTGCTAGGGGTCCCGAGTTTGAATCTCACGAGTAACAAAAGTTTACTACTTTGAGATTGACTGGCATAACTTCTGAAGGCATAAATTATAAATAGCTTATAATTTAGTAATAATGTTTTTGAATAAGTATTAAAATGATACTTTTTAATAATATCATATATTGAAAATAAATAATTGTATATTATACACTATTTACAACTTCGGTATGATCCCAAAATTGTTTAGCTCGCTGTCTCACTTCATCTCCAATAACATGGAAGTTCCCATTATTCATGTATGGAGGTGTGAATTCTCTGTATGCTATGCACACTCTACGGGATTCAATATCTTCACGAAATATACAATGTTCCCAATGGTACCTGGGTTCTCCATACATTATTGCTAATGAATGTCTGAAAAAAAAATTAATAAGCCTAATAATTATAACAACACCGAAACGCATTGTGCGTATTGTTAAATCCAAGAAAAAAACTGAATATGAAAAATAAAGAGATTCCTCTAAATTAGAGTTAGTAAGTTCTTAAAACTAGTCTTACGAGAATGCAACTGCTATCTTTCTCTCATTTGCTTACAGCATTTATGGAAAATAACAAAAACGTATCGATTTAATTAATTGATCTTGTATTATAAGTAATTATAATGCTTTATATATTGTGTATCAAAGAAAATGGAACCATTCCAAACTATACAAAAACAATGATTCAATTAATCAAGGAACTTCAAATGAACCATCACTAGTGTTATGTGAAGCGGGAGGAGTGGAGTGTCAATTGCTGAGTCTCACTCAGTTTGGCAGGACATAGAAGTCCCATTTTCTTGCCAGTAAAAAAAATTGTTAATATAAATGTAAGTATGGACGATATATGGTTTTCACTATGTGTTAAATTGCATATTGGGAAGGGAGATTTACCTATTTACATATAGACGCACTAACATATAGAATCTAGTAAAAGACTGGTAAATGGGAATATATTACATAAATAAGGATTACCTTATCATGGGTACTCTTAATATCATATCCAACTTATTCACTGGTTTACATGATTCTAACATGCTTTGACTATCATTCTTGAAGTCTAAATTTAAAGTACCATCTTCATTTACTACTGGTGGATATTCATTCGCACATGGTAAATTATATTTCTTTTTATCTCCGTTAAATGGTAAAAGGGTCAGGACAGTGTCTGTCAAACAATTAAGAGTAACAATCCGTTCACCCCAAATCCAGCAGTCATCAATATGTGGATCTATAGATGCCCCTTTCTCAGGATCATATTCCAGTGAACACTGTTCTATCACTTCATATCCTTTCAAAATGTCTATTGTATTGAATCTATCTTGAAGGTATTTTGTGAACTGAGGAAAGCCATTGAACTTACCAGGGACAATCTTTCTCTTTTTAAAATTAGTTTTTGGGCCAAAATTCTGTTTACGCCGACCGCTTTGCGATATATCCCATGGCATTTCGTCTATGTTTTTCATCAGCTCGATTTCCTCATCTGGTGTTATAAAATCTAGTTTTATACATAAGCCCGGATAGGAAAGTGCTTGGCCCTGATGATTCGGGTGCTCCTTGTAAAGATTTGCATTCCATCCCGGCCAAGCAAGATTACACAGCGGGCAATATACATAACCTTTGCTCTTGTCTAGCTCTATAGACGTTTTTAAAGTATCCGCACCATAGCGAGTTTCACAAATTAAGCAAGTTCTACAACCCTTACAGCCACAGGGCCGGGGCTTCATTATAATTAGACAAAGGCTAGTAAATATTTAATCAAACCTTCATATAGCCCGAAGGCCCTAAACAGCGAAATTACAGCTGTATAAAGAATTTACAAACATCATATTTAAAAAATGACATTTGATATTTACCTATTGACATAGCAAGATTTTGAATGACACTATACTCGTTACTGTTGTTAATCGTTACTCCTCAATTATCGATACTCGATTACTCGCGAGACTCATGAGTACTCGAGTACCTATACGAATATGGGTAGATCGTAGTTAAGGATGCCTTGAAAATTTTCGATTACATGTTTTATTATATTAGGATTTAATATACTGTAAGGATTTCCAAAGAAAGGGACTTAATTACTTTACAAAAATAATATTATATACCTAAGAATATTTTACAAGTGCCGAAAACCAAGATCACGTGAATTAGACACGCGAGATTATCAACATGTTTTTGTAATTTTTTTTCTTTTAAATATTAAGAAAATTTGGATTAACAGAAACAAGCCCAATGATTAATATCGATCGTTTTGATTATTGTAGTAAGCCACAACCATTTTATTTAAACTTTTAAGAATGACCCAGCAGTAAATCCAAATATAATTCCAACCGTAGAGGTCAGACATACCAAAAGGAAACCACTATTCATCTGAGCCAACTAAGAGATCGTGTATATGAAAACTGACATAATATATTCCTTATCACTTAGCACCTTCGATTCAAACTTCATATTGTATTGGTAGAATTTTGTAAATATTTTCTAATCGCTGTTTTAACACCAATAGGTTATTATCTTTAAACACATGGCTTTTATACCAGGGGGCGTAATTACAACGCCCCTTCAAAATATAACAGAAATTCTAAAACGACACTATCATTCAGTATATTTTGTGCATCGCGAATAATCGTCGACGATGACGACGAGTCATTTTTATATTCAATTTTTATTTTTGTTAATATACAGTGCACATTCTAATAGCGTGACTTATCAAGATAGACCAAAAATTAAGACATCAGATGGTGACCTTATTATTGAATCGGCTCACGATAGAAATATTTACATAAAACCAAATGGACCCAAATCAAAAGTTTTCGTTGGGAACGTCAATATCATCGACGTAAATACTACTACTGAGAATTCTTTATTGCCTCCTGACTACAACAGTGGGCGGAGTTCTAGAGAAGATATTGCAGATATTATAAGAAGAATAGAAAGACTAGAAAGTGCAAGTACTCAACCAAGTAATCAACTCGTAAACATAACTTACCTGACTAGAAGAATAAATACATTAAGTTTTAAAGTGCGCACATTGCAATCTCTGATTAATAGTAGAGGCAAGGATGAATGTCAGTCACATCCTTGTGAAAACGGCGGTACTTGCTTAAATCTAGTCAATGGCTTTTACTGCATATGCCCACATAATTGGAAGGGAGTAGGCTGTAATGAAGATGTTAACGAATGTAAAATGTATGCTGGAACAGATCTAGGGTGTCAAAATGGTGCAACGTGCATTAATACACCGGGCTCATATGAGTGTATTTGTAAACCAGGATGGTTTGGACTTCACTGCACAAGAAAAGAAAAAAATTGTACAGGAAACGATTATGAAATTTGTGGACATGGCACGTGCTTGCAGGTAAACACAGGAGTAGGCATAAAATGTTTATGTGAACAGGGATGGACCACGAACGACACGAGTATTGCTTGCCTAACCGATGTAAATGAGTGTACATCATCTCAAGGACCAAGGTGCTCAGTAAATCCACCTGTTGACTGTATCAATATCCCTGGATCATTTGTATGCGGACGTTGTCCATCAGGATACGAAGGAGATGGTTTTATTTGTCGCGATATAGATGAATGCCTCACATTACCAAATGGCGGATGTAGTTTGAGTCCAAAGGTTTCTTGTTATAATACTATTGGCTCACGAATATGTGGCTCTTGTCCACCGGGATATGAAGGAGATGGAATGACGTGTACTTGGAGAGGCTCATGTCGTATTAATGGTGGTGGCTGTCACCCATCAGCTCAGTGTATTGAAACTCCTGGATTTGGTGGACAAGTAGTACAATGTATATGTCCAATAGGCATGGCAGGAGATGGTGTAGGTATTAACGGATGTTACGTAAGGAATGACAACACTACTGGATGTGTGAATTTACCATGTGGATTACACGGCACTTGTCACCAATTGCATTATGGATATACTTGTATTTGTGACCAGGGATTTAGTGGTATTCACTGTGACGCAACAATCGATCGCTGTTCGATCAATCCATGTTTAAATGGTGGCTCCTGTAGAACGGACGGAAGATCGACGAGGGGTTATAGGTGTGAATGTACTGCTCTTTATACTGGTGATTTATGTCAACTACGTACTGAATCGTGTGGGGGGAGTTCTTGATGCTAAAGAAGGCAGTATAATTTATCCACCAACAAACACGACATATAAGCCAAATGCACGATGTGCATGGGTGATTCATACTGCACCAGATAAAGTACTCAATGTGACATTTAGTAAATTTAACTTGGAACACCATGCTGATTGCTACTACGATTTTGTTCAAATCCATGACGGCAGAAGTTCAGCAAGCCAGCTGATTGGTCGATTTTGTGGCAGAGATTTACCAAATGGTGGAAATATTGTATCAAGTCACAATAATTTGTATTTTTGGTTTCGGTCTGATCAAACAATATCAGGAGAAGGATTTGCACTACACTGGAAAAGTATTGATCCCATTTGTGGAGCATTCGTTGACGCAACGACACATGGCCGCATAAATTCACCAGGATCCCCTGGAAAATATCCACCGAATCGAGATTGCTACTGGCGTTTAATAACTAATTTAGGTAAGAGAATTCAATTACATTTCTTTCAGTTAGACTTAGAAACACATCCAAATTGTAGTTTTGATTATCTTGCTATTTACGATGGCTTACGTAAAACCGATCCATTACTGAGCAAATTTTGTAACTCTACCCAACCTGCACCAATTCTGTCGGCTGGCCCAGAAATATTAATTCATTTTCATTCTGATGCTTACGGTTCCGGGAAAGGCTTTCAAATAACTTATGCACCTGCTGAAGGTGTGCCGGGTTGCGGTGGGTTTTATACCTCAGATAAAGGTGAACTTATTTCACCCGTATACAATGAAAAATACCTTAATAATCTTCTTTGCGATTATAAGATACAAACAAATCCAGAAACGAAAATTCGACTTACATTTAAATCGTTTAACTTAGAGAGATCTTTTAGATGTCGATACGACTATCTTGTTATTTATGATGGACCTAATGAAAATTCGAGACTAGTAGGTAAATTCTGTGGGGCCAATGTTCCGAAAACTATCACTTCCACGTCTAATACTCTATTTTTCCGATTCAAGTCAGATCAAAGTATATCATCTGGTGGATTTCACATTGCCTATGAATCCGTTTGTCATAAAACCATAATGGGAGACAGCGGGATTGTCAAGTCTCCGGGCTATCCTTTCAAATATCCAAAAAATACAGTCTGTGAATACGTTATAGGTACTTCCCCTGGTAAAATAATAGAGTTAACTTTTCAGGACTTTGATATTGAGGATAACCGAATTTATAATTGTCAGTATGATTTCGTTGAGGTTCGTGACGGACCAAATGCTAATTCCACTTTGCTTGGAAAGTATTGTGGGGGTTCAGATCATATACCGCCAACACAGACGTCTTCGTTCAACTATCTGTATCTTGGTTTTCATTCAGATATGAGTATATCTGGGACAGGTTTTTACGCAAATTATACGACTCTAGACACCGAATGCGGTGGTATTTTCAGAGAAACAACGGGTCTCATTAACCACCCAGCTGCTGAAAAACAGTTTTATCGCAATGATCAGTCCTGTACGTGGCTTTTGATTGCGCCAGAAGGCATGCATATTAAACTAACTTGGAATAGATTTAATACTGAAAAACATATATATTGTGAAAGCGATTATGTTGAATTATTAGAATTCGATGAAAATAATGAAAACAGCACTTTAGGTAAATACTGTGGAAATTCACAACCCCCTGCGATAACGACTTCATCGAATAGGCTATTAATAAAATTTCGATCTGATAGTAGTCTGACAGGAAAAGGGTTTTCAGTTTCATATGCATTTTTAGATGAGAAACTTCATTGCGGTGGGGTGTATATTAAAACGCACGGATATATTTATTCTCCGGGTTGGCCAGCAAATTACGAACCTAACAGAGATTGCACATGGACTATAACTGTACCTGTAGGACAGCAGATAGCTTTAAATATTTCAGAATTTGACTTAGAAATGCCTATCCGAGATAAATGCGACATGGGAGACTATTTAGAAATAAGAGATGGAGGGTCTCAAAGTGCACCATTAATGGGAAAACTTTGTGGATCTTTCAAATCAAAGCGTATTGTTTCTACAGCTCATAATTTGTATATTCGCTTTCACTCTGATTTTTATCTATCTGGAAAAGGGTTTAAGTTAGAATGGGACGGAACCATACGAGGTTGCGGTGGTAAACTTACGAGTGTTACTGGATCAATCTCATCTCCTAACTATCCTCAAAATTATAATGACAATGCTGAATGTTTCTATAAAATTGTTACTAGTAGTGGGTCTCGTATACGAATTAGTTTTATAGAAGTAGACCTGGAGTCAACAGCTAATTGCAGGGATGACTACGTAGAAATATATGATGGCCGTGACGTTTATGCCCCAAGTTTGGGAAAATACTGCACAGAAAATAGTAATCATACCAATATTCAAACCACAAGTAATCATGCTTTTATAAAATTCCGATCAGATATTTTTGTTGGTGGAAAAGGCTTTTTACTTAATTATGAAACAATTTGCAATACTAATATTACTAGCGGTAGTTACGGAGTTATAGAGAGCCCTGGATATCCTAGCAATTATCCTTTGAACTTAGATTGTTTGTGGACAGTCGTTGTTGGAAAAGGAAATAGAATAAATGTTACATTTACGAACTTTGACATATTTACAAGTCAGTCATACAGCCCATGGTTAAGATATCATATTATGACCAGAAGGCCTTCTTTTGTATCAAATCCTTATTATAGAAGTACCACTCAGTGTACTTTTGACTATTTACAATTTAAAGAAGTAAACGAAGAAAACTTTTCTAATAAATACTGCGGTAGAAGTTTGCCACCTTCGTTGACGACTCACGGTAACACGTTACAAATAAAATTTGTCACTGCTTTTTATAACGCAGGTAAAGGATTCAGACTCGAATGGGTTAAAGATGGATGTGGAGCATATCTTAAAAAAAGTTTTGGTTCATTTCAGTTAGTCAAAAATATAATAGGTTCTGACACTGAGTTAGAATGTGAATGGTTAATAGAAACACCACCAGGCACCAAGGTTACTGTCGGATTTGACGATATATTACTAAAAGAAACAGCGAACTGTACTGTTGATGCTATTGAAATGTATAATGGACAAAGTAGTAAATCTCATCTACTCGCAAAACTTTGTCATCGAGGAACTAATGCTATTCAATCAAGCAGTAATTTTATGATGATAAAATTAATTAAAAAGTCAACTTTAAGAAGTATATACGTTTCAGCTCATTTTGATTCTTTTACTTCAGGGTGCGGTGGTCATATGGTTGCTCGTTCAGGTATACTGCATTCAGAGAATTATCCTAGAAATTACAATGATAACTCAGATTGCTTTTGGTATATATCTGTACCAAATAATCACAGAATAGAACTAAACATTTTAGACCTTGATCTTTATTCGAATGACGATGGTGACGATAGCTGTGGAGATTCCATAAAAATATATGAAGCCACATATATATGGAATTCTAACTATACAAATCGTATTTGTCCAGGGTCTAACACGTCTCAGATCATAACCAACGGTCCCAATATGGTAGTCGAGTTTACCACAGACAGCTACGGAACCGCGAAGGGTTTTAAGGCTAATTATACAGCGACTTGTGGAGCTGTCATAGAGGCTACATACGATGGCACCATAACTAACGATAAGTACGTTACCCAAGCCTTTAAAAATTGTACGTGGGTTATATTAGCACCCGATTTAAGTCAAAGAATTAAACTTACAATAGAACACATATCGATACCTCGCAACGTAGACGTTGTGTCAAATAAAAACTGTCCAGGTTCATTTCTAATAATATTTGATGGCAACGATATCTACTCTCCAATCCTTGGAGAGTACTGTGGCCACAAAGTACCTCCCATGATAATAAGTTATGGCAGTGCACTAACTATCATGCATGGAACGTATGCGGATGTGCCAAATGGCTACTTTACTGCACACTATTCAACTTTATCCAATGCATGTGGTGGCACATTAACATCAGAAGAAGGTTTAATAGCATCTCCAAATTATCCGCTTTCTTATCCACTTGGAATCGACTGTGAATGGACTTTACAATCGTCTGTTGGAAATGGAATGTATGTTACATTTGAAACGTTTGATTTAGCTTTTTCGGATCGTTGCAACGAAGATTATTTAGAGATACGCGAAAAAGATGGCGCAGGAAAATTATTAGGCTTATATTGCGGTAATGATATACCGCTCAATAACACTAGTGGTTCAATGCTGTATATAAAGTTTCATAGTGATGATCATGAAGCTAGATCGGGATTTTTAGCTCATTTTGGAATTCTTCATGAAAATGTGATATCTGGGAAAAACTTTGGAGACATATCTTCCCCGCTTTACCCTCACCCATATGAAAGGGTTGGTACATTTACTTGGCGAATAATCTCTAGTGGGACAAAAAGTCTCAATCTAATAATAGATGAATTAGTTTTAGTTCAAAAGCAGGAGGAGTTTTGTAATAGTAAACTTATCGTATATGATGGTTATGACGAAGAAAGTCCAATTTTAGAAGAATTGTGCGGTATCATTAGAAACGAAGACAAAATTTTAAAAACGCGTAGCTCAATTATTTATCTTAAATTCGTTGTGAATGAGCCCGAAATAGGTGCAATATTCCACTTGAAATGGTCGGAGTCTGATTCTGACACAACGGAGCTAAAACGAAATTGTGGTTTCAATCAAACCAAGATTGTAACTTCAGGTCAGACCAGTTATTTCCACTCTCCCAAATATCCAGAAGAGTATGGAAATGATTTAAAGTGTGAGTGGTTATTTGAAGCTACAGAGGGTCACCATTTGCAATTGAGGTTTACAGATTTTAAAATCGAAGAAACTAGTGGTTGCTATGCTGATCACGTATCCATATATTCTAGGAATACCAACGAAGAATGGTCAATAATAAAGGAAAAAAAATGTCTTTGGGAAGATGTTAAGGGTAAATTTGATGTTTCACAAATGCTCAAGGTTATATTTGAAACCGATATTTCATCAGGACATAAAGGTTTTTCTGCATCCGTTACATCACAATGCGGTGGGGTTCTCTTAAAAGAATCTGGTGTGATAGAGCTTACAAAGCAGGACCGAGCTAAAATACTGGATAATAACATTCGATGCAACTGGACAGTGCACGTTCGACCAGGGCGTACTGTTAAGTTATTTTTTGAACACTTTAATATAACTAATTCTAATGAATGTAATGAATATGTGATGATCAGAAATGGTGAAAGCTACCAATCTCCATTATTAGGTATTGGAAAATATTGTGGGTATTCACATGAAAGCAGGGAAGTTTTAGAGTCATCGAGTAGTACCGTATATGTAAGTTACGTACTCAACCGTAATCTCATTAATATTGACGGGTCTAGTTTTCACAACTTTAAGTTACGATATGAGGAAAAAAATATAGAATGTGGCATAACATCGACTTTAGACAGTGATCACAAATGGGAAATCATATCATCTCCAAATTACCCATCTGTACCAATGCCTTATTCCGAATGCATTTGGGTATTCACTGGACCACCGGGAGAAATATTAAGAGTTGATTTTATTGATAGATTTGATGTCGATAAAGTAGGTGAATGCAAAGACGAATCAATAGAATTACATAATGGAGGATCAGCATTAGCCCCACTTCTTGGAGTTTATTGTGGTCAAAAACCGGGAACTATAAAAAGTAGCAGCAATGCCGTTTATATTAAATTTACAACTAGACTAGCAGAACCGAGGAATGGCTTTAAGGCAAATATATCTGTCGATGTATGTGGCGGGACTATTGTCGCAGAATCAGGTGAACTAACTTCTCCTGGTTATCCTCATATGTTAACTTTGCCAAGTGGAACCGTTTGTCAGTGGCAAATTATTTCTCCCCTCAAACATTCAATTAAGCTTTTCATGGTCGATTTAAATTTACCAGAACCCAAAGATTTATGCAAAACAAATATTACATTTACAGAAATAATACCAGGAAATAAAACAGCCGTGAAATTAAAAGAATTCTGCAGTGATATTTATGAAAATGTTAATTCTGTAGTTGAAACATCTACAAATGAAGTAACAGTAACATTGTTTATTGGAAATCCTAGTGAGTATAATCAAATATCAGAATATAGAGGATTCAAATTAACATTCAATTCATCTCGACCTACTTGCGGTGGAAAGGTAACACAATCTGAAGGGTACATAACCACACCTGGTTATCCACGTGGCACTGTATTGCGATATTGTCAATGGATTATTACAGTTCCAGACCGAACGAGGAGAATTAAATTGGAAATAATGGACTATAATGACCATGAAAGGATAGGAATTTATAATGATGCAACTTTTGAGTCTCTCATCGACTTGTATCTCGGCAAGAATGGCAGTCAGACCCCACTTGTTTATGAATCAACTGGCAATACTATTGCTATATACTTACTGATTAAAACGGGTTCAGTTCCTCATGATATGCAACGATTTAAAGCGAAATTTAGTTCAAACGAACCTGCATTATGTGGAGATACTATTGCAGGCGACAATGGTGTGATTATAGCCCCTGATTTGGAACGTTCATATATCTGTAAGTGGACATACAATATAGGTCAAAATAAGAACAACACAGTTAATTATAACACAATGCTCCTAACGATTAGAGACATCTCTTCTATGGATTCAAAATGTTATTATTCACATTCGCGATTAATAATAGACGCACAAATAGGCAAATTGCATCAGAAATTTTCTCGCAGTATTTGTGGAAATAACACCGAAGTGTCTTACAGGATACCGTTAACTTCGTTGACCATAAAAGCTGTTCAAATCACTCGTCAACCTCTGACATTTAGTAGCACTTGGAAAATACAACCATGTGGCGGAATAATACATGTTACAAAACAGTCGAAAGATATTTTAAATATACCCAAGTCATTTGACGATACCTTGGACTGCGGATGGATTATTGTCGCTCCCATCGGCGAAAAAACAGAGACAAAAGTAGAAGGTACCTTTAACTACGATTGTTCCGATGAATTTATAACTATAAACCACGGTTTAGCACAATCTGGATCTACTTTAGAGTACTGTAAGGATAAATTACTTGAAAATGCACTAATCACAACCTTTAAATACACATACGTTCAGTATCACTCCAAACCCCAACGATCTGCGAATGTAAAACTTGTAGCTAAAATATCAAGCGATGAATGTGGAGGTTATCTAAGCGGATACGACCGGGTGTTTTCTTCTCCTAATTACCCTAATAGCTATCCAGCTAATGTGGAATGTACATGGATAATTCAGGCCTCTGTAGGCTACAGAGTATCACTTTCGTTCGTGCAACGGTTCGTCATTGAGGATACGACAAACTGCACTAAGGATGTAGTTATTATTTATGATTGGAAAAACGAAGCATACAATGAAGTTGCAAAGTTATGTGGACGACAGATTCCAGCAGTATTCAATTCGACTTCAACTCGAATGAAAGTAGTTTTCCGTACTGATGCAAATACTAATCTCGATGGCTTTATGGCGCAATGGTCCCAGATTTGCGGCGGACAGTTTATAGCCACGGAAAAAGAACAATTTATTTACAGTCCAGGTTATGGAAGCAATTATGATCCACTACTCGAATGCTTCTACGAAATAAAAGCGCCTAATCAAAAAGTTACGGTAAAGTTTTTAGATTTTGCGCTCGAAGGATTTTACCCTGAGTGTAAATTTGATAACGTAACTATTGGTCTGAAGCGTGAATATGAAATTATGCTTAAGATATTTTGTGGAAAACACCTGCCAACTAACATGGAAAGTTTTGAGGAAGTAACGATTAATTTCAAAACAGACGCAATCGGCCAAGATAAAGGATTTAAGCTTTCCTATTCAATTTATACGTGTGGAAGAAATATAACTGAGCCTGCAATTATTAAGTCATCAGAATCAAGTGAATACTATAATAACATGAATTGTACGTGGACAATTCAAGCGCCACAAAATAAACATGTAATCGTTAAGTTTTCATACATTGACCTGGAAAGTCACATATCCTGTTATAATGACTATGTTGCCGTATTTGATGGATCCAAAATAGAAGAGGATAAACGGTTAGCTCTCTTATGTGGAAACATTACGTCTCCTACAGTGATAAAAAGTAAAAGCAATAATGCAATAGTACAATTTGTGTCAGATGAATTTTTGAATTATAGAGGCTTTAGGGCTCAAATCGCTTTTAGCTATGGCGAATCCGTGGGATGCGGTGGTACCATCAATTTACTTTCAGTTAGCCAGTATACATTGAAGTCTCCACTAATAGGGAAAGCGTTTGTGTATGAAAACTATTTAGATTGCCACTGGACTGTAACTGCTCCAGAAGATCGCGTGATTAGGTTGACATTTACTGCTTTTCATGTATCACCTTGTGTGAATGTTAATCAAACAGCTGTTGGAATTAATAAATGTGACTGCGATTTTGTCGAAGTCAAAGACGGGCTCAGCCCCGATAGCTTGGAAATTGGTAAATATTGTGGTCATACTTTACCACCCGATATAGTTTCCTCTGACAATCTAATGGCCATTCGTTTGTACACTGACGGCGAGATCGTGAGCTCAGGTTTTGAGATTACTTTAAGAGTTGATACTGCGATATGTGCTCACTCTGAATTTATGCTCAATTATACGACTCAGATTATTCGTACACCCGGTTTCGAAAATGGTGCCATTCCTCGAGGTTTGCACTGTATATATAATTTTAAAGGTAGGTCATACGATTACATACGGTTACGAATACAATCACTAGATTTACAATCGGGAACAGGCAAGAACTGCGACAAAGACAAATTAATCATTAGGAGCTTTCCGGAAACTCGCAACATGACACTGGGAAGTAATTACGTTCTCAATAGATACAGTGATAACTTTTTTATGCATTCGAATATCTACGACCCAACATTGAGTTTCCCAGAGCATTTTACTTTATGTGGTGCGAGTCATTCTCTAGATTTACATTTCACAGGAAGTGTCAGTTTAAATCTGATAACTTCTCCTGAATCTCCATCGACACATAAAGGTGTTGAAATTGAGGCATCGCTAGTTGGTTTCTGTGGTCGAAATTACACAGAAGCATTCGGTCGAATACAGACTACGTACATTGATAATGTCGAAACGAAATTTACTGATTGCTATACATTGATAACTGCTCCAGAAGACTATACAATATCTATATATTTTAATACAGTGTATCCAGTTTATTACGATAATAACGCCTACTTGGAGATATTGGACGGTGACAAATCAACGTCTCCGGTTCTGTTGAAAATAGGTGCTGAATATGAGCAAAGATCGGTGTTTTCAACAGGTAGGTATTTACTGATGCATAACCATATTCATGAGGCTGATCAAACTCTATACGATTTGAATTATGTTGTGACTAACAAAGGACGCGGTTGCGGAGGTAAACTTGTTAACGAATTGGGAAGGATCACGAGTCCTTTGTATCCTGATACATACAGGAAACGGTCGAGTTGTGAATGGGAACTGGAAACACCGATAGGTACTCGTTTATTGTTGCATTTCAGTGAATTCGATTTAGGCAGAATGTGTGATCAGAACTATTTAAGCCTAGTTGATAGAAGTGGTAGTGTTATATCAACATATTGTTCAGATACACCAGCCGACTACACTAGCGAGGATAATTACGTAAAAGTGGTTTTTGACACCTCGATGAACAATGGTGGTACAGGTTGGGTAGCAGATTTCATTGGAATATTGTAGTGCCATAATAATTACAGCCATCCACGTATTGATTTATCGGTTTTTCAAATTTTAATCATTTTTGTTATATAATATTAGTTAAAATGCTTATAATCAGTCACTACAGTTACCATTTAGTAGAACAATATTTTTTTATGTAATTATAAATAAGATACATTAATGTATCAGTAACATTTCTGTAATTTATGAAATATACTCTATGTACTTAATAATTTAAAGCACTGATCTATCGACAACTAAATTATAAGCTACGTAATTTAAGAAGTGAATAAATAAAAAGCTTATCTATAATTCGACTTTTATTATTGCAACTTTTTATAAACATTCCACAACAGTTTTAAGATAAGTGATATGAATATTTATAAGTTTAATATAAGTAAACGAAAATCTAGCATCTATATACGAATAATAATGTTAGAGATTTACTTCATTTATTAAATAAAATACTGTTAAGTAACCTGTTTTTAACTTTCCACATTAAAATGCATTAGAAGCTCATACATGGAAAAAAATAAGGATAAAACTGGCAACACAAACAATTTGACGTCTGTGGGAGCAACGACGTGTTGTCGTGATTTTGTGTGATGCCTGTGACATATTATAAGTATATAAAATATTTTTCAATTAAATATGAGTTAAAAATTATGCAAGCTAAAAAAGTATGAAGTTAAATATAAATATTTTTAATTAATAAATGATTATAATTTATAAAAATAAATGTATATAATATATATCATGTTTAATAGAATGTATAATAGTTTTATGAAAACTGATCTGGAAACTTGGACGCAAGATGTTTTTATTTTTTCACGGATTTTTTTTTTGACAATCATTATTGAAGACTACGATTTCGATCTTCTTTTAAAAAGATCTATATTCATTTATTTTTGAAAATAGATTTGATACAATGAGTATAGCTATGGCTAGTGCATATTTCAATTTAATTTGATAAGTTTAGCGGCACTCTGTATGCGTTTATAAAAACATTGACCGAACAACGGTTCTCTTAGTAAAAAAAATTAAAAGCACCGTCTAGGCTAATTAAATTTCTCGCTTAGCTTGTTTAAAGAAAAGTCAAGCCCTTAATTTTTTTCCATAAGACGCCTAGTTGATACAAAACTGTAAATAACGTTTGCAAGGATTATTGAAACGTGGTCCCGCCACAATTTTCAATAAATTATACATACGTATTTTATATGTATATATATGTATATTTCAGTTGTCATTTTCAAATGGTTCTTAAAATACTACTAATTTATTCTCTAATATTTTTATATAACTTTCAAAAGCGTGTTATTTTTCTTTTAATAATTGTTAACATGAAACATTTAATTTGTGCTAAAGACTACATGATAACTGTCTAAAAATCGTTTTTGTAAACTGCTTAAGAGACCAATCCAATGCATTTATGTATTAATTCAAGGTCAAAATTTTATAGAAAACCTTTCTAATATGTTTTAGTGATTGCCAATATGTAGCTTCTAACAAAATTTATTTTGAACGCCGTAATTTTATTTAATTGATATTACGTTAGTATTTCTTAAAATACTGAGTGAAGAAGCTTTAAACATTAAGAATGGCAGTGTATTGTGAGACCCTTTTTAAATAATGTTTTAATTAATTATTCGTGAATGTAACTTATAAATAAATTAAATGGAATGTATAGTACTTATGTAAGTCTACAATACATACAATTTTTATGATAAACTCATATCATTTTGAAATATATATAAATACATGTACTTGTCCTTGTGAAGCTGTACTTATATAATTCACAAGTTACATGTAAAGAAAAACGTAGATTACTCACAAACGTTAAAAACTAGTAGCTAGAGAAACGACAAATATTTGACGTGAAATATCGGGTTTCAAAAATTGACAAGAGATTTTTTTATCAACGCGACGTAACTGTCGCTAAATTATGTGTCAATCCAATTTCAATATATATAGAGATTTGTCCTTTGTTGTACATTGGTTAAGTACATATTTATAATGGTATCATTTTGTATTCGTCCAGTAAAATTGAAAGAAACATACGATAACCTCTGATAAATTTGTATCGTCTCATGGAGAGCTTGCTCCTAAGAATTCATAAGTCACCTTTGAGTAGACATCGAACAAGAGAAGAACAGAACAGGTTCACATTCTACCTTCCCATATCTTTCAATCCAGCTCGTCAAAGTCTAGAACGTGGAAGGTATGTCCTCGTGGCGAGGGTGTGGGCGGATCCACAACTACGGCAGGCGGAGCCCGCCCTCGCCGCTAGTCCTCCACGAGCTCCCACAAAAGCAGAGCTGCTTCGCTGCCCCCTGACGTCACTAAACAACGATCGTTGAACATGAATCGAGCTGAGAACACAGCTCCAGAGTACACCTTCATCTCATTGTATTCCGCCTTCGCGCTGGCGCAAGGGTATCTGAAACAAAATATATTAAGAACTAGCTGTATTAGTATTTGAAAAATTTGTTTACCATAAACCGGTTCCTATGATATCTTAAAAGAAAACATACACTGTCCTATAAAGATTATTCACATTAAAATAAATAATTTCCCGGTTCCTTCACTCTACCCACTATTTCTTGTGTTCGTTTCAACTTTCACAGATCCGTTCTATAATAAGTAGTTGATCAGACTCGTGTGCTCTGCCTGACCGAAACAATTTGTTGTTTCCCTGAGATTCGAACCCAGAACTTCTCGCGCTTAACGCAATGCTAGGCAATAACGTTAACCATTTGGCTACGCTTTACATCATTTCATTGAGTAAATATTATGTTAACTTTTTGTTTTTACTCATTCTATTTAAGTAAGTACGAAAATGGTAAGCCACTTACGCTATGCTTATTTACGTCATTGCGTATTAATAAAACTATCATTCTTGGTATAAGCCAAGTTAAATTATGTTTCTAGATGCATAAAAGTTACCTGAATAATCTTAAATAGCCATCCGAATCCCCGCTGATGAGCAGATCATGCGCAGATGACCGGCTTGAGGTCGTAATCAATGACGTCATGGGATAGAATCGATTGTTCCACATTCCTGAAATTCAACACCAATTTTCTTATTTGAAAGCATAGAATAATCGAAAGCGGATGAAGGACTGTAAATAAAATCACAGCCACTATTCATAGCTAATTATCCCACTCTAAATAAAACACTTTAACGGTTTAAAACGCGATATATTAGTTAAACTTATTTGGAAATGATTTTTAACTTCGGCCCGACGTTTCGGATGCTTTGCAGCAGCCGTGGTCACGGGGAGACATTTCCAAATAAGTTTAACTAATCTATCGCGTTTTAAACCGTTAAAGTGTTTTATTTAAATGTGTACTACTCGCGTAAACTATAGACAGTATTTATCCCACTCTAGTTCTATCAATGTAAAGCAATGGAAAATCACTGTTAATAAGAGCTACATGAACGATGCATACTTATATTATGCCCTTACTTAATTAAGTGCATAATATATGCACTTAAGTAAGTAAGTAAGAACTAATTTGGGAAAAGTGAGTTCACTCTAAAAGAAATAAAAATTGATTACAAGAAACATTATATAAATACTAGGTTCAAATTAAATGATATGGTAGCTTAATTGGTGGGAACTGTGTGAACACAGGTTCAACTCCCTCCCGTGTCTTCAATTTTTGTAATATAATTATTTAAAAAAATCTTGTTAAGTTCTATATCTTTTTTGTACTTGTCTAACCTTAGTACTATATTTATATATTTATGACGAGAATTTTCTTCGTAGACGAGTACATACCGGACACAAGGAAGCCCACAGTGGAATTGTAGGTTGACCATTTGACGTCTTTCATAGCCATTGGGCTCTTTTCCGGTGATAAAGCTTTTATGTCCCCTATAACAATAATAGAACACACATTATGTGGATTTTAGCAACGCAAGGGACGTGGACTGAGGTAAAATCCGTAAGAGCCGAAAAAATCAATTCAAGTATTGTATATATATATATATATATATATATATATATATACAATACTTGAATGTAACAATTTGAAACGCGAAATATTTGTTAAATTATTTTAAGCTATATAGTCACACTGTTAAAAATAAACAGTCATAATATAGTCAGGACAATATATTTCGCTTTAAAAACATACTTTAATTATATAAAATAGTAATTACATAAGATAATAGTTCTTTTTAAACGCCCGTTCGTAGTGAGGTTTTTATTTTAGAAATATTATATTAAAAAAACCTCTTTCGATCTTTTCAAGTAGTAGTCGTTCAATCGACGGAATACATTATATTTAATTTTAATAAAACATTTTAACGGTTTAAAACGCGATATATATTGGTGAATTTATGTCAACAACGACGCGACTAGAGTTTCCAACCATTGCTGATGCACGCATCTAAAACGTTGCGCCTCATAAAAATATGTTATGTTATGTAATATTATATTTTTCGCGTTTTAAACCGTTCTAAATGTTTTATTTATATTTACTAGTTTTTAAAATAATAAACGTACAGAATGCCAAATCGTAATCAGCAGTGACCGACTGCAAAAAGTTTCCATCCAAACTCCAATCGAGCTGCATCAGAGGTTGAGCGCCACGAATCTTGTTCCATTTTTTGTAGGAGAACCCGTCTCGTGACACCCTGAATAAATAGATGCTACCATTCTGCGATCCGATTGCCAATACGTCGCCCGCTGAAAAATAATGCAGACAAGTCGATACAACGGTTCGAAACGCAAATAATATGTTAGTGTTGGATAGACCATTTATCGAGGAAGGCTAAACAACAACTGTATAGCCTTCCTCGACCTATAGGAGCGAAGAACAGTACAAAATCTAAACTATTTCACACGTATGGAGATAGGGGCACAACTAGTAAGTCAAAAATTAAATAAACACGTTTCAAATACCTTTTTAGAAGCTGTTATTTGGTAAATACTCCGTAACAATACTCTTAACCAAAGCAATTACTTCATACTATATATGTATATATATATATATATTAAATTTAAATAGGCAGGATATAAGGCGGACATATTGTAATTTTTGACAGGCTTCTGTAATACTAATTATTATGTTCAACAGGAATTGAACCTTGGACGCCTCTCCGGATTGTGCACATATTAAGAATGGAAAAACACAGTTTGCTTCAAATCATATCTTTTTGAGATAAATATTTAATATCATACCATTATTATAATGCAGACAATTAAGTGGTGACCCACAGACACGGATGGTACAGACAGGAGCGCCAGCATCCGCATTGAGAACGATTAAGTGACCCTCAGTACTTCCGGCGGCGAGGGCACCACCTCCAGGATGCCAGGTTAGGGAGACACATTCATAGCCAACCTGTAATGTATAAACCTACTCTTAAGATATATTTTTAATATTATTTTAATGAATCTGACGACATGAAATTATTTTGTTTTATTTAGGACCTTAGTATAAACTGTATTAACGACTAATTAATTATTAAAATTTAAAAATATTATTTATTTAATAAATTGTGTAAGGTTTTCACGGCCATCGTTCAGAAGAAGTTCTCTACGTTTCGCCGATCGATTGCTTTAATTCTTCGAGCAATCGAGGAGTCAACGTCTCCTAATGATGCTGTCCGCACGTGATGGCGAAACGTTGAGAACCTCTTCTCGCTCACGTCGCCCGAACAGCCCGAAAAACAATGATATATTATTTATTTATTTAATTCTTTATTGCAACACTCACATAGTATATATATTTTTCTTAAAAATATTCTTAATAACAAAACTTTTAAAGTTATGGAGTGCAATGAGCGGCATTATCGGTATAAAGCGATCTCTTCCAGGCAACCCTTAATATAACTCAAAACGATGAATTGGCGATATTGTTTGGCGTCTACCTTTAGTCTAGCGTTACAGTTGGTTATGAAATTAAGCAAAATAAATTTCGTATTTCCTTTAAGCTGTTTTATTTGTTGAAAGAAAGACAGAGCGGAACGTAAGTAAGGGCGGGTTGTAATGTCATTTTCCGCCCGTAAAAAAGTTCGAAAAACCAATTTTTTCACCTGAGTAGCAAAAACAAGTTTGTGTCCTTTCCACAGCGCGATATTCTTGTCATTTCCAGCAGTCGCAAACATTTCGTCATCTGGATGTACTGCCACGCCCAGCAGCTGTTTGTTGTGCCCGAAAACCACCTGTACCGTTCGTATTACTCATGTTCAATTTCTTTATTAGAGAAGCACAGACAAGCAAACGGTTCGCCTGATAGAAGTTTAAAAGCACCAGCATTCAAGCCACTGGAACCCCACGGACTATACGAATCAGTCCGGATGCTGCGCCCGCGCCCGCGGAAATTTAATATTCCTACCAGTTTATAGATTTAGAGACATGCTAAACACAGTGGGAATCGGAACCACAACCCTTCAAGCAGTTCTACGTATTAATAATGTATCGTTAAATAGAGAGATGTTACCTTCTTCTATCCAAAGCCAAGGTCAAGACCGCATCTTGTATAGATGCTATAGGCTGGGTTTTTACCTACCATCAAGGGAATCCTATGATTGTCTCTCCTGCTCTATCATTAAAAAACATAACTTCCTCTTTATGTTGCATAAGTTTAGTCAAATACTGTCTATAGTTTACGAGAGTAGTACACATTTATATAAAACACTTTAACGGTTTAAAACGCAATATATTAGTTAAACTTATTTCAAAGTGATTTTTAACAGTCTCCCCGTGACCACGGCTGCTGCAAAGCATCCGAATCGTCGGGCTGAATTTAAAAATCATTTTCAAATAAGTTTAACTTATATATCGCGTTTTAAACCGTTAAAGTGTTTTATTTAAATAAGTTTAGTTACTTGGTTAAATCTTCGCTGTAAAGAGCCCTCCATAATGTTATTCTTTGTTGTTCCAACGTACAAGTTGCCGTCATTCCTTCCTGGACGCTGAGGATAGATACTTCGAACTCCTCCAGCTACTTCTGGTAGCTGAAATTGAAGAAAAGTCTAATTGTAGAAAAAAAAGCAGAAAGAAAGCAATAACTATTAGAATTACCATTGACGTTACACGCTTGAATAAATATAAGATATAGTTCTTTGTTTTGATAAATTAAAGCTCTATTTAGTTTAAAAAATTTTGACGACACGGCAGGATTTGAACCTGCATCTACAGCGTTCCGTGTTGCTCTAACCAATTGAGCTACCATGTCTCACACGTCATACTGATACATGCAATTATCGCGCAATGTAATTTAAACCTTAAGACATGAATATTTAAGTTCAATGTCTTATGCTTTGCAGCATAAAAAAATCATGAAAGATGAAATTATGAATGTCTTCAACACATTCAACCCAACGACAACTTCTATTAAGTGCATCTTGGATACCTTCGTCTCTGTTATTCTCTTGTAGTTCTGTAAAGAGTCCCAAGCCGCTATCTTTCTATCTCTTTCTCCTCCAGATATTAGAGTACCTTCGGAGAGCATCACTAACGAGCTGATGCCTTTTATATGCCCCTGGAAAATTATTTATATAACTAGTAATGTCTACTAGGTTTTATTAATGATATATGTGAGAGGGGGGCACGCAAACAATGATGTGATAGAGCGTAAAGTACGCCGTTAGTCGTGGCTTCGATTCTCGTTTGCGGCGATCAAATCTTCAAAATAAAATCACATGATACATTGCACAATTAAACAAAATACAACACGACTTAATATTAAATTAGATTATTGTGGAGATTTCGTTGTACCTAAAAGTAGGCAAAACATCGATCTTAAGTGATGTACCACGCTTGACATTTGAAGTAGAACAGTACATACATATAAACATACACACATTACAAATAGTGTTATCAATGCTCAATATACCACATATAATATCAACACATCTTCACTATCTTGTTAAACTTTTACCTCAAACTCCATGCGTACAAAATACGCTCCATCCGCATCGACACTGTAAATGGTGATAAACCCATCGCTGTCTGCCGTGACCACGTCGCCATCTTGTTCAAATTGCAAAGCCGTTACATGAGTTCGTGATGGCTGTTGAAACATAATTATACATTAGACACGTTACCAAATTGCTTTAATTAAAGACACAATTTAAGTAGGTAGGCGTAGGTAACAATATACACTCATGAATGTCAAACCAGTTAAAAACTAAAAACTGAATTTACATTTCCCACCAATTTTCCAATTGGATTGGCTTAACACGGACGAAAAGAACTGCCAAGCAATTAGTGCGACCCCTTGTATCGCCAAGGTTTATTTGACACTCATAATCAAAGTGCATTTTTGATAACTCTTATACCCAACAATGGGAGACAATTTACTTATATTTTTAAAATAATTAAGAAGAAGAAGAAAGAAATTTATTTACTACTAAAACACACACAACATGTTACACTTTATACTGTTAAGATAAAAAAACCTAATTTTATCTTAACAGTATAACTTAATATAACAAGTCTGGATAATGTTGTGTGCTGCTAGGAGAATAGGATCTTACTCAGTTTATATCAGACGCTTTGTTGACCTGAAACTGATTTTCTGTAAGTCCTTAAAGTGTGGAATTAACGTCAAGACTTTTAACGATTTAGGCTTTATTCACATCCTCTAAAATTATAATACGTATATTATTTTTGTTTTAATTCAATGAAGCGATATTTTATAATACATACCGGTTTAATTATATCTGTTCTCTCAAAGAAACCATCCTTGCGTCTATTCCAAAACGCCAGATGACCTTTTCCATGTGTTATAAGCAAGTTATCATCCAGTGGGTGGAAAGCTGCTCCGGTAAGTTCCTCTTGTAGCGTCTATGAAAAAATCATACTGCAGTTTCCTATAAGGGTAGTTGCTCATAGATAGCGTTACAACGCTTAATATTATTTTTATTATTATATGATAGTGTTGACTTCACACGCCGCCTCATAGAAGTGGTTACAGTGTATTTTTTCTAAAGACGAGAACAAATATGGTCGACGTCAAATCACAGAGAACCAGTAATGGCCTGGTAGTCGTTGATGCTACGGATGTCACAGGGGCAAATGCGTGTGGACAGAACGCGATGATCGACGTTTGTAGGAAACAATATGCTACAAACTGTACAAACAAAACTCATATAATCACTCGTATTATTACGAAATCAACATTTTTATCTTATATAAAAACTAAATAATTTAAATACAAATGCATTGAATTCAATTTGCATTTCAAAGTTTTCCTTAAGGCTCCACTGCCATGATAATAATCAATAAGTCCAACTAGACCTTGAGACTTTTCGTGATATTTATTGTGGAAATTTATTTTACCAATTGTTACATGACACAGTTCATTTACCTTTGAATACAATTTACGTCTCGAATTTAATTGGCTTTTAAATTGTAGACGACTGGCGAGTACTAATAAAAATGATAGCAATCCATTGTTTTGCAAGAAAGTAAAATTTATAGCAAACTTACCGCAACTTTGCCAAGTAAATGCCCCCATTGCCATTGCCAGACAGACAGAATACTCTCTCGTCCACTGTCCACAGCCATTACGTAACTACCTCCATTCTGAAAAAAAACTTACACATATAAAACATATATAGCGATGTATATACCCCATCTATACTAATGTTACAAAGCTGAAGTTTGTTTGAACGCGCCAATCTCAGAAGCTAGTTCGCATTGAAATTTTTTTTATGTTGGATAGAGCATTTATCGAGCAAAGCTTTATAGCCATCACTCTGCAACCAATAGGAGCGATGAAATAGTGTAAAATATGTGAAATCTTGGAGAGCTTCCATTGCGTGCGCTGCGAAAACGATTCAAAAACCTAAAAAAACTGGATGAAAGAATGATTCCTCTTTAAATATACCTATTAAATTTATGTTGCGTATATGACTATCTATAAAGATTAACTCGCAAGAAACGTTAAACTATTAACTTAACTATTAATTTTATTTATTAGTTAAACTATTAATTTTGCTAACAGCAAAACGTTTTCCGGAGCTACCTCATAGAATAATAAAAGTACATACAAGTTGGGAGAAGGCGACAGCCGAGACTCCAGCTTCAAATTCAGCCATGCCAAATACGTGCAATGTCTGCAGAGTGTCTGTACTCCAGATGCGAATGTGCGCCTGCGCTCTCCGCCCCCGCCCGGCGCGTTGACCACTCGCCACCAACTCTCGAGATGGATGTAATTCCATGCTAAGACAATTTGTATTTACACATTACTGGTTGATATAGTGGTTACTACACTGCATATAGCACGAGGTACCGGATTCGTTTCTGGGTCGCTGAAATGTTACTGTTAGCTCAGATTTCGGAAGTAAAAAGTAATAATAGTTTTTATATCACTACAAAAATTAACATGCCACAACAATTAGTATGTATATGAATAAGATGTATTAAAATAAATATTTTTATTAAACGAACAGAAGAGTACTTGTGGAGTACCCTTTTACTCGTAGTACGGAACCCTAAAAACAAGGAATATTTTTATATTTTAAGAATTCCTAAATGTTTCTCATCTATCTTACGTTTTTTATTTTTTTTTTCTTTATAGTATCTTAGTTCATGTCTCTTGCACTCTTATCCTTACACACTTGCAAAAGCCAAATTTTTTCCACAGAACTAATTAATATGGTAAAATTACCATTGAATATCTTCAGTGTGTCCAATATAATGTCTTTGAGATTCTTCATCTCTGTCATACATCACAGCAATTGCAGCGACGTAGTACAAAAGCTCCCCAGTCGGGAGTACCCAGAGGTTTTTCCTTGCATCAGCGCCTCGATAACCATAACTGCATAGAAAAAACATTATTATCTTATATAGGGGAGGATAGACAAGGTTCACTTGATGGGAGGTGAAATAACCCGCTCAATGAAGCAAAATCTGGTTTTGGATATTTGGAAATCCACAGACTGAAACCATAACGCAATTAAACTTCATGGCTATATCACACGTGGACGGTGGTAGGTGACCATGACGGAATTTCGATATTCCAACCACCCATTTAATATCCAGATTTCCAGACGTGTTTCGGAAAAAATTATAAATTGAAGAATTTAAATGTTGAACCCAATGGGGATTGAATCCGCGACCCGTTGATTATTTGCCATTTGTTAGTTGATTGCTACAATGACCAACGAGCTAGTCATACAAACATGACACTGCCACGGGGGAAAACTTTAACCCCTGTTCTTCAGAAGGGGTCCTGGTTTCGAATTGTTTGCATGCAATTAAAAAAAAAATTACAGGAACAAACACAGTTGTCTGTCGCATGCCGCGATAAATTCTTGTTTTAAGAATCGCTATAATAATATTCAGTTACTTACACCCAATCCAATTGCATTTTTTTCTCAGGGGGTGAATTGTCAATCGGTGGGTGGTGTATGGGAGGGTAAAAGGTACGTCGCAATCCTCTGATAGTCACTCGAATCGGCTCTTCTTTTAGCACTTCTAATAGGGTATAATCTAGAAAGAAAGCATAAATACAGTTGAAATTCTCATTTAACTACTTAATTCTCACATATATAAACATGGTTATATTTTTTTGAATTATAACGTCAAAAACATTTTTGACGGTTTAAAACGCAAACAATTAATTCGATGTTTTGGATACTTTATGTTTAAGACCATGTCGCGCCGGGTTGTCGAATTTCTTCAATCTATTTTCTATGTATATAAAGTTATCATTTGTAAATGTTTACCGGTATTCCTAATAATTTCCCCCTCTGGTGCATACAGTATCCTCGGTCTACTCTTACTGCGAGCTCTTCTTCCTCTACCATCATCTGCTATGGGGAGAGCTGCCACGTTCGCCCTTGAACGAGATCTGATGAAAATATGAACATTGGTTACTTATAAACTAGACTCACTTTTATTAAATTTCAATATTTAAATAAAACACTTTAACGCTTTAAAACGCGATATATATTCGCCATATATATATAGACGTTCGAATGCTTTGTAGCAGCCGTGGTCAAGGGAAGACTAAAGATGGAGGGTGTCCCTTATGTTAAAGTAAAAAACTGCTACGCTAGCGCCATCTGTTCCATCGTACTTAGTATTTGGCGAAACTGGCCGGGTCCTTGTTGAATTGACTAACGATGTCTTCACGTTTGCCGGTACGCTGTTTTACAGAATCCAGAGTTTCATAATGTTAATTTTTGTCTGTCAAATTCTCTAACCTTAGTCATACTAATTATAAGTAGTAAAATAAAACAGGTAACCTTCTTATTGGTGATTCAATTGGAAGCGCAGCAACTCCAGGGCTCAGAGCTGGTGGAACTAGGACGGTTCCCAAATAAAAGGTTTCAATGTCCGCGAACTCATTTCTTAACTGAGAAAAGCTTCGCACCTACAAAACACACATTTAATAAATGATTAAAGTTAAACAAGGTTTTTAACAAAAGTACTTAGACTCCATTTAACCAAGACATTTTATACATATTTTTTCCGAATATCCAAAGCCGAAATGGGTCGACAGCACATCCTATATGATGTTATGTGGCCTCCCATCAAGTGAACCCTACACTTGTCTGTTGTCTTCTATTATTAAAAACAAAAGATAGTTTAAGGACGATTAGGAAGTTAACAGCTGTCAATGTCAAGTTTATACTAATGTCTCTCGTGTTTTAGTACAATGTAAGTAACCTCTTGTCCATTAACAGTGTACATTCTTTTAGCTCCGCTCATCTTCAATACTTGTCCCAAATCCTCTAGAACCTCTTCGAAGGGCTGGCTGGTTCTTAAATTTAAAAGCACGCGACACTGCAAAGGTTAGTATTTATTAGCCAGATTCGTTAATAAAGGAAGGCTGTATTTACCGGATTCTCATGTTAACTGAATAAATAAGGCATCTTTATTTGTAAATCAAATAAAAAAATATTTACTCATGTACTTCTGAACGTAATTACAGTTAAAAATTAAGACTCTAAATTTAGATTTACTACCAGTCCACAAATTAAGGGCGTATAACGAACAACAAAGAACTCACAAGAAACTCGCATATTTTTTATCAAACTATTAAAAAAATATTATAAAAGTACTCTGACGTAAATATATCGCAATAATAATAGGTCGCAGTGACAATCAACAAAAATAAATAAATATTGTATTTTATATTTATAAAAAGCTTTAAGATTTTTTTAAATAAGTTTTGCTTTATTTTAATCTTGAATTGTAGCTCAGTTTTGTAGACCATTTAATACAAAAAAATAACAAACTATACAATTTTTCCAATAATAATAGTTGAAACAACTGACCCTTAATATATTTAAAATTGTTGCCACATACTAGCATCAATTTATGCGAGACTAATAAACATAAAGTCATACAAAATAGTGTCTAAATATAATACATAAGAAATGATTTACGATGTTAGCTTGCAAATTGAAAGCACCGTTACTCACAGCTTATCTTGAAGGTTATTACATTGAAAACGTCCCAATAAATGGCCAGAAAGCCTTCCTATGGATCGCGTTTAGCTTTGTAGCGAACCCTTCAATTTAGCCACGATAAGGGCCGGCAAAGAAAAGGTGTACATTTACTTAATCAAAATTTTAATCGTTTCGTGCCATTTTATTACTTCTAATTAGAACTTTCAAATTGTTAAAATATTTAAGGCGAGTTTATAGTACTACCACGTTCGAATTTGGAAGTATATTGAAATAATACGATTATTTTACCTCCGACCCGACGTTTCGAATACTTTACAGAAACCGTGGTCACGGGGAGACTACATACAAGTATCGCAATATTTGTATATTTTTTACACGCCATTATACATATAAATTTAAAATCGATTTAAGTTTGATAAAAAAATATCGACACGGGCTGGACTTGAATTGTGTTGTTGCACTAAACTAAAAACTAAACTTATAATGCCGTGTGAAAAATATATAAAAATTTTCAATACATATACGCAAATTTTTTGGCTCAACTTTACTTTACATACATTTGATGTGAATGCTGATAAATTGTATGTTTGATAGATCCAGCCAATATAAGAATAATCCTAAAATTTCAACGCAAGAATATTCCTAGTTTTTAAAATAAACATTTTTGCAAATTTGAGTAAGATATTTGATTTTAGCTATCAAATCAGATGTATGTAAAGCAAAACTGAACCAAAGTTACCTGGATAGAATGATCCATATTATTTATTATCCTGATGACTCTACCACTGGAGGGCTTGCCGCCCCCTGGTGGTGGAGCATCAGACTCCGCTACAGATTGCTTCCGGGTACCAGCACGAGACCACCCGCTCGCTGCTGTGCTAGTACCTCCATACCACATCCCGTTCTTCTTCCCGTAACTCGCAGCCTGTGAATTTCATCTCGGTTAGTACTTTGGAATAAGATTCCTTCGCGGACATTTTGTATATTGTGTTATCAGTATCTCCCGTTATTATCTTGCTGGTAACTCTCTTATCTCATTTTAACAAAAGTAGAGAAATTAGTTGGTTATATTAGGTTAGGTTAGAATAATCTTAAACACTGTCTGTAGTTTATGCGAGTAGTAAACATTTAAGTAAAACACTTTAACGGTTTAAAACGCGATATAGGTTAATTAAACTTTTTTGAAAATAATTCTACGGCCCGACGTTTCGGATGCTTTACAACGCGATATAGATATATTAACTAATATTTATCACGTTTAAATCGTTAAAGTGTTTTATTTAAAAGAATGAATTTGTCTACAAATAATATTCAACGATAAGATGATTAGATTTTGTTAAATCAGATCGTAGTTAGCTTAAATATTACATTCTCGCGAATAAATATGCATGTAATCACGTATTACTGTAAATTTCTATTGAACACGTACTTATTCACTTTGTACAGTATAACGTGTACTGTAACAGTCGTTAGTGTAAGTAATCTGTCATGTTAAATACTCCGTGATTTAATATGAAACTTAAGTTTTATGCTAATTTCAATACTTCATCGGGAGCGTGTGACCGGAGCGTTATGGAGGCTCTATTAAGGCTATGAAAATTTTTATTGCCTCACAAAGTATTCGCTGTTTTTTTGTGTTATTTTTCTGCCACGTTACAGCATAACCCACTTTGAATGTTACGACCTAATTCCAAGCAAATTATGCTAGGAATTTTTATTGCTCTAATCTGAGAAGTTGACAAAACACCGCTCACTTTTTACCAATACAGCTGTTTTACTAGCATTTTTCGCACTTTTTTTAGCGTTTTAATCAGAACTGTTTAACGTAACAATTTGTAGCTAACAAAGGAATAAAAAACAAACACAAATATATTCTTCTAAATCTGCATAGTAGCGAAGCGAAATTGTAATGCGTATAGGCGGGCAACACCAAAGCCGATACGTAAAATCATACGCTTCACGTAAAAACTCACCGTGAGATTGTCTGTTATTCTCAAATTCTCCGCACTTTTCGCGTAATATCTGATCCTGATACGCGATATTTTGCACTAGTTGTGTGGACGACGGACGAACGATTACTGGACGTGGTAAACAAGAGTGACTTGTGAAATATATGTCCTTGGTCGGCGCTGACCGTACACCAAGGACACGTTACGCGTATAATTTACAAGAACCGTCACGTAAGAGTTGCCGAAACCCCCACGAACCATCTACTGGGGTGTCAGAGTGTCGGCGACTGTTTTCAAAGGTCTCGAGAAATGGTTTTTCTTTCTTTCATTGTTACGCGATGATGTCGCGACCGAGGTCATGTTAAATTGCTGCATAGATGCGGACTGCGGTGTTTTACATACGATCAAAATTTATTTTACGAGTTCAATATCTAGCCAACTATGTAGTTTTACTTAATCTTAAATCCTTGATTAAATTGCATTTAAACGATTGTCTATAAATACTGTCTATAGTTTACGCGAGTAGTACACATTTAAATAAAACAATTTAACGGTTTAAAACGCGATATATTAGTTAAACTTATCTGAAAATGATTTTTAACTTCGTCTCGACGTTTCGGATGCTTTGCAGCAGCCGTGGTGGTGGGTAAGATTAACTAATATATCGCGTTATAAACCGTTAAAGTGTTTTGTTTTCGATTGTCTATAGTTCATGAGAGTAGTACACATTTAAATAAAACTCTTTAACTGTTTAAAACGCGAAATATATTTCGACGTTTATGATTTTTTGCAGTCTCCCCGTGACCACGGCTGCTGCAAAGCTTTCGAAACGTCGGGCCGTAGTTAAAATAATGTTTACATTAATTTAAGTAATGTACTTCGTGTTTTAAACCGTTGAAGTGTTTTATTTAAATGCATATAAAATATTACATAACTAGGGGAATCTCTATAGTAATATGGAATAGATAATATTTTTAATAAATTGTATATGTATGTGTGTAGTGTTAGTATTACATATTAGTAGAAAATGCTTGTTTCTTGCTATATGAATTAAAATATAGATATGTTGATTAGGTGTTTTTGAGTTATTACTTGTAATAAAAGAAGCTTCAACTTGATCTACGCCGTATGTCTAGGTCCACGTAGAGGACGCAATTTTCATTGTAAAAATAATTCAGGATTGGAAAAAATTAAGGAAACTATATAATTAATAAGAATATCAAATGCCAAACGTAGGTGAGGCTGAATAAAAAATATTTTAAATTAATATTATAACTCTTCTCTCTATTGTGAAGAAAATTGAAGGTCCATAGATGGTTATTGGACCGCCTCTGTAGCTAAATGGTTACACGTATTGCCTAGCGTTGCGTTTGGCGCGAGAGGTCCTGGGTTCGAATCCTAGGGAAACAAAAAATTGTTTCGGTCGGGCAGGGCACGGAAGTCTAATCAACTACTTGTCCGTTAAACGGATCAGTGAAACGGACACAAAAATGTGTTCACCCTCACACAGAAATGCCCCACGCTGGGGGAACGGGCTTTCACTTTTTATAGATGATTATACGAATAGTTAGAAAGAAAGTTAAAAATTTTGTAATAGTAGACTTACGCCGTTTTTTTTTAATCTCTTCAAACTCAATCTTATATTTGTAATATTCTTGTGGTGACAATTTACTTTTTGTTTTCGCAACCTGTTTATTTTTATACGCGTTTTAAGTTGAACCAATTTTAGTGGACACTACTGTAATATGTGGTGAACTTACTGGTGGCTCTGGCGTGTAGACTGGCAGAGATATAACGGTGAATGGGGAGTCTTCGTCGCTGTCCAGCATTGAGCTAGCTAACCAGCGGTATCTGCTCGGACGCCACACTTTTGTATCTTTTAGTTACGATAGACGCAAGATTCTGAGCGTTTAACGCCGACTATTGTGGTTTTGACAAAATCTTAAACTATTGTTTCTTTAAAGCACTGGTTTGGCTGTAATTTTCTCTTCGCGAGAGAATGTTCCACAATTAAATTGACTGTCTGCTTCTGGATAGATACAGTATAATTTGTATGTACTGTATAAGTGTATGTAGTAATGTTTTATTATTGAAAGAATAAATAATTATATTTTATTATTGATTATGTCAATGTGAAGTCCCTTAGTAAGTTTTCTATTAAAAGCTTCTATCTTACTAAAGTAATTTAATGTTTCATGTTAAGAACAAATACAATTCCTAAGTGAAATTTTGAATAGTTTATGAGTACAATGAATAAATTCAGGGACAGTAAAAGCAATTTCTTTTGTATTGTATATTTTAAAATGTCACTTGCGTTCAGTACTCTAGTCAAGTTCAAGTACCTAGCTTATCGTACTATCTCTAGACTTATGCTGTGTTCACACTAGCGCTATAATGAACACAGAGTAATTTATAAGTAATGGTTATAATCAAGAAAAAAAATTACAAAGTACTAATCAAATCTCTTTCGATTGAAACAGCGAATTATATAGTAAACACATATAGTTTATTTAATAATCAAGTAATTAGTATATCTTTATTTATAACATGTAATTAATTAAGCTTTTTATCCAGAAAGCTCATATATACATATCGAAGAATTGTAATATGAAAAAAAGAAATGTATACTAGACACAGCTTAAGTTCTTTATTATAATAATTTAGAATGTAACGAAGTAGTGACGTGCATCTGATGCAAATACAGTCATTTGCATATGGTATATAAAGAAGTTGCTTTGTGAATCATGCGATTTACGAAAGAATATATCATTGTCAAGTTTAATAAATTATCGAGCAGAAATTTAGTTTATTATTGTCATATATTTCTTTTTTATGAAAGCGTTTCTCAGCAGCGTATAATTTAAGATAGTGAAATTTAAAATTACTTGTACCTTAAGTTCACGCGTGTAGATAGTATTAACTTAATTTAATACTAAATGAAACCACGATAGATGAAAGGAAACCGAAAAGTCATAGTCATAGTTAAAAATAATGATAGTCGCGATTGAAACGGTTAAAAAATGCCTTAGATACGGTATTACGTGAAAGGGACGAAATCGAAGTTGATAAATTGGGATTGAGTTAGGGTCTTTGAGTTTAAAATATAACCTATCGCACTGTACACTGACACTTTCACAAAGCCGAAAATTTGGATGATAATAAAGAAACGTCGTAGTTCCTAGACACCATATATGGTACTAGACCCCACAACAGCTGACCGCACTAACAAAACAAAGCCTTCGTGACTTATCATTAAAAGACTTCAACGCGCGCCTTCCGCACGCGGAACTGTACTTTATTCAAACGGAAGAGAGTTTATTTTCATAATTAGTCGATATGCGAATGTGACGGTGGGCAAAGAACGACTATTTGAAATGGAATACATAGCTGGGAGGGGCTGAAATTGCCCAAGGTCGCTCTCTACATTTCACGCAAGTTATACGGCCCGCTATAAGTAAAGCTTGATACACATCGGCGATATACAATTAGACCCCCTTTATGGAGGTCTCACGTGTACCTCCAGCTTACAGTGTCACGAACTGCGACACGATAAGTTAATTTGAGATTACGCATAAAAATCAAGAAAATTAGGCGAAGGTTGCGGAACCTTGATCCGTATTCAAAACGGGTTGTTAAGTAGTAATGAAATAATGTTGGTTAATACGATATTATTTAAGATAAACACGCTCGTTTTATTTGTCTTGTAAATCGATGTAATATGTCAAGCCTGTTTTAATTTCTCAAAAATGTAAAACCCGTTTTCGCTATTTGGAGGATGCAGAAGACACATTTGTGTGATTGTCCCACTGATCGATTGAATCTAATAACAAAGGTTTTATTTTATAGACTTTTAATATGTATGTTTTTTTTGGTTTTTGCGGTTTCGACGTAAATCCTTTTGAGCTTAACGCAGAGCAATCGACCTTTGACAATATAATATGATGAAATTCCATTTTAAATACTGTCTGTAGTTTTATTTGAAATCCTATGTTCTTTAATTTTTTAAGTGCCCTCGAAAATTATTGATAAGAAAATTGCTATATGTAACGACCAAACAATAAGACATTATATTATATAGTAATAGAAAGGTTCGCATCTCTGTGATCGCGCCCTAATAGACGATTTACCGACCGTTCGGACGTTTGACCTAAATCCCTAATTTCGACAGGGCCCATGCCGCCGATACAATGCCGTGTGATCGCCCTCGACGTCCGGAAAATGCAGCTTATGCATTTTCATCGCATGTTACCTATTGATAGAATAATTCTATGCTACTTTAATAATTATATACATACAGCTTATTGCATTAAATCTAATATGCAATTTTGTTTCAAGTTTATGATAACGTGCCCTTGTAATTCTTCAATTCATGTAAACTAACCTCAACCTATTATATACGTGTCGGCTTTGCTTTGCAAATTAAGAAATCGTTTGTATAAGATGCAATTTTACAAATCGCGGATTCTCCGTCTCTTTTTTGTGATAGAAGAGAACAGATAAGCATAGTTTATGGGATGGAAATGAAATATCTCAGTCTTATAACATCTTCACAATGTACACTGTATCATAGCAGAATACTTTTTATACTAGAGAATGATAAAAATGAGTCTCACTAACCCGACTTATTACGTGCTGTCGGTTTATTTTAGCCTTGCATGTTCGTTTTAATGGTCAAAAAGTATAATAAACAATATAAAAGTTTCATAAATCAATTCTGTTTTCTTAGTCCATTTCGAATCAGGTTATATGGATTAAAGCGTATTTTAACATTGCGTTATATATTAATCGAACAGATCGATGCTCTTTCATGTAGTGTGAATATTTATTACTATAGTTTCTAAGTATTTTTATAAAAGATACTTATTACATTGTTAAATAATTTTTTGTCTATCTTGGGATTCTTTCTATACATCCGCTGAAAAAATCTGACGATAAATGGGTGGTAACGATATCCAAATTCCGTCCACACATGAAAAACGGAAAGTAAAAATCAGCGCGTCTTTATATGGACTTATGAACGTTCATAGACAGAATAAGTAACAGGTAGACAACGCATAATTACTCGTATTATGGATACTTCATCTTGTGACAATCAATTTTTCTGTCTGAAAAGGGTGTTTGTTTGAACGCGCTAATCAGAGAGAGTATGAGATCCAATGAATTATTATTGTGTTGAATTAAGCAATTATCGAGACAGGCCTTATAAAATCACGTTGCAAACAAACAAAATGTGGAATAAATTAGGAAAATGATTAATTTTTAAATAATCTAAAAATCAAAAATTCCGCGACAGTATACGTCTATCTCTTACGATTAACTCTCAAGAACGGGCGGCGTCGTTGGTAACAACTACAAATAACTAATAAAGCAGAGGAGGTTATTTCCAAAAAAAAACTTATGCCCCAAATAACTATTCTTCGCGGACAAAGTCGCGAGCACAGCTAGTATAAAATAGTCTAGTACATTCTGATAAAGAATTGATTTTAAAATGAAGGAGTGTTTCAAAAGGCTATCTGCAACATGACTTAACAAAGCCTCACCTTAGTCGTTAAGACGCCGGCCGCAATATTATTTAAGTGTTATGAGTGGGAATAAATATCTTTTAAAATAATTTTTAAGTAGATTTACTGGCTTACACTTTACTTAAGAGTTTAGTTGCAGAGGTAGTGAACAATATAAAAACGTATTTTAACCAAAATGAGTTACAACAAAAATAATTATCATATCATATTAACAAAAAGTGTCTTAGCTCGAAAAATTGAATTTATAATTGTATATAATGTACAACATAGTATGGTGGGTAAAAGTTGCTTATATTTTTTAAGTAATAAATATTAAAAATTGAATAAAAAGCTATTTATATCAAGTCAACTAAATCTTAATAACTTTGGCCAATAGCGTAACCAGACAAAATTATAGGCGTTCAAAAAAGGAGTGGTACTCGTTTTAAGAACAGAGCGACCGCGACTCTAAGTGCTACGGCGCGCTACGAAAATTCGTAGCACTGATCTTCAGTTGCTATTTTGCTAATGATTTCTAAATAAGTTTGGCTAATATATATTGTGTTCTAAACCGTTAAAGTATTTCATTTAAATGTGTACTACTTGCGTGAGCTACAGACAGTATTTATATTGCTATTATCAAATTCTACCCTTGAATAATATAAATATTTATTACAATTAAAATATAGGTATTTAATCCACGGATTTAAAACTTTAAGAGATTGCCTAGCTAAAATACAAACCATATATGCCATTGATTACCTATAATAATAGAAAAAACTGTACTTTTCGCGAGTAGTACACTTTTAAATAAAACACTTTAACAGTTTAAAACGCGATATATTTTAGTTAAACTTGTTTGAAAATTATTTTTAACTACGGCCCGACGTAAAAGTAATTTTCTAACAAGTTAAACTAAAATATATCGCGTTCTAAACCCGTAAAGTGTTTTATTGAAATAGAAGAACTTTCAAGGAGAATAAATCAACGAATGGCGTTGTTTTTTAAAACAATTCTTTAAAATCTTATTTATTATCAGAGAATATTATTTGATGAAACACTTTGCAGCAACGATTGTCAAACGCGATATATTAGTTAAATTATTTAAAACGATTTTTGACTTCGGCTCGACGTCTTAGACGCATTTTCAACATAAGTGGTAACGAATATATCGCGTTTTAAACCGTTAAAGTGTTAGTTAGTGTGAAGCGAGAATATACTCTCCATGTGTTATCTTTACAATCAGAAGTTTAAAATATACTATGATCCACCGGTCAGTAGATAAGTTAACATTACTGTATTCGCCGTAACATGTTGTCCAGCAAAATAAAACATTAACTTCATTGCAGTAATATTTCATGCGTTAAAGATTAGATGTTAAGGCACCGCCTTGATGCATACTAAGTGCAAGGTATGGAGCAATGCCCTCAACCGTTGCCAACCTAGTTCATTTCGTTATGTTGCTATTAATTCAATTCGTTTACTTTGAAGATTCGCGTGAACAAGACTAGCAAAGAATATACAATACGTGATAAGATTATCGTTTCTCTTGGAATTATATTAACATAATTTAAAGCTACTAGTGTTATGATTAAATGAGATTACTTTTAAAAATATATAATGGTTTACTTTTGTGGGAAATTAAGTTAGTAATCAAAGTTTATAAGATTTAGTTAAAGTTTATATTGCGTTTTTTTACTAGAGTACTTTAAGTGCGTGATGACTTATATTTAGACATTTATAAGAATAACGATGATTTTCGGCGAGTTCTCTTAATGATTTGTAGTAAATGTGCATTGAGAGTCTTTTGTTTTTTAACTTTGAATTCAATACAGCTAAGTTCTGTCTTTTCAACAAAAGAAACGTTAGCTATATGTAATTTGTGTTGCGTAGAAAATTACAGATCCTTGAAACAAACAAACCATTTATAATAACAACACAGCAATCAAATGTTTTCAGAAACGCTTCGGCAAAACAAACATTAAGTTCTGCGTAATCATTAGAAAATTTCCGTTTTGGAATAACGTGGCATGGAATTCTTTAGCAATTAGTTTCAGTTATTATAAGAAATTGGTTGTGTAATCAAAATGCAAATAAGAGGACGGTAGACGGTGCGTGCCTTATCCTGCGACCTACATCTCTGCAAGGACGTAGCCTCGGTACCATTGATTTAAACACCATTTATAAAACACGTAATTTCTTTTCTGTAATGTAAGTTGATTTATGTAACCTACTTGGTGACAAATGTAATATATTGTTACATTAATTCTCTATAGCTCAATAGTTAAAAACATTGCCTACTGCGAGTGGTCATGGGTTGAAATTCCAAAAAATCTGCTAGTCTCTAGGTGGGAAACCGATAGTGTCAGTTAACGGTTACATTACATTGTATCACCTTACCTACATTATAAGACATTGTCTAAAGGTTTTCGGGGTGTGAAAAATATACTTGGGTGAATGGAATCTATGGGTTGGTTGATTGATATACTTCAGACACTTTTTTATCACTAATATAAATATTAAAGTTTAGTTTTCAAAGAGAAATATTAAGACACGAAAACGTAAAGTTATATACACGTAGCTTGTAAAAATACAGTTTTACATTAAATTGTTAATTATTTATTTATTACTCCTACTTTTATGTATATTTTCTTTTAAACAAGGGGAACGTATTGATCAGAATGTTTACTAACAGTCACACACGCAACTTGTCCGTATATTATGAATAATTATAATATTTTCCTTCTTTATAAAAGTAAAGTTAGAATGTGTTACAAAGGGTGCTTTAAACGATAAAATATAAATAACTTTAAATTTAAGTTATTAGTACCCTGTAGTTTAACACATTAAAATAGGCTTATTAACGACTTGAGGCGTGGCAGATATTTGAAAAACACAGAATAATTCAAAAATTCAAATGAAATTTGCAACTGAACACGTGAGAAGTTTTAGTTGTAACCTGCTTTACTTACTTTAAACGTCTTATAAGACGAAACGACGTAAGAAGCACCATCTTCTAGCTCTTCTAATCTGTATTTCCTGTCGCCGTCCATGCCAAAGATGAATCTTGCACCACGAGGCAGTTCCAGTCTCTCGGAAAGTCTGTCCAGCAACACATCCATAGAAACCAGGTCTCTTCCCGGTTTGAAGCGAAACTCGACTCCTGGATGGAACGGGTCTCCATTACGGTAAAATGTTACTCGTCTGGCCTTCCAATAGTTGAGGTTGGCGTATCGACTGGCCGGTTCTGGTCTTATGGGTCGAGCGGTAGCTTCAGAACCTTCGGAGATGTCATCTGGCCTTTGCGGCGGGGACGGGGGCCGAGATGCGCGCCACTCCGACTCCTTCTCATCGTCAGACGCCGGCTGTTCTTCAGCAGCGGGGGCCGGTTCCGGCGGTGGCTCCACCTGAGAACGGATGCGTGGTTTAACACGTGGCTTGTTTTGCACACGACGCGACATTACGCGTGAATATTCAGCGGTCGACTGGACATTTTACGGAGTGGTCAGTTTTGCGGCAATTCCTGACAAGTGAACGCATGAAATAGATACTTAGAGCACTACGATTTTGCAAAGCATCGTGACATCACTTAGAACTATATCATCCAGTTATAATAAAACTCTATCTATGTAATATACTATAGCTTACTATTTAAAATGTTCAAATGATGATCTAAATTTTTAGATACGAATAATGTGCATTTTTTAACTCGGTCAATTGAGTTACAGGCAAAACAGGCCACGATAAACCAACTATGGTTTACTTAAAAACGTGGTTTAATATAGCAACATACAGCTTTGCAAGTCGCATAATTACGCCGCTGCAATTGTAAACTGTAATTAATATATTGGGTCACTCTTGTAATTTTTCAACATAACGCTAAGTAAATAATCGATAGATCTTTTTGATAAAATTAACTGCCTTGCCTTGCCGCGTGACTAAGTAACTTTAAACATGACCACGAGGCAGTGAAATTAGTTAGGTTATAAGAAACACTGCAATGATATGAATCATAGTATGCCGAAATCTACATAGTCATACTCAACCATTAGTATTTTTATAATACTTCCGAAAACAAAAACCGCATGAACAAATTCTAAATTACTTTAATTAATTAAACAATTTTAATAGACAAATTAAGTAATGTTTTTTGTTGCTTTAAACCTTCAATATTCAAATCACAATATTTTTTTATTTAGCTACTTAATAAACCAATTATTATCACTTAATAAATGAATATTTCCCTCACCACAGATCCTGTAGCCTCTTCAGATGCCATTTCAATGGAACATGGGAAACACAAACAGTTCTCTATTCGTTACAATTCTTTCCTCACTTCACTTTCCTTGAGAGTTATGATTTATGCAAATGGAATAAGGAGCCGACCGGTTATGTTTTGTGAAACGGATCGAGTGACCGCTGGCTATTGTGAACGGCTTGGGGGGTGATTCGCCCACCTCACTTGTGTGCGTGATTAAGGCAGGACCTACTTACAATTATTATACTTACAATAATGACATTAATATATGAGCTATTTATTTAGGAAACTTAGCAGAGTCTTATGATAAGTAAAACTAATCTATTTTTGAAAACTTTAATATCTTTCACATGCTGTTGCTATATAAATTAAAATCGATTTTCGATTTTTAAAAATTACTGCGCGAGAGGTACATCTATCAAGGTTTAAAAAATTGCCGACAACGTGTAGGGCAAGATAGCGCGCAACGCTGTGGATGGACATCCGACTACGGCTATGGGGATAATGACTTTCAGAGCATGTTAATTTATAAGTTTTTTTTAAATAAAATTGAACAAAAATGGTAGTCAAACCAAACAAATACTAATGTATATTATATTTTTCTCACTCGGGTTTCGACTTCAGTGACATAAGGACAATCGATAGTGATGCTTCCCTGTGTGGGGCATGAGGCAGACATTTCTTTGTCCGAGTCAGGCAAGTATTTGCTTTATTCTATACATTTTACGAAGAAAATGACATACGTTTTATATTTCGAATTCCGATATCATCTTGCAAATGTTAACTTGGCTCCGGCCCCAGGAGCCCTAGAACTGACGTTGTACAGGACATAATAATCAATAACCTAAATAGGTTACCGCCAGTTTTGCAACGTCTGAAATCGTTCATAAGAAGTCTTTGATAGTACACGTCAAGACAAAAAATTCAAAGTATTTCGTATTTTAGTATGGCCTATTTGATATCTATACTTTAATTTTTTTAATAGTCTGCGTTTAACTCATACATATAAGTTTGAAGCGATATATTTTAGTTAAACTTGTTTGAAAATTATTTTATTCTACGGCCCGAAGTTTCGGATGCTTTGCAGCAGTCGTGGTCACGGGGAAACTGCCCCACCAAAGTGTACTTACTCGCGTAAACTACAGACAGTATTTGTTTAAGTCCTTTTAGAAATTCCCTTTAATTTCCAAAATCAATAGGACTTACTAAATAATTACAATGTATTCAATAAATCATTTTTTATTGTTTAGAACGCAGAATATTTGGCTAAATTGATTCCTAAATAAGACTCGACGACGCGATTTGGATATTTGTTAAAAGTCTTAACTTTAGTCCCCATTATGTTTTACTAATTTTGCCGTAAACATAAAAAACAATCCAAGATTAAGTACAAGAATCACACAAGCCAGTGATTAAATGTTATTTTCCAGCCATTAAATAGGTACTAGTTAAATATTTCATAGCCGTGTGAGCTTTTTCACTATCGCTATTGTAAATTGCTTACCAAATTTACATAAATTAAATATTAAAATGAGCATTTTATAGTTAATAAGTACATTTTAAGCTTCAAACACACGAGAAACGACATTTTGTGGGATAACTAAAATGTTTCTCGATAAAGTATGAAGGCTACGAAGCTCTACGAAAACGTAGCACGACAATACATCGAAGCTATTACGTTTGAACAATATTATAATGCTTTGCCAGAAGACACAAGAATTTCGTTCGAGTAAAGCGCAAGTCGCATCAATTAAATATTATACAATAGCATAATCTAATAGAAATAATCTCTAAATAATTTGTTTTAATTTATCTATACAATTATAGTAGGTAAGATAAAAAAATGTAAAATAATTAGTAAAATATATAGTGTTTACAATTAGTAAGAGAATAAAAGAGTAGTACATGTTTAAATAAAACAATTAAGCGATTCAAAACACGATATATATTCGTTAAATTTATTTGAAAATTATTTTAACTACGACCCGACGTTTCGGATACTTTGCAGCAGCCGTGGTCACGGAGAGACGGACACTTAGAGCGTAACTGACCTTGGTTACCAGAGCTAGATAATGTTTTTATACCACAATTTGTAATAAAAAGACGTGTTTGGGTTTAGTTACTGTCTACTTTTGTAAAATGAATTCAATTCGAACGAGTAATTCCTGAGATTATCACGTTTAAAGACTTTTCAGCTTTCTAGTATTAGTATAGATTCGTATTGTTTTCATTTAAATAAAAAACCAATAGTCCTATAATTTAAAAACCACAAACAAGTAAGTACTGTGAAAAGTATCACCTACATCGTAGTATATAACATGCCATCAAAGTGAATCATTGGTTCAATAACGGAAGCGTATTTAAATTACGAGTTCGCGCTAAATGATACCTTATCACCATGGTAGTAGTTAGTATTTTCATGGGACCAGCATTCGTCGATGTAAAGCTTCGTGTGACAGAACTGTCATAATAATGCGCATCCACTTGTGATTGGTTCATGATTCACTTTACATCACGCCTAAATTAAACGCCCAGCGATTTAAGATAAACAGCGTTGCTTAGCAACGGCGCTTAGCTAATAATTGTTAGCCTCACGATCTAATAAAAATAATATATTAATACATTGACAAGTAAATAGTATTTATATAAAACACTTTTAAGGGTTTAAGCGCGAAATGTATTAGGTAAACTTATTTACAGGTTATTTTTATTACAGCCCAATGTTTTCGATGCATTGCAGCAGCCGTTATTCAAAAGTGTATTACTCCGACCTTTTTAATATTTCTCCGAGATTCGAACTTAGGACCTCTCGCATCACTATGGAGTTGGAAACTAGAGTGAATTCAATAATACGCCTTTAAAATAATATAAATGAAATTAATATTAATTAAATTCTAGTAAATATATATACCTAATACTATCAAAGTAAAGTAAGTTCTTTAAAATTAATTTTAGGCATTCATTCGATTATGAGTATTATTTGATCGATAGAAATCTCATACACCTATAAATGGTTCCTTATAATGGAACTCCATTAAATAAAGGTAAACGAAACATTTAATCAAACATTTTAGCTCAAGGACGAAACCTAAGCGATCGTGTTATAAGTTAATATATAAATGAGGTAATAAGGCGGTAATTTATAAATTTAGGTCTCTAAATGATTTGCTTAGTTGTTATAAATAATGACCTGTATAAAGAATTCATATGTTAAAAATTCTATAGCTGTAGCAATGTATCTCATAACAGGTCGTGGGCTTGAAGCATACCGGCTCCAACATGTTATAATCGATTCATATTTTTTCTGAAACATGTTAGATCACCTCTGAACAATTTATATAAACGGGTGGTAGGAATATCGAAATTCATTCATCGAAGGTTCAGTCCGTGGACTTTCATATAACCAAATCAAATGGCTGGGATATCTCACCTCCCATCAAGTGAAATCCGTGCTTGTCGGTCCTCATTCAATAGCATAGTATTACATAAGCATTAAAAGCTTTATACGATTATTAATTCATTGATTTATGTAATTGCAGTTATTATAAAAAAATATGTAATTTTTTTATAAGTCGCCGTTTGTCCTTAATTTCCATCAATTTATATTTTTTTTATTTATATGATAAAAAAATGTACAATAATAAATTAATTTTTCAACCAATAGATACATGAAACCACCTAACGCGCAATGTTGTAAATTAGGTATTAAAAAAACAACCGTTTTTCTTTGTTTATGTATTTGTTATATATAACATATCTAGTCTTTGACATGACTATGCTTCTTCTTTTTCTTTTTAACAGGTTCATCACTCATATCATTTTGTTGAATATCAGCGTTTTTGCTATGTTTAGATTTCTTTTTCTTCTTCGCATATATTGCATCTTCAGTTGTATCCGTGAGATCTATACTATTGTTTACATCCTTGTCCATACGGCTATCTTTATCATCCGCATCGGAAAATTCTTTCCGTTTATTTTTCTTCTTTTTCTTTTTTGAATCATTCACATCTTCCTGTTTTTCTATAGATACGGACGCATTATTGTCATTTATGGGTATCTCAGAATCTTCAGGTTTATCTCTTTTCTTCTTCTTAGATTTTTTGCTTTCCACATTTTCTACTGGGTCTTTTGATTCTGTTTCCAAACATTCTAAGTCTTCCTTACTTACTGCTGCAGTTCGTTTTTTGTTTTTCTTTTTACTGCTCATTTCTTCTGAAACATATTCACTTTTTGATTTTGTTTGGCCCTGCGCATCATCATCACTTGAAGTTTTCTTCCTGCGATGTTTGGAAGTGGTAAGTGGTTCACTACTATTACATTCAGCCTCATCCTGTTGTAAGTTTGAATCATTGTTTGTCGATTTCTTCCGATCCTTTAAAGTACCTTGAAGCTGTGAATCATCTTTAACATCTGTATTGTCTGTCTTTTCTGACTGCTTTGGATCTCTCTCCAAAACTGCTAAGAAAAAGCCTGTAGTCAAATCGGAATCGGGCTTCGCGTACAGGCATCTTGTTCCTATCTCTCCATACATTCCAGAACCGAAATTATTCCAATTACCTTTAAGAAGGTCTTTGACATTTAAGACCTTCCATTTTGCGCGTGAGAGTTTTACAACATTGGAAATTACGCGTTCATTTTCTTCAGGAAAAAGTGAACAAGTGCTATAAACTATTCTTTTTGCTTTGGGGAATGCGTTCATGGCATGTTTTAAAAATTTCTCTTGTAGCGAAGTTAACCGAGCCAGTCTGACATCTTCTACATACTTGTGAATACATAATTGCATACCTGTGTAATAAAAAAATAACAGTTAAACTCTAATTTGTTATAAACTATAAATAACTACTACTTCTTCTATACACTGTATAATGTCGTAAAATATAATTTATCTTGTACCTGATCCAGAGCAACTTGGATCGAGAATGATATATTCCACATCATCATATTCACCCCTCTTTATATCTAAAGAATCTCTATGCATTGTAGTAACACATTTTGAATCTGTTTTATTTACAAAGTCACAAAGCGTATTGTATCTTTCCTCGTTGCGTTCGACGGCATAAATTTTACCCTGAAAATTTCATTAAAAAATGAATTATTTTATTAACATTTTAATTATTAATTTATATTCAAATAATTAAGACAATTGTGTTCAAATTAAAAATCTTTTTTTTAATAAATAGATGAGAAGTAACAAGTTAACAGCACTACATGTTTACATAAATTTAAATAAAATGAAGATTTAAAATTACCATTTGTCCTCAAGTTATACATTTATATGCTTATATTTTGCTAGAATAATCTTCTAATATGTAAGTATATTACACTTTATATACATAAATATTCAAATAAAAAGTTTCTAGCCAAAGTCTACTCAGGACAAATATTGCTCACCTGATTTCTCATAAAGGCAGCTAGTTGTGTGGTCTTCATGCCAGGAGCTGCACACATATCCAGCACGACACTTCCTTGTGGAGGAGCCAATAAATGAACAGGCAGTGCTGTAGCCTTCAGCAAATAAACATTAGTTTAATTAAATATTTTGAGGATCAATTTTATGAATATATTAGCTGTGCTACAATAAAAATATTACCTTATCCTGTAGTATAATTTTATTTTCTAAGTATAAGTCATGGTCATGGAACTTGGTATTTGGGTGGAAAACAAACATAGTTTTTACATGATAATCTTGCGTGAAGTCATATTCTGTTAGACCTTGTATTTGTTTGAGGTAATCGTCATATGACCCTGATGTGCATCTAATGAATTTGTAACCTTCATCTTGAAAAGCACCAATAGCATCAGAGGTAGTAAGAAGATTGGTATTGATTCTGACATAACGAGGCCTGCGTACTGAAAATAATGTAAACATTTCACAATAACTTTTTGTATCTGTTTTTATGTATATACATAGTAGAATTTTTTGATTCTGTCGTGTTTGACATATCCTACTATAAATACCCTAATCAATAAAACAAACAATACTTTAAATACTGTTTATTAAACTAAAAATACACATGCTCTGACCAAACACTCTTTACCATTCAAATGGTCATTAAAACAGAATACACACATGGGAATGATAATTAATCTTCTTTTACATTTAATGAACTCTTTTTAGTCTCTTGTGGTAAAGCTTGGTAGGAATGTTGATCTATTTCATTGCCATGCTCATCATATTCTTTTTCATGATACGCTTTATATGCATAGAAAAATATGATTAAATTAACTACAACAACAGCAGATACAACTGACCAGACAGTTCTCATAAATGAATCAACAGGATAGTAGTCTGTTAGTATGTGTCTGACCCCGAAAAATGCAACAAAAGGTAATGTAAACATGGCAACGCTATATAAAAATAAAGTGGCTAATGCAAGAGCTGCTAACTGCGATTGTCTTGGAATAAGAGGTCCCTTTTCAGTACTCTCTGCCATTGTCGACGCTTAATCTGGATACTAGATCTGAAAAATTATAAATAAATTACCTTCAGGCTTTACTTCTACTTGTTGTAGAGGAACACTGTCAAATTGCTCTTTGTAACCGATAATAGTTTTCTCTGGTTTACTATGACCAGGCAGCTCCTTTTTGCCAAATAACAATTCTGTTGTGATAACTTTAGCTAGCCACGGGTCTAATCTAGGCTCTTTAGTGAGAATACCGGTAACTTCAAAAAGTTTGTCTATGTCATCTGAATGTTTGATTGTTTCAGTTATAAGCGCATAAATAACGTTTGTTCTCTGGAAATATAAGTTTATAAAATTAGATTTTAGAAACTCTCAATATTTCATGTAAGTTTGTCCATACTCACGAAGAACCTCAATTTACTATCGTATAATAAATTCTTAACGCTACCACCTTCGGTAGCTACTTTTTTAACGATATTCGCAGATATTTTAAAATGCCTAGGCACTTTAATAGAGTGCTCAAACATTGCGCAATATACAAGATATAGTTAAAGTTTTATTACATTTCCCTGCTAATACTGATATCTCTTGAATTTGCAGATTTTATTACACACAGCAGAACTGAAAGAGGTTAAAAACTTTTATCCATTATCTTCCAATCAAAGGCACACTTAAGTAAGTCACGAGTATCAACAATGAACTTTTATAATATGTCATTCTATGGATGACGGCTGTCATATTATAATAGTAATGATACCATCTAATATATTGTAGGACTACGTGTGTGAATTGAATATAATGAACTTATTGCTCATAATATAATAACAAAAATGTAAAATGTTTGGAGAATAATGAAAAATAGAATATAACACACTATATAATATATTAATTAAGCTTGAGATATAAATAATGTCAATTGTCCATCTATTACTCAAAACAGCTTATACAATCCAATTATAGACTGCGCAAATACAATTCTATGTTAAATATTATGAAATTTTAGACATATTAGTCTGTCTCGAAGTGCCTATTGCTAACTATATCGGTACGATAAATTACCTATAGATTATTGCACGTAACAAAATCTGTTACTACTATATTGTGTTTACTTTAGTGGAAATTATAAAATCACAATTAAATAATCTTTTGATGATCTATAAATACACGATGTGAATAGAACATTTGTGATTGCAGGTAGGTTTGGTTTGATTTCATAAATAAATATTGTTAATGAATGTGTCGCCAGTTTCTATTTGAATGGCGATTTGATCCATAATCAAAATACTAGGAAATGTTATGATTCAACATGTCTTTTCAATAACAGTAACGTGTGAAATGCATTTACAGATGGGCTCAAAGGCTGTGATCGCATTGAACAATGTTTTTGAGTGAAAGGTGAATCGGGCCTTATTGTTGTTAAATTAAAGCAAAGAATATACCAAAACAATGGTTCCCGCCCCGAGTTGTCCCTATACATGGGACTACTGGACTTCCACACCATCAGATTATGTAGAACTAACATGCCTGATGCCAAATTCGATTTATTTACCTGTGACAGTAAGTTGGGATGCAACTCTTCAAGATGTCAAGGAGGTTAGTATCTGGTTGAGAGTAGTATAAATATTCGCCTTAAACATAGGTACCTATTGGTATTTTTTTGCACACATAAAAACACATTACTGTATTATTAAACTTAAAGAAATAAAAAAAATCTTATTATATTTTGTACTTTATAATTATAACATTTGAAAATTGTAAGTAACCACATTTGAGAAAGGAACTATTTTGAAAGTTTGATTATATATTAGTCACTAGCATACAGAAATGTTAAAGTGGGTCAAACTATTGTGTAATTGTGCCTTATTGCTTGCTTCTAAAATTTGCTCTAACATGTTGTATTTTACAATAACAAATAAACAAAAGTTGCTGCAATATTTGTAACAACTACATGTTAATATACGACTATATAATTATGCAGTTGTTACTTCAAGTAATTATTCTCATTTAGTATTATTAACAAAATGTTTTTTTTAGGAGTTATGGGATCTTGCAGGGAAGATGCCCCTGTTTGGAATGCTGCGAGAGATGTCTGGCTATGTATTTCAATTCATCAACTCACTGGCAGTTCCGGAGGAGGTTGATGATGAGAATAAACGTGTCCGAGATATAAGACCAGTATTTGGAGTGCTGATGATCATAGAAAGATCTATAGATAAGCCCGGTGAAACATTACTCAATACACAAATCAGTCGCCTAATTGGAAAAGGTATGTAATAAATTGGTCACATCTTCATGCTTATGAGACAATTCACTTGTTTGAAGAAAACGTAATTTGTTTCACTATAATTGATTACTAAGATATTTTATATTTAGCTTATGAAAAATTAAAGGACCTTATTAGGATACAATAACCAAATTTGTTAATTAAGGTTTTAATTATTTTTTAAATTACAAACTTATATTACTCCATTCCTTTTTCAGGTTTAAATGATTTTGATAGCTTAAGGAGTTCGGAAATAAATGACTTTCGAATGAGAATGAGATGTCTAGCTGAAGAAAGTCTGATAAAACGTGCTCAAAGTACTCCCTTAGAACGTTTAAAATATCACTGCCCACCGAGACTGGCTGACAGCTCGTCTGTACCTATTACACTGAATAGTCATTTAAATAATAATTGTTTCATACTTGTCACTAAAGTTGCCAATACAGAGGTGAGTTAAGATTTATTACTATTAAAAGTGCTTCAAATAGCATAGCTATTTTAATAGTATAGATATATTTTTGTATCATAACTACTCAATACCAGTTGCAAATTTATAATTTTGTGAGCACTCTTTCTGTACTATGTTATTGTTCGTCCATAGATTCTTGTTCATGTTGTTCATCTTCTACTTCCTCTTCATCATTTTCACCTTCCTCTATCCATTGCTTCATTAAATCATTTGCTTCCGTTCTTCAAAACAATTTTAATGTATATTTAAATAGATTTTCTTTTAAATAAAACACGAATGGTTTAAAAGGCTATATATATTAGTTAAACTTATTTGAAAAATTATTTTTAACTAGAATGCTTGCAGCAGTGTGGTCACTGAAACCCTGGATTCCAATAAACAACATATCGGCAAACACAAGAACACAGTTAGTTCAAGGACCCGGCCAGCCAAATATCAACTTAACTATTTTTCTTTGACATCAGAGACATGCTCCATCTTTACTCTCCCTGTGACCACGGCTGCTGCAAAGCATCCGAAACGTCGGGCCAAAGTTAAAAATAATTGTTCTCATATAAGTTGAACTAAATTTAGCGCGTTTTAAACCGTTTGAGCGTTTCAATTAAATGTGTACAACTTGTGTAAATTACAGACAGTATTTAGATATTCTTTTTTATAAAAGTATACATACCTTTCTTCAGGTGTAATAACACCTTTATTGAGCCTTTTAAGCCTGGGCAGAGCAGCCAACACTTCCACTCTTAGTTCTGCGTTGTCTTCTTCTTCAGGTATTTCAGCATCCTCTTGACCAGTGCCTCCCATATACGGACATCCTTTCAGTATAAGTATTTCAAGTGTCGTCAAAACCTATATTAACATAAGTAATTGAAATATTGCTTCTGCAGATAGCTACTAGTAAAATTCAAGTAATAACAAATCTACCCGTAATTTTTTAACTTGTCGCAGTGTCGCCACCTTACAATTCCTTAGATTGATGTACTGAAGTTTCTTGTGTTCCAAATCAAAGCCGTTCAGCAGTTTAATTGGATTGTTCCTCACATGGAGAATTCTCAAATTTTTCAATCTCTCCAAACCGACCAAGCTTGTTATTTTGTTCCCGGCTAGGTACAGACTATCCAAGTTTGGAAAATCTAAATCAGATATGTCTTGAATGAAGTTATAGCGAAAGTCCAAACACTTTATGGAAGGCATTCTCTTTTCGAAATAGATTGTTTTTATTTTATTGTATCCGGCTTCGATTGTACTCATCTCTGGTTGATAGAGATCGTACACAGAAGTGATTTTATTGTAATTTAATATTATCACTTGCAAGTACTTCATTCTCTTCAAAGCAGCTGAATTTATATGATTCTTGTCCGCATGAATTAATAGGAGGAATGGCAACTCGCTCAGGACTTGTAAGCTATCCAAGCTCAAGTTATTATTGGAAACGTCAATGTATTGTAGGTGTTTGAACGTTTTGAACGCAGATATGTCGGTTAGATTCATGCCGGTACACGTCGCTTTCAGATAGGTGTATCTTAGAGGAAAACTCAAGTTTTAAGCTCTTTAAAGGTGGTCGCAGATTTGTGCGATCACATAAATACAACGCCTATTTGATTCAATCACTTAATACAAACTTAATTGATTGGGTATTCATAAGCCTTAACTCTGTTTGATGGGCTTGTTCATATTATGGTAGCCATGTATGGCTAACAATTCATAGGTCGTGGGTTCGATCTAAAAGCTTTTAATTTCTCAAACATGTTGGACTGTGTCTAAAAATGTGGATATTATTGGGTGGTAGGAATTTCGAAATTTCGTCCGGGTCACGGAATCACCGTCCACAGATAAAAAAGCTGTGAAGCTTAATCGCGTTTTTGGTCTGAGTGTGTGGTTTTCAGAATATCCAAAACTAAAATAGGTCCACAGCGCTTCTTATTAAAAAAAATTAAAATATAATGAAAGCAGTTACCCATCCCCTGCAGCAGTTTTTCCTAAAACACTCAACCTTATGCTTATCTCAGAACTGTTGAGTTTTCGATCGGGGTACTTAATCACAGGTTCTGCGTCTTCGTCTGGGCTGGCTTCTCCAATCTGTTCGTGCTCCTCAGGGTCAATAGTTGGCGAAGGATCTTCCTCCGCTTCCTCTAAATTTCCTTTTTGCAAATTAAAATGAGATTTCAACATTTCCACTATTATAATGACAATTGTGTTCAATGTCACAATGTTTTCATTGACTTATTAAAAAAAGATTTAATATGTCTCGATACTTATTCTATATCTTATGATATCCTTAAGTTTTTAATTGATTAATAAAAATATAGTAGTAATATATTAAGGGGTTGTGATCTTATACAACAGACGCAATCTTTATGCACTTTTTTTTATATGGCGCTTGCAATATTTACTGTTTTGTTTTTCCCCTTCATGCAAGAATCCGATTCGCACTTAGCCGTTATCTATACCGATAGTATAAAGCTTGTTTGTTTATTTGAACGCGCTAATCTCGCTAACTACCGGTCCAAATTCTAAAAAGAATTTATATATGTGTTGGTTGGACCATTCATCGCGGCAGTTTTATTTAGACTAACAAGATCAGGCTGCGAATAGGGTCGCAGGAACAGTGGGAAATGTGGAAAATACGGTAAGTCTAATTCTAGTTTAGAGACAGCTTCCATCATGCGTACACACATACTAAAAGACGATTCAGGATTTACCTAAAACGGATTATATATTAGAATTATTCTTATGGTATCTTCGATTAAAACGCGGCATCTGCTTAGTCCACAAGAACCCGTTTGCCAGATCAGCTGGACTTATTATATTTGCGATCTATTTGTCCCCAGATCTCATTTACATCAAACGTATCTGTAAACCTCACGCCTCAACAACACGTCGATACAATATTTCGGAAGAAAGCGAACTCACTCAACATGCGCGGCGAACAACCACGAAACTATGTACTCAAAGTCTGCGGCCGCGAAGAATATCTTCTCGGAGACTATCCTCTAATACAGTTTCTCTATATACAAGAGATGCTGGCGAAAGACGGCGTTCCCCAAGTCATGACCGTCAGCATGGATAAGATAACTTGTGAGTATTTTATATTATCATACTTTAAATGTTGTCACGTGATTATGTATCTATATGATAATACGTTAACTTTTGACGTTTGGTGTAACTGTAATAATGTAAGCTTAATAATCAAGTGGTCGTAGATTCGATCCCCACGAGGTCAAACGCGTTTTCTAATCAATTTATAATGTTTCTTGAAACATGTCAGTCAGACTTTGTCTGGAGAGTTCATATCGAAATTCCGTCCTGGTCACGCATCACCGTCCATAGATGATAAGCCGTAAAGTTCAGAATATCTAAAGTCCTAATAGGACAGTCCATCTTGTTTGTTCTTCCTTTTTTTTTCTCCCTTCCTTTTCTGTTCCCTTTTACATGCATGTAAAAGGTTGAAAAAATTCGACGATGACGGTAACTCAATTGGTTAGACAGCACGGAACGCTGTAGATGCCGGTTCAAATCCTGCCCGTGTCGTAAATTTTTTCAATCTACAATCATTTTTAATTTCTCTTCTATCAAAAAAATATACATACGATTTCGTATCTAAATAGTTTGTCGTTAAATTAATGTTTTTAATTTTTATGTAATATGTTTTATAGACTGTGATATGCAATATTATAACTTACCCGAGCGGAGAAGACTGACATCAGAACAGTCTAACACTATACGTAAGAAGAAGAACCACGAGTCGTCATGGAAAATTGAAAGGAATTACTCCTGTTTGGTGCAGACTGTTGGCGGGCTGAACGTGGATCCAGGAAGACTTGTTGAGGTGAGGATAGCGGCTTTTGCCAATAGTGTAGATTTGCTTTTTAATATCTCTCTCTCATTCTTTCACATGTGTGCATGACATATGTGTGACAGAGACAAACACAATAGCTTTTTCTACATATTATTACTTTAGTAAGAATTTGTTTAGATGCCCTATTTTTTATCTTTCGTACATTAAAGCTCTTGTAAAATTAAATAATGTCTGTAGTTTATGCGAGTAGTGTACATTTAATTAAAACGGTTTAAACGCGATATATATTAATTAAACTTATTTGTAAATTATTTTTAACTACGATTTTAAACCGTTAAAGTGATTTTTTATATCTCTTGTAAAGTTGTTACTTAAAGACTGGTATATCATCATATTATTGTTTTGGGTGTTGGCGATGTGAGGAGAAGAGGTTGAAAGCCGAAAGACAATAATATGCTGATGTGGCCGTGAAAGCTTACTCAATTTATTAAAGACTGGTAGTCTAAATTTATTAATTATTAAATAAAACCGAAAAAAATCGAAGTAGTAAATAATTTTTTTTATTTATATAAAATACTTTTGACAGTTTACAACATGAGGTTGTCCGAAATTTGTCAGTTATTTAAATTACATTAAAAACAAGCTAACTACTATAATTCGCATTTGAAACAATTAAAAATGCTTTAATTCACTGTGTACTCGCGTAAACTACTGATTCTGCTCGTTTTTTTGTTTGCACTCTTAAAGTCATATATCCTAATATCTACTCAATAGGTTGTATGTCAAGCCGGTATCTACCACGGCGGAAAGTCACTATGTGAACCTCAAAAGACAAAAGTGGCGGTAGTTTCAAAAGAGGGGGAGGCGCAATGGGATGAAGAGTTACAGTTCCCAATAAAAGTGTGCAGTGTACCGCGAATGGCTAGACTATGTTTTGTGATCTATGAAATTTCAAAGGCCAAGAATAAACGAAGAGGCAAGGATACGAAGGTAACGCTATGTTATAATATTTATTTTATTTAGACTATATTTACACCTTTATCTTACGAGAATTATGAGTTGTTCGCCACGGTCTCAGATTATATAACTCATAATTCTTCGAGCAATAGAGGAGTTAACATCTGATGATGCCTGTCCACACGTAATGGCGAAACGTCGAGAACCTCTTCTCGCTTTTCACATCGGCCGAACATGCCCGAAAGACAATCAGATATGCTGAACGATGGCCGTGAAAGCCTTACACAATTTATGTTTCAGAAGAATTAAAAATCGATTAGACACGTGTTGGACCCGATGGGGATCGAACACGACCCATTGTTTATTAGTTTATTATACATTGCTATTATTAGACCAACGACCCCATCAAACGTTAGATTTTATTGATGTGTGTGTTTAAACGTATTAATGAATGATAGTAATTTTCTTCGTTTAAGGACGCCATCAACAGGCTAGCGTGGGTGAACACAATGGTTTTTGACTACAAGGAGCAGCTACGTACTGACGCGGTAACTCTATTCATGTGGACGCACGTTGCTGACGAAACCCAGGGCGATGACGTCTTACTGCACCCGCTGGGAACTGTGTTGTCGAACCCAAATACGGACTCTTGCGCAGCTTTGCAAGTCAGGTTTTCAAAGTGAGTGATTATTGATAGTTGCAAAGCCTATACAGTCTGCAATATTCCCGAGTAGTACATATTTAATAAAACACTTTTAAATGTTTAAAACGGCAACGGTACTTCGATATTTAGGTTAGTGCATACCGACTGCAGTACTGCCTGGAAGAGATGTCTTACAGCTATAAGGCCACCCGGTGCATTCAATATTTCATTGTATATCTGTAGTTTTGTGTAACAAAGTGCGAAATAAATAAAAACTAAATATTGTTTGTAGTTTAAGCTAGTAATCAAATGAGTCCTATTTAATTAAAACAATTTTAACGGTTTTAATCGTGAAATGTATTAACTACAATAATTTACAAATGATTTTGACTACGGCCCGACGTTACGAATGACGGACGAGTTTTACTTATACATTTCACGTTCAAAACCGTTAAAGGTGTTTTATTAAAATAAATACTGTTTAAAAATCAGTATTTGTCTCGTTTCATAAAATCATATTGAATTCAACTTGTATATATACCATTGACATATGTATGGCCTCTTGTATGTTTGCAGTTACGAATCCCAGCACCCCATACTATTTCCAAAACAAGAAGCGATTAAATCGTACGGAGATCAGCTCGAAAACGGCACAGATATGGCGCGGCTGACGGAGGATTTTGAGAAACTAAGAGCCACCGCCGAAAAGGATCCCATGTATGAAATGCATGAACAGGAAAAGAAAGACATTTGGGCAGCCAGGTCAGTGTGCCAGAAAGAACAATGTAAAAAAAATTATAACAAGAAAAAGCTAGAAAAATGAATCATAATGAAATAAAACATTATTTAACGGTTTAAAACCAAAACAAAAATCAAATTAATCAAACCAATTTAAAATAACCTTAACCTCTCAACCTTAACACATGCGTTTTAAAGGTTGAGATTATATTGTGTGAGAGGTGCACGATTGAAAAAATTCACGATGACGTGTAGGACACGGTAACTCAATTGTTTGGAGCGACAGCACGGAACGCAGTGGATGCCGGCTCAAGTCCTCCTTATCGTATTTTTCTATCGATTTTTTGATCTAAAATCAATTTTTGATTACCCATATTTAAAAGTAAATATGCACTCACTTAATAGAAATTTAACTTTTTTTTATTTTCCAGGGAATACTTTCGATCGACAGCGCCTGAATTGCTGCCGAAGTTGTTGTCATGTGTCGAATGGACAGAGAGGGCTGAAGTGGCCCGCGTCGCTAGGATGCTCTGCAGCTGGCCCATGTTGAGGGTAGAGTCAGCTTTAGAATTACTGGACTATGCGTACGCGGACGCCGCAGTTAGAAGTTTTGCGGTTCAGTGTCTAGCTAAGATTAGGTAAGTTATTTATGTTAAATGTTTTAATATTTTGGGTGTATACATATTTATTTGCATAGGTCAATGGTCAATTTTTGGGAATATAACTTATTCTATGTTTTTTTTGCATTTCATGATTTTTTTTAGTCTAATCAAATATTTAATATTTGTAAATAATTACCTTTGTTGCAGTGATGAAGACTTATTATTATATTTACTACAATTAGTTCAAGCGCTGAAACACGAATCGTACCTGATGTGTGATCTCGCGCGCTTCTTACTTGAACGCGCCTTCAAGAACCGGACGATCGGTCACTACCTCTTCTGGCATTTAAGGTTATCTTTTTAATCCTATAGCTGTTTCTATGAAACTGGAATTCAATGAATGTCATGAACTTTCGGAGATAACCGGATAACTAAGGACAGATAAAATATTTAAAAAATATTTTGTTTCTCTTTACACACGTTTACAGACACGCGATTTATGTAGATTGTTTCATCACATTTATAAGTTAACTACGAATCAGTTTAGATTTAAATTTGGCGACGCCTATCTATAGTGGTAGAACAAGGTGGCTCAATTGGTTAGAGCAGCAGCTCAGAAGGCGGCGGATGCCGGTTCAACTCCCGCCTGTGTTGTCAATTTTCAATCTAAATTAATTTTCATTTAATATAATGACATCATGTTCAATAACATTAAAGTTTTTAAATATATTAGTTAAGATATCTGAAAATAATTAGAAGAATTCTATAGTATACATATTCTTCACTTAATATTTATATTACATTTTCTGCATAGATCGGAGATGCACGTGCCATCTGTGTGCGTGAGATTCGGTTTAGTGTTGGAGGCGTATTGCCGAGGCTGCCAGGACCACATTAACACGCTGATGCGACAAATTACGTGCCTCGATAAGTTAAAATGTAAGTGCTATTATTTATATAGATACAGCCAGTAAGTGTTAGCCCTCCACTCCTTCCTCTTCTTCCCCCCTCCTCCCCCTTCCTCCCCCCAACGGAAGATAAAATTTACAAATGTGATGGTTTTTAATTATTTGTGGAGGTGGACGAAATGCCCTAGCCTGCATTACATATTTTAGTATTGGATATTCGGAAATCTTCAGACGGACCGTATTCTCGTGTACTATCGTTATACCAACGAGTTGGTCAAAAATATATAATGAAATAATTTACAGGGGCAAGTCAAGCGATTCGTAAGAAGAAAGAAATATCAAAAGCACGCGCGGCCCTTCACATACATTTGCAAGAGGACCATTGTATGGAACAGCTGTGTGACTTCGTATCGCCACTTACTCCTAGTCTTGTTTGCAAACGAATTAAGTAAGTAGATTATTTCACACATAAAAGTCAAAGTTGACGCCCACTGTTTTGTATCCTCTAATACGTGTTAACGTGTTTGGTAAATAGATTTAAAACAGTTGTATGTTTATAGGCCGGAGCGATGCACAGTAAAGGACAGCAAGATGCGACCTCTATTGTTGGAGTTTGAGAATGTTGATCCAACGGGAACGGACATCAGGATAATTCTGAAGATCGGCGACGATTTACGACAGGATATGTTTACGCTTCAGATGCTTAGGATAATGGATAGGATATGGAAGAACGCGGGATACGACTTCAGGTAGCTGTAGTAATAGTTTTGGAGTTTGGCGTTATGATAAATGAGGACAGACAGCATGAGGTTCACTTAATGGAAGGTGTATACGCGTAATCCACAGACTGAAACCAAAATGCAGCGCGAGGAACCACATCACTGATTTTTCATCTGTGGACTTTAGTTCGTGACACAAACTGGATTTCAATACTCTTACCATTATTTCGATATCCAGATTTTTCAGCCTAAATATAACATGTTTCAGAAAAAAACACAATATAAATGAGTTATTGGTAGAATACGGACACAACTTTGCTAGCTGTCGTCGCGACTTCGTCCTCGTAGAATATTTATTTCGGCCATCAAAAACGGCGGGCGGTCGTTCTAATAAACAAACTCTTCAGCTTTATAATATTAGTCCAGACTATACGTGATAATTAATTAATATACTTAACGTTTTTTAGATTAAACCCGTACAACTGCATATCGATGGAGTACGCCGTCGGCATGATAGAAGTTGTGGAGGAGGCAGAGACTGTTGCCAACATTCAGAAACAAAGCGCGCTTTTCACCGCGGCGTCTACTATATCCAAAGCCAATCTGTTCCGTGAGTTTGTGTAGCATTATTTTCTATATTATAATGAAATTCACCTCGACATAAGATTCAAATTCTGTCTTTGTAATGTAAAGACGACGTATAGCTTGATCACAATCACAGAATTGGCTGTTTAACAATTTTGGATCGTTACCAAAACTGTTCATATTACTTACTTGTTCATACAAGACACAACAACTAAAAATTCTTAAAAATTGCTATATCGATAAAACTAAATAATATTGTGAAACGTATATAAGAAAGAGCAGTACTTATAAATTTTACTATTTTTTTATTTATAGAGTGGCTTCGAAAGCAAAATCAAAGTGAAAGTGCCCTAAACAAAGCAGTAGAAGAATTCACAATGAGCTGTGCGGGCTACTGCGTCGCCACATACGTCTTAGGAATCGCGGACAGACATCCAGATAATATTATGGTGAAGAAGACTGGACAGGTACATACAATAGTGTAGACTAGATTACACCAGTAGACCTCGAAACTACGACTAACAGCGCACTGTTGCTTCACAAACAGCTGAGCGTGTGACAGCGTCTTAGATTAGACAAAACAAAAACTATAGATGACACCATCAGGAATCCAACCTACGACCAACAGCGTACAGTTGCTATACAAACATAGTTGAGCGTGTCTGGTCCAATGTTCTTTACGTTTTAGCGCATTGAAAATTTACAATTTATTATTATGAGCTCGTGCGCTTACGCATTATTGTTCAAGTCTGCGATCATACTAAGCGTTGCCACATGTGAAGCTAGTTTTTAACCGAGGGTTTTACACAATCAAATGTACCCTACTCTCCGACCTTCAGGCGCTTGGTTGCATAAGTTCTGTGTGATAGACGAGCAAACAAACAGATTTACTATTATTGGGTTATAATTTACGTAAACTTAATAAAAGTTCTCTTTTCTCTTTCCTGCCTCTTTTGCAATCTATACTTTCTCCATATATACTGCAAACCTCACGGTGTTGTATTGTAAGGGTAAAGAAGTGCTTGTTTATTTACAGTTATTCCACATAGATTTCGGCCACTTTTTGGGACACTTCAAGCAGAAGTATGGCTTCAAGCGCGAGCGAGTACCGTTTGTGCTAACTCACGACTTCATCCACGTCATCAACAAGGGCCAGCGCGGGGGGGTGGGCGAACAATTAGACTTCAAGATATTCAAGGAACTGTGTGAAACCGTGAGTTATTAAATTTATGTTTATTATGACTGACTACTGGGCACAGGTCTTCTCTCTGCTCCAGTATCAGTTGGTGGGCTGTAACGCCGCCATGCAAGTAGTGATAACTGTCTAAACATGCTCTCTATTGATATTGGATATTAAGATATTATTTAGTAAAGGCAATTGTACGGTTGTCCAAGAGTCCAGGACCACGACGATTCCACTGTTAGTCTGTCATCAGACCGTTGTTGTAAATCGTGGTAGACAGTTAATTTTCACATATCATTGTATATTTAAAGGAACTCTCCCCCATCTCGACTAACGTGAGTATATATTTTTTAGGCTTTCAAAATACTGCGAAAGCACGGCCACCTCATACTATCGCTGTTCTCCATGATGATCTCTACGGGTCTACCGGAGCTTAGCTCGGAAAAAGACTTGCAATATTTAAGAGAAACCCTGGTAAGAACTGTTATTCATTTTATACAGAATATATTATATAGTTGTGTTTATAGATGTTTGTTAAATATAGTCAAACATATAACGTTACTTGCTTAATGAGACCCCATATTCTTCAAAAAATATTTTAACCGCACCAATGTTGACAGTCGTTTATTAATCAATGCTATTATTTCTTCATGAAACTGGGTCTTAGTATAGGATTCACTATACTTGAAAACTACAGTCTACAAATATATAATTTGTAGACTGTAGTTTTCACGAGTAGTACAAATTTTAATAAATCACTAAACGGTTTTATGTATGTAAAGTAAAACGTATTATGTATTACTTAAATTATTTTGTGTTACATCTAGTAGTAAAAATAACTTTAAAATAATTTTGACTTATATTCCGCGTTGTTTAATATATTTTTGTTGTGATAATTAATTTGTAGGTCATGGACTTGTCCGAAGAGAAAGCGATCGAGCACTTTCGGATGAAATTTGTCGAAGCGCAGAAAAACTCGTGGACCACGTCGTTCAACTGGGCCGTCCACAACTTCGACAAGAACAACTGACAGTGATCCGTGCGACGGCTGAAGAAACAGCCGTCGAAATATGCGCCACAGACTCTGTAAAATGTAAGATTCAGTGCGGTGTTCGTAATGAAATTGTTATTCAATACGCCTTATTATGCTTTGTGTCAAAGAGTGCTGGCTTTGGTGCGCAGAATCAGATTTATAGATCTATATCTTTGCGCTTGCCACGTCTTCATAATTCATGGAATTATTTTTTTATTTATATAAAAGGTAAAACATGTTTTAAAACCAAAGATACAGTTTATCATTTAGAACAGAAGACTCCTGCATAACATTTTTTTTTCAAAAGAATACTTAATAATTTAAAAAGATGTAAAAAGTGAAAAGAAATTTCCAACGCGACTATACCCTCACTCAACCATTGACTTATGGTCCAGCGTTCTTTTCCTAAGACATAAGATATTGATTCCACATACTGTGACTACGTCAACTAAAGCTGTTCACAGAATGCAGATTCCTTATGCAGAATGTATAATAGTTTTATTCCTATATTGTGTCATATGTATAAACCAATTAAGAGATGTTGGATACGCTTCTTGTTATATGTAGACAGTTAAATATTGAATGCATATGCTTAATGGAAAGCTATTAAATCAATCACTATTGCCGAATAATAATCTAAAAACAACGTGCATTTAGCATATTATTAATACTTAATCGGAATACATTACATGTACGAAGTCGCAGTGACTGTCGCGTTGTTCTCTATAAAAGATTTTGAAGCTTTCAAAAACAAATAATAACGTTGATTAAAGTTAACAGCCCGTTAAGCCGGAATATTTCTTATGGATTTCACCTGTAACGGCTGTCAACTTAAATGAATGTCATTATTTCCTTGTTAATAGACCTCAGTGAATTAATCAGTTTTAACAGAAAAAGCCGAATTATTGTCGATCCACAACAAGCAATGTATTTTTTTTTTAACATTTCATGTATTCCTTTAACTGGTTTCAAATTAGCTGTTTGTCTTATCAATCTACGTTTTATATAAATTCAGAAGGACATTAGATTATAAAATAAATGTACTAATTGCCGATATCGAAAACATAAGACTTGCACATTTCGACATAGACGTAACATTAAAATATGGCGAAGTAAAATATTATGTAGTTATGTACTTTCAACCATTTATTAAGGAACTGATATTGTAAGTAATATCTACGTTACCTATAATTATGATATTGTATGATAATGCAATAATATTTGTGCTATAATAATGTGAATATATAGAATATTTGTTAAATAATATTTAAATCGTACCAGCATATTTGGGTACTATGGTGTTTCGAGAATTGATTTGTAAATTTAAAAATGCGTTAATTATGTAGACGGACTTACGGTCTAGGTGGTAAAATACAAAATTTAAAATCAGTTATTCCCTGCCTTTTTGGAGGGAGGATTTAGATAGAATATCGTAATAGTTCCATCAACTGATTTAATAACTAAGAAAGTACTATAAATATTTATCATTATCGTATGTTATACTCTTAAAAGAATGTACTTTCGATCACACATAGAGGTTATACGCTTGGATACATACATAATTGATCTTGCATATCGCTATCTGATTCACAAATGACTGTGGACTTCGACAGAGCCCTGGTTTTGTGTCCAAAATTATTTAAATTTCTTTTCTGAATATTCATAAATTACTGAGCCTAATTATATGCGATATTAAATCTAAGAAGTCAAAACGTTTATTTAAAATTTAAATGGTTATTTTTTTAATTTAAACATAGACAGGTTAGTACTACAAAAAGCTGACGGACTATAATAAATGATCGTATAATTTTAACATTTGGAATCAAGGATATCTACATACACCGGTTTGATTCGAGATACCGGAATTGATGGCTTTCAGGTGCTATCGATATTAAATTCACTGATTTCTTCATTTTATATCGCATCTTTATTTCAATTGTGACAAATATCCTAATAATCATAACTTAATAAGACTCAAACAAAACACTTTACCGGTTTAATAGGCGAAATATTTTTTTTCCGACAGCCCCTCCGAGACCACGACGAATGTGACAGAAACGAAAGTAAAGTGTTTATTGAATGTGTTCACAATAGACACATAAAAAATGAAATTTTAACAATAATTCTCCTATACAACGCATTTTCTAAGATTTCTAAGGTTCTTGAATATAGGAGACGAATGGATTAAGTATAGGATTTGAATAGCCTTATTAGCTTAATTTTGTCGAACGTTTATAACAGCATACGTTGCAAATTAAACGTTTCTTGACTTGAAAGCTATTGACATTGATTAAAATGAATCGAGCGTTAAATTGATCGTCACATTTGTAATCGACAACGTTGTTAATGTCATATTTTAAGGCCTTAAATGCGTCGATTGATAATCGCGCCCTGAATGTGGGGGGTAGATGCGAGTGGTAGCCATTTTGGCTGTGATAGAATATTTGCATGATGCGCGTACGTCAGATAAGAATTGTTTTTTAATAGTTATATAATTAACGCTGTCACGCTAAAAACTAGTTTTAGACTCTAGTAGTGTTATTTTATGTTGAATTGAACTCGTGGCGTTTTTGTCTTTCCGGTAAGGGAAATAATCGTGAGCAAATCGACATGTTCTAGAACAAAAAAGTCTATGTCACATTTAAATAAAACACTAACGGTTTAAAACGCGATATATTAGTAGTTTTAAACCGTTAAAGTGTTTTATTTAAATGTGTACTACTCGCGTAAACTATAGACAGTATTCTATGTTACATGCCAACACACACTTGGCCAGCGTGATCGATACGAGGTGTCAAAATTAATGAGCCAGTCACATATCAGCTCAAACTATATAGTGAATTCAACATTATTTTCGTAATAAAGATATGTTAGGAAATAAATAAGCAACTCTGCTCGGTAGCTTTAGGTGTTTGTATACTCGACATATTTAAAGTTCTTTTTAAGAGTTCCGAAGATTCTGATAAGGGCTGCCACTTCCCCCTCTAACGTTGATTAGTGAAATGCTCTCATTGGCAAGTAGGATAAGTAGACTTGTTGAATAGCTTTTTTAATACAAAATCATGTAGCTTAGTTGTAAGGTACCATAGATTTAGCAGTATTATATCGTAGGGTAAAATTATTGGTTTTAGTTTTATATAACGGCTGACTACCTCTTGCAACCCGATTCTGGTGTTTACACTAGCCATGGTACAGGCTGTATCTGTATACCACACAATGCCTAACCGACTTAAATTGGCTTTCCTAGCGAATTTAAGTTAGTATTTTAACAGTTTATAACGGGAAATATATTCGTTACTAAATTAACACTGCAAAACATGAGAAACGCCGTTCCGTAGTTAACTTAATTGATATATTTCGCGTTTCGAACTGTTAACCCGTGTACTCGCATAAGCTACACAAAATACAGGAATTATGTACAGTAACGATTCTCAAGTCACTCACAGTCTAGATAGCGTCTCGCAAGCATTTCTCTGTCTTGTAAATCACCAGAAATGGGTTCTTTGTGTCGTGTACTAAACTTTGTTTTAATGTTATCCATATTAATTATTAGAAAAATATTTTATGATTTTTCTAGATTTCATAAATAAAACAAACAATATGAATATCTTGACAAATAATTGATGGCAACAAGTAAATTGAGCCGTGTAACATCGTGCATCAAGATGGGCCTTTAAGTGAATCAACCATTAAATATCAATTTATATAAACCACACGCAAACGAAAGGTTCGTCTGCGATTTCAACATATTAATGCGACGATATATTTTTTCTTAATCGTTCATTAATTTATAACAAAAAAAGAGAATCTTTTAGTTTTATTACGAAATATTGTTAAATGTTGCCTGATATTGTTTTGTTTAGATTTTCAATTTACTGATTATGGTATACGAATTTATGCTTTAATACATCGTTGTAACTATTTGTTCTAAAAACATCCCTCTAAACAAAAGCTTCCGTATTGTGCTAAATATCTGAAAAACAGAATAAGTTTACGTACACGAGCTACGTTTGTGCAATGTAAATATTGTCTGTATTTATATTTTTTTAACAGAATGAGAGCTTGTAGTTGAAGAATATTGTTTTATTTAAGGTGTTACTATACTGAGCGGTGAGCTATATATGATAACAATTATAAATTAATGTTTAATCAAATGTACTCTGTATTCTTTTTCTGTTTCGTAATACCCATAACAAATTACGAATTAATGCTATAATTATGGGACCACATTAATATGTGAGAAACTCTCAAAGCCTTAATTAGTTCTTTATGGTAGCACCTTAAACCGTTTGTTTGATATCGTACTTTGTATAGAAATCACCAAATAACTTGCATGTGTGAGATCCGTGAGTGAAATAATTTAGGGTTTACTTTTAAAATACATTTGGGGCCATTTATATATTACGAAACACATTTTATTAATTAAATTACGTATATATAAAAAAAAATGTATTGTTTCTCAATCAACGAAATGTGACGTCATATAATGTTATACACCTACCCTCTCCCCGATGACAACTATGATGACGTAATCTATAGATGGCCCCTTAGCCATATGCTAAGATTTATTTTAGTTTCACGATACATCTCAAGTCTGCATACAATAGTTCCTCTGTTGTGTCATTTATCATATATATAAGTTACACAAGAAATGTAAAGGCATATTCGTTAATGTATAAATAAAATAATTTACCGAGTAATTACTATCTCAAATATGATTTAAAATAAATATAATCTAAACTTAATGTGTTCTTACTTTTCAAAACTCAATACTCGTTTACAATATCGGTTATTGATAGTCGTCGATATTATATCTGCTTTGCACTATTGATCTTAAGACTTGGATATTGATATTTCTATTAATTTATACAACTTACATTACATAGTACATTGAGATACAAAATCTAATTGTTGTTTAGGATTGATAAACATGTTGTTAATTTGTTTTTATCTTAAATCTGCGCCCTTATTTTTCAGAATCTAAAGAATATTTAGGGTTTTAAGAACAACTTCTTTAAAAGGCAATAGATGCAAAGGTACATATCTTAGAAACATCACTATCACTATTTCAATATTAGCTATAATAGTTAAACTGGAGACAGAGACTGAAGTCTGAAGAATAATTTATTTACGCGGCCGCGAAGCGCAGTAACGCGAGCGCCGTCTTCGGGAACGCATCACCTCGGTCGCGCGTTCTCAATAATTTCCCGCCAATTAAAATACCATAGACAATAGTGTAACCTGTTTCTTGGATTGTGTGTGATGTTTGTGTGATTTTTTTTTTTGAATTTTTTATAGTTAAAAATACAAAATGACTGCCGGTTCTGAAGAACACGAGCCCCTAATTACCTCGTCGGTAGACCAGCAAAGGGTTACTTATAATAATTCACCCCAAGTAAGTAGTAGTATCAGTATCCTATTTTATAAGCGCCGCGTGAAGCAGTCAAGTTAAAAAAAAACTTTATTTTTAACTGATTTCGTAATACTGTGAAATTATATCAACTCAAGAAATATATAAACATGTATCAATTTAATATATAATCTTTTTTTGTAATAAAAACTATTTATATAACAAATATATGAATATGTATGGTAAATAATAATAATGGTATTTTATATTTCTAATTAGGCTGACACTAGCGTGTGGTACCACGTGAGCTTCACAAAGCCTTAATAATTACATTCTTACTACAAATTATCTCGGATATAATGAACGAGAATAATAAACGAGTTTTAGTTAGTATGGGAATATAAGCATCTATTAAGCAACTTGTATAATAATATACGCAGATTTGAATATCAACTTATTTATATGCGAACATATTGGGGACACTTTAATCCACGAACAACGACAACATTTCTTACAAAAAGGTTTTTTGATGTGTCTGTTCAACTGTGTTCAAGTGTATTAAGATTCTTAGAACAATAAATGTTCAGGTTACTTAATGACATTAGGCAGTTTTAGGAAATCTGCATGACAACACACTGTGTTGATAAGTTGTTATTTCCCTCGGGATCGGGGTCCCGACTGCGGTAATACGCCAAGCACCGATATGCTAGTCGACATCGAGAAAATTGTAATTGAGAACTACTCCACATCCTACTAGTAACATCCATAGCCAAAATACAGGTGGACAGGGCAACTTGTCGAGATGTTATATGGCTGGGCTATATCACCTTCCTTCGTGCGATGGGGCTCGCTTGTCTGTTCTCTATAAAAACAATTTTTCTGTTAAAAGCCGAATTGGCGATAGTAGGCAAATGTTATGCTCGTAGACAATTATTTGATAAATAGTAGAAATGGGAGTTCCATGATAATAGCTCCCATCACATCACAGTGTGGTTCAAGGCAAGACCAATGGCTCAGGGCATCCTTGGTCCACCACTCAGCTTCATTCATCTCATCACACCTTATATTTTGAAGGGATAACGAATTATCTAGCATTGCGCGATAGGTTTCGAATTAATAATTATGGGGAAACACAATACATCGTCCAGAGCACAAAAGTCTGATTAACTACTTAAACTGTCTGTCAAAAACGAAAATTGGAATAGATCTTATACTAAAATACTTCTTTGATTGAGTTGATATGATATATATAAAAAATAACCGTTAAAGTAACAACCGGAAAGAGACGGCCAAATGATACTGTACTATAACACATTATAGCGTGGAATTTTACCAAATAATCTTTGGTACCACTCGAGAAGAACCGGTTATATTTAACTGCACACTTAATCAGATCAGCCGTGGGATACATTAACAGTCAAAACGAAAACTCTCGCATCGTTGCTGTTCCGAAACGTTCGAACTTAAAAATAATGTAACTAACACATTTTAAACCGTTAAAAGTGTTTTATTTATTCTATAATCATGATGTCATATGTAAAAGGATAAAATTTGAAGCTTTTGGTAAACATTGTCAGTTAGTTTAAAGGGGGGGCCCCCACCACCTCTCAACATCAAATTAATGATAAATCTATGAATTCGTATGTAGATTTGCTCTTCTGTCTAGTGGTTAGAACATTCTTCTGCTGCATTGACTGGAATCAAAGGTCGGGATATATAATAAAAATACTAGCCCGGAGTTTGGAAAACACGTATCCCCCAAGTATCCTGCTTTTGGGCATGTTCATGCGAGCTGCCCCGCAACTTCGTACGCATTGAAAAGTTATATTACGCATCATATTATTTATTTATACTTATACTAGCTGACCCGGCAAACGTTGTTTTGCCATATAAATAATTTTACTAAAAAATAAGTCTATAAAAAAATAAGGGTTGACCGTAGAAGGGTGAAAATTGAGGATTGTATGTATTTTTGTATGTTGTATCATTAAAGAATAGAAATTAAAAATTATGTCTACAAAATAAAAAGAGGTGGACTACTCCTAAAATTTAGGGGGATGAAAAGTAGATGTTGGCCGATTCACATAGATAACGGTCACACAAAAAATTTAATCCAAACCTAGGCCATGCCGTTCGGAGGAGTATGGTAACAAACTGACAACACCGATGATTTATTCATTCGAACCAGTAGTTCCTAAGATTTGCTCAAATAAAACAAACTCTTCAGCTTTATAATATTACATATATCATATATGATATATGTGCCTTTGAATTTCGTAAAAAGTTAATATTTCACTTTTCATAATTTGATCAGCTTAAAATAGCCAAAGGTTAATATAAAAGAAATATTACAATTTAACTTATAAAGTCATATAATATGAAGGCCAAATTAAATTTTATCAGTCACTGAGCCAGTCTATAAAAACTCGGAAACTAGTTTTATAATGTGGCCGTCCCACGAGATTTTTGGAATACATTCTTACCGTGTATTAAACCGAACACGCATCTATTAAAGGTTTTTAAATAAGATTTGATTTATGCATGTAATTCTTATTAACAAGGTGAAAATGGCGTAGACGACTTATTCTATATAATACTAGATACCCGCGACGTTCGTTAACTACTTTGAATGATTAAAAAAAATCATTTAAAAAGGAATAATTTTAGTTATTTTTTAATTAAAAACGGTAGTTTATGAGATTAGCGCGTTCAAATTAACAAACAAATAAATACTTTAGCTTTATATTATTACACATTTTTAATAGGCCAAAACTTTTCTTGATCACGCCGTAAAGTACTTAGCCGAGGGGCTCGTTTTGTCCAATGGCAGGTGTGTAGCTAATAATCAACGGGTCTATAAATACATTTTAGTATTTTTTCTGGACTTCTTTTGGATTTGCTCTGAAACCTGGGTAATACACACAAATCGCCCTCAACAGACGAAGACTTTCTGTATGAGATTTCCGAAAGTCCAGTGCCAAAATATTGTATGTAATGGGGTGTTACATTGTATTTTGTATATACATACTTATGTATAAATAACATCATAGTGCGTTCTTCTGAAAACTTCCCAAACTCGAATTGATAAGGAGAGCAGTTCAATTAATCATGTCCAATTCAGTACAAACGTTTATTTCCTGTTCTATGAACTGAGAGTATAAGATTAAAGATTTTTAGGGGTGTGTCCACCTGAAATGTAAGGAATAGAAATATATTATATCCATAAATTAACATTTGTTTTACGAATATATAGTAGACAAATAACAAAAACAGTAGAAAAAAGCTACGCGCCCCGGGAAATTTAAATAAATTCACGTTTCAGACACGGGTGTAGCTTTAGAAAAATAGTGTAATTCGGCGTAAATAGAATTTTTACTTTTCTTTACATTTGAACAACTTTTAATAAAAGTTCCCATTTATCCACTAAATAATATCGAATCTTACATAACACATTAATTATTACTTATTAGATAAATGCAAAAGGCCAGCTAAAGGAATGTAGCGTGACCACTAATGTCATTTTATACTTTTTATCAGGGTAGATCCACGTATAGAGACTTTGTTTCAGACGTGTAAGGCTCTGGTCTTATATAAACACCGTAGAGCTTGTCACGTATAGTTACATATTATAGTTTTCAAATTTGACGTTTGCTCTGCTGTCATTTGCATTTTCTAAGTCTTTTTTGGCCTAAGCCTATGAAAATGCCTGGATATTAAGATAGGTCTCGCCTTAGTGACTAGACTAAAGGTGACCCAAGGGGGAGCATTGGCATTGGACGATCACAGTGTGAGTGAAGACGGTTCATGGTAGCAATGAATGGAATAATCAATGACGGGTTCAATCCCCAACGCGTCACACCTTCTCCCCCCCTCCCTTCCCTTTTTCTCCCCTTTTTCCCCCCCCCCCCCCCCCCCCCCCCCCTTTCCCCCCCGCTCCCCCCCTGTGGGGTTTTTCACCCCCCGGCGCCCCCGCAAAGTTAGACATTTTGTCTGCAAATGTGGATCGATCCGGATCACGAACCGTCGTTCACAAATGAAAACGCCCCCCCCCCCCCCCCCCCCACCCGTATCGTTCAGTTTAATCGCGTTTCTGTTGCAGCCCGTGTATATTCGAATATCAAAACCGAAAATAGGTCGACAACGCGTTCTGGATAACTACGTAGCTTACGCTAGGGAGTACCCTAGCGTCAGCTACGGCAGTGTACACTACGGGATTTTTTAAGAGACCACCGCCTTAGATTGGCAAGGGTTGTCCATATAATCAATGAATGACTCATTATAAAAAAAAAAAATTTTTAGGAAAATGTTTTGTTTGCTCGAAAAAATGTACATAATTAACGACGCGGTTATGTCATAATCATGCATCTAATTGAGTCAAGGTGCTCAACTAGGAGATTAACTTATTCTACGATTTTTCACACTTGCCATAGGTCACTTCAATCTTTATAACAAGATAATACGCTGTAGGGATTTTTATAGATTGGAGATATCGTTAAGTTAGGGACTTATATGTCTTCAATCGACCTTCTCGACTTTAAAAGTTTAAACCCACGACCCATATCGTACCGGATTGTTTTTATCAAATTTCTTTTTGGCACCACTGGCGCAATTTAATTTCCACCTTAAGAGAATTTGTAGGCCGTTGTCTGTTGAGTCCTGCACAGGTTTTTTATTATATAAAGTAGGTACGATTTCAGTTCATAAGATAGTATCGACTATATGTCAATTAATTCGTATATAGAGAAAAATAGGATCTTTATTTGCAAAAACATTAATATAAATAAGACTACAAAACTACTATGTTGCTCAACGAACTAAAGATTCTAAGGTACTTTAGGAGGTCCAAGACAAGAGAGTAAGAGGTAATATATACTAATATATAAAGCTGAAGAGTTTGTTTGTTTATTTAAAGACGTTAATCTCAGAAACTAGTTCGAATTGAAAAATTTGTGTTAGTTAGAACATTTAGCTATAAAACATCGTGCTGTGACTTATAGGAGCGAAGAAGCAGCGGGAAATGTGAAAAAACGGAGGAAAATTTTCATCTCTATGGGTTTCCTGCTAAAACGGTTCAAGATACCCAAAAAATATGTACGAGAGGATGATTTATCTTAGAAGATTAACTTGCAATATCGACGGGACCCGAACAACAACACGCGAGCGACGGTACGCGTCCGATGTCGTTGTCGGATAGCAGTTTAAAGTTATAAAGATGAAGGTTTGAAAAACAAATTTGGATGCCCAAAATAACTTTCCTACACAGACGAAGTCGCTGACAGAGCTAGTTAAGTATACACATATAATTCGACAAATAATTACAAAAGTAATTTGCAGATAATTATATTATAAAGTAAGTAGTAATTAATAAAGATAAGTAAGTGTAAAGATGCCTCTTGTAACATTATAAACCCAATTAACATTTCTACATACCATGTACATTTTCGTTTCCAAAAACAAAGCAAGACAAAAACCGAATACAGTTATCGACTTACTTATTAATATTTTTGTCAACCTGTTTTAAGGGAAAGTTGTTTAAGATACCAAATGTAATGGAAGCAGAAATGTGAATAAGACTTTTGAGTCTTCATACAACATGTACTTAGAAACCGATAATATCTATATGTACAAATATGTATATATAAAAAGCTTACGTAATTTATATAATCAATTAATTTTATTGTTATTTGTGGTAGGTGCGCACGCACTCAAAATGTCAATAACTTAATAATTTTTGATACGTAAATTGTAAATAATAAATAAAACTCTTTTAACAGTTGAAAAGGACCTTGAAATGTCCGTTTCAAGTCAGGTCAAAATTAATAATTGAATACAGATATATACTTCGTTTGTGTCCGTTAAAAGTATCACAATTAATTGATTAGTGACTTAGTTACTAAACCAAGTTATTTTGTTTTGTATCATATTTATTTATATATTCTTTATTGCACAAAACATAATAATGATACAAATTAAATGGAGAGCAATGGGTGGCCTTATCGCTCACAAGCGATTTCTTCCATGCAACCTAAAGTATTATTATAATATCCTATACTTCTTTATAACGTTAAAATTTCAAGTCACTTGCCACGTGATTTAGCTACGGAATCTTGACTATAGGTCATTTCAATTTTATCAACACAAAAAGTAACCTTTTATAATATACTAAATTATCCCGTAATTTAATATTTAACTGCTATTGGAGGCTCTCGCATGCCAGCGCGGTCGTCGCTCTGCGATTGGTCATTCGGAACGCATTATGCCAAATGACCACTGAAAATACCTTTAGGTTACTTGAAAACATGTAATAAAAATATTTCTAAACTGTGGTATGTATTAAATAAAACACTTTGATCGTATCCCCGTGGCAACGTCGGGCCGAAGTTAAAAATCATTTTCAATTAAGTTTAACTAATATATCGCGTTTTAAACTGTTAAAGTGTTTTATTTAAATGTGTACTACTCTCGTAAACTATAGACAGTATTTAACTGTAGCATGGTCCTGGATTTGAATCCCTGACAAAGTGTGTCGATCACGTAAAGTTCTGCAAATAAAAACAGGATAATATTGTAGTGAAAAAAGATTCCAGCAACATTATCTTATCTTTGGAATTACCTGTTTATAGTGGTAATCATTTTTAGCCGATAATTCGAGAACGTGTCTGTGGTAAACAAAGGTAATTCAATAAAACTTAATTAATAAGATATTTTGATTCTTTCGGTGTGCAATCGTAAAATAAAAGGCATGCGTCGTAATTTCAAATTGGCAAACTGAGAAAACCAAATAAACAAATAGAAAAAATAATAAAAAATTTGAATGATGATAATTCCAATTTGCATCTTTTTGAAGCTGCGAGTTCCGTTTCGTTTCGTTCCTTTTTTAATTTGAGCAATAATATTTATGTTTATTGCCTTTAGTCTAAAATTAAATACATATATTAATACATGAGTCGTACAAAAGCATTATAAAATTTAAATCATTTTAAAAATACCAAAATTAATTATAAATCAATGTTAGACTTATATAGAAAAAATAATTACGACACAGGTAGGTCTTGAAAAATTCGATTTCATTTTTAATTTTTAAAATGCCATCGTGTGAACAATATGAAAGTTTAAAAATAACAGAATAATAATTTTATAAAACACCTAACGATTACGAACGTCGTGTTTCATTTCAACGTGTATTACTCGCGTATAAATTATTTGATATGTATATATGAACATATAAAATAGGTAGATAGAAAAACTACAAACAGTATTATTTAATTAATCTGACGTACTTATTCAATATGTAAGCTGTTATTAGCACGTGTCACTTATAAAGATTTAAATATTTTGTTTCTCCACTATAGAATTAAAATGACAAACAACACAACCGTTAGTTTAGAATATAGGTTCCTATAGAATTCTCGGAAAACCTAGAATACGGCCTCCACGTTATTATAACGTGCGTTCGTATGCAAATGGAGGTAACTTGTTATTGTACACTAATTGTTATAATATTAACTATAGATTTAATGTGAACGAATATTTAGTACAATTTGCTGATACATTATGTAACCTTGACTGTTTCTCTCCTACAGAACCGGTATTTTTTCTTTTAGGGAGATGTGAGCTATTTGTTTATAAATGAAGTGTTATCCAATTTAGAAAATTCTAGTTCCACAGTGTTAGTTACCATACTTCTCCCCCCACAACGACTCTACCGATTTTTATGGAATTTTTTATGATTATTGAGTAGGAATGAGGATCGGTTACTAGCTATACATATTACAGACACAGGATTCTCCACCCTTAACATTTTTTTTATATTTCTAAACCAATTTTATTTTTTACTAGCTGTGTCATCGACTTCGTCCGCGTAAAATAGCTAGTTTGGGCTTCAATTTGTTTTTCAAACCCCTCTACATCTTTATTTTATACGTTGTGGGCAAAACCACAATGTCGGTCATTTTCCGTCGTTCTTGCAAGTTCATCTTGAAAGAAAGACACTTTTCGGATTTCAAAGCATTGAAAGAGAAGTCATTCTTTTGTACATAAATATGTACAAAAGAATGTCAACAAATGTTGAGTATCTGAAACCGTTATAATTTTCTCCGCTTTTTTTTTAGCTTTAGTTCAATTAGTTGCAGCTCGATGTTTTAATGCTGTAAAAATCATGTTTCAGTTAGAACATGTAGTTGCTAAGAGATAGCGCGTGTAAACAAAATGGTCAGCTTTATAATATAGTAAGATATTTTTAGTTATAGTAAGATATTATAGTACCAATATGCAAGGTACAGGCAATAAATGACAGATATAAACTGTAAAAAAGGAATACAAAGTAGTGTGGCCGAGTTTCGGTAGCATCAATAAATTTAGCCCCGCCTTATAAGCCTTCGGTCATCGACTTATCCTACCCTAATTTCTTAATATAATTTGTCTAAAACGTAAGTCAAGCGTCACGATAATTGCGTCGTAAGGTCAGTTTACAGGTGCGGTGTGGATGTCGGAAACCGGACACCTTCCGTATTCGATCGATGTTACCCGATTAAGGTTCGGCTTAAGCGCCGCCGTAGCCTGACTAACTACGGCCAGGATAAGCAGTAATGCAATAAAAGACCCGTCGGCTTTTATTTTCAATAAAAGGCAGTCAGTTGTCAAACTAAAATGCGTTGAGCACGAGAAGAGCACGTCCTAAGATTGAATTTAGAAGAATCATTCATAGCATTATATAAGTTTAAAATATATTTAGATAAAAAGAATATATGACCTGAACCGGTATCCACGTACGTACGTAGGATACGGTAGCTAAATTTGTTAGATTAGGATAGGCACCACGAAACGTTGTGGACGCCGGTTCAAGCTCCGTCATTGTCGTATATTTGTTTTTTCAATGAACAGCCACAGTTATATGTCACAAATCTAACATTAGATCATTAACCTGCGTGCAGTAATTACTCCCCAGGTCCACAGGTCGAAACAGGATTTCATTGACATTACACCTTGTAACTTCCTCCTACAATATATGACTTAGAGTTAATAAATTCTAGTAATATTTAAAACAACCTATCAGCCGGAAAGTAGTCATTATATATATAGTATCAAAGTAGTCACGTATGTCACTTCAATAACAAAAGTAAAACGACTCCTGCGCAGGGACAAAAACAATGACACTGCATTTGTTGAGACTTTTAATAGATTCCTTAGATTCTTCAAACGTGATAAATAGGGTAACGACTTTACAATTGCAACACTACGTACATAAAAATATTTAAGCTCATTAAGAAATAATAGAGAGATACAAACCTTATCTAATCGTATTTTTATTCATGAAAGAGGTGTCTTTTAGATGATCGCGGCGGTTTTCGTCACAGTACCTTTTCTGTTTGCTGAAGTAAATAATGTCGTTACTTTTATGATTATTGTGTACGCTTAGGCTACCCGCAGACTACACATATGTCTGTGTGTTTAGCCATAAGTGGCCTTTATTATCCAAAACCACCTTAAACACTATTTAAACTGATTTATCTTGAATCATACTAATATTTTTACCAACACTTCTGAACCACGAATGCATAAATTTGGTATCTTTAAACCGTCAAAGTGTTTTTTTAAAATACTACTTACGTAAATGAAAAATAATAAAATCTACTTACGTAAAGTACAAATAGTAATTAATTATCCTTCTTTCCAGGATGGCAATACGCCAAGCGGCAGTCCACGAACGAGCGGTGGGGAAGTCACCCTCGCGATTCCGCATAACAGAAGCTATGGCGCCATCGGAGGTGTGGAAAAAGTCACTTACACCTGGGCCGACATCAACGCCTTCGCAACTGAAACGAGATCAAGGAATAAAAGGTTCTGGAATTGCTGGAAAACATCATCAGACAGAATGTTCCAACAGCGGAAGCAACTATTGAAAACCAGTAAGTTCTTTATGACTGATGTAGTAGCAAAAAGTTGAAACGCGATGTTCGTTGAAAAAATTTACAACAATACAACGCGTTTATTTTTTTAAAATACCCCATATCAGTATGGGGTATTTTCCGAAACACAATTGAACTTCACGGCTTTTTTATCTGTGGACGGTGGTTCGTGACCCGGACGGTTTTTCGATTTTTTTACCACCATTCAATCAATAGGATTACATGAGATTTAATCAACTATCGGAAACTACAGATACGTTTTTAAATATAGTCTGCAGTTTACGCGAGTTATAGAAATTCAATTAAAAGATTTCAACGGTTAGAAAAGTGAAATATTACGAATTCTGTTCTCCTCACTTTCTGTTGTGGAATTATTTTAATTTCTCCGTTACAAATTATTGTATATTATTAATTCGTTTACACAGAACTATAACGTCGCGTGCTTGTTCACGTCAATGATCAGTACGCAGTGAAAGCAAAACGCTTTTCTATCTACATCAATCGTGACGATGCGTTTTTGTTAATTGCTAATGGCAAAAAGTTGAATTACAGTATTTACGGGAATAAAAATTTATTTTTAAAAAATAAAAAAAAGTGAACCTCCAGATTACAATACATATATTGAGATTATCCATATGCTAACCTTGCGAATGCATCCAAAGTGCAAAAATCCGTTTTTATTGCGCCTCGTTCAATTCGTCATTTATAACTAAATGAATCAATAAATTGTCATTTTAAACCTATTACAAGTAGTTTTACTAAATTTCTTTAATACTTTGAAATATCGTATAAAATTCACGGAAGCGTGATTGTCATTTGTTTTATTAAGATTTCATTATACATATTATAAAGATGTAACTGTATATAGGTATATTTAGACGATTTTCATACAGTTTTCTATTCATTACGATGTTAAAAGCTATAAATTGTAGTAGGCATTCATAGGATTTAATCACACACAGTCACAACTTTTGTATTTTATATAAAACATTAAACATTTTTATAAGCAATAACTTATTTATATACCATTAATCAATTTTATCTCTATTGTTATTGCATCATTAAATGTTTTATTACTCTGCATCTTGCGACTGCATTCTCGCAACTCAAGGGATACCAGCCTCGATAATTCCAAACTAGTTTACCAAATCAACGAGTATTAATTAAAACACTTTAACGGTTTAAAACGCTATATATTAGTTAAACTTATTTGAAAATGATTTTTAACTTAGTTTAACTAATATATCGCGATTTAAACCGTTAAAGTTTTTATTTAAATGACTACTCGCGTAAACTATAGACAGTATTTAAATCAACGAGTATTATGAAAATCAAGGGTTTTTTTTTTGTAAATTGAAACTCCTTCCAAATATATTCATATTTTTACAAACAATTAAAAGAACCAGTTTGGCCCTATGGTCCCGTTTATAAAATAAACACGTCTTAAAGGTCACTTTTAATATCGTCTTTATATTATTGCCATTTATTTACTTTCGTATGTCGTTTAAGGGGTATGTAATAATTTCTATCCGGCAAGATGATTGCAATCAATCAATATTTAAGTTTATGAATCTAACAAGGAGGAATGTTGAAATTTTCTTCTAAAACGTCACAAATGTACGTTTTGAACCGTCAAAAGAGATAAAATAACTACTTGCGTATAATATAGGTAATACATATTATTTACTCAAGTAACATCTTTATATTATTTTAACGTTTGAAAATTTAAATATTTTTCACATACGACTCGGGCAGGGCTTGAACCAGCATCCTCAGCGTTCCGTGCTGTTGCTCTAACCGACACTGTCAATTGGTTGACTGGCCGAACTTATATGTTATCTTCACTAAAACTGAATAATCGTAATAAATTTGTCGCTTGCGAACGGCATCCTTTGATGTGTAGGTACTTCCCTTTCAAATTGTCTCAAGAATGCGTTCAAGATTATTACGCACGCTATTGAAGAAGTACGATGTAGGTTAGGTTGCTGCAACAGAACTGTGTCACAAATAAGAACTCCTTTGCACTAGAATGTTCCTGCCTCTTGACAAAGTAGAGAGATAAAGATTTTTATGCTATTTATAGACAAGGCTTTTAATCCTAAAAGACTCAAAGCAAACTCAATGCTCTTTTACAATGTTTTTTATTTATCATTTCTGTATGACAAAAGTCCATCTCAAAAGATAGACATGTACTGACGCGGAAATTTTTTTATATATATTTAAGCAAAAAACTTTCTTTCATACATATTTTTTGGGTATGTTGAACCGTTTCGCAGCAAACGCGACGGAAGCCCTCAAAAATGAATAATTTTCCCCGTTCTTTCCGCATTTCTCTTGGCTTCTTCGCTCATATTGGTCGCAGTGTAGCTCTATAATTGTCAAACCAACAAAATATGTTTTTCAATTTGAACGAGATTAGCGTAACATTCACAAACAAACTCTTCCGCCTGACAATATTAGTATAGGTAATAAATGTATATTTAAATAAAACACTTTAACGGTTTAAAAGCATATATTAGTTAATTATTTGAAAAATTTTTAGCTTGTTTTAAGTGGTGGGGAGATAAAATGGAGGATGTCTAGAGTCAGTAAAGAATTTAGCTGCACTTCCGTGGGGATTGGATCTAACGGGGGGGGGTTTGATAGGAAGGTGGGGAAGGAGGCGTCGAGAGTTTTTCTAGTAAACGGCGCGGCATATCCGGGGGAGCTTTTGGCGATAATGGGATCATCAGGCGCCGGGAAGACTACACTCCTTAACACCCTAACGTTCAGGACACCAAGCGGAGTAGTGGCGAGTGGTACCAGAGCGCTGAACGGCCAGCCAGCAACACCAGAAGCGTTGACAGCGCTCTCAGCTTACGTACAGCAACAGGATTTATTTATTGGCACACTCACTGTAAAGGAACATTTGATATTTCAGGTGAGATATTTGTTCCCACAGCTGGGACCTTCTCTTAGGTTATAGGTCCGTATTTACCACCACGACCAATGTCTGACTATTGACATGTCTGCTAATTTTGGTTGTGGGTCATGTCGGGTTCACAATGTTTTATGGCACGTGTCAGAATGTATACATGACTGGGAATTGAACTCCCGACTTCACAAAGTTGGTGTCTGTAGAGAAAAATATGGCCTTAAGAGCATAGTAGTAGGTGGCTATAAAATAATTTCAATCACTCTTCTATAAAGCGTACTATCTGTAAATCTACCTTCTTTTTCGGTCTTTCGGACTACCCTTTGGAAGTTTATGTAAAGGGCATTGCTATAATTGTTGTTATTATTTTTCAGGCTTTAGTACGAATGGACCGGCATATTCCTTACGCACAACGCATGCGCCGAGTTCAAGAAGTGATATCGGAGGTAAGTTATCCCTTAATTTAAACAAAATCCCTTATTTGAAGACTAGCTGTGCATCGATAAATATTTTTGCAAACGTCATCCTCATCTTTAGAAGTTAAAGCCGTTACCCACGATGTCGGTCGCGCGCCGTCGTTCGTGGAAGTAAGTCTTATAAGATATTTAAAGAGGAAGCTTCCTTTCATACATATTTTTTGGGTGTGTTGAACTGGCGAAAACAGTGTACGCAACTGAAACTCTTATGGTGATTTTTTTTCCCGTTTTTTCTACATTTTCCACTATTTCTTCAGTCCTATTGTTTGCAACGTGATGTTTTATGGCCTAAAGCCTACCTAGATGCTCTAACCAACACAAAAATTATTTCAATTCGAACTAGTAGTTCTTGATATTGATAATATTATATATTTAGTGATAACCTATACAAAAATTAAAATATAGATAATTAGAAATTAGTATGAGATAAGTACTAAAATTAAAATCATCTATGTCTACCAACATCGAAATTTTGTGAAATCAATATTGCTCGAAGGATTTTCAAATTCAAATGAGCTCCACCGAATAGGCATAGGCGAGGTAGACGTTCGAATACAAAATATAAGTACAATATTATATTATTATCTAGTCGTGTTTGTATGGCTTCCTATTAACTGTAATGATGCTAGCGCTAGTAGGCAGTGCACGGGGACAGGGGCGGATTTTAAACACAGGGGCCATAGGATACTATCTAGATTCTAGACCTAACTAAATTCTAAATTTTTTACATCCCTTAGTAATCATATTTTTGAGTTTGAGTAAAATATATTTTATCCTAAAATTGTTACATGAGAACAGTCTAAAAGAGTATTATTTAAAACCAGAAAGTATTGATGTCATATAGACCTTCTTTCTTTATAATTACCAAGTAATATCTTGTATGTAGTTTTTAAATAGCTAATCTATTTTTTGTATGTATATCTTATTCTACATTGTATGTCATTGTCATGTTTTCGCAATAAAATTACATTAGGCAATGAAGGAATTATCTTTGTTTATTGTTATAATTATGGGTATTATACCCAACACTTAGTAATACTGTGATAAGACCGGATGTATAAATGTATGTTTTATGACGGACATTGCTAGACCTCGTAGAATAATTAACACCTTATAAAATATAAACCTAAAATGACAGATATTTAAATCTAGTTTATCAATTAGTTGCACAGAATTTCTTGTAAAAAGGTTTTGCACCACAAAAAGGTCATAGTTTAAATTGAATATTTTCGCACGCTATAACCAATATTGACAGGACTGAAACCGCAGAAGGTCTTTGATCCAAATTAAACCACATTGCCCCAAATCGAGCCAAGGCTATGCCTGCTTCTAGTGGTGGATAACATTACGCCGATAGCCGTATACCTGTTACCTAAGGTCGTTTACCCAGAGAGCTATCAGGTGTCACTGCGGTGAAAGAAATCCCCGCCACAGTGACGTAATCCTGAAAATTATTTTCTGCTCATTTTTGTCGTTAGTCTAAGTAGAACATTATTCAGACTAAAAAGCGAAGCTTGTGTCTAAGCTCTAGAGAGAGCAGGGACCAGAAAATAAATCTGTACTGACATTTTAAATCTGACGAGTTTGTTTGTTTGAATACGCTTACCTCAGGAACTACTCGTTTGAATTGAAAGTTTTGTTTTGATTGGACCAATTATCGGGGAAGGTTTTAATCCCATGCTGCAATCAATAGAAGCTAAGAAACAGAGAGAAACGTAAAAAATAACCGGGGAAGAATTATTCATCTTTGAGAAATCCTATAAAGCAATACAAACATAGTACATATAGGTACATACATTTTTACTATAGTTATATGTTTTTTTTACAACAGACAAACATAGTAGTAATAGGTTATTATATCATTTGACTCAAAACGACCATTCGGCCAAAATATAGTTTTTACTAACAGACATTTATTTTATAAGTTACGTCGTAATGCGTTCAACAATTTAACTACGCAATCAAATGCCAAAGTTGAAGACGAAATGTTTTGTTCCGTTATGATTATGGATAATCTCTTTAGTATTATATTTATTTTAAGTTTCATTGTCGGAAATTAGAATTTAATGTATACTTATTTTCACGGATTCAGTCCGTGGATTTCTTAAAGTCCAAAGCCAAATTTGGTCCACAGCGCATTTCAAGTAAACATAATACTTGTCTGTTCTCCCTTATCATAGAAAAACCATACTTAATACATTTTTTTTGTAAAATACTATTAACTTATTTATTTTTTAGCTAAGTAACTAGTGGACTTGTGGCCGTAACTTTATTTCACGCGTCTTCGGGATTTAAAACCAAGATTTTATATGCTTGGCAAGTTTAATAATAAAGACGAATGAAAAATTTGATATTTTTGACATGTTATGGCACATGATGTTAAAAATCGATTGTAAATTTGCCGATGAAACGGTAGCTCGATTTGTCAGAGCCACAGCACGGAACGCTCGTGATGTCGGATTTTTAATTTATAAAGGCGAGATTAGATGTAAAAACGCTTTGCGGTATTTCTGTTAACAGGTGCTGTTTATATTTCATACACTTTGTATTGAAGTAATCTAAGTAGATCATGTTAACATCATACACTTATCAGAATAGTTACTTACGTAATACTATTTAATTACGTTGAAAGGTAAATATGGAACCAGAACATAATCTGGTCTTGAAAAAATAATACTAAATAAATACATGCCAGAATGTTTATTATAGTAACTAATCGGTTCTTTTAGGGTTCCGTACCCAAAGATTGTAAATAGGAACCTATCACTAAGACTCACCGTGTGTCTGTTGCTGTATATGAAACAATATTTTTAATCAATTCATAATTTTTTTGAAACATGTTGGACATCGTTTGGAAATCTGGACATTAAATCGGTGACAGTAATTTTGAAATTACGTCCGGGTCACGAACCACCGCCTACAAATGAAAAAGTTTAATCGCTTTTCAGTTCCAATATGTGGATTTCCGAATATCCAAAGCCAAAATCTAGTGAAACCAATGCTTTTTTGCTATGTCCTCCTCTAACATAAAAAAAAATAATTTCGCTCTTAAATTGCAAAATCCTTGTAAATATAAGTGAAGCGTTATACTTAAAGAAGACCTTAAAACTATAAATAGATAGGCGTGTTAAATGTAGCTCGAGAAAATAATTTACGGCCTATCCTCGTGTCTAATAATATGACGTTTGAAATATTAAGCCATTAATAATTGACATTATAGCCGGCGCCAGAAGGCGTTTATTAATTTAATAGTGTAATAATTCGTTAACTAGCTATTCATATTCAAATACGTTTTATTAAATTAATAGGGGCTTGAGAGAATTTAGGACATTATACTGTTTTATGTTTAGCTTATAAGTGAGATCGCTGACGATGCCGGTTTAAGTCCTGCCCGTGTCGAAATTTTTTTCGATGTTTAAATTATATAGTGCCTTCATGTGCAATAACATGTAAAAAATAATAAAGTTTTCAAACGTTATAAGTGAGAGTTGAGATATGAACAATGCTTTGAGCGTGTCAATGATCTTTTAGAAGCAAATTTGCTTTACTTATAAGGCTGTTTATGGGTTGCGTTCCAGAATAAATTTATTAAACGACCAGATGCTTCGTGCATTGTTTAACAAAAAGTATACTTTTCTTTTTTAAGGGTTCCTAAGTAATACAATATAATTCCTTCACACTGAATCTTAAATAAAAAAATGCTTTCTCTTCATTTATATGTGATATAATAAAACCTCATACAAATTAAACATATATTTTTTTGTGCGTATGCTATGTTTCGGGTGACTCGGAAGCTTGGTAATGCTAGTACCGTCATCGTAATATCAGTACCCCGTGACCACGTTAAATTAATTAATCAAGAAAAGATTAAATATAAAATAAATATTTTTATGACCTTTTTATAAAAAAACAAACGACACGGCTGGACTTGAACCGCAATCCCCAGCGGTACGCGCTGCTGCTATAACCAATTGAGCTACCGAGTCCTAAGCGACATCGTCGAATTCTTCAACCTGTGCACTCAAAATCTGTGAAAATAAACATGTGAAATATAATTGTCAATATTTTTATTGTTTCAGTTAGCGCTATCAAAGTGCCAAAACACAGTGATTGGTATAAGTGGCCGACTAAAGGGTATTTCTGGTGGCGAGATGAAACGGCTGTCTTTTGCTAGTGAAGTCTTGACTGACCCACCACTCATGTTCTGTGACGAACCAACTTCCGGCTTGGACTCTTTTATGGCACAGAATGTTATACAGGTGGGGTCTTCTCTTTTTTAATCTTTTAAATTTAAATGAAACACTTTAACGGTTTTAACCCGAAATATTAGTTAGATTATTTTAACTACGTCTCCACGTGACCACGGTTGCTACATGACACTTGCAACGTCGACCCGTAGTTGTAATTAAGTTAATTTATATATTTCGCGTTTTAAACCGTTAAAGTATTTTATTTAAATGTGTACTACTCGCGTCAACTAAAAAAATAGTCTTTTAATAAGTCTTTTAAGTTGTCGTCTCTTTATTCTGCATTATTTATTTAGTCTAAGATTACGTTTCCTTATGTATGTTTTTATATTTCGTAAAGATATTTATTATTCTTAATTCTTTCTCGATCTCGGTTATCAATTTATTTGTGAATTAAAGCATTAAAACAATATTTAAAAAATAATTAAAGTAACATTAAAATGTGTCTATAATTATTTTGTATATCTTCAGGTGCTAAGTGGGCTTGCTAAGAAGGGCAAAACGGTGATATGCACCATACACCAGCCTTCCTCCGAATTGTACGCGATGTTCGATAAACTTCTCATCATGGCTGATGGCAGAGTCGCCTTCCTCGGATCACCAGACCAAGCCACTGAGTTTTTCAAAGAGTATGTACTTTTCAATATTTACCCCTTTTGTCCTACCCCTTCTCTACTTCAAGAGGGGGTAAGGTCAATAGGAGACATACATATAGACTTATAACAATTATGGCCTTGTTGTTCCGATGGTGGTGGTGTTTTTATGTCGTTGGACTTTACCTTACCATTTTTTTTATATGAATTGGTTGGAGTATATAAATTCCACCCACGTTACAATCATCCACAATTGAAGAAGCCGTGATAAAATAATGGATTTCCGAATATTTCGGATTTCCTTCTTTATATACTATATAAAGACTTAAGTAACGTTACAAACTCTAGGCAGAATATGGTATTAAGAAAAAGAAATGTTAAGAAATTAGCTGTTGTCAATTAAATTAACATTCTAGATGTAGATTTGTAATCATGAATGTATTTATTAAGTTTGGGAGCAGCGTGTCCTGCCAACTATAATCCAGCTGATCACTACATCCAGCTGCTAGCTGGCGTCCCTGGAAGAGAGGAGACCACACGACACACGATAGACACCGTTTGCACAGCCTTCGCTAAGTCAGAGATTGGGTGCAAAATCGCTTCCGAGGCTGAGAACGCTATGTTTACAGAAGTAAGTGGGTCGAAAGGATATTAGATTTAAATACTGTATGTAGTTTACGCGAGTAGTATTAAATACGCATTAGCGGTTTTAAACGCTGCAAAGTATCCGAAACGTCGGACCGTAGTTAAAATGACTTTGCAAATAAGTTTAACTAATATACTTCGCGTTTTAAACCGTTAAAGAATTTTATTTAGATATTTAACCCTTAGAGAATTTAACCCTTCAACCACATGCCCACTTTTATTGCCTTTTGCAGCGCAAAATCTCGAAGGGCTGGGCGGATTCAGCGTGGTCAAATGCAGCAGCTTTCAGGGCTCGCAGGTCTCCGTACAAAGCGTCCTGGTGCGCCCAGTTCCGGGCGGTGTTATGGCGATCCTGGCTGTCTGTCACTAAAGAACCGATGCTGATTAAAGTGCGATTCTTGCAGACCGTCGTAAGTAATTTTATATATTTACAGAAATAGATAGAATAATAGGAATTAAAATCAATACGATCGAGAAAGCATCTGGCACGCAGGTTTCGTGCCAAACTTTACAATTTCATATTTTAACCTTTTTTAAATACTTCAAGTGTTAATGTATGGAAGAATGGTAAACAATATCTAACAATGCAGACAAATACTAGCGCCACTGTAAGGTAGCCAATCTTTAATTTTTGTTTTTAGTGTATTTTTTGTCTGTCTGTAATTGTGTAATACTGTTGCTACTATAACAGTATTGTTAAATAATTCAGCACCCTGGTGGATAGATAGACAGACCGGCAAATAAGAGTTTTTTATATACCATATTTTTATGAACCAAAAAAGGTCGAATATTCGGAGGTTTAAATCAATCTCCGTTACCTTATTGTTCTACAAATCGTCTGTTTAGAAATTTAAAAAAAGCCTTTTTTACGTTGTAGCCCTCTTTGCTAACGCCGTATAAATATGCCGCTTTCTTTCAGATGGTGTCAATTCTGATCGGATTGATATACTTCGGACAAAATTTGGACCAAGACGGTGTGATGAACATAAACGGAGCTATCTTCCTGTTCCTAACTAACATGACTTTCCAGAACATTTTTGCGGTCATTAACGTAAGTTAAAGGATTCGTCAAGGATCATCAAAAACATGCTATATAATTCATAAATCATTATTTTATTTTGTATTTTCCTTGCTTTTAAAAAAATAAATATTACAATATACCTTCGATTCAACGGGCTGTTAATATATTCAATAATAATGAATTAGGCAATATAGAAAGTTACGGTAATCACAGAATCAATCCCATTAACCCATATGGTCATGGGGCGACCATATTTCTGTGTCCGTTTCGTTGATCGATTTTATATACAGACAAGTAGTTCATCAGTCTGCCCTGCCCGACCAAAACAATCTATTGTTTGCCCAGGGTTCGAACCCAAAATCTTATCGCGATGGACAAAATGTTAACCATTTAGCCTAAGAGGCAGTTTTCACGGGGGAAAATATGTATTTGAAAATAGATAATACGATTAACCGTTTATATAAGCTTTTGACTTCTACGTACAGACAATGCTAACACAAATATTTGTATTAATAAATCACCTTGTTTACAGGTATTCTGTTCAGAGCTGCCGATCTTCATTCGCGAGCACCATTCAGGGATGTACCGGGCAGACGTGTACTTCCTCTCGAAGACGCTCGCGGAGGCTCCCGTGTTCGCGACGATACCACTCGTCTTCACGACTGTAGCTTACTACATGATTGGCTTGAACCCCGCTCCCGAACGCTTCTTCATTGCATCTGGCCTGGCCGCGCTGATCACCAACGTTGCTACATCATTCGGTGAGTTACTCATTATATTTCAGCTCTTATGAAATAGTGAAATACCGTAACCTCGTGGGGCATGGGGCGAACACATTTCTGTCTCCGTTTGACTGATCTCTCGTGCTTAACGCAATGCAACACATATAGCAATTTGGCTACAGAGGCGGTCAAACGGCTGTTTTGTCTCTTATAATAAAAAAATATCCAGACATTCAAGGAAAAGGATTCAGTATTGTCTATTGTTTTAGTACTTACTTTTTAAATACTATATTCAAAATAAAGGATGTCACATCCTCTCCCAAAAATCTAAGTCTTGGAAATTTTATTTATATTAATATGAATTATTTTTGATTTTATACATACAGTAATTGTTTACTATCTTACAAACATATTTTATTATGTTGTTTTTTGGCTCCCGAAGTGGCGTTAGATGCCAAATAACTTTAACACATTTTATATTAAATTCAACATTCATTTAAATCTGCCTTTAGTGTCAATGATACACATAGCATTACTTAAATATTGGTCGAGATGTTTGGGTGTAAATTACTTACAAACGAACATCCATTGTGGTTGTAAGTTTGATATTAAGTACTTTGAATAGGGTACACAGGGACATCAACCTAACTAGTACGGTATTTAGGTAACAATAAATCATATATACTGTCTATACCTATAGTTTACGCTAGTAGTACACATTTAAATAAAACACTTTAACGGTTTAAAATGCGGTATATTAGTTAAACTTATTTGAAAATGACTTCTATCTTCGGCCCGACGTTTCGGCCGTGCTGCACGGCTGCTGCAAAGCATCCGAAACGTCGGGCCGAAGTTAAAGTTATAATAATGCCCATTTATGGAATACTTCAACATAACTATGTCCTATAATCTAAAATATAAATAGTGACACGATAGATATTAGAGTATTGGCACGGATCGCTGTGATTGAAATCCCTTTCGTCTCATCTTTTATTTTAATATTAATAGATTTATGATGTATTTATAACCAATACTTATCTTTCTCCACGGAACATTAAATGTTATTTGTTTTTCATTGGATGTATATAAGATAATTCTACGCATAAGCCCAAGTATTTATAATTTGTTAGAAAGGATTTTTCAATAATTTAACCTAATCTTAAACGCAAGCTCGTAAAGGCGTATTAAGATTATTTGTCAATATTTGCCACTTAAGAATAATCGATATAAACAATTTATGACATCTTTGCGTTAGAACCTTTTTGGTTGACATTTTCTTCTTACTTTTCTCCTGTTTTGTCTTGTTTAAAGAAAATAATTTCATGTTATCTCACTCTTGATTCTAGGTAAATTATCCCAGCATCTAAACTTGATGCGTCGTCGACCTGTTTTTGGCCTGGGATATTCGACATTATTCTATATTTTTGTCGAAAAAATCTCAAGATCAATTTTAATAGAAAGGCGTGTCTCCACAGTAGACAGTATCTACTTCTTATCTAAGCAGAATAGAATTTTATTAATTTATCATTATTTGTATATGATATACGCTTAAGAGATATATAATATCAAGTATTCCTTAATGGCGTAGAATAAATTTAATGAACTACCTGCCCGTGTCCCAGACACTGAATCTAGAAGCATTAAACGTGGAATCCGGTTTGCATTCGTAGGGCCGTTGCGCAAGAATTGATGCGACGCAACGTAGGTATCGCATTAATTATTTCTAATGGCTTTATCTATCAATTACATTCCACAGACCACAAATGATTACAAATAATTCCACCACTTAATAATTCATAGAAAAATTTGTTCCCGTATTAAGGTACGCGGACAAAATGTCGGGCTCTTTGGTGTAATGGTAGGAATCGACGCACATCGGGTCGAACATTTTTCCAAATCTGAATATGGTAGGAAATTCCAGGACAGGATTTCCAAATCCACAATCCAAAGCCAAAATAATTCGACAACGCTTGTTTAGATGTTAAATGGCTGGGGTATTCCACCATTGAACTCCATTCATGTCTGGTCTCCTCTAAATATTACTGTGTCCGTTTTGTGGATCAATTTTATTTACAGAGCATTAGGTTTGTGCGTTCTAACTGACTGGAAAAAAGATAATATACTTAAATAAATTGAAACAACGAAACTCACAGACAAATGAACTTTGTCAAGAAGAATTAGCAACGTGAGAACACATTTTGTATGTTGTTGTTGTTCCAATTCCATTAAGTTCCTAGATATGTATAGACATAGGCTCAAATATTAAACATTTGCGTGTCATTTACATATTTACGTAACAAAACCAAGTAACGCAGGCAAGCGTGAGAAATAACATTGATAAGTTTCGTTAAGCAGTTACAATATTCATTTTAGGTACTCGTTATATATAATTAATATGCGTGGCTCATTGTATCAAAAATCTCTATTTTTTAAATTTATTTGTTGTATGAATAATTCGTAGGCAACATAAGTGCCTTACAAGCTTTTAAAATATGCGCTTAATATTAAAATCATTCCATTGACGTCAAGTCTCAAAATTATAGATCAATAGATGGATGTGGGATAGACAGTGTTGTATTCGTTAACACTAGTTCTCAGGCAAAAAAAAAGCATTGACGTCATATTCTGACAATTTATCTCTTATTTCCGGCGATATCAATAATTAATTTGCAACGACAATGCTGTCAAATGTTGTTTTTATTGTTTTGCATTAGCGTCAGGTTTTAATTAGATTTGCCCATAAGTGCTAACTAATAAAACATCTTTAATGATTTAAAACTGTCAAATATTTTTCGAAACATCGGGCCGTAGTTGATACAAACTAAAAATAAATTAACATGTTTCATGTTTTAAAACGTTAAACGTGTTTTGTTTTAATGTTTACTACTCGCGTAGACTACAGACAAGACTTAAGACCCATAGAACATTTAAAAGTCTTGAATTGCAATGTATGTGAGAGCGTTCATAATTTGAATGAGTATTAAGTAAATTCAAAGAGACATCAACCCGAGCACCCTACCTTGCAGGTACTTTACCAACACTACCATGTCAAGATACCATTCATTATTATTTTCTTCTATTTCAATGGCCTTTCCGCCTAAAAAACGAGAGACCCTTCGAGTATTTCAAAAATAAAAATCAATAAAGTTAAGTTTTTATTTCTGCCGGATTTTTTAATGTAATTATTTGTTAAGGTTACCTGATATCCTGTGCAAGCAGCAGCGTCAGTATGGCAGCATCCGTAGGCCCTCCTATCATCATACCATTCATGCTGTTCGGAGGGTTCTTCCTCAATTCAGGGTAAGTTACAACACTTTTCACTAGTATCTATAAAACAAGGTAATCTCGAGATCGTTATCGTTGGCATGTGTTTTAGGATTCCGTATATTATTTATTTTATATATTATATTAGATTCCATACTTCGCCAATCCTCGTTGGATTAGCGAAATATTCATATGAATATTACCAAACTATTTTTTATAAACCAGATTGTTACACTCAACAAAAAATAAAATTTTGAAGTCAGAACTATTGAAATAGCATCCATTTATATTTTTTGTCTTTTATATGGTAAACCTTTCGTACATGATTACGTGTGGTCTGCTTTGTATTTATTTGTTTTGTTATTTTATTTTGTTTTGTTATTATTTGTATTGTGTCGCAATTCTAGTGTTTTTGCAAAAATGTAATCAATTGTTCTTCTGCATTATAAGGAATACCTGTCATAAAGTTAACAACCTAACATAAAACTTCGAGGGTTTATTTTCGGAAAGCTATTTTTGTTAAAGCCGTTCGTCGACCTTACCTTACGGTGGTATGACTAATTCTTAACCGTTTATAACAGGAAACCCGCCCTGACCGGTTCCAGGAATCCCGAAAGAATTAAATTGTTAAGCCGATCGATAACCTTTTTGTCAACAATCCGATAACGTTTACATACGAAGCAATCAAGGCAGCGCGAGATTTTTTGGTCTGCAACCTCATTTTATTAAAATGGCAGTAGTCATTTTGCGCGATTACACTTTGTGTATTTTTTTATCTTTTTATACGCAATTCATATAAAGACGACACCGACTGGCCACGCCGTTTAATAAAAATTGCTTCCGTTTTTATTATCACTAAACGATAATAACAAGTAGTATTACTTCTGCTGGAAACCAACCAATATGATCAATAGATAAAAATTGTCGTTTCTTTTTTAATATTGATCTTTACTAATAATATATTTTATCTAGATCTGTGCCACCTTACCTTGGCTGGATTTCGTATCTATCGTGGTTCCGATACGGGAATGAGGCCCTACTCGTTAATCAATGGACTGGCGTGGAAAGCATTGCTTGCACCAGAGAAAACTTCACTTGCCCAGCTTCTGGCAAAGTGGTTTTGGATACTCTGAGCTTTTCTGAGGTATTTTTGTTATTTCATCTGATATTATCTAACATTTTCCAAAAAATATATTTCATTAAGACTAAGATAAGAATAAAAGATTTGGTAATTGGACGTTTATTAACATTATACTTTCGATTACATAAATCTTATTAGTTAACGTATTATTTTATCTAATATTTTCGATTTGCAAGAAGAATTAAAAGATTTCATTTTTCCAGGATGACTTCAACATGGACGTTATAAATATGGTGCTGCTCTTCATCGGTTTCCGCTTCTTGGCATATCTGGCTTTGTTGTGGCGCACGCGCAGAGGAAAATAATCACTAGTACATTTACGATAAATTCTAGAAATATCTCGTTGGGACTAAAATGTATTTACCTCAATTCTCATTCTAATGTTGCTGATATTCAAGACACAGAAGTGTATTTGATATTTCTGTCTAATCCAAGTTATTTCTTTATAGTAAATTTATATCACGTCTGCTGATCCATGCATGTGAACGAAGATACGAAATTATCAATTTACGAACGAAAACGCGAAATAGAGAATAGATATGAATAATATATAATTTTGTCAGGCTCTAAACAACGGATTTATCTTACTACACCTAAGTTTTAGAACAATGTATTTTTAAGCGTACTTGAATGTCCTCGTTATTAAGTTGATTCACAATCTTAAGTGATATTATAATATGTACGTTTTTATAATTCTAATATACGTGTCATGCCATGATTATAATTATTCGCTCTCGATGTATATTATAATATATATTCCTACTCATCTATTACAAATTGTTCGTCGATACATTTCCATTTTATTTAATTGTCAGTCCGTTTATTTTTGGTATACGAACTATGTATTTATGAAATATACAAGACATATTAACCAATGTATAAAATGTTGTATGTTCTGTTTGAATGATTTACAATTAATATATCTTAGTGTAAGTAAAATCCTGTCTGTAGTTTACGCGGGTAGTACACATTTAAATAAAATAATTTAACGGTTTAAAACGCGATATATTTTAGTTAAACTATTTTGTAAATTATTTTTAGAGTCTCCCCGTGACCACGGCTGGTGCAAAGCATCCGTAACATCGGATTAAGTTAAAAGTTTAACTCAAATATATCACGTTTTAAGCCGTTAAAGTATTTTATGTAAAAGTGTAAGTAAGCAAAAAAGTTTGTATAAGACAATTCTGTTATCCAATTAAAATCGACGTAAGACAATATTTTCATATATAGAATTAGGTACCCCCTCCACCCCACCACAGGTTATATGTAAAGATTCTGGCATTTTAGTACCTTTTGGAAATATTCGTCGAAATCTCAGTAACATCCATCATACATTGTACAATATCCAGCTTAGATATAAAAGTTGTATTTTTAAGCTAAGCGTTTATTTTGTATGTGTCCTTTTGAGTTATGAAGCTGTGTTTAAAGGCTAGAAGCAATTTTTATTTTATCTTTTTTTAAATTGTCATGTTAATCTTAGATTATATTAAATCAATTATGAAACATTCCGGATTTATTCTGTACTAATTTGTTACTATTTTATTAAAATATTTTAATAAAACGTAACGGTCTTTTATTTTCACTTCCGCGCCGTTTTAAGCATGTTAATTGTCTAGTTAAGTTTCTTTTTACCAAGTTTTTTAATGGTTTTACTTGATGGAATTTGAAATATCCCAGCCAAAATGTCTAAACAAGTTACACTAGCAAACATTTTTTCAGTTTAAATGCGATTTAAGAAAAACAGAAAATAATAAAAAAAACACAATTAAGCGTGCGTGTGTATTCTAAATAATAACGTCCGGTTTATAACGACATAAGCAAGAATCCCAATATAAAACAATATTATTTTTTTTACCTTCCAGGAGATATTCTCCAATAAATTGTGTAGCCATTTTATTTTGTTTACGTCTTAGAAAAACATACGTAATCGAAAATATGATAAATATAATATAAGTTCTATAATAAAATACTGTCTATAGTTTACGCGAGTAGTACACATTTAAATAAAACACTTTAACCTTTTAAAACGCGATATATTAGTTAAACTTATTTGAAAATGATTTTTAACTTCGGCCCGACGTTTCGGATGCCTTGCAGCAGCCGTGATCACGGGGAGACCCCGTCTCCCGAAGTTAAAAATCATTTTCAAATAAGTTTAACTAATATATTGTGTTTTGAACCGTTAAAGTGTTTTATTTAAAAGATCTATAATATTTCAACAAGATGCGTTGTCTAGGTAGACATTGGCTTTGGATACTCAAACCAATTTATCTCTTCATAACTAATTTATTATTTCTCTCAGAAAGAACTTTGCTAGCTTATTTGTAGGACGTAATTAATTAAAAAAGTGCCGATCTACAAGATAAATATTTTTTGGGATAATTAAATAAATATCATTGACTAAGTATTCTATAGTGTTGTTGTTATTGCTTTAAATTATTGCCCTATAAAGGCATAAAATGTGTGAATATGGACTAAGTTAAAGGTATTCCATAAAATCTAATCTAAAAATCGTGTCCTGATCTTAATCAAATCGTTTGTACGGAATAAAATGTTACATTTTGCGTCACCAGATCTCATATAACAGCACATCATTAGTATAATTTAATATTGTTTTTCGCGGTTTTTAGCTTTTAACTTTTTTCATTATTACAAACAGCTTGAAATTAATATTTTTTACACTTTTAGTAAAATATGATTTTTTTTAAATAAAGTTGGGCAGATAAAAATACTTTTTATTTTCTATATATATATAAAGGGCTATTATTATTTTTAAATTTAATGGTAAACACTTTTTATCATCTGCTTTTATTACATCACCACCATTGTCTGTGAGACTCGGGTCCCATATAAAAAAAACGTTAATTAATTTTAATTAGGACATTCTCAGTCACCGGTGAAAATAAATACACGAAAAGAAATCGACTTTAAACACAAAACTAAAAAATTACTACGCATGAAGTAATACGTATTTTGTAAAGAAATGATTTGATAGATATTTTAATCATTTATTGTCGACGTAGCAAGTAATCCAAATTCAGGCATATTCAGCATCTATACAATTATATAAAGCTGAAGAGTTTGTTTGTTTGTATGTTTGAACGATGTAATCTCAGGAACTACGGGTTCAAACTGAAAAATTATTACGACGAAGTCGCTGACACAGCTATTATTTTTATAAGATAATGTAAGAAGCTGACGAAACTATGAAAGTAGCTCAGTGGTGGATTCAGACTTTTTTGATACTATTATTGTTTTGTAATTGCTTTCATATATTTCATAAGATTGTGTAATTACGTACTTATACTTTGTAATTTGATATCGTATTAAGGTTGTGGAAACATTTACTTTGCACTGAATTCTAAATAAAATTATAATATATATTAAACTACTGACTACTAAAAAAAAGTGAAAGCCCGTTTCCCCCCTCGTGGGTCGTGGGGGAACAATTTCTGTGTTTTTCCGTTCTTCTAACGGGCAAGTAGTTGATCATACTTCTGTGCCCTGCCAGACCTCTCGCGCCTAACGCAATGACAGAGGCGGTCTTCTACTAACTAAAATCTCCTATTTCCACTTGTTTAAAGACATCATACAAACGTTTGTTTAAAATATGTAACAATTTTATTTAGATATTCTGGGTTAAGTTGGACACTAAGATTCTTAGGTAATTCGTAGACATTCTTAAGAGGTTTTCAGTTCAACCTCTAACCTAGTTACATGTGTACGACACTTCTTTGTAGGTTAGTCTAAATGTAAATTGCATTTAACATACGATTTGTTTTACTTTAGTTCCCACTGCTGAGCACTGTTCCCCTCTCTCATGAGAAATGATAACAAAGCTCAGGACTTCAAAACAAAGTTCAGTAGACTTTGTGTCCCGTGTTCACGCGTTCGTCGAATTCCATAGCACTAATATCCTGTCTATAGTCGACTTCGAGATATTGCATATTTTAATGCAACACGTTAACGGTTTAACAATGGCGATAGAATCTAGCTCGACTTATTGCGAGAATGATTACACTCTAATACTTTGCCAGGCGATCATTTTGGATGAAACTTTCCAGTACGACGAACTGGTCAAATTCAAAGAGATAGTTCTGAAAAGGACTTCTGACAAACATTATGCTAGTTCAGCAATATTAAGTGTGACTAAGTAGGTTTGAAAAGGACTTTTACAGTGTTGCATAAAAATGCCTTTCAAAAACATTCCAAAATATTGCAATGTCGTCTCACGCCACTACCATAGTTATTTTATCGCCAAAGTTGAGATTTTCGATGCGGGGTATGGAGTGCCATAGCAAATATTTTTTTTAAAAATTTCTGCTAGAACTTTTGAAAATAGTTCGATTTCAAAAATTAGTATTCAAGTATCTTCTATATATTGTGTATACTGTCGAATTGGATTATAACTGTATTGGCAGCATATATTTGCGTAATAAATAAATAATAATAAATAGTATGAATAACACGGTCTCATTTTGATCGGCAATTCTATTAATTTGTTAAATATACAAAAGTAGTTATAGCGACGTAACTACAATAGTTAGACATGTGCTCTTGGGATGTTTTTTGTAGATATTATATATTCTATAATATTGTCGAACATTTTTTTGTCCTCTTTAATACTTTTACGCTACTTTAATACGCAGCGTATGCAAAGAAGGACATTTTACGGCAAATTTTTTTACGCCTTCCATTGGTTTAGTAAGAATTTCTATAGATGCCAATAGTAATCAAGTACCAAATATAACCTATGGTACTCAGGGATAATGTAGCTTTCTAATGAAAAAAGAATTATTAAAATCGGTCCAGTACTTTTTGAATTTATCCGTTACATACAAATATACAAAAATACAAATCTTTCCTCTTTATAGTATTAAGTATAGACTAATTGCTTGTAGATGTTACAGTTAATGGTAGGTACATATAAAATTAAATGAATAAAATATATTTTACAGGATACAATACAGGTACATCTGATTAGTCTAAGTTCTTAAACCACTCTCCGGTAAGAGAAAAGTTATTCCGTCTAGCGCTTCAACCTTACAATCTGACTTTAGTGATACGAACCAGGGCAGATGCTGCCTTGTGGGGCATGTTTTGTTTAGCAGAATGCACCCAGCACGAGTAATCCGACTCGTTCAATTAGTTTTAAAAGGCGAAAAACGTTAATCCGTAAATAATAAGAGTATGGTGCCCGGCGGGAAGACAGTTGAAATTACGTATTTTTCTAGAAACAAGTGTATTACATTTTTGATTTTCGAATTTATCGTTAACATTAATGCCTTAAGTAAGCTACTTAAGTTTTAACAACCTGCAGTTAAACATCATGTAATGTGTTTCGGTTTGCCTCAATATTGAACATATTTCGTTCAATACGCTAAGCGGGGGTCGCTAACCTCGCGTGACTTACATCATATTACAACACTTTAATACAATCGGGAGCTTTTAAAATAACTTACTGCAAAGCCGTGCAAAAATTTCAATGAGGCACGATGTTAAACTTGTACCGCTATACACATAGCAACCACCAATAAATACTGAATTTGTGTAAGTAACATTAACTTAAAAAGATAAGATGATTTAAAAAAGAAAAGTTTATGCCACACTATTTGATATACACTACATCATTGTATATCAAATAGTGACATTAAAATCCACAGACTGAACTTGGTGGCCCATACAGTACATTACAGGCCCAGTACATTATTTACTCTATTCTATAATAGAGTAAATAATGTAATAATACCTAATTCTAAATGTTATTCTCATTTATTTCTACTTACTCCCCACTGTATTTGATTCGTCATCGCAAGGCAACATTATTATTATTTACCGTTACGCCTTATTAATACTCATGATAACGTTTGTATAGGCACCAATAGATTGTTCTCATCAGTCACGAACACCAAAATGTTACGACAGTTTAAAACGAGAAATATAGTAATAACAATATATAATTATTATTTTAACTACGGCCCGACGTTTTTGATGTTTGACAGCAGTTGTGGTCACGTGGCCAAGTTTCGCATTTTAAACAGTTAAAGGATGTTTATTTAAATGAGCACTACTCGCATTATACAGAAATACTTAGTTTTTATACATTAAACTCAACATATACGTTTATTATTGTTGTAATTTTTGGGTTGCCATTACAACAGGACGCTCGACTAACACGCGGCTGTTGGTTTTGTTTCATGATAAAATATTGTAATTATTTCTCACACCAAATTCATTACATTTCAATATTCGTTTACCACACTCCTGTTGTCCGTCCTGTATTTTTGCACGGCTCCTGCTCCTGACAAAGATGCAAATATGACAGTAGAATAAACTGAGCAAATATTGAACTAACGAGATCAGATTAGATAATATAATACACGTGGTGTTGAAATTGCTTACGATGAGTAGCTTATGTTTCTATGATAGAAGACAGACGGAAGTATGGGATTCACATAATAATTTTGTGGCCGTTTCACCGATCAGGCGTCTGGCCCGAGCGAAACAATGTATTGTTTCCCTGGGATTCGAACCCAGGATTCCTAGAGTTAAACACAATTCTAGGCAACACGTTTGGCTACAGAAGCAATCCTCAGGTGTTAAATAATTTTTTTATTTGAAATGTAAATTACGGCAAACAAACAGTTCGTATTGAATGTTTTATCATTTTGGGATTATATAAATAAAGAAGGTTTTTATATGACAAATTATAAAATACAGTCTGTAGTTTACGCGAGTAGTACACATTTAAATAAAACATTTTAACGGTTTAAAACGCGTTTATATTATTGTATTTGAACTTATTTTAACTACGGCTCGACGCTTCGAATGCTTTGCAAATTTATCACGTTTTAAACCGTAAAAGTGTTTTCTTTAAATAATTAATTATCTTTAAGGTAATTAAATTTTTGTCAGGACTCAATATCCTATTGCACATGACTCACAAAAACATGATATTGAAACCTTCCCTTGTAAAGAAAATTACTTCTATTTATTCATAGCTTAGAAGCCACGATTGACCCAGTATCACGCGTCTCATGTAACACATCAACCTATTAGTGATATTTTATTGAAATTGAATTGTATTTGACGCTATTAAGACTCTAATTTCTATGTTTATGCAGAATAATGAATTGGAGTTAACGTACTTCAAAAGAATCCATTCAAAGTTCGTGTTATCAAACTTTTAGATCGCACCTGCCCTGCAATCATTAACGAATTTAATTTTAATGTAGAAAACGTTAATTTATACAAGCCTCAATGGCGAAGTAGACAGACAGAGTACAAACTAATAAAAGGCTACAATTAGAATTATAATATTTCATAACTTTAAATAACACTGACAACAAAGTAATTGAGTTATTTCGGTACTAATCTTTTAAAGTATTCTTCAAATATTATAAAGTTATTTTATGAAAAAAAATGACAATACGTATTTATTTAAATAAAACAATTTAACGGTTTAAAACACGATATATTCGTTAAAATTACTTGAAAATGATTTTTAACTTCGGCCCGACGTTACGTTCGGTCTCGGGGAGACTCTGAGACCAGGACTGCTGCAAAGCATCCGAACCTGGGTAAACCTTAGAGTGTTTTATTTAAATGTGTACTACTCGCATAAACTATAAAATATTTAATACGTATTTATATTTTCACACATAAACACATTTTTACATAAATTTATCGATACAAGATCGAAAGATGATCTCACAATCCAGACATGAATCACGGTTCTGAGAACTACAGTGTCAGCTTTAATCTTTCCAAAATACTTAAGCACCATATATACACGTTAATTTAAGGCTGTATTTTATGACCTTTTTCCACAAGCGTTATGTTGTTACCGACTCAATATGTTGTTGTAAAATGAAAAGACGAATTGTCAACGAGGTGTGTGGACGATTAACGCATGTTTTGAGCCCATCACAATGTTATCAATTCATTGGAGGTAGGCATCTTTGTCTACAGTTTCCGTCCCACTCTTTGGTGGTTAATAGGGTTGTCAATAAAAAAGATAATTCGAAGTGAACGAGATAAGAGAACGTAAATTCATGTAACAATGTACATTGACAAATGTTCTATCTAATGCTAAAATCGGCCTGTGTTAAGAAAGTTAATATTTCTTTAAGTGTTGAATGTCTTTTATTTATAACATTCAACACTTTAAGAAATATGTATTTTTAAAACGAAATGAGTTTATTAGTATTTATAGTAGGAGTCTTCCAAATGTCCAAATCAAAAATAATTCGACAGCGCCTCTAAATTTGATGGTTGCGATATTTTACCTCTCTTAACATAATTGCGTTAATAACCCTTTATAATCATTATTTATCAATAATTATGATTATAATCATCGGGTCGATTCGATTAGATGTTTCTAAAATAATTATTTATGTTTTCGAAAAAAACATCCCTCAGAATTTTATCACGAGTCCACAGATGAAAAGACCGCTACGAGTTATGGCATTTTTAAATTAGTTTGCAAAATTCTGAATGTCCAAAGCCAAAATGGGTAATATTATCTGTGACAGCCCTAGAGAAAAAGTGAGGAGCCAGCACCGTACATTATCTGGCATAGCACGGCACACGCATTAAACCAGCGGCGACCACGCACTCACTACTCGTTACTTGACCGCACTAAGATGTTCCAATTAAACGCGCTTATTGACATAATCTGGTAAAATTAAAAAATATTGTGATCCACGATGAGTAAAGATGACCGTTCAGTGCTTCCGGAACTATCGGAAACCTCTGGACATTCTGAAACCCATGTAAGTTTTTAAAGTTATTTAAAACATTTTTTAAACAAACAATTTTTGTGTCTGTATAATATGATATTCTTTCGTTAAATACATTATTAAATACTGTCTAAAGTTTACGCGAGTAGTACACATTTAAATAAAACATTTTTAACTGCTTTGCAGCAGCCGAAACGTCGGGCCGAATTTAAAAATCATTTTCAAATAAGTTTAACTAATAGAAAAATTATTGATTCATTCTGATAAGGCGAAGGTACAAGAATGTTTCGATCCTTATTTCTTAATATTACGCAAGTTTAGGTAAAATTTGTATTAGTACTACTGTACCATCAGTATGTCAATTGAATTAAAACTTGATATCCCATAATCTAAAAATAGATGTAACAAACTTTAAACATGAATAAATTTAGGTATCTACGGAAATAGCTGTATAATAGTTTTAAAAACAATACAATCTTGTCATTAAGATACGTTAAGTTTTACATGATTAGTGCACATTAGAAATTCTTTAATTTTAGACCACGCTGTGGTAGTGGATTCAAGTACAGTGCGTGTAATATTTTTAAATAATAAAATTCATTTTAAATGTATTTTGCCAGATTGAACATTTTTTTAAAAATCACAGATACATACAATCTTGCTAACTACTTTTCGTTTAATATGTTCATCTGATCATCATGTTTACTTGAGCGTAATTATTTTTTTAAATAATAAATTATTTGTACACGAATCTCTGAATAGGGATAATAATTATGAGAAGAACAATTCGCACTTAGGCTGACATTTCCAAATTACTAAAGCTTTGACGTCAATATTGATCTTTACAGCGGAAGGGAGTGTTTTCAACTGCATAACTTATATTATTACGATTGGAATTAATTACATTTTACAAGTCAACATTGTTTACTAATTAATTGTACTTTTTAAACTTTTTTTATTTATTTAAAATAAACAATAAATTTTCGTTATTGAAGCAAAATGGGTAATATCCCTTTAACCCTGTGTGGGGCATGCGTGGGATACATTTTTGTGTCTTTCGCATTACCTCCGACACAGTTTACCAGTAACGTATCAGTCGTGTGATCTGCCTGAACGAAACGACTTATTAATTTGAACACTGCGGTTTATTACGTGTTTTTATCAATTATAAAGTAACTTACTTACTTATTATATATTTCTATCAATTTTTATTAGTGTATTGATATCTACAATTGGTTTGCAAAGAAAATGGTTGCCTAAAAATTTAGTTATCTAGTTGAATACTTTCTTTTATATATGTACTAAATATTAAATTTATGTATTTTGTGTACTTATATTTGCACATATATTTTAATCACAAATTATTAAAACACACACTTTGTTGATAGTAATAATAAATTGTTATATGCAGTGTAGAATCAAGATCTGTTAAGTTCTTAAAAGAATTAGAAAACAGTATCTCACTACGGTTGACTTAACGTAAGAAACTCCAGTTAGTAATTAATTTATTTATAGCGTGTACAAATTCTGGCGTTTGAGTGCAACACGTACTATTTTAAAATATAATTATTTTTAAATATTAAGTTTACATTCAAATTGTAACGACAATAAAACCTTTGACGACAAAATAATAATCATAATTATTTTTAATTCTTGTTTTACATCAAATTGTTGGCGATGTATTAAATTAAACACATTTTGTTAGTAAGCTTAGAATATGTTTGATATTTTTGTTGATTTTTTTCTTGACGACATATCTATGGACAAAGTGATTATAATTTTAACCCTAGCTCAATTGAAATTACATAGATTATAAGACATTATAAAGAGACAGTTAAGTGTGTGTCTGATTCGCGACAGACAGTTTTCGTAACATTATTTATAAAAACACGTGAAGAAAAAAACCTTTTAAAAATGTATTTTATTATTTTTTTTGTTAGACGGAGCAGAAATGTTAAAAAAAGTTTTTTTTTATGATAGACGTGTACAGGCAAGCCTAGATGATGGAAGGTGCAATACACCAGCCATTCGCCCAGAATTTCGCCACCACCACTTTAATATCTAGATTTCCAGATGAAGTCCAAATTTTAAAAAAAAGTATTCTTAAATTAAATACATTTAACCCTACGACTCGTTGATTATTTGTAGTCCAAGTCGTTGTGTCGAAGTTTTATTGCTTAATATGCCCAATAAGGTACGGAACCCTGGATTAAAAATATATTATTATAGATAGTCTCTAAACAGTGATGGTGATAAAGGCGCCAATTGTTATAAAAATGAGTAATTAAATAATAAAGGACAAGAAGGGGAACCGCAAGAACAGTACTACATTCAGCCGAGTATCGTATGTCTAACCGCAGACGTTGAGTATTATATTCTCAACGTACTTACAAATAGATTATTATTAACCCTTACCCGACGTCTTGCACGACACAGAACAATACCATTATCCATTCTAATTCGGTTTTACATCGTACATGAAATATCCCAAGATCCCACCGCACGATCGAACCTACATGGATTTGTTGATTCTTTAAAAACTATATATATTTATGAAACCCTAATAGTTTAGTGTTTGTGGCTATTTTTTAAAAGGCAATCTGTGATTAAGCCGTTTTTTACTTACGCAACAATTCGTTCATTAAAAGAAACAATAGAATACGTTGTCCCTTGCAGATCTATGGTCCAAAGTAACGTTACTTCGGTATTCGTAACGAGCTCGTTGGTGTCAGGGTAGCAATGTAGGTATGGCTGATAGTCAACGGGTCGTAGATTCGATCTCCACCGGGTCCAACATTTTTGTATTTTTTTTTAACATGTTGCTCTTCGTCTGGATATCTGAATGGTTAAATGGGTGGTAGGAAAATCGAAATTGCGCCGTCACGAACCGTCCACAGATGAAAGTTTGACCGGTTTCAGTCTGTGGATTTTCGAATATCTAAAGCCGTAATAGGTCTACAGCGAAACATGCTTAGATGTTATATGGCGGGGGTATATCACTTACCACCGAGTGTACCCTATGCTTGTTTGTCCTCTATGATAAAAAATAGTTTGTTTTTTTTTAAATTTAATCCGGTTATGGCTTCGGATTATAGAAGTAGGAGGTGTCTCCACTCTCGTACGAGTGTACGTGAAGCCGTCGGTGCTTATAACCATTATTAATTTTGTGACAGTAGTCGTGAAAGCCCGAACACGCAAAATTGTAGCATGTATCCTCTTATCTAAATATGTTAAAAAAGAGGAGATCTGTGCCCAACTGTGGGAATGTGGGACAGGGTGAAATGTGCAATGATGGTACATACAGGTATACCTGATTAGTTCATATTGTACAACTGTGTCTGTAACTTTATAATTATTTTTGATTTGACAATATTTTTTTGGAAAACATCGAGCAATTTATTTTACGACTTTCGGAAGTTGTAAGATATCGGGTTTTTGGAGGGAGACGCGTTTCGATGTTGAATACAAAACCTGCAACCACGTGCAATTTGCATACTCCATTTTTTATTTTTATCAATTTGAGTCATTAAAATGTGAATGCAAAACTGATTATGTTTCCAAACCACTTAAGCAGTTATTTACACTATAAAATCTACACATTATCTATTGTCATAATACGAAACAAACAAATTAACAAGCACTTTTACGTACATAAAAAGCAATATCAAAATATAACTTTATAGCGAGTATTTCTATGAGGGTAGTTCTAAGTTTTAATATTTTTATGACAACGCAGTGTTCACTTCATGGACGATGAGCAATATTTAAACTTTTAATTAAGATGTCGATCTTTTTTGACTTTGAATATTCTATGGAAATCCATACACAGAAGCGGAAACGGAATTTAATCTTCACGACTTCATCGTGGACGAAATTTCGACATTCCTATGGCCCGTTTAAGGTTTTCCTGACGGTGGATCTAACTTGTATAAAAATAGAACCTGACTAATCCACGACCCATTACATCATAAGATATATGTTGCTACGGTAGAACCGAGGGGACCGCTAAAATTTTGTATATAAGGAAAAAAGCGTAAAATCAAATTATTCAATAAGTACAATAAAATACAGTTTTACTAAGTGAATTTGAGGTAGGCAACTGCTAGTTTAATATCCTGTGGCTCCAATGTAAGCCTTGTGAGAAAATCTCGGTTTCCCCTAAGTGTATTTGTTTACCAAAATTTTCAAATTAGATGAAATGCACTAGGTATACAGAGTATTTATAACTTACAAGTTATTGTGTTTATGTAAGAAAATAAAGCTTTAACTGTTTAAAAGTATTATTGTTAAACTTTTTAGATCGGAGACGTTTCGGATGCTTTTCAGTAACTGGTGGTCACGGGGAGACAGTAGTTAAAATTATTTTAAAATAAGTTTATTTTAAATGTGTCCAACTCGCGTCAACTACAGATAGTATCTGTTTCATCTTCTTATATTTTCCTACAGGAGTTACGAGCAGCCGACATAGTGTATGTAGACAGTGCCATGCAGCCGAAATATATAGACAACATAGAGTTTGCTGAAGTTGAAGAGCTACTGGGCACCTCACCGTCTCCACGACCGTGCACACTTGTGTGGCGAGATGTCACAGTTCACATTAAACTCAAAGATGGCAAGCTGAAACGATTAGTTAATAGTGGTATGTATTATCTGTAATTTATACAAGTATCAAGGTCTCCATATTTAAATCACTTTTAACAGTTTAAAATGCAAAATACGGACGCATAGGACGTTTTTCAATTGTATAGACGCGAACGTCAGGTCGTAGCTAATCATAGGTTCTATTTTTAGGGTTAGTGAAAGGAAAACGGCTCTTATAGAAAAGTACAGTCATACATTTTTGCCAGAAATCTAACTAGAATCTTGACTACCATAAGCTGGTATTACTTATCAATAATGTTGTTAGACTGTGTTCCTCCTTTCAATCTTTCGATCCAACTCGGAAACTTATACTTAGACTCTATATTTCATATTCGTAGATATTTTTGTGATGGAGATCTTTCAAGCTTAGAATTGAAATATCAATTTGCCAGCGATGTCCGATCTTCACTGTCTTCTTAGGTACTTAGTAGTAACTATATATATATAGCAGAGAATCAAACTAAAGACCCCTCACTATCTTACATGTTTAAAAGCAATACAGTCGTGTAGAGCAGACTATAAAACCTCGTTATTATTAATAATGTGAATATCTTAAAAGCTTTTATCACAAAATTCAAATGTCAGAATGAATTATATAGGGTATCGGATGCCTTAATAATATTTAAAAGACATACTTTATAAAGAAAAACACTAAAAAGCAAACATTTCTTATCTACCAATAAAATAGAAAAATAAAATTTTTGTATTAATGACCGGAAGTAGCCTACCTAGTAATAAAATGAGCACTAATCTTATCTTCTACTAGCTGTGCTCGCGACTTCGTCTGCGCAGAATAGTTATTTTGGCCATTTATTTTTACAAACCTTCGCTTCTTTATAAACTATAGCTTTTACCCACGATGTCTTCAGCTAATATTTTTTAAACAGTTGCATTTGTTTAAATCAGTTGAAGAGGAAACATTCATTTGTACATATTTTTTGGTTAATAATAATTTTCCCCCTTTTTTCCTCATTCCCCACTTTCTTCGCTCTTATTTAATTGGTCGTAGCCTGATCTTTTATAGCCTAAAGCCTACCTCGATAAATGCCCTAACCAACACAAAAATATTTTTCCAATTCGAACCAATACTTCCTATGATTAGCGCGTTTAAACAAACAAACAGACACTTCAGCTTTATAATACTAGTATAGATACGTAATAACGTTATCAACAGTTATTACATGAATTTCTGGCTTTTTTGCAGTTAATGGAATTGCAAAGCCTGGTTCACTGGTTGCTCTCATGGGTCCGAGGTAAGATTTTTACATTTAAACATAAGAAAAAAGGTAAATAAACGTTTTTGCTGTTTAATCTCTCGTATCACCACGAAAAATCTAATCTAAAGTTGAGATGTGTCACATAACATAAAACATATATGTACATTATATTACATGTGCATATTGTATAGTCCTAAGCGTACTAAATACGTAAATGAAACTTACAACTTACGGGACTTTTCAATGGAAATGGTATTTTTTTGATAACACAAAATGGAGGACGATTTTTCATGTCACCCCAAAAAAGTTTTCTATTTGTTTATTAGTATTTAGTTCTCAATTATTTCTCGCAATATGCAAAATTAAACGTTGGTAACCATACACGAAAACTGACCTTTATTTTATCTGATACTGATCAGCGCAACAAATAACAAATATTAATATATTTTTCCAAAGATGTAATAGGTATTTTTGAAATATGATACAAATATATGTTGGAATTCATAATTATAACTGCTTGATTTTAGTTTTTTTCCCTAAATATCAATTAAGTTTTTGTTCATTCGCGTGCCGGTTGTGACATTTTATGTTTTTTAAATTACAATATGGTAATCTAATATTAAATAAGTATATACAGTATAATCTAGTCCTTTTACAGTGGCGCTGGAAAAACTACTCTTATGTCAGCACTAGCACACAGAAGCCCAAGTAAGTTATATAAACATATTTAACAGACACGTGAATGTTAAAAATGGCGCCGTCCATTTACATCCTAATAAGAGGTTTATTATATATTTTTTTAGGTTAAATTAAATTATTAAGGTCAAACAATTACAACTCAAATACAGAACCTTACCCAAAATTTCAAACCTCAATTGTTTAATAGTGGCATTTGCTAGTAAACATTTTTGTAAACAGTTGGTACTGTCGTGGATGGAGCCATCGCTATGAACGGTCGACCTGTTGGTGACTTTATGCATCTGGAGACAGGGTATATGCATCAAGATGAACTATTTGTAGAGAATCTTACTGTTATGGAACATCTTACTATAATGGTAAGTGAAATAAATATTATTTTACTTTAACGGTTTAAAACGCGATAATAAAATTATTTTTAACAGCGTGGAGACAGTCTTACCATGACCACAGCTGCTGCAAAGCATCCGAAACCTCGGGCCGAAGTTAAAAGTAATTTTTAATTAAGTTAAACTTATATGTATCGCGTTTTAAACCATTGGAAGGTTTTATTTCAATATGTACTACTCGCGTAAACTTCACACGGTATTTAGCGACTATTAATATGTTATATATACTACCCTTTTTAATTTTTTAATAATGCGAAAATAATAAAGTAATTAGTGAGAATAGTAAGTATTCGTCAAACATCGATCCATTCCATGTATCATATAACAGATTTGGTTAACTAATTTGTGTATCCTATTTTTTAGTAATGTCTCTCTATGTTCTAGTACTAGTATTTATACTGTAACACATACTATGTCTATTTTATGAAGATATCTTTAACCTTACATCGTTAATATTATGCTTTTGATACTCTGTCTTCGATGACACTTATCATGCTCTAAGTAGAAATTATCTACGAACTGTTTTTATAGTACAGTAAGCCATTAGTCATTATATATCGTGCGGTTAAAATAAGATATTAAATGTGTGCGGTAATATTAGAAATACTTAATGACCCAAATCCAATCCGGCACTGTACCTAATCGCCGTTAAGCCTGTTAGCGTATTAGGGAAATTAATTCATCGTAACCGACACTGTTACTAGGGTATTCACTTACGTCTGAGCATTATGATTGCAAATCTTTCGAACCATAAAGTTTTTTTTGCCACCCAAAGACATAAATAATGAGTTTTTTACATTAAGCTTTCACTGGTTTAAACTACTCTTTGGTTTTCAAAAAGAACTCAATATTAATACAAGGCTTATTGAATGAGTAAAATTATTCACCAACACCCAAAAGATCAGGTTAATAAATTTACTCGTACGTAAGTTGTGTAAGGCTTTCACGGCCATCGTTCAGCATAATTCACGTGTGGACGGATGCATCATCAAGAGATGTTGACTCCTCAATTGCTCGAAGGAACGAAACGTCGAGAACCTCTTCTCGCTCACATCGGCCGAACAGCCTGAAAGACAATGATATGCTCTACTCGTACGATTATTCATGGCTTGTAACCGAATGATTACTTTTGCCAACATCTTTGTGGGCGTTATTATTTGGAAAGGCAAAAAGGAGTCTTTACAACAACATTCGATCATCAATTTAAACTGATTTATACTTTTTTGGATATTAATCAACATACGGCTATACCAAAAATATAAAAATTATCAATTCTAAACCTTAGACATTACACCATCTGTGCGGTTTCTTAGGCTTCAAACTCTTCCTTCTCCTCTCTTTTTTCGCTTCTTCTTTAAAGTTCTAAAAAAATTGACAGGCACGTCTACGAATGGATAGGCGGACTTCATCATTAGCAAGGAAGAGAAGAGTGAATCAACTACTACGTCAGCTATCACTCTATGGTTCAAGACACACGCGTATTGGGGGTCTAGATGGAAGGAAAACTCTTTCTGGTGGAGAGAGAAAGCGACTGGCGTTTGCCACTGAGGTTAGTGCAGTAGAATTATTTCGATGGTTTTGCAAACTCTTAAAAAAATGTAAACTTATATCATTTCTTTAAAACCGAAATCCATTCATTAGTAGTTAGAAGCAATAGTTTCCTTTTAATTAGCTATTGGATCGGTCTCGTACAATTGATTCTCAGTTTAGGTACAATTAAAATCTTTCAAATAAAATTATGTCTACCTTAAGTGAAAATTATCAATAGTTTTTAAGACACGTTTTTTCCAGAATTCAAAAGCTATGCCCATCATTTTTATCCTATCAGTATAGACATTAGTGCCCTTCAAAGTTATTAGATAAGATTACTGCAAGTAAGCTATGTTTACCAAAACTTAAATAATATAACCATTAATATTAAATTGTATGAAAAGTATTAAATTCTTTACAAGATAAGCATCGCTTTTGTAAAAAAAACATTTATCCTTAAGTTTTATGGACATATTTTGGCACGAGCTAACAGCAGTTAGCGTGGTGTCTTTATGCTTCAATCAGTTTTATGCGTCATAAATAAAGGCCTGATAAGTATCAAACTTAAATGGATTCTACACCTAACGGAGGATGCCAGTTCATTAAAAAAACTGCCAAATTTTAAATGTATTTTATTATGCAGCGATGTCCCTGAAGGTCGTCTAATTATAAAATTGTAATGGCCCTATAAAATTTTATTACTTTTGTTTTCATTTGCCACTAGAAGAAGCAAGGAACTCTTTCACTATTAGTAACAGGTTTATGAAAAAGTAAATATTGAGAAAAAAGATTTTTCGGAATAGCGGAGACGGGTGAAAACAAAATGGTGCGACATGACGTTGTATTAAAAATAATGAAAACGTAATTTGAACGTAGAATTTAAATTTTGTACTACCCTTATTATTTGTTGTAAATACTTTTATTTTTATTAGCTCCTGACAGATCCTGGATTGCTGTTTTGCGACGAACCGACGACTGGACTGGACTCGTCATCAGCACAGAAGCTGATGACGCTTCTCAGGGCGAGTGCTGTCCAAGGAAAGACTGTTATATGTACAATACACCAGCCATCGTCAGAACTGATGGCGTTATTCGACAAGCTGGTGCTGCTCGCGGAAGGGAGGGTCGCCTATGCTGGTAATGCTTCTGGAGCGCTTGGATTTTTTGAAAGGTAAATAGAATTTCTCATGGTTACAGTATCTATATAATATTATAGCTTATTTGTGTTATCTTACAAAATGGTAGTTTTCCAATATGAACACAATATACAAAACAAAATATTTATGTAAATTACTAAATTTAAATTAAAGCTAAATATTGCTTTAATTTTGACTAAATAATAAATTTGACTATAGAGACAAATGAATTGGAATAAAATAATTATTTTCTAGTTTTAGACTAGGTCGATTATAAAACCAAATTTGAACAAAAAAAAGAAAAAAAATTCGATTTAGGCTATAACCAAAGCTCATTTACCATAATTCCTAAAATTTCAGAAATAAAAATGGTATTTAGACGTGATTAACACGATTAACAATAAGGCAGATCGTCTCCAAGTGTTTAAGAATAATCAACTTTAAAACTTTTAGTCATATAATACTGGGATTTTTTATAGGCTAACATGATGTGGTGTTAAAGAAGCCGTATAATGTGGAGCAATGATTGAATATAAGGAGATTTACTCCCGTTATAAAGCTTAGTGACACTTAGTTCATTAATGTAGTTAGAAGATATCATTTTTTTAAAATAACACATAAGCGATTGTACTACAGAAAAAGTCTCCGATAATGAATAAAAAAACTCCATTGACAAAAAAATTTACTTGGATCTATAATCATAGTCACAATATGAATGAACTGATGTTACAGACGAAACAGTTCATTAAAAATATAATATCTGTGTATAATTGAATTTCATAAATTATTCAATTAGTTTATTTAAATTTAATTTAGTGATGATTCGAATTAAGACTAATAATTGGTAATATATGTGTAAAGTTTGCGCGTTTTAAACCCTTAAAGTGTTTTATTTAAATTGCTAATATTGCAATAATTTCGACCAAATTTGATTACCAACAAAACGGTTCCAGCGAGTCAATCTTAAAATATAGACATGTGCTGCCACGGATTTTTAGAGCAGATAGATTAAAAGGGAATCCTCAACGATAAATAAATTACCACATTTCCCTAAGTTTCTTCATTTCTATTAGCCACAACCTTACGCTTATAGCCTAAAACTTTCTCCCAAAAATGGTCCCTACTTATATTTTTGCCATTCGAAGCATTAGTTCCTGAGAAAACACATTTAAACAAACATTATTATGATGTTAGTACATATTTGATGAGTTAAAACAAAATGAGTAAAATCTAGTCCCAAAAATACACCGTCAATAAATGTAATGGTCGTAGTGACAGAGAATCTGTTGCTTTTATTACAATTGGATATATTTAGAACTTAAAAATCACTATATTTGACTTGGTCGTTTTGTGTCATCTATTTTTAGCTCAAAGTATAGAGACCTGATTTGGTGAATGTCCAATTTATACGTCAGTCTGAAATTCTCAGCGGTCCTTTGTTCGGATTAGATTAGTGTCTTTCTGGGCTGGGCCCTTGAAAGTCGCCGATGTTCTATCCAGGTCAGGAAGTCTTATTAAGGCCAATATCTGATCGTTAGTTGGCACACTAATTATTTTATCTGGTACAAGATCTCGCATAAATACTATAAATTTAATTTTGATTAATTTCTCTAATAGGTGTTTAACTTTCGACATCTAAAACTTACTTTAAATTAAACTAGTTTTAAACTGTATTCAAATAATCCCTTTTTACACATCAAAATGCTATATATAATTATTAGTCCAAAATATAATAAGTATCACAATTGAAGTTCACACAAAAAGGAATACCAATTTAAAAAGAAGACTTGAACGGTTTAAAACGCGATATTATTAAATGTTAGTTTAATTATTAAATGAGTTTAATTATTCGTTATGCGAAACACAGCTCATGTAAATATTAATTTTATTTTAACATTGAGATATTTTATGTCACGGGTACACAATGCTGATATCGTCGGTTTGTGTCCTGTTTAAAAAAAATATACTAGAGGCTAGTTTAGATTTCGTTCGTCTTGTTGGTGATACGCAATTAAACCAAACTAATGCTAAGTCGGGCTTCGACCTGAAGCCGTACAGGACTTCGACTTTGTTTTACAATAGGTTATAGTGTCCTGTTGTCTAGTCTCCCGCTAAAAGGTTACGCAGTAAGCAAAATAAGTTTAATATTTTTATAATAATCTATACCACTAAACTTTAACTAATATACTACTTAAGAAATGTGCTGTTAATGGTATTAGTTTTTAATGAGAGCAAATGCATTGCTTGAATTTTTTAAACACGTTTCGTAAAATAGCGTTATCGTGACGGATCCTGGATTCGAATCCCGGGGAATCATATAAGTAGTTCGGTCGTACAGAACGCAAAGTTTTAGACATGTAGCCACCAGGCCACGTTAGCAAAATATCTGAAAAAGAGGCACAGATATTTGTCTTCTCCATACCCTATAGGAACGCGTTATCTATTAGTCCATTTTCCCCAAGGATTTAAACACTAAATAAAATTTATAACTTTTGCAGATTACAGACATTATACAAGACATTATGAAATAAGTCACTATGTTATTCCTAACTATTATATGTAGTTTACGCGTGAAACGCGACAAGTACACTTTTAACCGCTTAAAACGCGAAATGAATTAGTTAAGTTTCGCATGATTTACAGCAGCAAGCGTGTACAAAATAATTGCAATGTAGTTAACTAATATATTTCGCGTTTCAAACCGTTATAAGTGTTCGTTTTAATAAGCATCCTATTACCGCCACGTAAATGATTGAAGTTTTGTTTTCTTGTAGTCTGGGTTACCATTGCCCTATCACGTACAACCCGACGGACTACTTCATCAAAGTCCTGGCTTTGACACCTGGCTCTGAAGGTGCATCCCGTCACGCCATCAAGAGCGTCTGCGACAGGTTTGCAGTCAGTGACGCTGCTAAAGAACTCGATATGGAGATACATTTGGAGTTTCATCTCATTGATAACCAAGATGAGGTAAGTTTATAAATTGTTTGTTTTTTATTTAATCCTACATAAAATATCATTCATATAAAAAAATCAAAGAGCATAAACTATATATAAACCTTTTAGACAATATAGCGCACTTAAACAGATAATAGATGTCTTGTCGACCAATAACAAGATATTAAACAAACAAAGCATAATAAATTAAAAAGCATTTTTTCTTACTTATTGCACTCTATGGTACTGATAAAAAAACATAAATTTTAAATACTTTGTAGTTTACGCGAGTAGTACACATTTAAATGAAACACTAACCAATGACCATGGCTGTTGCAAAGCATCTGGAACGTCGGGTCGTAGTTAAAATAATTTTCAAAGTTTTACTAATATATATTGCGTTTTAAACCGTCGAAGTGTTTTATTTTAAAAAGGTATATCTGTAGTTTTCGCAACATTGGCCTTAAACACTTTTAAATATACATATTTGTTCAACTCATTCTTGGTACATAAGAAATAAAGTAATTACCCTTTACTGCTAATAAATCAGATTCACTTAACAAGCAAAAACTGCATTTAAGCCCAATCCTCGCGGTGGAAAGTTCTGGAATATTTCCGTAGGTAGATCTTGTCCCGAGTTAAGATTGTCCATTTAGAAGAGATGCCCCGCACCAACGTGTTTCGTATTAAAATGACACACAAAGGACTCCCGATTCGGTATTCGCTGTCAATTAGGGTATTTTTTGTTTCAGCAAACAAAACGAACTAAAACCAGCGACTTCAGACCGCCATTCTTCCATGCGAAGATTATATGGCTCGTGTACAGATATATTCTGATGGTGCTGAGGGATCCAAATGTACAATTACTACGAATTGTGCAGAAATTGGTAAGTATTATCTACTAGCTGGTGTCCGCGACTTCGTCTACGCAGGATATATTAGCGTGGCGTAGAAAAGAACTAACTTTATGACATATTTTAGCAAGTTTAGCGCGCACGCCGAAAGGTAGGTTTTTTCCTAGTTACTTGACACTTAATGTCATATTTTGGACAGCTCACACAATATCTATCATAAACTGTAGCCTATGTGTTATTCTGATGTATAAGCTTATTGGAAAGTTTAATTTGAAATCCATTCAGTAGTTTTTGCGTGAAAGAGTAACAAACATCCATCCATACATACAAACTTTCACGTTTATAATATTAGTAGAATTTTAGATTGAAATTTCGTGCTGTGTAACATTTACAAATTTGTCGATTTGTCGTTGGTTTGGCTAAACGGTCATACTTATTAGAATGAATTAAAACATGAATTTTAATAGTGTATGATTTATCGAAATTAACATAGCTCAACACGATAGAATTCGCTTCAACGGCTTTCTTTAACTAATATCTCGTCTGAACATATTGTTTTATTAATCAACACCAGTTACGTTAAACTGTTTATTTTGCAACTTTTAATAAATTCTTTGACGTATGTTTATGTCTTTTCAGGCATATCTTTGTAATGTTGACGAAGTAACAATCTTTCGTTCACGTTTATTATTTTCATAAGTAGGTAATTATTTTTCTGTAGTTAGGTGTAATAGGATTGGAATTTCTAGATCATTATATTTTGAATTTTTACGTGTGAGATAAACTTAAGCAATGAAAACATAGGAATTACGATGATATACGAGCTAGGATTTATTTTTTTTGCTGAAGATATATTTTTTTAATAATTGATATTTTTTCTTTATACTATATATAATTGATATTTTATGTAGTGCAAAATTATAATATTTACGGTCTCCTATAATTAGCAATATAATTTTTACACATTTTTCACACCTAAATGCAACAAATTAATTACTTATTATACGACATTGAACGATGTTATCTATTATATTATAGGCTTTATTTGACCTAAATTGAGGTGTTTATATTGAAACTTTCAGGCCATCGCACTGACCGCAGGACTGTGCTTCATTGGCACAGCTCGGCTCACTCAAGCGGGCATTCAAGATGTACAGGGTGCTCTATTCATCATTATAGCGGAGAACACTTTCAGTCCCATGTACTCGATGTTGCATATATTCCCCGAGGAGTTCCCCCTCCTGTACAGAGAGCTGAGAGCTGGATTGTATTCGACGCCTGTTTATTATGTTGCTAGGATGATTGCGTTGGTATGTTGACATATATAAGTATATGTTTTTCACGAATCAGGATAAACAGCACTCTAAGCGATTTTCGAGATACTCAGCCACAGAGTTTTATACTTTTCATGAAATTTAAATAAATCACTTTTAAGCTTTGAACGTGAAATATTACTACTGTAATTGTTATCGTTAACTTATATAAAACTTTTTTTAATTACAACCTGTTGTTTCGGATGCTTTGCAGCAGCCGCGGAGACTGCTAAATCCCCGTTAAAAGTGTTTTATTGAAATGTGTCCTACTGGAGTAAAATACTAACAATACTTATGTTTTTTAACTATATAGACTCGCTTATTGTTTCTTAACCAATAAACAAATCCAGGCATTATTTCGTATCTGTTCCACTGACCGATTTTTAAATAAGGAGATTTATAATATTAGACATATTTAATGTTTTACTGGAATTCAAGCCCCGTACTTTTGTTTTCGCGTCTTACAACTAAACAGCAAATTTCATTATTCAGACTATATAAACCATTTTTAGTTTCCCGGTCTGGTGGTGGAGCCCACGCTGTTCACGCTGGTGGTGTACTGGATAGCTGGTCTTCGCAGCACGTTCTACGCCTTCGGTTTTACTGTCTTCTTATCCATTCTAGTCCTCAACGTGGCTATTGCTTGTGGTGAGTATTTAAAATTTCTTCATATTGAATGACTAGCTAGTAATATCAAAATTAGTTTTGCAAAAGGTGTTAATGCAAACTTATTATATATTTTCTCAAATTATGGCACGTGGACTAAATTTAAAAAATCGATTATAAATTGAAAAAAAGATATGACTCGCGCGACGAAAGTTCTCGGTGACTCGAGTGCTCGCTGGAGCTACAGCAACGCAACGGAAACCTTAAAGATGAATAATTTTCCCCGTTTGATCCACATTTCCCACTATTTCCTCTCTCCTATTGGTCGTAGCGTGATGTTTTATGGCTCGTAACAATTGTTTAATTTGAGCCAGTAGTTCCTTAGATCAGCGAAAACAAGCTTATATTATTATTATAGCATTAGCTTTATAGATATGCATATTATTTCAATATTTCCAGGATCATTCTTCTCCTGCGCCTTTGGTTCGATGCCGGTTGCGATCGCCTATCTTGTGCCGTTTGACTACTCCCTTATGATGACATCCGGTCTCTTTATTAAACTAAGGTACTTAACATGTTAGGTGCTAGGTGTACTTCAGCGTTACCATCGGCTGTAAATCCGATACAATACTGTGATCTCACTGGTGCAATAGTAGTAATGTACGACTAATAATCATTGGGTCGCGGATTCGATCCCCACTGGATCAAACATGCTTCTGGTCAATTTATATTTTTCCTGACTTTGTCAGAAAATCTTAAATGGGTGGTAGAAATATTGAAATTCCGTCTGGGTCACGAACCAGCACCTGCAAACGAAAAAGCCGTCAAGCTTCGCGTATCGGTTTCAGGCCCATCATCCAAAGTCAAATAGGTCGATAGCGCATCTTGTTAACATGTTATATGGCTGGGGTATTTCAGCTTGCATCAAGTTTACCCCAAGTTTGTCTGTCCTCCTCTACCATAGAAAAGTCGTTTCAATGTGAACATCTAACAAATATGTAATAATATTCTGTTTCCTCAGCTCAATACCGAAATATATATCCTGGATTCGGCATCTGTCTTGGTTAATGTACTCAAACGAAGCCATGACGATTCTTCAGTGGGATGGAGTACAGAATATAAGTGAGTATATCTTCACGGGACTTAAAAGAGATGAAAGATTTGAAACAAAAAAATATCTGATAACTTAAGTAGGTAATTGTTGTAAACCATTTGTGTGGTATATGTAATTAATAAAGTTAATAAATAAATAAATAATAAATTAAAAAAAAAAACTTTTTTTCATTGAATTTGACCCACACTCTTAACCTAAACAAATAAATTGGGTATTGAAAAATAATTAATGATAACAATGTTTTGTTTCAGCCTGCGTTACGAATGAAACTGGAGCTCCCTGTCTTAGTACTGGTGACGAAGTACTCAGTATGTATGACTTCACCACCAACGAGTTCTGGCCAGATATAGTCGCGTTGGTCGTCCTATATATCGGCTTCCACCTATTAGCTCTAATAGCTCTCCGGTATCGTACCAGGAGAAAATAAAAGACTAAGAACAGCGCTAAATATCCAGTTGACTGTGGCCAGTATCTTTTGAGTTAGTTGTTAAAACTGGGCTTCGGATGAATCCAAGTAAGACGAGAAGATTATGCTACCTATTAATTCCATAGAGGGAATTATGACAATCTTATTTATAAAAAAACATTTAAAGGCAACACATTTATATTTGTAGAAATTTCTAAAATTTCTAGCAGAAGTTTTCTAAACGATACACTATAAAACATGATATAGCAATCGCGTAGAAGACAACAGACTTAAGTTTGTAAAAATTAAAACAAACAAAAAAAAACCTTTATAAAGTTCATAGTTATAAAAGAAGATACATTTTAAGGGTTCCAACTTACTTTCATAATACAAACAATATTTTTCTTTAGATTTTTGCATAGGTACTATTATCTACTTTATATGTTGCCAAAACGCGTGCAGCAAAACAATATGCCATATTTTTTATCTACTTTTTAAGCTTATACTACGATATATAGCTTTAGATATCTTTAACTATTAAAAACGATAATATTATTTTTGTGTGTGTTCTAAAGTTATTTGTACGTTCTAGTGATGTTTATTTAGTACCTACTTGAAGAGATTTTTACCATTAAATTTAAGCTACATATGAACAGTTATAAATATTCTTAAACTCGCTGTGAAGAAAAGTGTACTACTTCGCTTAATAAATGAAATGAAAATTATTATTTCTATTATTTCATATTTACACAAGAAAATGAAATCGCCGATGGCGAGGCAAATATTCTAACTAGCGCCACTACTGTCAAAACTGTAAAGCTGTCTTCGAACGACATTTAAAATTATTTTTCAACTTAAATCTAAAGTGTGTCGTTCTTAGATAGCTTCTCAATGTGACGCTAGAGGAGCGCAAGTAATGTTTGCTTCGCAATTAACACAGTCAACGTAATGTAATAAAACACGATGCAAATACATACATACAATATTTGTGTCTTATTAAAAATTATATTGTTCATAATAAATAAGATCATAATTGTGTAATAAAAAAATAATGATATTACAATGAATCTCTAGTGAAGAAAATTGTTTGTGTCAATCCACGCTATCTACTTAAATAATACAGAACTTCGTTTCATACAGATAAATTAGCTCACATCGTTAATTTCTGATTTGTTATCTTAGTTCTCGCTCAGTTGAACAGAGGGCGCTAAATAAAAACAATTTTTTTCCTTACCAGGTAAACGGCTTGCTTTAGCGGCGCAAGCGTAGTTCAAATTCATCGGCCATATTCGTCGTGTCTGACGGAGTGCAGTGCACGGCTGTTACATGTTTTATCGTATACTCTGTTAAAGTAACCACAACGAGTCAATACCGGTGCTAAGTTTAACGAAAGGACTTTAAAAATATGTTATTTGATATAGTTCTGCGGGGACACTCGTGTAGTATTTTAAATAAACGACCCGCAACGAACAGTGCATCTGTGTTTACGATAACCGTTAACAGTATTCTTCGGCTGTTTTATTGTTTTATCCCATGCGTTATAGCTGGTGTAAAGGTTGTGCGGTGTTATGCAAGTTAACTTAACAGTGACCTTCGTGATCGTGACTGTGCTAGAGGTGGATTTTGAGGTTAAGATGCAGCTTGGATTATAAACGACAGCGCCGAGCCATCAGGTTTGATATTTTATCTTTTCTGATAATATAACGTAGTCTTTGAGTCCTATATAAACTGTATGCCATTTGGGAAATAACGTATTAAGTGAATATGCTTGTCAGCATCAAGTTGTTGCCGGTACATACTGGCGCGACAATGTCGTGAGAAGAAGGAAATTAATTATTCAACATTTATCAACATTTGTTATGGCTATAACACGGTTTATAATTTAGTACAAGTATAAAGATAAATGAAACAAAGCATTAGTTACGTTTAATGTTTGCTTGGCAAACTGCTGATAGACTTATTAAAACTTCGAAGATGAGATTTTTATAAGACTTAAGTATTTGAGAAGAACTATTTTTTCCTAAATTCAATTTAAATGTTATATTACTTCCCGTAAAGAAGACTTGGTACTGGACAACGCATTTTCGCAGTCCAATCAACTTCAAATAATGTCAAAACTAAAGCATTACTTTACAGTATTTGTGCAATACGTAAAATGTCTTATTTTATAAAATCCATCTAACAACGATAAGAGTCAAAATAATTAACGTAGGGCGCTTCTTTCGTAAAATCATTTTGTATGACGACCAAACTCGTGAGTTTAGGACAGGCACGCGCAAACACGAGATCAAGTACGGTGGCACCAGGAATGCAACCTTCGATGGTAAAAAGGAGTCAAATCAAAAACAAGCTAAACGGCAGCACGGCCTGACTTATCCAAACATTTGCTTATATATTTTCATTGCGGTCCCTAAACTATTTTTTTATGATAGAAGTGGACAGATAAGTTTGGGCTTCACATAACGTAAAATAACCCAGTAATATAATATGCCACGAAATGCGCTGTTGGCCTATTTTGGCTTTGGATATTCGGAAATCCATGGGCTAAAACCGGCTTTTTCATATTTCGTCTGAGGATCTTGACCCGGATAAAATTTCGATATTCTTAACGTCTACCTAGCAAATTTCCAGACGATGTCAACATGTCTAAAAAATAATTTAAATTGATTTGAAACATGTTGGACTCGACCCGTTGATTATCAGCCGTACATTGCTACCATATTTATTGGCATAAAGGCGTTATGATCGTCGATTTAGTGAAACCGTATTCTGTCTTTGTTATACAATATGTATTACGTGTATACGGTTTTTTTTTTAAACCCGCTGGAGTACGAATAGGACGCAAAGGTTCCGTCTCGTTACTAAGTATGTAGGTACATACATGTCACATAGTAACCATTTTTATGTCGTCTGCAAGGGTTTAAAAATGTTTTTAATTCAATTCTGTTTAATATTCGGAAATTGCCCAAATAACTAGATACCTGAGATTTGTAAAAGATTCAACAACTCGAGAATCTTAGTAAATCCTTTTTTAACTCTTTTGGTACGGAATCCTAACATTTATATACATAATATATATATAGCATAGCTCAAACATTAAACAGAATATGCAAACGTGGAGAACGTAAAGGAAACATCAACAGTAGGATAATTTCACAATTATCATGTTTGTAAAATTGCTGCACGCGTTCTCGGTTGCAATATTATACCTAGATGTTTTAGTTATTACGTCATACATCCTGTATACTGCTGTAACTGCATTTTCTATAAATAACTAGGGTTAACACATTCTTGTTTTTTACTTATATTAATTGTTTTCCCAGCAGTACATTCTGTAAGTATCAATTTTTATTTTCGTAACAATTGAACATCTCAGTTCCCGTGTCTCTTTAAAATCTAGTTAAAATCCTATACCTATTATATTTACTATTGACTCCGTCAATTTGTGAAGAATTACCGTAAATACAATCGAAACTGGTATTGGCCCGTTATACAAGTAGTTTTTCAGACCCTAATAACTAAACCGACCTTCGACCTTATAATTTGTATATTTTGGCTATTAAGTCATTGAATTTCAGAAAACATAAATATAGATACATTATAAATAATAAAACAATCCTATCAGACATTGTGACTGGGATTTCTAAGTTTCGTTTCTTTATAAGCATCGCTTTCTATATTGTACTTAGATTAAAATGTTATTGTAACTTAAACTAACTTGCAATTTAGATATATAAAGCCTTTTTGCAATACATTAATACTATCATAACATTAACCTAATCCTAATGTTGCTTGTCTTGAAATTCTTATGTAACATTTCTTAAATGCTGAATAAATGCGAGCAAGTTTTTATGTGAAATACGTACTTATATAAAAAAAGTAGGCAATTTCAGCGGAGTATAAACAGTTATATTAGTAAATTGTTGTAGTAATTTAGATTAAATTAATTATATTTATTGAATGACCTGTCTTATTGATCTGTCTACTTAATAGACATTTATATTACATATACAAATGTGTGTAAAGTACGCGGTAGTTCAATTGGTTAGAGTAACAGCCCAGAACGCTGACGACTTTTTCAATTTTTAAATTATACAAATGTAGATAAATCTAACTGCTAATTATTAGGTTTTTTAAATTATGTTACTTAATACTTAGAGTTTTGGTCTTCTTTAATTCACCATAGTTATAATTTATTCATCCACATTTATCAGCATATATATCTTAATCATAAAATGTCACATGAAGCAAGTAGTTTTCTCTTTAATGGCCAAGATCTAGATAGTGTCTCGAGAGTCTATCTAGACCGATTAGGATTAATCACGATGTCGTGTCCGACGTGATTGACTAAGGTCACTTACTGTTTTAGATCAGGCACTAACTTGGCTATGCTAAATTAGGAACCTTGGTGACCTACTTACAGAAGGCGTTTACTATTAAGATAGCTTGACTACTGAGAATCGCATTGCCTAGCATTGAGTCTCGGTCGGGCAGGGCACAGATGAACGATCACTTGCTTTTTTGTATTTACTTTACTTTGCCTCCTAGGAAGTAACGTGTTATCACGTAGAAATAGAAAATTCAATATTTACCTAAATACTGCCTGTAGTTTACGCGAGCCGTACACATTTAAATAAAACACTATAACGGTTTAAAACGCGATATATATTTTAGTTATACTTGTTTGAAAATTATTTTTAACTACAGCCCTTATGTGCTTTATTTAATTCAATACATGCTAATTCGTTGCTCTACTAACTATTTATAATTAAATTTTTAATTAAGAAGTTCGGATTCTCGAAGAAAATCCCAAACATTGCCCAACAAGCTATCGTAATGTACCTATGTAAATGTTTTACATTCGCTAAATAGCGGTTAGTTGCCTCAAGAAATTGTGGCTGTCGGAATCTGCGGCAAGTAAGGATGCGGTACATTTAGTAATCACCTAGATTTCCTTCTTAACCCGTCTGACTGGAGTAAGACCTAAGAATAATTACCTAGTTAACAAAATGATAATCAGT